AATAGAGTGAATATTTTCGCTTATTAAGTATATCAGAACCACCTTGATTCCGAGTTGTTAAAAATTTTCGATGCTCAAAAAATTATTAGAAATGTCTGGCAATAACAAAAAAAGAAATCCACAAAAGAAACAACACTCTCCAAGTTCAAGACTTGCTCAATAAAGATTTACATCCTTCAAACACCATACTAAACCAAACGGTACTAAGATCCACCATTGATTGATACTGGTGATGTTAAAGACTGTATTTACCTCAACCATTACCATAATCACTACCTTCAAAATCAGCAATAATTGAGAATACTACAAACAAATTATCATCCTCGAATGTTGCTTTATCCAGGATCATCAATCACCTAATAAATCAAAGAACCCCAAGATATTGTCAATAGCGTACACTAAGAAAAGGTTATGCCGACAATAGCATAACCTTTTCTTAGTGACGAATCAAAGAACCCCAAGATATTGTCAATGGCATAACCTTTTCTTAGTACGTTATCACTTTATCAAGACGTTTTGTTCGTTTAATGGAAACATGTTTTTCTTTTCCCCGGTCTACAATTTTGATCCAAATATTCCCTTCCTAATACTTATTTCCTTTGATTTCATAAAAATTTTCAGTATAATAAGTTTTCTCCTTTTCATCAAACACTGGTTTCAATGATCGTTCAAACTCATCCAATGACATAACAAAATGTATTTCGAAGTTGTCTTAAATGTAATGTCAATCTTGTTGCGTAGGTTCGAAATATTGTTGGCACACAAAAGAACAATCATCAAACAAAGGTTCGTTGATGTGGAGTTTTATAATTTTAGTAGTAATTTTTTTTGATCAATATCAAAATTGGGATTCTCTTAATATGCAATACCTTAAAACTCGTCTTACAATCCTAAAACTAAATACTTTATAGTGAGTGGTAATATAATTTCTCCTCTATTCAAATGTATCAAACAAAAAACTGCTCTGAATAAATCTTAATACCTAAAAACAGCAATAACAAGGCTACAAACTACCTAAGAATAGGTAGATGTTATAGTGTGAGGAATTCCATAACTCAGAAAGCGAGAATATTAATATCCAATATCTATCCCAAACCGCTTTTTTAGGATATGGCTTTTTAAAAAGGGCAATCTGGTTGAATTTTTACTTATTTATGGCTATGGAATTTTATAAAATATATTGTTTCTAGGGATGTAGTGACATGTGTCCAATAACAATACATCAACCACTATTAAGGATTTTTGGAACAATTTTACGTATTGTGGTAAATTTCTAGATTTGTAAATTAAAAGAAATATCCAGAAATTTATTTGACCTCAGTAATTACATTTATATGTTATGCAATGGTAATTAATTTAAAAAAAAAAGACAAGCAATTCTGCAAACATTGTTTCTTATTTGATACTATAGTAATGAACAAGTATTCTTGTGTTGGGATTATTTATAATCCAATTTGTGGAAAAGGTACCTATTTTATTAGTTGATCATCACGATCCATTATTACTTTATAAAAACAATTTCAATTAAACCTTAAATTGTGTAATAATTGATTTAAAGGAAAGGCAGAAGATGTTTTCCAACGAATAATATTTCCCAAATTGCATGATCATTTCACAACTAAAAATCAAATTCCGATGCAGTGCATGAAAACCCAATGCAGAGATGATGGCGTGAGATGTGCATTTGAATTGGTGACCAAATATCAATGTGATTTACTTTTTGGAATTGGAGGTGATGGCAGTCTGGGAAGTGTACTAAACGGATTGATTTTAGGTTGTCTACATTTGAATCCAAATGTTCTCAACTCAGAGGAATCATCAAGGCAACTCCCAGTCCATTTAGGAGTAATACCCAGTGGTACAGGAAATGATTTTGTTAGAACTCTATTGGAAACATCTGGAGATTACTATTTGGACATAGTTGATGGTTTTGAAAATGGATATTTTGAGGATAGTGTCAGTAAAATTGTGGACATGATCATTTCTGATAGCAAGACGATACCTATTGATGTTGGAAGAATGGATTATACTCCATCATCAATTGATGAGGAATTTTCTAATGGGAATGATACGACTGGAGTGAAACTGAAAGATTGTAATGAGATGATGAAAAGCCGATTCTTCCTTAATGCATCAACGATTGGTATTGGTCCAGAGATTTTAAAGAGTGTCAATGATCCAAATTCTTTCCTTCCTAAGAGTTTACAATATTATATTCAACCAATATTGAAAGAGTTCACATATAAAAATCCACTACTTGAATTGGATATTACAAGCGAAAAGAAGATTTGCAAAAAGATGCAACTAGTCATTGTTTCCAATGGGAGGTATGTCAATAACGGATTCAAAATGAATCCATTTGCAAGTTTAACCAATAACCAACTTGATTTGTGCATTGTTGAGGATGTTGGTGTATTTGATTTACATCTTTTCTATTACCTCAAATATGGAACTCATTTGAATTATCCTAAAGTCATTATGGAAAGCACAAAAAGTCTCACTGTTGATACTAAAGAATGTGTATTCGTTGAATGTGATGGTGATGTTATTGGGATGTTACCAGTGATGTACAAAGTAATGCCATCAGTGGTGAATGTTCTGGTTCCAAAAAGTTTCACCCCAACAGCTGCAAATAATAAATTAAATATTAATTAATTAAAACAACACTCGGTGCTTTAATGATCTTCAACCGATGAGCGTTAAATTCTGGCGTGTATTCTTCGGTAAAAGTTTTTATTGTAAAATATCCCATTTGTTAGGGTGAGCAAAATTGAAAAAATTCTTGTTGAAAAAAAAAGACAGTCACTCTATCTTCCACTCCACTCACTATGTCTACCTCTTTCATTTATAAGGGTCAATTGACCGGTCACAACGGTATGTTGATAACACAATTTTAATACTGATGAACATTATATATTTGCTTCCATACATTTAATACAAATTATTAATATGTATAATTATTATTAATATAATATTTTTCTAAAGGTTGGGTCACTTGTTTGTCCACCTCTGCTGCCAATCCAAACATCTTGGTTTCTGGTTCCCGTGATAAGTCTATTGTTGTCTGGGAATTGACTAAGGAACAAGGTGCTTATGGTGTTCCAAAGAGATCCCTCACTGGTCACGCTCACTATGTCTCTGACATCTGTATGACCGCTGATGCTCAATATGTCTTGTCTGGTTCTTGGGATAAGACTCTCAGATTGTGGAATTTGAGCAATGGTAACTGTGAAAGAAACTTCTTGGGTCACACCAACGATATCTTGTCTGTTTCCTTCTCTCACGATGACAGACAAATCGTCTCTGGTTCCCGTGATAAGACCATCAAGTTGTGGAACACTTTGGGTGAATGCAAGTACAACATTACCGATAAGGGTCACAAGGAATGGGTCAGTTGTGTTAGATTCGTTGCCAACAAGGAAAAGCCATTGATCATTTCTGCTGGTTGGGACAAGATTGTCAAGTTGTGGGATTTGTCCACTTGTACCTTGAACACCAATTTGGTTGGTCACACTGGTTACATTAACTCTGTCTGTGTTTCTCCTGATGCTTCCTTGTGTGCTTCTGGTGGTAAGGACGGTGTTGCCGTTTTGTGGGATTTGACTAAGGGTGAACACTTGTATCACTTGCCTTTGGATGGTAACGATGTTATCAATGCTTTGGCTTTCTCCCCAACTAAGTACTGGTTGTGTGCTGCTACTGATAATTGTATCAAGATCTGGGACCTCCAATCCAAGACTGTCCTCGCTGAATTGGTTCCTGAATCAAAGGGTAACAAGAAGCCAGCTTGTATTTCTCTTGCCTGGTCTGCTGATGGTACTACTTTGTTCTCTGGTTACACTGATAACACCATCCGTGTCTGGGGTTGTTAAATTGTCTCCTTATTAGCTAATAAAATATTAAATTCCTAAAACACACTCGTAATTTTAATATTGGTGGTTTTCGTTTAAATTTACCCTTAATTGTTTATTGAAAATTTTAAAAAGAACAGTCATTCAAATCAATCTACAAGCGTCACAACAAGAGATATTAAAAACAATTTAAAATGTCATCAACACTATCACCAGCAACATCAAATCGTATGGAAAGGGATGCCATGGCTAGTGCTCAAGCCAAACAAAAGATGGTTTCGTTTCATAAGAATTTATTGAGCCCTACAACAATTTCGCAAGACGAAAGTAAGAGAAGAAAATCCTCACCTCCACCCATACTTAAAAAAGAACCGAATCAAGAATTACCCAGAAAGAGAATACTCTCAATCGCAAGCGGTACGGATGAATTACATAAGCAGTCGGCAAGTGGTCTCATTTCCAATCTAGTCTCACAATTAGAAAAACAGGGAAAAACAACTGAGCAAAGTGTTGTTGTAAACAACAATTCAAAACCAATTTCAAAAAAGCTAAATGAAATGAGTAATGAAAATTCATCATGTTCAATTAATGGTGTGATGCAACTTGTTTCTGATATTGTAAAATTATGTGAATTTTTAAAAGATTCAAAATTGAAAAAAAATGGACAATTAATTTATGACAGATTATCTCATATTAAGGTAAGTTTTGTTTTTTTACATTACGGACTCTAAAATTAAAATTACAGGATGAAATTACAAATTGGGATAAGAAAATTGATGAAAATGATGAAAAAATTTCCAAGGCTATTCATTTATTGAAATCTCAACTTGGTGATGTCTATCAATTATTGTTGAAAATACAAAAGAGTAATTGGTTTGTAGATTTGAGATTTGCAAAAAAGGCCAAAAAATTAACAAATGAATTAGATAATGTGACAACGTTATTGGGTTTAAGTATTTCCTATCTTAAATCTTCAAAGGAAACTATTGATATTAATGTTTATGAGGTTGACCATAGAAATAACTTGGCATTGGAAGGTGACAAGTATTATTTAGGACATGGAGTGAGTCAAAATTATGAAACAGCTTTCAACTTCTATTTACAAGCAGCCAATCTAGACGAACCAAGATGTCAATACATTATTGGGACTATGCACATTGAAGGAAAGGGAATTGAGCAGAATGGAAGAAAAGGAGTCAAATGGATTCTCAAATCTTCAATGCAAAATTACGCAGATGCTCTTAATCAGATGGGTATTTACTATGAGAAGGGATTCATTGTTGAAGTTAATTATCCACTTGCAGCAAAATTCTATTGTAAAGCTAGTCAATTGTCACATTTGGATGGTATGACAAATTATGCCGCTTTCCTTAGACAAGGAAAAGGAACTGAGAAGAATATTCAAAAAGCACTATCACTTCTCATAAAGGCTTGTGAGAAGAATTACGATAAGGCTCAAAATGAATTGGGATTCATGTACTATAAGGGATTAGGAGTTGATCAAAATACAAAGCAAGCAGTTGAATTATTTACAATGGCAGCAGATAGGGGGAATGCGGTAGCTCTGAATAATCTTGGAATATCCTATGAGGATGGCATGGGTGTGGTTAGAGATTATGCCAAGGCAACTGTGTGTTATGAACAATCTGTAGAGCTTGGTAATGTAAATGCACTCAACAATTTAGGATATATTAAATTGTTACAACATGATTATGAGAGTGCATTGGATTTGTTTCATAAGGCAGCTGATAGATGTAGTGCAGATGCCATGTATAATCTTTCAAATGTTTACAGAAAGGGATTAGGGGTGAGTGCAGACATTTCAATCTCAATCAAATATTTACACAAAGCTGCTGCTAATGGTCATGTCAAATCTCAAAAAATGTTGGGAGATTTGTTCTATTCTGGTTTGGAAAATGTTGTCGAGAAGGATAAGAAACAAGCAGCAAGCTTCTACTATAAGGCTGGTGTTAATGGTGATGCAGAGAGTTGTAACTCTCTTGGATGCATGTATGAGGATGGATGTGAAGATGTTTTAGAGAGAAATGAAGAAACAGCTTTTAAATGGTTCAGAAAAGCCTCTGATTTGGGCTCAGAGAATGGAATGGTCAACCTGGCGAGCATTTACGAGAGGAGAAACCAAACAGATCAAGCTGTCAAGCTTCTCAAAAGAGCTTCATCACTGGGTAATCAAAAAGCACTTGAAAAATTAGAATCCTTCTCCAAGTTCAATATGTAATTTTTCTAAAATATTTCCAAAGTTGTAAAATATAATAATTGTGTATTTAAATTATATCCAAAATATTGTCGTCATTTTTAAATATCGTTTCCATATGAAGCAGTTCTTCTTTTTAATGAACATCCACAACATTATTCCATACTATTAACAGTGAATAAATCAAAATTATTTTTCTTTTGGAAGTTCTCCTTCTTTGATCTTGTCAATAAATTGATTCATCTTGGTTGGGGTTGGCAATAATCCAGGATGGTGTTGGAAATACTTTTCCTTAAATTCTTTGACCTTTATATCTCTTTGATACTGTGTATTATAAGTAATAGATGATGGATTTGGTTAGATTAATGAAAATTTTAATATGATGATAATAGTAATTTATTAGTAAATAATTTCAAATTATATGTTATTTCTCTAATCAAGTAAAATCATAATACGTACCGAAACGGTTTCCAAATATTCATAGTCCTCTCTTGAAATGTTATTGAAAATATAAATTGCGGAGAACATAATACCAGCCAAAGCAAAACCCATAACACCAGTCTTGGCAATAATTCTCGGAATAAACTTCTTCTCCAATTGTTTGAACATTTCAGGAGTAATCTCTGGTGGTGTTTGTTGTTGGTGTGGATTCATTTTTATTATTATTTGTAAATTCAATTAATTATATAAATATTATTATAAATATTATTTAATCAACAACAGTTTCATGCGTTTTAACATCAAAAACTGCTAACATTTGTAATAATACACTTCAATTACAAACCCGTTACATTTTCATTAGATTTAATTCTTCTAATCTCATCCCATTCTTTCTTCATCACATAAAAATTTGAATATTGAAAAAAAAATGGCCAACAAGAATAACAAGAAGGAAAAGACAATTGTTGAAAAGGTAGAAGAACAAGTTGTGGATGATGCTTCCAGTTCTTCTTCGGAAGAGGAAATTCCACAAGAAGAAATTGATGAAAAACAAATTATTGACAAGGTTGAATCTACACTCGAAGATGATCCATTGAACAGAATCAAAAAATCAAATGATGAAGATTTGGATGATAAAGATAAATTCTTGAAGAGTTTCCTCTTTAAACAAGGATGGATTTTTGATTACGAAAAGAATGGTGATAGATATAAACAACAAGCTCATGATTTGGACAAGGGAGATATGTTGGATGATCAATTTAATGAGTTAGATATTGAATCTCAAAGAATTAATTTAGAAAATTCAAAGATTGGTACTAATCTTCCAGAAAAACAAGTTGAAGAAGATAATGAAGAAGAGGAAGAAGAGGAAGAAGAACCAAAAGAATCAGAAGAAATCAAAAATATTGAACCCACCTCCACTTCTACACCATCAGAAAAAACTGAAAAATCTGACAGTGAATCCGAAAATAGTGAATCTGATGATGCTTCAAGTGATTCAGATGAAGATTCTGACAGTTCTGATGATAAAAAAGAACACAAATCAGAACGTGAAAGAAAGGATTCTAAAAAGAAGAGAAAGAGAAAAGCCAAGAATGAAAAGATTAAAGAACAAATCGAGTCTGTAAAGAAGGAATATAACGAAAAGGCTGAAAAGATTAAAAAGGAAATTTTGGAACTCGTCTTTAAATTAAAGGATTTGATTAAGGGTGATGGATCAATTGTAGATAAATTAAAAATCTCAAAGAATGATGATGTCGATCAAGTTTGGGAATTAGTTGAAAAGAAAAAAGTTATTGAAGAATTTGCCAAGTCAGAAGCAGAAGAGGACGACGATGATTTTATGGAAGATGATGAAGGAGATGCTAATTTGGATAGTCCAATCAAAATTAAGAGAAAGATTAATAGACTCTTTGAAAATTACTATGATTCATTCTTTGAGGATGTAAATGCAGCAACTGGTGACACTTACAAATTTAAATACAAGAATGTTGACAAGACTTCTTGCGGATTATCAGTTGATGATATTCTCAATTTGGAAGATGATGATTTGGATAAAATTGTACCAATCAAACATTTGGTAAGATACGATTACAAGGAACCAGATAACAAGATTAAAAAGGATATCCACTTCAAGTTGAAAGAAATTAAGACTGAAAAGGGATTGTTAAAAAAGAAAGATGAAAGAGCGCTCAGATTCAAGACTGGCAGCTTTACAGGAAGTGGTATCAAGGATAAGAAGAAGAATAATAATCAAAAAGATGAAACTGAAAAGAAAAATCCAAAGAGTAACAACAACAGACAAAACAAGAAGGATAGAAATGAAGGTGATTCCTCTGAGCAAACTAGGCAACACAACAACAAGCACGAAAAGAAGCCTCGACAAGATAAGAAGAGAAAGCAACAAGAAACCTCTACTACACCTTCTGAAACCAAGGACTCAACCAAGCAACCAATGTTGAAGAAAAAGAAGGTTGACATTTCCAAATTCGCTGATAAAGATAGCTACAGTCAGGAGAAGGATTATGTACCAATGAAGAATACTAATGTTCCAAAGAAACCAAAGCAACAACCAATAGTGGAGAAGCCTGTAGTGGTGCCAATAAGTGAAGCAACTACTACTTCAGAGCAAAACCCAGACATGAAAAAGAAGAGAAAGAGAGGTAAGGGTGGTAAAAAGAAGGGTAATACAAATGCTGTTGAAACCTCAGAGGAATAAACGTGACATTATTTATTAATTATTTCAACACATGCATTTTTGATAATAAATTAGTTTATTTTGTACACTTTTTATCTAAACATTAATGTGCTCCAGTAAATTACAGTCATAGTTGAACTGTTTTGTAGAGTTACCATTGTTGATTGTTAGGTGAATACTAGAGTCCACGCATGAAATATCAATATCATACCCTTCTTGGTGTATCGAGTTATTGCTTGATATTATTGTTTGCCTAATATTAAGAGATAAGGATTCAAACTCTTCCTTTTCATCTTCGTTCAATTTACATTTTGTGATATTGATAATTCTCTTTGGATTGGATTTAGATCTTAGTATTTTGATTTCCTTAACGAACAAGCTCATGAACTGTATCAGACTAGACATTGTAGGAACAATGGTTGGAAGGTATGCATTATGATTATACTTCTTGACAACATTTACAATGTGACATTCAATCAATTTGAATAGATTATTCTCCACCTCATCATACCCCTTGCTAAGTACAAAGGCAGGAGGTGTAATGCTGATATTATTGATTGTAAAGTCTTTTGGATGAAACTTGATATTGACTCCAAGCTTTTTGGATTCGTATGGGAAACTGAAATGCAATGTGGAGTGTTTTCTATCTACAGTAAAAGGTACAAACTTTGTCTTGAATAGGTTCAACAAGTTTGGATGAGAAATGAGTAAATCTTGTGCAGAAATTGTAAATCTCTGTGTGGATCTTCTCTTTCTAAACTTGATTTCATTAGATGACTTTTCAGATGAAATGATAATACTTGAAGGCTTGACTTCCCTAGTTGTTGTGGTGGTTGTTGGGATAACTCTATCTGATTTGATAGTTTGTGGTTGGACAATAATTTCTGTCTTTTTCTTTTCCATAATTTTCTTTTCGCGTTGTTGAGCCACTTCTGATTGCAGATTTTGAAGCAAGTATTCATAGTGTTGAATGTATTGATCAACATATTTGATTTGATCATCAAGTTTGAGGATATCCTTATTCAGTAAATCCTGTTGAACGTTTTGTAATTCTGATTTGATTTTCAATTTTTCAATAGTGGCTCCAGTCTTTGCAGTTTGGATTGAATAACGAACATTGTTCTGAATATCTAAATTCTTTGGTCTAGTCATGACACTTCTGATAATCTTTGGTTCATTATATTTGAAAGCATCTTCCTTATCTAAAATTTCCTTCTCCATTACCTCAATCTTTTTTCTAGTTTGTGTAACAACTTTTTGTAACGATTCATTAGATATCTTTGCTGTAGTGTATTTGGAAATGATCTCTTCACTTGGCAAATTAATATTCAAGCTCTTTCTACTTTGTGGGATGATTGACTTTCTGTCAGTAATAGTTGTGAGGAATCTAATCGACAAATGTGACCAAAAATCAGAAAGAGTGTACTTTGCATTCTCATCAACTTCATCTGCATCCATAAGAATACTATTAGAAAGGTTCTTGAAAATTGAGAAATAGTCTGGCATTACAATGTCAGCATTCGATGTCATCAAAATACTGTTATTCTTGGTAGTAGGAACACTGGTGATACTATTAGCTGCAAAGGTGGATGATGCTGGTACTATTGCAAGTAAAGAATCATTGATTTGAGAATTGTTATTCGAAATTGGTTGAGAGATTGATCTATCCATTAATGAAAAATTAACATCACCATCCTCGTCATCGTCATCATATCCAAATAAGAAGGAGGCATCTGGTATTGCTGGAGCAGGAGTTGGATCATATTCTTCATGGTGCGTGGAGCTTACGGTTTGGGAAGAGGTCATTTGTAACAAGTTGAAAGAGGGTTTGTGACTTGAAGGTTGTTTAGAGTTTTGGCCTCCATTAGAGGATGAGACAATAAGAGAGCTAGCAGTACTTGTGGATGGTTGAGATTTCTTCGTGGAATCGTCAATAATGGAGACATTTCCATTGATGATAGTGGTAAATTCCATTGTTTGATCTTCATAAACCATTCCATTATCATTTACATAGTCAGTAAAATCCATTGTTACATTTTCATCATCACCATCAAATAAATTCTTGTTAAGCGATTTTTTTCTAAATTGTGTTGGACTTTTTGCAGGTTCAAAGACTTGCACTTCTGGATTTTTTGTTGAGAAGGATACACGTCTTATTCTCTTCTTGTCCTGCTTTATTGGAGGTGAGGAAAGATGAATGGAGGATGCTGTAAAGGTCTTGCGTGGGTTGCCCTTTCTTTTCATTTTTTTGTTAAAATATTTGATAACAATTAGATTATTTTTGGATTTAAAAATTTGTGAAACGGCTTTTTTGGCGGGAAATTATCCCTCTCATTTTTCTACTATATTTAAAATTGTTAAAATTCTTAATTTGACTTGAAGATTGTTCTAATAAATTTTGTACAAAATTCTCAAATGATTGAGTAGATCGATTTATTGAGTACCGCATTGAACGCCTTGTCCTCCACGACGTTCATATTCATCATCACTATCGTATTGGCTCTTGTGGTCATTATTTTGAGAAAGGTCAGCTTCTTGCAAAAAGACTTCTTCTACATTGTCAGCTGATTCATCCATGACATCAGCAGCATTAGCCTTCTTACCCAAAATAGAGGAGAGTTGTTGGTGGAGCTTTTCTGGAATTTGTTCTGGGAATTCAACTTCAAATTCAATGTACAAGTTACCCTTTTGGAATGGGGATCTGTGGATTGGGAAACCTTCCTTAGCAATTTGCATAACCATACCTGGTTTAATAATTTGGTTTGGTTTCGATCGGACAATAAGAGTTCTACCATCCAAATGCTTTACGCTAAATTCAACACCTGTCAAGGCTTCCAACAAGTTAATCTTCTTCTTAATATGTAAATTATTTCCTTGTCTAGTGAAAACATGATGTGGCTTTTGTTGAACAATAAATACAATATCACCTGGAAGAACGTCTGGTCTTTCGTCAGCTTCTCCTTCAAAAACGATTTGTTGTTGTTCCTTCATTCCAGGATCAATGTGAACTTCCAAAACTTTAACGTCATTAGTGACCTTATTTCCTTGACAATCTTTACAAATAAACTTCTTATCAATTGATTTACCAGTTCCTTCACAAACGTCACAAGGAGTGACAAATTGTTGAACAAATCCTGGTCCCATACTTCTAGTAACAACCTTTTTACCTTTACCTTGGCATGATTTACAAGTTACAACAGCGTCATCTTTAGTGGCACCAGAACCCTTACAAGAGGTACAGATACGAGTTCTAGTAACTCTAATCTTTCTAGTAGCACCATTGTATAAATCTTCCAAAGAAACTTGAATTTCGTGAGCAATAGTCTTACCCTTCTTTGGTCCGGATTGACGAGATCTACCACCTCCACCAAAGAATCCGAAACCGTCTTCACCAGCACCGAAAATGTGGCTGAAAATATCAGTTGGATCAGTAAATCCACCCATACCACCTCCTTTGAGACCTTCTTCACCATATTGGTCATAAATCTTTCTCTTTTGATCATCTGTAAGGACTTCATAAGCATGGGCGATATCCTTAAAACGTTCTTCGTATTCTTCCTTCTTATCTTCTGGTGCTCTAATTTAAAATTTAATATTCAATAATCTATCAATACATACCTATCAGGGTGGTATTTGAGAGCAAGTTTCTTGTATGCGGAACGAATTTCTTGGGTACTGGCAGTTTTAGCAACACCTAAAAGTTCATAATAATCAGAGCTTGACATTGTTTATATATATTCTCGTTGGTTATTTTTTTTGAAGAGGAAATTCGTGTGTTGTCCTATTGAATTGTATCACAAGCGCCAAAATGTATTCCATCAGCCTTGGGTTATTTTTGTTAGTGTGATTACCTTCATTCCGAATGCACAAAGGAATTTTGTTTGGTTGAAGGAAATTTTGCACTCTTTATTTTTTGTAAGGATCATCCACTTTCCGTAGTATTCCGGAGTGAATGGCATGAACAACTTGAAGACAAATGTCCTTCTTGTTGTAGCAATCAAATTACTCTTATTATAAATAATTATTAATAATAATTAAATAGAATAATTGCAAATATTTAACATCAATAATTATTGAGTTATTTATTAATTTAGAATTTTAGCAGCTTATTTTAGTTAACAAGTTTACTCCATCTATTATCACCAGTGTTAATATTCAAAATCAAATATTGAAACTAAAGGTGTAATGATAAAGTTATTGCTTTCGGAATAAAAAGAGACTTTACTTGAAGGAAACAAATTGATTGAGAGTCGATCCGTTATTATTAAAGCCTTCAACAAAGCAATTCCACCATTAAAAAAATATTGCAATACATATTTTCAATAACATCACCATGTCTTCCGTAAGTTTTCAAATTGCAATTTGTGATAATTAATTCCGGAATGTGTTTGAATTGATAAAACAGTCAATCCGTAAATTAATTCCACTCTTCGATAGAGTCATTGTCAAGAGAATCAAGGTTGAACAAGTTGCCCAAATTCAAGGTATCTATGTTCCAGAATCCACCAAGTCAAAGAACAATCCAGAAGCTGAAGTTATTGCTGTCGGTGATAAGGCTAGTTTGACTGTTGGTGATAGAGTTTTGCTTCCTGAATATGATGGTGCTAAAGTCAAGTTTGATGGTGACCAATTCGACGTTTACAGAGAAGATGAAATCATCGCAAAGGTCACACAAAAATAAACAATTTTGAAGAGTTTTATTCCCATAATTCAATAGTTACAATTTCAATACTGTCATCATCTCCAAATTTACATCTTACATTGACAGCATCAATTCTAAATCCATACAATTTGTCATCTCTTTTCTTCCTCATGTATACAGGTCTTGGATCACTTTGTAAAACTTGAATGATAGCTCTTTTGATTTCATCTATTGATTTGTAAAAGGAAAGTTTAGGTAACAAAGTTTGTAGTTCTATTTCTGATTGTTGTGAAAACTTGATTTTTGATTCATCAATTTTTTGAACAAATAAATCATCTTGAATCCATTCTGGAACTCTGGTTTCTGTAATGCTATCGTATCTTCCAATGTATGGTTTAATATCTATAATTGGTGTGCCATCTATTAAATCAGCACCACTAAGATAAATATACTTTCCTTCAATCTTTTCAATTTTGGCTACACTTAATCCAATACTATTAGGTCTATGAGGCGTTCTGGTAGCATAAATTCCAACCTTACCATTTCCATTCATACGAGGAGGTCTAATCTTTACCTTATCTTGGCTTTCCAATGAATTTTCATGAAAAACAAACATGATGATGCAATGACTGAAATTTTCCAATCCATCCAAAGCCATGTGACCTTGTGGTATTGTCACTTCTAATTTTCCTTTACTGGAATCGACAAGACCAAATTGTCTTGGACATCCATTCTTTGTGGGAAATACCGAATGAAAAATACCAATAGATTTCATTGAAAAGGAATAGGTTTTTGTTTTGTTATCGTAACCAGAAATGACTTCATTGTGGAGAGATTTTCCCTCTTCTTTTGTTTCTTCTGTTATTGATGATGAAGAGGAAGTTGATGGCTCTTTCACTTTGGAAGCGATTGTTTTACGATTGAGTTTTCCGGCATAGTGAGAAGGAATATAACCCATATAGACTTGATCATTAGGTTGTTCCATGTTGTGGGACAATACAATATCTGAATCTTGATTGTTTTCATCCCCTTCTATATGAGAAATATCTCTTTTTACCCCTTTTTTCTCCTTTTTCTGTTTTGAAATACTTGTCCAAAGTGATGGTGCAATAATAACATGTCTCCATTCTCCTTTCTCAAATTCTTCAATAGAAAATAATTTTGTTCCCTTTTCCAAACATTTCAAAATAACATCATCATTACTTTCCAAATTATTTGGGATTTTTCCATATAATTTACAAGGTTTTTGGATAATATGGGATGGTTCAATATCGGAAATGCTCTTTTCAAATTCTTGAACACTATTTTCCTCCGATCCAAGTAGTACTTCTTGCTGTGAAGACTCTCTATCGAGAGAAATATATTTCATAGCAAGGGGATAATATTGACAAATGTTTTTTAAAAATTGCTTTTCGGAAGAGACATTTTTGAATTGTACTAGACGAAAGAGAGACTGTTTGGTTGTGTTCATTTTTTTGAAGTGGTAATAAATTAAAACATTTATTTTCTAAAACAAATATTTAATAAAATTGTTTAAAACATTCATTTTGAATATTGGTTTAAATAAAAATGTTAGAAATAATAGTTTAAAGTAATTTAAAATATAGATACTAATTAAGTCTAACGATTCAAAATTTAACTCAATATTAAAAAGGAAACTCCATGAAATTCTCTTTCTAAGTACTAGATAGAGTTATCATAGAGAATATTACTTTTTGGATATTTCTTTTTCCAAATCTTCCAAAAACGCCTCACTCTTTTCCAATAAATATTGTAGACATTCTGCACTGGCTTGTTTCTTTGCCAATTTTATACTTGGACCTCTACCAGTGAAAGTCTTTTCGAATATTGTTATTGAAAAATCAGCTACCATGTTGAAAGGTGGGTTGGGTTTTTTAGATTCTTCCATATACCATTTTTCAGATTTATCAAGTCTATTAAAGACGAATTGCTGTAACAATTCGTTCAATACAGATGAGGAATCTCTAGTAATATTTGTGGATATGAATGTAACGATTGGATTGTTTGGGTTTCCAACAATTTCCGTAACATTACTATTCATGGATACTTCATTTTCAGCTTCTGTGAATATTTCATCCATAAAATTTTTCCATAAAAATTCATCATAAATTAATTTAACAGTATCCAAATCGTAATGACTGTCAACAAATAAGGCCCCTGCCAAACTTTCAAACACATCACTTAGCATTTTTACATATTCACCATCATCTTTCGAGTGAACAACTTGTTGGGCAATATGATTTCCACTAAAAATAATATAATTTTGAAGTTGATTTTCTATGCATAGATTGGCAAAATTCTTATTCATTACAATCTTCTCTCGAAGCTTGCTCATCATTCCTAGGGAGAAGCTAGAATTTTTGTGAAATTTTTCGAATATTTTGCTAGTTACTATCAAACCTAAAACAGAATCACCTAAAAATTCAAGTCTTTCATAATTGAATACTCCATTGTATGATGGGTGAATAAATGCTTCAAGTAGTAATCCTGAATTTTCAAATTGAAAATTGAGTTTCTCTGTAAGCTTATATAAATCAATTTTCAATTTTTCAAAATGGTTTCTTAACAGTAATTTTTGATTCATAAAAATATCCTCTGAGCCACTTATTTCTCCTTTTGGTAATGATACTCCAACCAAACCCAAAAATCTATTAATTTGCTCTAGAGATCCACCGAATATATGATAGCAAAACCCAATAATGCTCTCAACAACATCAGCCAGTACCTTATATTCGGCTTCAATATTTGTTTCATCAGCAAATTTGTTTGATTTGAAACCACCAATATTTTGAACCAGTTGACTGGTATTTAATGGCTCTGTAATGATAAATAGAGGAAGGCGTGTATTTCGTGCAACAGAGGCTAGGAAATAGTTGCTGACAAACTTGTGTTGCAGTTGTGAAAGAGAACCAGAGCTATATAACGGAAATTCATGGTAGATGTGTTTGCTGACAATATATTTCAGTATGCTGTCTCCAAAAAATTCGAGTTTTTCATAGTTTGCTCCTACTTGAGATCGCTTTGCTGTAAGTGCCTCCTCCAACAACTCGAATGCTTCAAGGGTTTTACCATCTTCAAGTAATGTAGCATCAACTATTGGTTGGAAAAGCTCAAACTGTTTGGAAAATATTGATGTTATCAATCTATTGTAATATCTATACAAAAATTCTGGAGCTAGCTTTAAAAATCTAAGCATTTCAATAGTGAAGGAGCAAGCAGTTAAGAATTCTGGAACCAGAAAAATATTTTGATGTTCAACTTGTGTTGAACCCAAAGTAGAAAATCTTGGTTGATAGGCTCTTAATAATGGTTGTTGAGGCCTCTCAATTTCCAAACCCCATTTTTCCTTATAATAAGTTTTGTAATCTGGGAAATCCTCTGTATCGAAATGGCTTTTTGGATTCTTGTCGAATTCAATGTTTTGAAGTAGATATACTCTATGGTTGTAAATAGTTTCCAAAATCATATTTTTCAGTATATTTTCTGCCTCTTTACCATGGTGTTGAATAATATCCAAGACTGGAACATCTATAAAATGTTGTTGAGCTTGTTTGGGAATAATAAAAAATGTCCAATCTTGAAGGTTTCTTTGTTTTTGGTCTGGAAAGGAAATTTTCGCAACCTTGTTAAACATAAATTCATGGTATTCAAAACATTTCAAAATATAATCATTATCAACGGTTGTGGATTCCATTTTCTTAATTGTAATATGTCTACCACCATTCATTCGAAAGTTAAGAAGTCCCAATTCTTCAAGATCAGAATCAATTTCATTAGGAATTATAAATTGAAAATCTGTAGCATTGTTGTCCAGAAATATATCATAAATATAAACACAATGGGAGGGATTATCAGTTTGGATTGAGTTGAGTTTCTTTTCTCGCCAATTGAATATTTCAGGCATCTGAGGCAAAAGAGTGGCCATTGATGCTGGTGATGCAAATTCAGCTTCTGTAGAAGCAAACACGTATTTTGAGTATCTTGGAAAGAGACTATCATCCAACTCCTTGTACTTGTGAAGTAATTGGACAGCTTTGAAGGCGCAATATCTTTTAGATACGAGTTTGTTGAGTCTGTACTGGGCAGGATCATCCTCATGATTATTAGAAATACTAAAAACAGGGACAGGGCAGTTAGTTGGAAAGGTTATTTCTGTAACAAAAAAAGGACCATCGGCGTAGATTGAAAACTTTGGTTTTTTTTCATCTATTGATTGATTAGGAAAAACAGCACAGTATTGGTTATACAGCCTTATACTATTGTTAAGAGTAAGCTTTGCCTTGGAGGGTGTTTCATATATTAGGATATCTTCAATTTCTGAATTATTGGGAGTATCGTCGGATATTTGGGTCAACATTTTTTCTTGAAGTCTTTTACCATTTTTGCATAACTCTTGTTGAGTTAAATCCGTTGAATTGACCATCATTATAAATTTACTCTCCTGTTTTCTTGCTCTACCTCTACTTTGAATGTAGGCTCTCAAAAAATCTGTAAACTTGTCAAAACGAATTACCAGATTGCATGCAGGCACATCAAACCCTTCCTCTACTACATTGGTGCAGAAAAGGCACTTGAGTTCTCCTGATCTGAATCTTTCTGTTTTACTCTTTTGTTCAAATCCTGTGTTTTTCTTAAATCCAAGTTTTGTCCTTACAGAGAGAGCATTATGTCCTATTATAAAATCGCAAGGCAATCCTTTCTTGGCAAAATATCTGGATAATAAAATTGCTGTATGTCTTCTTTCACAGAAAACAATACATCTCATTTGGTTAGTTGTATTGTTTTCTGGAAAATGTTCATTCAGAACCTCCTCCAATAATTTCAATTTTCTACTTGGTGATGGTTTTGGAAATATTTTTTCTATTTTGTTAGTAAGCTTGTTTCGTACACTCTCACTAACAATTATCTCAAATTCTTGATTCTTTTTTAATTGTTGATAGGATGAATCGCTACTAAAAGAAACTAATTCACTTGTAGATAAACTTTGATTCTCTTGTTTCCTTTCTTCTATATGATCAAATATTATAGTTAGATAGTCTTTCAAGCATGAGGAACCTAGATTGTCTAGAATGTAATTAAAATCGTTAAAAAGTATCCTCGATATTTCAATAATATCCTTTGTTTGTATGGTTGAAAATTTGGTTAGGTTTTCTACAATCAAAGTACAAAAATCTTTCAAATCATCAATTTTAGTACTTTCTGAATTAGTTGATTCATATGTGAGAATAATTTCATTTGGTAAATTAGTGTGTTCTCTTAGTTCGCTATAGAGTTCATCCTCAGAAGATATAGTAGTCAATTTACAATCTAGGTATGCCTCAAGTTTTTGTTTCTGAAGATTAGCCTTTGTTTCATTCAAAGATCTAATAGCAGAAGCTGTCATTCCAAATATTTTTGGTCTTTTTTCTACTTGCTTAATGGTGTGATAGTATTGAGTCATGATTACTTTATAAGGATGATCACCATCTCCACAATGGTGACATTCATCAATAATCAATAGAGAAATGGATTCCATTTCAATTATATTATGAGTTAATAAATTTTGTAAGAATGCAGCAGTAGTAACAATAACTTTCTTTTTTTTCAATTCCTTGTTTGAACGTAGCTTGTTCAATAATCCTGAATCACCCACATAACAGGCCACCATTCCATCAATATTTTTCGAAATATTATCGATTGACTTGGAATCCTGTTGTTCTAATCTCTCTGTCTCCAGATACTTTAGGGTGCTTCTTATGTGTTCTGCTTGCTGATTTACAAGTATACGGTTTTCAGCAATAAAGACTAACTTTTTATCATTTTGTTCAGTTTCGTTGAGCATATAATCTATCAACATGATTGCAACCATTGTTTTTCCAGTACCTGTATCAAGAACAATTGCAACATTTCCCTTTTTTGCCCTTTCAAATAAATCCAATTGATACCTTCTTGGTTTTGTTTTTAGAGGTTTTTCTTTAACATCAGAAGTTTCCGTTGTTGTGGGCTGTGACAACATATTTGCTTCTGTTGGTGTTTCTTGTTATTTTTTTCTTCCTTGGAAAAGAAATCAAATCGAGAGTTCCCAACTCAAAAACCAACTTGTCTTATTACTGAATGTAAAATTATTTTGATATTAATTTATTTAGAGAATGTTTTTGACGTTAATTGTCAGTAAATTTGTTTTTGTCCAATACAAGCTGCTAATTTGAAGGTGAATTAATTGATTGGGAAGTATGTAATCAAAAAAAATGTCGGAAGGAAATCCATACAAACAAGCTGCCAAAGCTATCAAAGCAAAAGGACTTTTGAAATTAAAATTCTATTGTCAAATGTGTCAAAAGCAGTGTAGGGATGCAGCAGGATTTAAAGCACATACACTGAGTGAAGGTCATCAGAGGCAAATGCAAATCTTCCGATCCAATCCAGCAAAATTTATTAATCAATTCAGTGATGAATTTAAGAGGGGATTTTTGGATATTCTTAAAACTAGACACGGAAAAAAACAAGTTCAAGCACTCAGGGTATATAATGAATATATTAATGATAAACATCACATACACATGAATTCAACTCAATGGACCTCACTTGGTTCATTTGTAAAATATTTGGGGAAAACTGGAATTTGTAAAGTAACCTATGATGAGGAGAAGGAAACTTGGTTTTTGCAATATATTGGATCGGAATCAAATTTGTACAATACACCAAATGGATCTTCTATTGAAAATGATGATGTTCTGGATGAAAAGAGAAAATTTGAACTCTACGAAAGACAGTTCAAAGCTCTGAAAGAATTGGAGGAACAAGCTGATGAAATTATAAAAGAGGAAGAAATTGAAAATAATAAGGATTCTTCGAATCAGAAACCAGTATTTAGTGGATTTTCTCTCTCCTCTAAAAAACGGCCAAATCCTTCTAGTGCTGAATCTTCTCAAACAATAGAAAATCCCTCTGAAGAATCAGTTAAGATAGAGCAACCTGTGGCATTCTCGAATACTACGAATATTGATCTCAACTCAACTGATGTACAGTCATTTAAAAAGATGAAAACCAGTAGAGATGAGGGGATATCTAGTGGTTGGTTGAAAACAGGTATCATTCTCAAAATTGTGGATAAATCATCTGAATTTTATAATGAGAAGGCACTTGTGCTTAAAACTTTAAAGAAGAAACGTGTTGCACAAGTAGAATTATTGAGCGACCAGTCGAAATTAGTCGAAGTTTCACAAGACAATCTCCAAACAGTAATTCCAAAAGTTGGAGCAAAAGTAATGATTCTCAAGCACGAGACCATGAGGGGTAAAAGTGCCACTCTTACACATGTAGATTTTGACAAGGCGAGTGCCACAGTACTAGTGGATGGAGTTCTTGGTGATAACCAACTCATTTTGGGTTATGATGACTTTTCTAAAATATTCTAAGCATGATCTAATTAATGAATGAACTAATTTAAATAACTCAACTCAATAATTATTATTGTCAATTAATTGTTCAACTATTCATTGAAAGACAACATCATTTCTTATTGCCATCAACAAAAAATTTGATTCAAAAAAAATTTCAATAAAAATTGAATTTAAAAAAAAATCATGACTTCCTCCTCTGTAGATGTTTCATCGCTCGGCTCCACTTGTTGGGAACCAAGCTTGAACGGAACAATTAGAAACTTTGCCACGATATCCCAAAATAATAACCAAATCAACATTTATTCAGGAGAAAATTCACAACTTTTGCTTCAATTAAATCTTCCTTTGGACTTGCAAAGTAAATTTACTTCAATGAGTTGGATTTCTCTCAACTCTAGCGTTGCTAGTGATGATGAAAAGAAGAAGAAAACACACAAAACATACATCCTTGCTGGTACACAAGATGGAAAAATTATAGCTTTTGATACCGAAAGAGGAAGACTCGTAAAAAGTATACAATTATCACCAACAACATCATCATCAGTATCTCCAATTTTAAATGTTAATTGTCCTGATGGAAATAGAATTTTTGCAGCTCTTGCACCTAATCTCATTGCAGGAACTCATTTCCTTTCAAAGTCCAATAATACCAAGGTTGATTTACACAAAATTTGTTTCGAAGATATTACTTGTTTGAGTGAAAATTGTGGTCACTTGAATGGTGCTGATGTTTTCGCTATTGCAAATTCTGGAAAGACTCAACTATTCCAAGTTAACACACAACAACGTGTTTGTGATTTCCAAGGTCATGAAAATGGTGCTAACCAAATTTTATTTATTCATTCTGATTTACTTTTGACAAGATCAAAGGATGATAGAATTGTTAACTTGTATAATTTAAGCAATATAATGTCAAGCTCTAGTTCTAATGGTTTAAATACTTCAAACTTTATTGAACAATTGATGACTACATCATCAAATCACTCGGAATTAATTGCTCCTAATAAGGTTTTCACTTTGGATGCTAATGTAGTAGCTATTGATGGCTTCTATCGTTCTAAAAAGTATTTGGATATTGCTGCTGTTTCTCATGCTGGATTGTTAACTTTATTCAGAGTTAAACCATCTGAAAAATCAACTTATGATATTATTTCTAAAGCTACTGTCAAGTGCCATCTTTCTAAAGGATTTGGTAAGGTCATTTCTGCCAAATTCATCGATGAATCACGTATAATTTTGGCTATGGGATCACCACTCTTCCCTAATATTCAAGTTTTGGACTATTCTTCCACTGATAAGGATCAAGAAAACTTTTTATTCTTAGAAAAGGATCTCGTCATAGATGAGCAACCTATTGTTGCTGGAACAAAGGACAACAAATTGATTGGTAGCAAAGGAAGTACCTACTCTAGTAATATGGTTTTGGGTGTTGCTAACATGGAATCTGCCAATGCTAGATTTGCCCAAACCTTATCAACAACTGAAGGTTCTCAAAAGTCTTTCCAAGATATTCTCTCCCAACAAACATCTACATCCACCAAGAAGGATATGACTCTCTCTGAAGCTGGTGTTCCAGTTATGAAACTCAACTCATCTTTAATAACAGCATTGAAGAGTCATGATGTTGGAATGATTTCAAAATGCTTGGCTCACTCTGACTTTGATTTAATTGAATCTACAGTACAAAACCTTTCGGCAACATTTGCAATCAAGTTATTGGATGTCATTATCGAATTATATGGAGATTTCTCACAATCAAGAGATACTTTAATCTTTTGGCTTAGATCCTTGTTGGTTAACCATACATCACACATAATGTCACAAAAAGATATCATTGAAAGATTGTCTCCAATTTACCACTCAATAGATTCAAGACTGCGAATGCTCCCATCTTTAATGGACTTGTCAGGAAGATTGGATTTATTACTTTCTATTGGTGGATATGCCAAGGTTGATTTTGATACAACTGATAATATTTCAGCTGCTGCTAAGGCTAAGGCTAAGAAGTTCACAATTGTGGAGAAGGACGAAGATAGTGAAGATGAAATTATTGAAATGATTCAAGCATCATATAATAAGAAATCTTCTGGGGATGATGACTTTGATGTAATTGACGATGATAATGATGACAGAGATGAAGAAATTTTGAAAGGAATGGAGGACGAAAATAAGAAGGGTTGGTTTGCTGATATGAATAGTGATGATGAAATGAGCGAGGAAGAAAGAGAATTAAATGAACTTTTAAAGAGAGAAGAACAAGTAATGAAATCTAGAGGTTCTTCTAATGATGACGAGGATGACGATGATGAAGATGACGATGAAATGCAAGATGACATGCAAGATGATGAAGACGATGAATAAATTCTCTTTTTCAAAATATTTAATATTTCAAAAAATTATATTAGGCATTGTTGGAAAGGATGTTAGAGGATTTCTCCAACCACATTGCCACTTATTATTGGTATGTTTGAGGAATTTGTCAGTGGATTTTTCTCCAATATGTCTAAAAAACAATCTGTCAGAAACAGTTGATTTGCACTTGCTAAGAATTGGATGTTTAATACAGTCATTCCAATTTCCCAGTAAACATGATTGTAGAGTCACATCTTGAGGAATGGGTGATAATGAGCCATCTGACATTCTGATTAATCTTCCATTTTCTAAGGTTGGTTCACTTTTTAACATTTCTGATAGGTAAGGTAGAAGACTAGCTTTAACAAGTATTGAACTCCCACCTATTATTATGATCGACAACATTATTAAAAACAACACAAAACATACCTGTTGCCATGAAAAGACCACAAAAATCTGAAGAGAAACTCTTTGAAATTCTCAAAGCATTAATCATCTTTTTAAAATGTCCATCACAGAAAGGAAAATCATCCTCCAACAATAAAACATAATGGTCATTCAACTCTTCCTCTGAAAATGTTGTCCTCATATGATAATATGTTTCTCTAAAGAGGGAAGAAACATGTTGAAGTTGCTTGAAAATAATTGGAGCATTCTTGAGTGGAAAATAATGCTCCTTATACGAAAAGTAAAGAGGAATTTCTGGAGAAATGAATGGAACATGTTCAATCTCTGATTTTGGAAGTGTAACCCTAGTTTTAAATTGATCATAATATGTCTCCGATCCACGATATTCAAAAACCTCCTCTATTTGATCTGTATCATTTAAAATCATTCCATTTTGTTTCATAAATTTAAAGAAGGAATATTGTTTAATTTGTCTCAAATCATCGAACGTTTCATATAAATTTACATGAGATTCTCCAAAATGATTCAGTAGAAACATGTCTACAGATACATTTGAATCCTTTCCTTTTGTAAAATTCTCAAATTCATTAGCAATTGATAATATTGTCCTTGTCAATTCCTTTTCACCTCTTGATTCATATCTCGGAGCAGATAAAAGTGCAATAGTGATATGTAAATGATGATCACTCTGAACAATATTAAATCTTGAATTAAATTTCATCTCCACACTCCAAACACTCCAATGCGATACACAAATCATCACTGAAAATAATAGACATGTCAGTACTTGAATGACGATATTTGGCATTTTTTTTTGTAAGCTTTATCATCTAATAAATATTGAGTTTTAAATCATGATCAGCTATTTTTCACTTCCACAATCAAAAGACTGCCACACTTGTGTTCTACAACTCCATAATTGTGGTAAAATTTAACTTTGTGAAAAAGATTTCTAAGGTTTTTAAAATCTTTTTTTCAGATTTAAAAAAATGGATACACACCCAAATGGGCAATCTAACAAATCCGAGCCAATGATAAATACAACAAGAGAAATCACAGTGAATTCTTCGGAAAATGGCAAACTAAAAGTACAAAATCTGTGGATTTTGATAGTGGTGATTGGAATTTTATTTAGGATTGTTCTTGCCTTTTATCAACCACATTCGGGAAAGTCAACACCTCCAATGTTTGGAGATTTCGAAGCTCAGAGACATTGGATTGAAGTTACATCTAATTTACCAATATCTGAGTGGTATTTTTATGATTTGGAATATTGGGGATTGGATTATCCTCCTCTCACTGCATTTCATCACTATTTGATGGGTAAAGTAAATGGATACCTAAATCTATGTGATGGTTGTTTTGAGTTTATGACATCGAGAGGTAATCAGAATGTTTCAGTGATTATGTTCATGAGAATTTCTGTAATATTGATGGATTTATTATTATACATTCCTGTCTGTTTATTATTGTTGAAATTGATATTCAAATTAAGAAGAATTATGGACACTACATTAGATACTAGTTTTGGAATTGAAATTTTTTGGATGATATGTTGTCCCTCTTTAATGATGATAGACCATGGACATTTCCAATATAATAGTATATTTTTAGGATTTACAATAATTGCCATTTATATGCTAATGAAATATTTAGAGGAGAATCATGTGATTCACTTGTCATTGGCCTCAATGTCATTTGTTTTCTCAATTTCATACAAACAAATGTCACTCTATTATTCCCTTCCCTTCTTTTTCTTCATTTTGGCTCTCACTATTAGAGAACCAAAAAGATTCCTTATTGTAGCATTGTCTGTAATATTTTCATTTGGTTTAATGTTTGGACCTTTCATTTTACAAAAGAATGGCACTGAAATATTTTTACAAGTTATTCACAGAATGTTTCCATTCAAGAGAGGACTTTTTGAAGATAAGGTGGCAACATTTTGGTGCTCCACATCCATGTTTATCAAATGGAATGTCTTATTTGGAGAAAAATTGGTCAAGCTTTCAACCATTCTGACTTTTCTTTTCTCCCTTCCATCCTGCATTCACTTGCTTTTTATTACAATGAAAAGATCCACCAATTCTGCTCTATTTTTGAGCAGAATATTTGTAACTAGTGTTACAATTGTCTCATTCTCCTTTTACATGTTCTCTTATCAAGTTCATGAAAAGACAATTCTGGTTCCTCTCATTCCTAGCATTGTGTTATATTGTTTGGATGTAAAGGGATTGCGCCAATATGTCCCACTCCTCAATATTGTTGCATGCTTTAGCATGTATCCATTGTTTATCAAGGATAAGCTCACCCTTGCATATTATGTCATTCAATTAGTTTCCATCTCAATTACTTTCATGGATTTTCATTCCTTATCCAAAATCTCCCAAGTTGTTTCTATTTTCAGTATTTTGGGAATGATTGGTATTCACATTCTTCTTGATTATGCAAAGCCACCAATGAGATATCCAGACTTGTTTACCTTGTTTTGCACAACATTTAGTTTTATTCACTTTGTACTCTTCTTTATTAAGGCATATTATGTGCAACTTTTTGGGTTGCGGGATAATAGTGCCTGTCATGAAAAATCTAATTAAAACAAACATTTAACATTTCTTCAACAGACAATACTTTTTCTCTGATTTTACCAGTCTTTACGCCTTCTTCAGTTTCGTGTCTTTCCAACTTTTTGTATTGCTCAAAGGTAATATATTGAGTAGACTTGGATTGAAGGTGAGCAATAAGTTTAGAATAGGAGTCAACTGTGGATGAAGAAATTTTTGATTCAGAATAATCAGATAAAATACTTCCAACAGTCTCTTCAGCATCATAAATATTCGATAAAATTACGCCAGATGGACCCCTCTTCAACCAGCCACAAACGTAAGTACCCTTTACAACTTGACTATTTTCATTAATCACCCTACCAAATTCATTAAGGACAACTCCTCTCTTTTGATCGAAAGGAATGTCTGTATCAGCTTGCACGCTCTTGTATCCAATGCTTTCAAAAACCAAATCGCATTCTATTTCTTCAAAAATGCCAGATCCAACAGCTTTTGGTTCTCCACCTTTTGGATCCTTTTCTATAAGTGTAATCTCAAATTTTATAGATCCAACTCTGGAAGGATCACTCTTACTTGGAATGAATTCTACTGGATTTCTGAAAAACAAGAGTTGAACAAGCTTGGTGTCCTTATCGAGAGTTGGTTTTTCAGTGGCTGTTTGTAAAAGTTGAACTAGTCTTTGCTTGGCTCTTCCCTCCTTTTCCAATTGTTCCTTTGAATTCTCGTCAATATATTCATTCTTAACTTGAGTTGGATCAATATAGAGGCAGTTCAATTTGGTTAATTCTCTCAATTCCTTGGTAGTGGCTGCAATTTGAACAGGGCCTCTTCTACCTACAACAAGAATATGCTCCAATGTCTTGTTAGAATTTTCCAAAATATTAATTGCTTGAGATGTCAAATCATAACATTTGAGTGTATCAATAGGTCTTGCTAAAATTCTAGCAACATCTAGAGCTACATTTCCTTGCCCAATAATTACAGCCTTCTTGGATGTTTCAATTAATTGCCTATATCTGTTGAATGTTTCAGGTGTAGTATGTGAAGGAAGACCGTTATACCAAGAGACAAACTCACGAGCACTCTCCACTCCCTTCAAAGATTCTCCATTAATACCTAATGATCTTTCACTATCAGCTCCATAGGTTAATACTACAACATCAAACATTTCACTAAGCTCTTTAAATCTGACATCTTTGCCCAGTGTCACATTTCCTAAAAACTTTACTCTTGAATCTGAAGCGATACTATCGAAATCATTTTGAACATTTTTAACTTCGGGATGATCAGGAGCAACACCATACCTTACGAGACCGTATGGAGTTGGTAATTTTTCAAGAATTGTAACATCAACCTTGTCTACATTCGATTCTTTTTGGAGCAACTGTTTTGCTGTGTAAAATCCAGCTGGGCCACTTCCAACAATGCAAATGTTCAAGTCTCTCTTTGAATAAGAAAGTACCGAAGCGATGTGATTAGTCTTGTTGGATAATGAAAAGGATGAGCATAGGCTTCTAAACATTTTTTTGATTGAAAAAACACAATGATAGTCCTCTCTAGTGAGGATGTCCTACAAGAACCATGGTGCGCTTTGAGGACCACCTAACTCTGCGCAGTAAGTCAGCTGACTTCATAATAACGCAAGCAAAGTTTTGACTTATGTCATCTTAGTTGCATTGATATATCGCATTGTTAAACATAATCATCTTGTCCATGTTCATAATCACTAGGAGCTTATTCTGAAATTTAGAACCCCGTCACCTCTTGTAAATAGTTGGAGAATAATCGAGTATTAATAATAGTTAACTATTCTAATCTTATATTTAGGTGATCATCAATTGATGAATCTTATTAGTACAATCTCTAGAGTCTTTATCATCTATTTATTCTGTTGATCCGGTGTTACTGGAGGCTTCTTCTTGCTTGTTTTCAGTACTATAACCGAGGTGATCTTCAATTTCCTTGTCCAATTCAGCTTTAGTCTTTTTTTCCTTCTTTTCTCCTCTTGGTTTTCCACCTTTAGCACCACCTCTAGCACCTCCTCTAGCACCACCTTTGGCACCTCCTCTTGGTTTTCCACCTCTAGTGGTATTACTCTTCTTGGTAATACCTTTAACAGGTCCTTGTGAGGAGGACTTGTTTACTTGGCTAAATCTTTCAGAAAGAGTAAGACTCTTTTTAACAACTTCTCTCTTTCCTCCATCAGATTTAATAACCAATTCAGAATCGTTGTTGTCAGAGTTGGTTCTTCTTCCACCGTTGTTTTGTCTTGATCCGCCACGTCCACGACCACGTCCTCTTGGTGCAACCATTTTTTTAAATTTTGTATGTTGTATTATTAATAATTCAGCTCCCAAAATACACATTAAATGATAAATGAGAAGATGAGCTAAAGGAAATCATAACAGTATACGAAAAGAATAAATTTATATTATGTTATATGTCAAATATTAAAAGAATACAAAATTAATTATTTTTATTATTAATTACACCAATAATAAATTCTTTCATCACAATGCAATTTGTTCAACAGCCAAATTTGTTTTTTCAAATTTATTGTTGAATTAAATTTTTGAAGACACTCTGAAAAAATGCCTTCATCCAAAGCTGCACTCTTAAGCAAGATCAAGAACGCAAAGGCCTCTGTGAAGGTCGCTCCTAAACAACAAGAACAAGTATCTTCGGAAGAAAAGAAGAAACCTGTCAAGGTTACACAAAATCAAGTACCAAAGAAGGAAGATAAGAAGAGAAAACTTGAAGTTCAAGAAGAAGAAGAAGAAGAGGATGTTCAATTAATGGGAGCTGATGATATTGATTTGGATGATTTTTCTGATGAAGATGATATGGGTGATAATGATGAATTCGATGAAGAATTAGAAGATGACGATTTCTTTACAAAGAAAAAGCCAACCACTACATCCTCGACGAAATCAAACAAACAACAACCAACAAAGAAGCGAAAGCAAGAAGAAGACGAAGATGATGAAGATGACGATGAAGAAGAAGAACAAGTAAACAAAAAGAAAAAGAAAGTCTTTTCCGAAGAAAACTTTTTCGAAAATGATGAGGATGAAGATGATGACTTCTCTGAATATACTGAGGAAGAACGTAAAAGATTGGAACAACTTTCTGGTATGGAACGTGAACGATTGGCACAAATAGAAGAAGAATCGAGATTAGAAATGGCTGATGATGCAACCAGACAAGAAAAACCAACTGTTATGGCCAATTATTTGGAAGACCATGAAGAATTGCCAGAGGCAGGAGAAGATCAAGATATTGGTATTGCTGGTGTTACTGAAGATTTGACTAAAATTCATGAACGTATTCAAGAAAATCTTGCAGTTTTGGCAAACTTTAAAGATTTGCGTGAAGATGGATTTACTCGTGAAGATTATCTCAATTTGTTAAAGACTGACTTGTCACTCTATTATGGTTACAACTCTGAATTGATTGACGTTTTTGCTTCAATGTTTTCTTTACCTGAATTAATTGAATTTTTGGAAGCTAACGAAAAGCCACGTCCTCTTACAATCAGAAGTAACATTTTGAAAACAAGAAGAAGAGAACTTGCTCAAAATTTGATTAATCGTGGTATTAACTTGGATCCTCTTGATAAGTGGTCAAAGGCTGGTTTGAAGATTTATGATGCTAACGTACCAGTCGGTGCCACTCCTGAATATTTGGCTGGTCATTACATGTTACAAGGTGCTTCATCATTCTTGCCTGTCATGGCTCTTGCTCCAAAAGAAAATGAAAAAGTTATTGATATGGCTGCTGCTCCTGGTGGTAAGACAACATACTTATCAGCCCTCATGAAGAATACTGGTGTCATTTTTGCTAATGATGTCAATGTAGATCGTACAAAGGCCTTAATAGCAAATATTCACCGTATGGGTTGTCGTAATTGTATTGTTGCCAATTATGATGGTCGTGATATGCCACAAATTTTACCAACTAAGGTTGACCGTGTCTTGCTTGATGCTCCTTGTACTGGTTTGGGTGTTATTTCACGTGATCCTTCGATAAAATCTCAAAAGGGTAAGAAGGATATTGAACTTTTGTGTAAATTGCAAAGAGAATTAATTTTGGCTGCCATTGATTGTGTTGATGCTGATTCTGAAACTGGTGGTTATATTGTATATTCTACTTGTAGTGTCAGTGTTGATGAAAATGAAGCTGTTGTCAATTATGCTCTCAAGAAGAGACATGTCAAGATTGTTCCAACTGGTCTTCAATTTGGTACTCCAGGTTTTATTAAGATTGGTGAACGTCATTTCGATCCAAGCTTGAAATTAACCATGCGTTATTTCCCTCATGTTCACAACATGGATGGTTTCTATGTTTGTAAATTGAAAAAGTTGAAGAATGGTAAGAAACTTTCTGAAGAAGAACAAGTTCGTGAAGAAAAGAATGAACAAAGGATTCAAAAAGACAAGTCTGATGAAAAGAATCGTAGAATTAGAGATCAAAAGGATAGAGAAGATAAGAATAAGAAATTATTGGAAGAAGCCATTAAACTTGCCAATGGTAACGAGCAAGCAGGTATTGAGCTTTTCCAAAAGAGAAAGGAAGAATTGTCACTGAGCCGAAAGAAATTCAAGACAAACAAACGTTCAGAAGACAAGTTTAGACCAATACACGAGAGAAAGAAGAGTGGAAACAGAAAGCAAAAGGGAGAAAATATGAATTACGTATAAATTATCTTTCTTTAACACCTTATTTACTCAATTTTTCTAGGATTTCAATCATCGGAGTTTAATCTTTCTTTAAAAAATTGCCCTCACTTGGAACTAGAAGATTTTTTCATTGTTGTTTGGAATATTCAAGAATAATTACGAGAGACGTATTACTATTATTATTGGAGGATAATTGGAGTTCTTTGATCCAACACAAAGTCATCAAAAAATCATCAACCACTTACTTTTTAAATATTCAATAATAATGAATCAATCGAATGCCTATCACTATATGTTTAAATTTATAATTATTGGAGATTCTGGTGTCGGAAAATCCTGTATTCTGTTACAATTTACTGACGACAGGTTTGATGCCAGATCCGAATGTACAATAGGTGTAGAATTTGGAACAAAAACCATTGATCTCGGATCAAAATATAATCACTTGAAAATCAAGACACAAATATGGGATACAGCTGGTCAAGAAGGTAAGTAGAAAGATTTAAAAATTTAATTGACCAACACTAATGAAAAGCTTTTAGATCGTATGTAGAAATGATTTTATTTGTTATTAATTAATAATTGATTTATTTAATATGGTGGATTTGTTTTTGAAATTGTAAAATAGTATTGCAAGATCGTAGGTTTTAATTTGATATTTATTATTAAAATTCAATGTATGGATTTTGAATAGTTATTATCGTGGATCTGCTTGTGCTTTTTTAGTTTATGATATTACGAGAAGGAGTACTTTTCAATCAGTTCAAACGTGGTTAACTGATGCTCTCAGCAACAGTTCAAATCATTCCCAATTGGTTGTTGTTCTCGTTGGAAACAAGTCTGATTTAAAATCTCAAAGACAAGTTTCATATAAGGAAGGTTTAGAATTTGCAGAAAAGAATAACATTCACATATTTATGGAAACATCAGCAAAAACAGCAGAAAATATACACAAATCATTTTATGAAAGTGCAGAGATAATTTATAGAAAGGTTTTAAATCATGAAATAATGGTTGGATTTGATGATGATGTTGTTGGTTCTGGTGTTAAGGGTGGAGTGCTTTTGGCCAACCAACAATCGAATATGTCCACAACCCCTTCGAATACAAATCGAGTGAGAGGAAGTGATTTAGCAAATCAAACCTCTCCTCAAAAAACAGAAAAGAAAGAAGGGTGTTGTGGTGGAAAGTAATTACATTCACAACGTCTTATTCGAGTCAATACAGCTCTTTCCAATTAATTTTGGAATAGCCTTATTTATTTTTGAGATTTGTAAAACAAGAATTCCATAAACAGTTAATTGTTTGTTTATTTGAAAAAATCATCATCCTCATCATCATCATCTTCGTCATCATTGTCATCATCATCATCACTGTCAAATGAACTCTTCTTTCTTTGAATTTTTACTTTGGTCGATCCACTTCCGGACATTTGTTCCAACATTTTAACCAAGAGTTCTTCATTAATTTTACCTGGAAGTTTTCCACCTTGTGCCAATTTAATTGCATAATCCTCGAATGCTCTTGCTCTTTCTGGTCTTACAAGGAAAATTCTATTCACTATTATTTTTAATAATATTAATAATTATTTGATCAAAAATATTCCGACATTCATCAATGGTGTGCTAACTTACATCTTTCTCTGGCATCGTGTTCAAGAATTTGAGAGAGAATAGCTCTTCTCTTTTCTTCGGCCTCTTCCATGGCCTTCTTTTGTTGTTCTTGTTGTTTGGCTCTTTCTTCTTCGTTTTGTGGTTGTTGCATTTTTTATGATTTTACTACAATGTCTGACATTGTTATGTGGGGAAGCTAGATACAAGATAAACTTGGTTACATTTCATAATCTTCTTCTTGTTCTTCTTCATCTTGAGGAACGGATTCTTCTAATTTCAATAATTCCTGACGAGCAATTTCATTAAATCTATTCAATGAGAGAGCTTTGTGAAAACATTGGAATGCATCTTCGAATCGTTGTTGTAGGAGGTATATTTGACCTAACTTGGTTTGAATAATGTCAGTATTTTGTTTAAGGTTTGGAGATTGAAGAGTTTTGATTGCTGAATCAAAATGTTGTCTCTTAATATCTAATTCAACTTTGCCTAATAGTGCCTCTTCCATTCCAAATTCATTCTTTGTTTCTTGGCAGATTTTTAGAGCAGACTCGAATTCTTTTTGAGCATTATCATGAAATTCTTCCTTCATTGTATATACACTTCCAAGAAGAATGTGAGGTTTGTAATCAAACTTTCCATGGTAAATTTTTTGAGCAGAGAGAGCAATATTCAAGGCATCTTGAAAATGTTGTGGAATTGATAGGTGAGCCTTAACTAGCCCTTGATAGATACGAATGTCTGTTGAGATTTTTTTGGCTTGTTTGTAAATGAGAATGGCCTTGTTGTGTTGTTGAGCCATTAATAATAAATGACCTTTCCAAAGATAGGCTAGAATGAATGAGGGATTCAATTCGAGTGCTTTGTCAACAGCACGAATAGCCATTTCCATATTTTGTTGTAAAGAATTCTTATTAGATTCACTTTCATCAGAAACTACACTAAATAAGGTGGTTCTAGATGTGTAATAAATAGCAAGAACTAACCAGCATTCTGAGGAACCCTTATTTGTTTTAAGTAATCTGGTTGATAAACTTTGTAACTCTATAGGGTGTCCAGTTGTTTGTAAAAGAGTGGCAAATGTACTAGATTTACAATCTGTGTACGCATCCATTTTGTAACATTTTTTGAATAATTCAATAGCCTCATCATACTTGGATAATTGATCATAGCATTCAGCCAAATTCAATTTTAGCTCAACATTATTAGGGAATGATTTTTCCAAAGATTTGAGAGATTGAATTAACTTTTCATGTTGGTTATTGTGAGAATAATATTTGACATCTACCAATTTAGCTAACCAATCTTCTTTTTTGTAATAATCAGTGAGATTTTTCTTCTTGTCTTCTGGAAGTCCTAACTTGATCAATTTTTCTACTGCAGAAATTGAATATCTGTCCAATCTTAAAACATCTTGATAGCAAGCTACAGCCTCTCTACTTTTATCATTTTTCATGTAGATATCTCCCAATTTCATACAATTTTTAACATTTCTAAATTCTTTTGGAATTGATTTTAAATGAATTTCTGCCTCATCATCCAAATTAATTTTCAAACAAGCATCGGCAAGCAGTTCACAAATGTAATAGTGCTTCTTTTGGTCTTCTTGAGTTTTTGATGATAAGTTCTCCAAAATATAGGATGATATTGCAGATGCCTGAGCCAGATAATGCTAAAATTGATTCCAATAAAAATTGATTCTATTAATTAAACAAACCTTTGCCTTTACAAATTCGTTATTTCCAAAAAGTGCTCTCGAATAGCTTACAATTAAATCAACAAATATTTGCAACATTTCCACTTCCTCTTGAGGAGAATTGCTTTTACAATTTTCTTTAAACGATACAAGAACAACATTGGCCAATGTATCAACACAATATTCAGGTGATGAAAAATTCCAAGATGATTGATAGGGCGAAATATTCGAATCAGTTGACGGAGAACCTTTCACAATAGAATTGAAACAGGCACTAATCATTAATGTCCCAATCTCACAGGCACTATCATAAAATTCATTATGTATTTGTTGATTTAATTTCTTGATAATAACTTTAAAGTTTTCCTTTCCGAAGAGCTGGTTCATACCTGATGGAGAAGGAATGTTGGATGATGATATTTGTGTTGGCATTTTTTTAATTTTTTGGCGGCAAAATTTTTATTATTGAGAAGACTCTCCATCATCGATACAAGCTCTTACATAGTGTTCAGAGAGTAATGACATGCATTCATCCAGAAGTAAGGATGAATCCCCTTCAAATACTTCTTTTGAATAATTCTCACAATCTTCATATTGGGATGGGGTAAGGTAGTATTTGTTAGAAAATCCTTTTTGATGAATATGAGGGGAGTGGGAAATTTTCAAAACTTGAACCAAACATGCTAGAGTCATTCCAGAAGAGTCTCTATGATTGAGAGATTTCTTACTATGAATAATAGAGAGTAAGGATTCTAATACATCATTTAAAGTATTACCCTTTACCTTTACAAATTTTGTAAAAATTTCAGTAAGAGCACTACACAAGTCAAATTCACATTTAAATAAAGTGAAAAAGTTTTCCAATATCATTAGTTTGAATATTGGTTTTACATTTTCATCAAATAAGAGTCTAAATTCATGTTTTGAGACTCTACTATGTTTTTGATTTAACATGTGATAGAGACAAGAAATTATCTTGGAAACATTATTGATATTATTTGTGAGTTCTTCTGAAATCTTTAAATCCTCTTCTTCAGTACTATCCATCAATCCAAAAACATATTCATTAATAGATTCCAAAACACTCTTCTCAGTTTCATATTTTTGAACATAGAGTCTAATATTGAGATTATTATTCTTAGCATCTGATGCTTGATCAATATATTCTATTGATTCATTAAAAAACAAAGTGGCATAATATCTTAAAATAGAAGCAGCCATTTCAAAATCCAAGTTTGGCATAATATGACGAGAGATGGAAAAATCTGTTTGAAATTCTCCTTTTACATTTTCTATTATAATATTTCTATCAGAACTTCTATAATTAAAATAAGGGGATTTTGAAACATTCATATTAAATCCAAAATATAAATTTTCCCTCATTTTAGGTTGTAAATAAATCCAAATTATATCCTCCAAATAATCTAAAATATCTTTAATATCATTATCCTCAAGTGTAAATATTTTCTTTCCATTTTTAATATGTGACTGAAATACAATTAATAAATTTTCCCAAACACTCTTCAATAATGCCCTATCGGGAACAGTGTATTTTGTACAGTCTCCACTCTCTGCTGATGATGACTTTGTTCTCAAACGAACTAAAAGTAGAGAAAGATAGGCACTAGATGCCTGTACATCGGAACGAGCACTTGTAATAAAGAATTTGTCTGTTGGTTGAATTACAGTAAAGACAACATTTTCTTTGTTAGTGTTTGTTGATGACATTTTTTATTTCATATTATTTCGTTTCATTGTCAGTTATTATTATTTTTCGATTAAATGAAAACAACTTATTGGTCAATCGAAAAGTTTTTTTGATCTCTGTTCTAAACTCACAATCAATTGTTTTATGGGTGCCATTTAATAACAGTTTCTTGTTGGGGAGCCGAAAAGAGTTTTGGAATATGAGTAGAATTCTGGTAAGAGTTTCCCCATCCAATTTGCTCATTTGCTTAACTCAAAAGAAAAACCGTTAATTCTTGTTAACTCGAAATATGTACATGTTTTATTAACAAACCAGCAGGGAAAATTGGTCTGTTTTGGATTCGGTTGGTGAGGAATTAGGGGAAGAAGTACTGGAAGATGATTCGGTAAAGGAATAGTTGGCATGTTCACGAAGTAATCGTTGAAGCTCTTCAAAATCAGAACACACAGTGAGATTATGATAAGTTTGAGAAACTAAGGTATTGGATTTTTTGGATTTAGAACTTGATTTGCTATTAAACAAGTTCTTCTTATAGTACACCCTAATACGCAAACAATGTATTTTGGTATTTTGACAAAGCGTCAGTGCTTCACCATACTCAGATTGTGATGAAAACTCTTTCCAAGAGTCATCGCTACTTAGGTATTTAAGAATAATATTATTCTTCTTTTCAATGCATGAATTGGTCTTTAAAGGTAACACAGAGTCACTGAGATGGTGACTGACTTTTGAGTCCTTTGCAAGACTAAGCATTATCTGATTATAAAACTCGTCATAAGATTGAGGAAGAGCAATCTTTCTAATTTCTTCGTGTTTTGGAGTACCAACAGATTCTGTTTTGGAATCTGATCTGCTTTTTTTTACGTAAAAATAAACCTTGCCATACAGTTTAGGAGCCGCATTTTCGTTTTGCATCATTGTATTGATTTTGAAAAAAATAGTAACGGTAAAGTGTTACGACAAAGCGAAGGTAGTCAGCGCTAAAATGTTGCTAGTATCGGCAATAGGCCACGTGAATTTTTTTTAAAGAATTTGAGGGTTATCGTTGGGTTATTTTTAATTTATGTTTCGATATTTTTAGATCGTCCAACCAAAAAACGCCCCTAACAACATTTTACAATGCCCATTTATTTGCCAAGTTGAAGGTCTTGCGTGTATTCTGAAATGCACAACAAAATAAGCGTTTTGAACAGATTACGTTTATTTTACTGATTCAAATAACTTTTAATCAGCATACAATACCAGAGCAACACGTTCCTTATAAACTTGTCTAACATTTTCAATAACAGATTCAGAAGCAAAAATTCCACCAATAGACTCTTCTACAATTCTAATCAATTCAAAAAGTGAAGCATTAACCTCTCCACTTGGTTCAAACTTTAATTCATGTCTCTCATTATGAATTTTATCAATAATTTGAATAGCTTGTAAATATTCCTTTTCTAAACTAGTTTGAAACACTCCTCTGTCATCTGTATTGATTGAAATTGGATGATTTGAGAGGTAGTACATGACTAATGGATGTTCATGGAGATTATTCACTGATTTACTCATCAAGTTTGATGTTAAATTAATTTCAACTGGAATTTTTTCAAAGAGACTATCGTCCTCCTTATCATAATAATTGTCAACTTTTAAAATTTGTTTCAATTCGTCATTCAAACAAACTCCATGTCCCAATCTGAATTTTAACTTTCCAACAAATTTGCTACAATGTTGTAACATTAATTTTGATTCTTCATAATTATCAATTTCTGCAAAATGAATAGTTTGGTGCATATTACACTCTTCGAATAACTTTAAGAATGCAGAAAAGTTTCCTTTAAAATTTTAAACTTTCTAAATATTTTCAAGAAGAGTAACCTACCTTTATAAGGATTTCCAGAAAGATCCAATCCAACAATACCACTACTTTTAAATATTTTTCCATTATTAATTTGCTCCTTTCTTTCATTTACAAGTTCTTGCATGACATTTACTGTTTCTCTTGCAAGTTCAATATTTTCTTCCCTGTTGACACTTACAAGCAAGCCTACATCAACAAAATTATGTTCCCTTGTATTTAAAAAGTTTTCAATAGTGTCAATAACACATTGTAAATATTGTTTCTTTGTATAATTTGCATCACTTTTTGGAGTTGTTCTCAATTCCAAATAAATAGTATTTTCATTGTCGTAATCTTCTAGTATTTCGGTTGTGATTCGTTCTAATATTCTCAAATCTCCACAAGTTACAGAATTGATTATTTTAAATATGTCAAAACATTGTTTTAAATTTCTATTATCTCCTTCAGTTAATTTGACTTGGGTGATGATTTCTTCAGGATTTGGATAAATTTCTGGATGTAATTTAATTAATTCATAAATTGTATCGGAACGAATACATCCTCCAATATGTGTATGAAGATCAATCTTTGGGAGAAGTTGAATGATGGCTCTGATTCGTTTCTCATCTAACATTTTATAAAAAGATATTTTTTAATCTGATTATTACTTTTCAACATTGCACATTCTTGCATAGATTTGAATTTACATTTTAAAAAATGTTAGAAAACAATGAAGAACTTTGTTTACCAACTCCTCTCCCTTCCAATAAAAAGTATCAGAGTAATCTTTCGGAAATTTTGTTATTTAATTTTGAAGAGTGGTTTTTACTATTAGATAAACTTTCCTCCAGAGAGAAAGAATTTAAAGGATTTTGGGCCCAAAATGTTATTTCATTTGAGTTATCCCAAAATGAAATGGTTGCCATTACAATGGCCTATCAAAGACTTCACTTGGGAGAAGATTTTACAGATCTCATCAACAAATATTTACATAACTTGAAAGAAAGGCTTGATCAAGCTTTATTGAATGAAACCATTTCATACTTTGTTAGATGTGGACCGAGATCCCCTAAAGATTCTAGAGGTAAGTTAAAACACAAACCGTCGTTAATGGTTTTCACAGGAGGTATTCCAGAAATTTCATTTTCAACTCAAGTACTAAATCTACTAATCGAATCAGAGAGAGTATTCAAAGATATTCACCTCTACTTGGAAAATAGAACAGAATTATTAGAGAGAAACAAGTATAACTTTTTTGTACACTTAATACCATGGAGAAATTTCAAGAAGGAAAATGAATTGAGATGTTTTTTCTTTAAGAAAAATCTTGTAGCCATCACTCAATATGACGTTCAACTCAACTACCCATTCAAAGGAAAGGAGAATATTTGTGTTAAAATCATTCAAAAATTAATGAATATGCATCATGGAATTTTGAAAAGTGTAATTCCTTATGAAAATTTTGTAATGGATGTTGAAATTTCGACAGATACCAATAGTATATACATTATTGAATTTAATCCCTATGGGAAAGATGGCACAACTGGACCAGTCCATTTCAATTGGAAACAGGATGAAAATATTCTCTTTCCTGAAACTTTCAATAATGATGTTCACTTTAGATTTTCCCCTCATTTAACATCTAGATTTGAGGAAATTGTTATACATTCCTCAAACTACTCACTTGACAATTTCCTAATCAAACCATTTCCTAAACATGAAAGTAAGGTAATTTCTAATTTTTCTCTTCCTAAGGAGGTGAGTGAAAGTTTTCTTGAGTTTTTACAATAAAAGTTTATCTAAGATTTAGAATTTTTTTATAATTGTAATAATAAATGTTTAGAATTTTCAAAATTTCCTTATTAATTATTTATAAAATTTTTATTGTTGAGATTTCTTTTTTTGCAAAATTTCATTTTCCACTCTAAGTTTTTGAATGAGAGCCTTCTTCTTTTCAACTTGAGATTTAAGATGGCCTTCCAATTGAGCCTTTTCCTTTCTAACAGTTGTACGTGGATTCTTACCGTTCTTTTCTGGTGGAATCCATTCAATAGTACCAGTCGTACTAATATTCTTAGCCAAGTTATCAAGATAGTATTTGGTATTATCGATTTGTTGAGATTTAGTCAACATAATTTCTGTACGTTCCCTCAAATTGTGTTTTGTTGTTACATTTGGAAGTTCAATTTGATTCAAAAGATTTCCTTGTTCTAGAGAACCACCAGTGTATGAAAGTAATCCCAAGAAACGAGCCTTCTTAACTTCAGTTTCAATTCTCTTGTGAGTTCTTCTACGAACACCAGTAAATCTCTTTGGAATGATACGACCAGATTGAGAAACAAACTTGAGAAGGAGGGATGGATTCTTATAAGAAATCTTTTCAATGTAATGTTGATTATTACCGAATGGATCTGGTGGACGTGTCTTAAATTGTGGTAATTGATGCAATTGATATTCCATCATCTTACGATGTTGCATATCATCACCAGTTAATTTACCTTCTCTCCAATCTTGAACAACATCAGTGAATTGAGAGATGGTATTCATAAATTCTGTATGACCAGTTGGTGGTTTGTTATATAACCAGCCAGCTGTATTGGCATTTGTTGGAGTCTTTAAATCATGATTAAAAACATCGCTGTCGGCTCTTTCTATAAAACGATAATAATCATACCAAGTACTAGCTTGTCCAGACATACTGGAACGTTCTTCGCTTGATTGAGATTTTGTTTGAGCGTAGAAAGGACTCTCGGGGTTAATTTGTTTAGAAGTACTCTTTCTTGTAGCAGCTTCATAAACATCAGAACCATCATAGTTAGCTCTTCCACCTCTAATTTTTGTAATATTGTCTTCAATGAGTTTGTGCATATCCTTGGCAGATAACTTCTTTTTAGACAATCTTCTCTTTGCTGCTTCATCCAAATGTAAAGTTCTTACGCTATCATTTTTACAAATATTTTGATGGAAGAATTGTTGTTGTTGGCTATTAGAGGTAATAAAAACAACTTGTTGTAAGAGAGGAGACTTGGTACTGCTTCCCTTCAATGGCACTATTACTGTTGGGAAAACAAGTCTTTTCATTTTTTTAAAACATTAAAATTTTTTTTAAATTTAATTCCTTGTTTGCTGTGATTCCTTCGCTTGCTAATGATCTAATTAATATTAATTTCTTTGCTAAATAATAATCATGTTACTAGTAGGAGAAATGGTAAGATATGTTATTAATAAAAACAATTTGAATTTTAATAATTATTTTTAATTTTTTATTACCAGTATTGATTACCATTCACTATTTTGATTGGTTGGTTGATAGTTTTGTTGAAGTCCTCTCTTACATTCATTCAATGTGTCAAAAGCATATTGGCATGAAGAAATATTATTTGATGACTGTTCCAAACATTGAGAGAAAGCTTGCATTTGAGAGAAACACTTTTGCATTTCTTGTTGAGAATATTGTGGTTGTTCTGAAGAGTCCTTTGATCCACCAGTGAAAGAATCATAGATAGCATGACCAATCATGTTACCAACAACAGCACCAGCAATATTTGAAACTAATCCGGAACCCATTCCACCAGAGCTAGCCATTTGTGGTTGAGCAGTTGGTTGTGGAGTGGTATGTGATTGGTGTGGAGCTTGTTGTTGTGGGGTTGAAGAATAGTTTCTTTGTGGTGGAGCTTGGGTTTGTGGTTGAGGAGGAGATGACTTTCTGGTTGCGCCAGTGAATCTGCTTTTACGTTGGGCCATTTTTGTATTAGTTAATATTTTTTTTGATTATTAAATGATTGAGGATCTGGAATCGTGTTTTAAATAACCATTGTTAAATTCCGATAAGTGTTATTAATAAACTGTTGGACCAAATCAATTTTGATTAGGCGCATTAATTATTATTGATTTTATTAATGTTCTAAATGAAATACATTCCGTTTTATTGTTTTATTAATTTCATAATTGTTTACTTTTATTTTTTGTGTGCAAATACAAAACTTTCTTTTATTTATTAATATATTTAAAATTTAACAATTATTTTTATTATTGTTATTAGATGCACATAAAGAGAAAAGTTGTTTAACAATATTATTTTATTTAAATAATTTATTATTTAATAATAAAACTTTATATTTGCACAAACAAAACCCGCCAGTTGCAAAAGTTAGAAAAAAATGAGTGATCATCTGTCTAGTCATCATGCGGCTGGATCGCAAACATCACCATCATCATCAATATTTGAATCATTTTATAGAAAATTCGAATCATTACGGAGGTCTAATGGTATGTAGTGTGATCATTAGGAATATTTTAAACAATGCTAATCCGAACATGTTGTTATTATTGTTGTTAATATCAAATAGATATAATCAACTTAACAAAAGTCTTAACAGAACTAAGAGACATTCTTGAAAGTGCCTCTCTATCAGAATGCTTTGAATTTTCTTCTATATTATTACGTCCACTTGTGGAATTTCTCAATGAAGGTACAACACCAAAATTTAAGAAGGATGACAAGGAACATCTTCTCAGACAAGTAATAATAGAAATTATACAAAAACTTCCACATACAGAGGTTAGTATTGAACTTTAAACTATCAACTAATGTGATTAATAGTTATTTGATGAAAGAGCTGGGAAAAAAGATGATTTAGTACTTTTAGTCAATTCTCTTATTAATGTCATCAAGACAGATAATGAAATCAATGGAGTGGTGGCTATTAGATTAATAATCGAAATTCAAAAATGTTTCAAATCAAACATTACAGACTTTGTTCAACCTCTTATTGAAATATTCCTACATTTTTTCGGAAATTTTGAAAAGATTGTTGAGAAATATTTAGGAAGAAAACCAAAGAAAAATGCATCAGACCCAACAGTGGAAGGAGAATCATACCCTTTAACAGAATTGGATTTAATACCTTCCATGGATAGTTGTAAATTAATGTTAGAGTTACCAGTATTTATTATATTCTTCTTCCGTACATTAACAATCAAAGATACAAATAATAATATTTTTATCAAATTGGTTGAAAAGATGTATGATATTTTAAGATATGAAGTATCAGTTTCTGATTCAGTAATGTCATCTCCATTTGGAAAAGAAAGAGTTGAAGATTTCATGTTATTGAGGGTTAAAACTATTTCATTTTTGATTTATACCTCTTCTAAATATAAGAATAATGATAATTATACAACGGAAATACCTAGATTTGTTATTAAATGTCTTAGGGAATGTCCAGACGAATGTATAGCTCCAAGAAAGGAAATGCTTTCACTAATGAGACATATTGTTGAAAGACAAAATGATGATTCTAATACTATTTGCAAATATTTTTTACCTTACATGAATGAAATGTTGGATGATACTATTTTAATTGGTAAAAGTAGATCTGCTCAAGAAACAGTAAGATCATCTGCTTATTCAACAGTTCTAGAAATATTGAAAAATCAATTGAAAAATATTGAATTTTCTCCTTCTAATATTGCTTCATGCATTTTATTTTGTACTAAGGTATTATTTGATTCATCTTTAGGAATTACAATTCATGGTTTAGCAACAGGATTGCTAGTAGCATTAACTCAAAATGTTTTTGATCAAATAAGAAAGATATCTGGAGTTTCAGATCCATCTGGTGATGTCTGTGCTGCCTTGTCTGGTATTTCAGAAGAGTCACTTTCACAAATCACCAAATTTAAGGATCATTTGTTGAGTATTATTCAAACATTTGTTCAAAAGATTAAGTTCATTTCTAATTTTATCAAAAAGATAATACAATATAAGAATATTCAAAAATCTTCAACATTGAACGAAAAGGAACAAACTGATGATATGACAATGATTTTACCATTTAGTCCATACAAATCATGTGAAAATTTTAATGATGATATTTCTTATTGCTCCATGATGTTTAAACAAATAATTTTTGGTTTAAAGTCAACAGTACTTCTATATAATATGATACCAAGAAATGAGAAACAAAAATTCCCAGAATTATCAGTATTATCTAAACTTTTTAGATATGGATTGGATTGTTTCGATATTTTCAATTTATATTCAGAAGATACAGAATATGGTCAAAAGCAACGAGTATTAGATGAAAAGGAAATATTTAATAACTATTCATCTTTATATACATCACTACCTTCGGCTTTATTTACAGAAATATTCAAAACTCAATTTGATTATCTATACAAAAAATTATTAGAAGGAAGAACAATGACATTTATCCATATTCCATCAAATATTCTCTCATCTTCTCAACATATTGCTTCAATTCTCTCAGAGATACTCTTAAAATTTTTACTGAAAAGAATGGATAGAATACCAAAAGATCGTAAAGAGGCTTATTATATTCACAACCTATACAAATTAGTATTTGGTTCAGTGGTAACATTCCCTAAGAATGAATCTATTTTAAAAAATCAAATGACCTCGATTGTTACATCATGTTTCAGTTATGCATCTAAATATAAGGATTGTTTAGATTATTATCTAATTTTAAGATCTTTATTCAGTTCAATCCTTACAGCTAAATTTGATTTACTTTGCAAGGAATTCAGTCAATTACTTCCAACAGTTTTGGAAAAATTGTCTGATTTGGTAAATAATGCTCATGACAAGGAAACAAGGAATATATTTGTAGAGCTTTGTCTAACAGTTCCTTCCAAGTTACACGTTTTATGCCCTTATCTTTATTTATTAATCAAACCAATACTGTATGCTTTAGAGCCTGGTTCAAGTGAGAAGGCTGTTAGTGCAGCTTTAAGAAATCTGGATTTGTGGGTTACTAGTTTACGTAATGAATCATTAGAAGCCATTCTTAAACCTGTTATACCAGATTTACTTAAAGCACTATTCTCTCATTTGAAACCTCCTCCATACCCTCATGGATCTGCAGTAATGAAATTATTAGCTAAGTTGGGTGGTAGTCACAGACAATATATGAGTGAATTAACTTCAGTTAGTGTCAAGTCACCAAATGCTTTATTCCTAAATATTAATTTTAATTCTAATCAAACGGAATCATTACCAATGGATGAATTGGTTGATACTTCAATTGAAATTTGTTTCGATAAGGATCAAGATGTACAAACAAAAAAGAGTGCATTTGATTTTTTGAAAACATCATTACTTACTATGATGTCATGTACAGAGCAAAGTCTAGCTATACCAAATGATTTCAAATTTAGTTTTAAACATATTAACCCTAAAAAGTATTTCCACATTTCTGCATCATCACCAAAAAGTTGTGATCCCTTCCAAAATATTTTAGATGTTTTGGAGCCAAAAGGATCAATGCTTTATGAAAGTGAAATTGCCATATTTACCAAAATTTTGAAAAATATCTTCTTATTTATGAACTATGCTGTAAAGGAAAATCTGGTTGAATGTATAGAATTTACCAAATCCTTGATCAAACACTTTGCAATTTTATCAATATTTGTGAATATTAATGTTGAACAAGCTTCAAAGTTTAGAATTAATCCTGATTGGTTCTATGAAGTTTTAATGAGTGTTTTTGAAGAGGATTGTACAGAAACATCTCCATCTGTTAATGTAGGAGATTTTATCTTGTACATATTTACAGATTATGTTTATGAATTGTGTGATAATGATGCTGATATGGTAATTCAATTTGGTATTTGGGAAAGACTTCAATCAAGATTCACCAAATACCTATATCAACCTGAATGGTATAAGAAATGTGTTGGTGCAAAAGGTATAATCTTCTTAAGTGAAAATATTACACCAGCTTGGTTGGTTCATTATGAAGCTGATATTGTTCGTGCTCTATTCTTTTCACTGAAGAATCAACCTCCACATATGCTTTCTCATACCAATCAAATAACAATCATGGCAGCAGAGAGTATTATCAAAGCATGTTATAATACAGCTATCTTTGATATTACACATCTTTGCAATGGTCAAATCAACGAAAAGATTGTAAAGGTTGATAATGCACCAGATTCTCTTACAGAAGGAGAAGTTGTAGTTCATGTTGAAAAAGTTGGAAGAGAATCTATATTCAGAAAGCGTTTGATTCTTCATTTGCTTTACACTGAATTGACTAGTACTCAATCTCATATTCGTAGATTGGCTCAATCACTCCTAAGATTATGTTCAGAATTAATGAACATTCCAGTTCTAGTAATACTTGAAAGGTTTAGACAAGAATTGCCTATTAAAGATGAAAAGCAAGCTAAGGATTTGTCTCAAATTACAGTTATGCTTGAACTTTTGGTCTTCCAATTGGCAACAAGGGATTCTAATCTTACAGGTTCCACTATTTCTGTAGCGTTTAATAAGGCTTTGACATTACTAAGAAATGATGATTATGGGAAGGAGACAAAGGATCAAAAGAAAATTTTCAATGCAAAAATTGTTGCCTTGAAACTAATTAGAGAAGCTGTCGTAAGCAAAGAATTAAGATATAATGAAAAAGATCAACTCAAGACAATGATTGAAACATTTTGTAAATTCCTTAACGCTCAGAATAAGGAAGTTGTCACTATTGCTAAAACAGCATTAATATCATTCATATCTCAATTTAAAACTCCAAAGGATTCTTTACAACATTCCTTGAGACAAATATCTACAAACTTTCAAAAGCATGCTCACTTTACATTATTATTCCTTCAAGGAGCCTCATTTTTCCTCAAGTTTAACTCTAACATGCAAGGACTCAAATTTGGTCCTAACTTGCTTGATAACCTTAAGAAATGGCTAGATAAATCATCAATCAAGCATATTCAAAATGTTAAAGAAAAACCTCTAGTTGCTGCAGAGATGATATCTTTATTTTCTATTACTGATTCAGCTGAGTTTTTGCCTCAAATAGTTCCTATGGTTCTTCAATTGGAAGCAGTATGGTCAGACGAAATTAAGAGTTCAAATCCATTTATTGCTCCTCTTGCCAAGTATTTGAACATATATTATGAAGATGCTATCAAGTACTTCTTTGATCCAACTAGTGGGTGTTTTGTACTGTCTTCTAAGAGAAACTATCAATTCTTTATGGATATTTTGAAATGCAGAAAATCTATTGAACTTACAGCTCATTTATTGTCCCAATCTAATATTATTTCCAATTTATTGTCAAACATTACCAAATTAGATTTTTATTCAGATAATTTTGCTTCAGATCCAAATAATGTTCTGACACTAGTTGGTAGCATTACAAAATTATCTCCAGGTTGGTTTACTAAAAAGAAACCAGTATTCGATGAGATTTTACGATTATGGCTTATGAATATCAAGTTTGCCAATAGTTTACACAATAGTAATCAGTCGAACCTAGAAATATCTCCATTGTTAGATGTTCAAATAATTAGGTTTACAAGAAAGCTTATCAAATTTATTATTAATTATTGTGATTGTAATTCAAATGAGGTTATATCACTCTTTGAAATTGTCAAGGTATTTGGATGTGGGCTTGTAATGGATTTGACTTTTGTTAAAGATTATTTCAGAACAAAAGTTGGTTTGGAGTATTCCACTGAAAGAAAGGAAGAGATATTACAAAACTTTTGTGCATTGTTTAAACGTGATGAAATTTCTTTCCATTTGAAGTCTGATGCACTTAAACATATTGTTATACCAATAGTTAATGGTGCTGCTAAATCTGGTACTGTTTTTAATGTAAAAATTATGGGAATGTTATTTGAGGAAATTTTGCAAACATTACCACAATCATTAGCCAAGTTAACAGATAAGGAAAAATATTCTTTGAAAGTTGATTTACTACAACTAGCTACCTTGTTTGTAAAATACTTCCCAAAGTCCCATGTAGAGGCTTGTTGGAAGTCAATTGTAAAATTCTCCTATGAAAATTGCATTGTGGATGATATTACTACAAATCAATGTGCTTTTGTTTTGATTTCACACCTGATGAACAAGATAGGATTGCCAGCAAAAGTAGTCCAACAGGTATATATTGCATTCTTAAAGGATTGTAAGAAAGATAGCAAATCTCTTGTTTTACCTGCTTTGGATATGATTATTCAACCGGTTAAGGATGCACAATTACCATCTAATGATTCTAAATTCCCAACCTGGATTAGAGTTACAAAGAAAACCCTATTGGAAGATTCTCCTTCAGCTATTCAACTCTTAAATATTTGGACAATATTTATTAGACATGCAGATTCATTTTATGAATCAAGAGAGTTTTTCATGTCCAAGATGATAAACTCCCTCTCTAAAATTGGATATTCTTCAATGAATTTGGAGAATAAGAAATTATATATACAATTGGTTGATTTAATAATATCTTGGGAAGAGAGGGCAGCTGGTGTTTATCACCCTGAGGATGATAACGACAAGAAGAGAAAAGTAGAGCAATTGGAACAACAAGACACAAATGGATCAAAGAAGAGAAAAGTAGATGAAGCTAGTTCAGTTCAATCCAATAACGGTCCTGTTGATGTGGACACTTTTAGACTTAAGCCTCAATCTAGAAGCATTGTACTTAATTACCTTCTTCGTATGTGTGTATTTGTGAGCTCTTTCCAACCAAGAACAGAAAAACCACAAATACTTTACAAAGAATGTATTAGTATCCTTAAAAGAGCTCTTAATTTGTGGAAGGAGGAAACTATTTCATTTAGTCAAATTGAAAAACAATTTCCTAACTCAGAGGAAGGTTCTTCCACTTTGAATCCAACATCCCTATGTTGTATTCTAGAACTGATGACTTTATTCGTAGAGTTGAATAGAGGAATTATTCAACTAAACGCTCAATTTGCTAAAAAGCTCATTCCATTCTTGGCAAACTCAAATATTGATGTTAACAAGAATGCATGTAAATTCTTCAAGACTTTATTACAACATTTTGATCCTCTAGTTTCAAAAGATACTGACGTTCAGGAGTTTTATTCAGTTATTTGGTCATCAATCAAAGAAACTATTGGTAAATATGCTGGAAAAGAGAATACCAATCAAGTAGATAATTTATCACACATTTACACAGTTGTTGTTGGTTCATTTGGCCATTTATTGCTCTTACATATTCTTTGTGACCATTACCAAAATGAAGAAACAAAACAACAATTTTTTAAACAAGTTTATGGACTTTTAAACAAAATATTGAAGCAAGTTGGACAAGTAGAATGGAAAGATCTTCTTGTTGGTTTTGTTGAACTTTGTCTATCTTTCCTTGTTGATGGTCATGATCCTGTTGGAAAACACTTCCTCTCTGCTATTATCTTCCTTGTTGAAAAACCTGACATTTTGAACATATTCAGTCCTAATCTACTCCATTTAATAATTGATATTGTTTTCCATTTGGTAAAACCAAATCCATCCAATACTATTGTTAGAAGTTATACTCTTCCACTTGGAGATGATTTGAAGATGACGAAGTTAGGAAAACGTGCCTACAAAGTACCAGACCTTCAAAAGGTTGGACTTCTCATCAAATTAGTTACACTTTTTGAGCAAGCTCCTGATGAACTTAATGATTTGAAACGTATTTATTTTACTTTGTTAATGGAAGTTTATCAACAAATGGATGATACCAACTCACCAATATCGAAGAGAATAGAGTTTTGCTTCATGTCTGGACTCAAGATTGAATCAAAGGATCTCAAAGATATCAAGACTAAATACCTATCTATTTTAAATAGAAAAGTCGAAAAAACAGCTTTTAAGAGATTGCAGTTTGTGATTGAGAGTTCAAGATGGGAGCCTTTGAGTGATAGATTCTGGATAAAATATGCTCTAGAACTTTTATTAGAATCAATTAATGGAGAAGAAAAATTGAATTGTGATAAGAATACAGCCAAAATTTCACCAATATCAATTGACTTTGGTAAGAGGGATGGAACAATTTTAAGAGGATATGAAAGAATATCTTATGCGTTAACGCAACACGAGACGTTTGTTAATACTATTCCAAATTTGAAGTCTATTGATATGATAAACCCACTCAAGGTATTAATAAGAGCATCTACAAACATGTCGTTTAAGGCATGGGGAGCCTTTTTCGCAATTGCTTGGAATCAATTAAACATGGAAGAGAAGAGCATTATACAAGGACAATTACAAAAACTTCTCTCCGTAGAGTATCATTCCAAGCAATATGTCAAATATCCTAATGTTATTCAGGCATTATTACTTGGTGTTAATAATGTGGTACTTTGTGGAAAATCAGAAGCACCATTCCTATCAATTCATCCAGAAACCCTCAAATTTATTGGTAAATCTTTTAACGCTTGGTCTTTAACTATACCACTACTTGAAGAAGAATTGAGAGGAATGCTGAACGTTGGCATTTTTGATGAGAAGACAGAAAAAGTATGCAATTCACTTGCAGAACTTTATAGAGTTTTGAAAGAGGATGATATTCTTGCTGGAATTTCTAGATCTTGTGACATTACTGATCAAACAAAATTAGTACTTTCCTTAGAACAAAGGAATAATTGGAATGAAGCACAAGAGGCACTCAAAGAATTGACTAATGCTTATCACCGTGGCCAAATTAAAAAGAAAGTCACACATACTGAATTGCAATTATGGGAGGAACACTGGTTAAGTTGTTCCAAGAAACTTCAACAATGGGACGAACTTACTAAATATTCCCAAGCCTCTTCCAATGCCACATCTCTTCTTAGTTTAGAGTGTATGTGGAAGAATGGAAATTGGCAACAGATGAAAGAACTTTTCCAAAAGCATGCATCAATGGAAAATCAACTTTTAAAATTCTTCCAAATCAGTTGTTTGATAATGCAAGATAAGGAAGTTGAAGCTGGTGAAACGTACATTGTTGCACAACAATTAGCTCTTCAACGTTGGTGTGCACTACCATCGTTCATGTGTGGTAATCACACTTTTATGTTACATATTTTCCAACAATTGTATGAACTCAATGAGTCTGCTACACTCTTAACTGATACCAAGAAACCAATTTCTACCAATGAGTTGAAAGGTTTTTTGACTACTTGGCGTGATAGACTTCCAAACAAATGGGAAGATATAGGTATTTGGAATGATATTTTCACTTGGAGATGTCATATTTTAAAGAAGGCAATCGAAAGATTTGATCAAAAGGAAGAATTTGCACACCATAGAGCCTTATTATTGAATGAAACCATTTGGTCGTTACACAAATTCTCTAAAATCTCTAGAAAACAAAACTTTATTGAGCCTGCATTAAGAATGCTTTCAGAGACAGGTAAATTACTACCAACTCTAACAAGCGAAACAAGTGAAGTGTTTGTTAGAATAATTGAAATAATTAAGAGCTTGATTAAGGATAGAAGATATAATGATGTTTTGGATTATATTGAATCTGATACAATTGCAACAACAAAACTCAAGACAACTCAAAAAATGGAAATTTTGAGGTTGAGAGGGGAAGTATATTCAATTTGTGGTCGTTATGATGAAAGTTACCAAACATATGCTCAATCTGTTTCCTACTTCCCTCAAGAACCAAAATATACCTCTTCAATTACAACAACACCATCATGGGGTAAAAGTTTCTTCAAGTGGGCACTAGTTTTAGACAAGTTATTTGTTGAAAAATGGAATTCACCAAATAGACATCAAAGAACCAAACAAAATTCTACAAAACATCCAACTCTCTCAATGACTGCTTTGGAATTTGCTGAAAATTGTATTGCTGCCTATTTGTTGGCAATTAAATATTCTGGAGGTGCCACTAATCACCAAAGTATTCAGGCCTCAGGTGCTACAGTTAGACAGTATATTGGACGTGTATTGTGGTTATTATCATTTGATGAAGCTCTACCAACAGAAAAATCAAAAGCAACTCAAGAAGCTGTTTATCCACTTCAAAAAGTTGCTGAAAAGACTATTGGTGACATTCCTGCATGGATGTGGATTCCTTGGCATCAACAATTATTCTCCATGCTACATCGTCGTGACTGTGAAGCCAACATTGCCAAACAATTGTTGAAAGCCATTCTCCTCAACTTCCCTCAGTCTTCATTCCATACATTTAGAAGCTTTGTTCATGATTTGAGAGAACTGTTATCTTCTATTACTAAGAAGGTATCCACTAAATCTGATACCGGGGATGCTACAGCACCTGCTACTCTAAGAAGTAATAACTCTAATATTCATGTTTCTATCAAGACTAGTGCTGAATCGTCTCAAAATCATAATCAATTCTATCACGATTTCTTCAAAAAAGTGAGAAGTCGTCTTGATGAAATTATGCAAGAAGGTAATAAGCAATTATTTAATGATTTGGAATCAATGTACAAAGAGTTGACAAAATACAAGTCTGAACCTGAAGAAGAATTAGCCAAATCATTTGAATTAATGTTAGAAATAGCCTTCGGATTTAATATTTATTCAAATCAAGATGCCATGATTCTTGATGATGAGACCCATTTCATTCCTCCTATATTGATAGAGTATTCAAAGAGAATTATTGAATGTTACTTTGGTGATATTATTCAACCTGGAACTGTTCCACAACAACCCCAACCACAACAAGCAAAGACTTCCTTCTTATCAGAATATCAAAGTGAAATTGTAGCTGATATTCTACCAAGAAAAGAAAGACTTGAATATGCCAAGACTTTGAAATATGTAGCTAAAACTATAACTAATCTTGGTCCAAGAACAATAATAGAGCTTGTAAATAACTTGAAGAAATGGATTGGTGTTATTCAAAAGAAGAAAATCAATTTGATTCCAACTATTATTGGTATTGAAACTCAAAAAGCTAAATTAATGGAACACAAATCTTATCCTGATATTGAAATTCCAGGACAATATGAACTCACTAGTGATAGGGAACCATTCGCTGAAAGGCATGAAAGAATTCTTTGTCTTCTTCCGTCAATATCTATGAAGAATAAGAAGAATAGAGAAACTGGTAGAAGTATTTCTTTGAGAAGTGTTTCAGGAAAGATCTTTAAATTCTTTATTCAATCAACCTCTTCTGTTGATGATACTACTCTCAAGACAGAAGAAAAAATGGCCTCTCTCATTAGACATATTAACAGATTGTTAGATAAGGATAAAACTGCAAAGAGTCATAACAATGTTCACTTGGAATATCCTATAATCATTACCGCCAATCAAAGAATTAGATTTATTCGTGAAGATTATGATTATATTTCCTTGGATGAAATATATCATGATTATTGTGAATCCATGGCTAAATCCATTGATACTCCAATACTTAAATATTGGCAAGAAATGAATAAGGCATGTTCTGAGCACCAAAATGAGCTTGAAACAAAATTGAATGTATTTAACACCATTCTTGAATCTAGAGGAAATGATGATTTATCTCTAAAAATTCCTGATACAATAATGCTCAACTACTTTAGAGGTATTTGTCCAAGTTGGAGTGAATTTTACAAGATTCGAAAGACATTTGGTGGCCAATTGGGTATTTATAATGTGTTGAATTATTTACTACATACCAAGGATAGGCAACCATATAAGATTCTCATTGCAAAGAATAGTGGTAATCTTTTCCAATTCGATTTAAGACCTAATATTCAAAAATCTACTGGTTTAATTGTTAGGGATGACCCAACACCTTTTAGACTTACTAGAAATATGATTCAATTCCTCTCTCAATTTGGTGTTGAAGGCTACTTGTTGAATTCAATGTCTTCTGTTGCTTGTTCCCTTTCTGATAACAAGGATGTTTTCGAATCTCTTATTCAATTATTTATTAGAGACGAACTCATCTCTTATCATAACTTTAATGTAGATTTACTCAATAATGAGAGTAGCACTCCAATGGGAGAAAACCGTTTCTGTTTCAATGATGACCTTGTTAAGGGTTGCGTTCAACAAAACCTAGATTCAATTATGGGATTAGTTGCTGAAATGGCTCCACCAATTCCACAAAATTTGACTTGTAATCCACCACAAGTTCTTCCAGCAAAGAAGAAGTCCAAGAAGGAGTCCGTATCTTCAGACACTATTGATAATATTTCTGCTGCTTCTCCAAGTGTTACAACACCATCTACTCCATCTTCTTTCATATCAACTCCAACGATTTCAGCGAGCTCCCAACCTGTTTCTAATATTTTAGACTTGCCACCCCTCAATAGCAAGGTCTATGAACTCATTCAACAAGCTTCACAACCTGAAAGATTATGTTTGAAAGATCCAAGTTATTATGCATGGTTCTAAGTAAATAAAATCAATAAATGATTATGTTGCATGATTCAAATAATTGACTCGGAAATTTTCAAAATATTGAAGTATCAACTAATAGTCAACTCATCCAGTCAATTATGATCATCCTAACAAGTTTGAGCCGCATCATTCAAGTCGGACTTTTGTTTCAAGTATTAATGGTACAAATAAGAGTCCGAACACCAAAAACCCAATAAAAAAAACATGATGCACACCACTACTCCTTGCAAAAGCATGATACTGGATACAAGCGCCTTGTTTACTATCATGCATTATAAATCAGAGAAAGTACACATTCTCAAAACTCCACAAGAAATTGCAGAACAAGTTTCCGATAAAATAATTCAAACAATCAATTCCAATAATTTGAAAGGAAAACCAACAGTATTGTGTCTACCAACTGGTAGTACTCCAATTCTTACCTACAAAGCCCTTGTAGAAAAGTATAAGAAGGGATTGGTATCATTTGAAAATGTTATAACTTTTAATTTGGATGAATATTATCCAATGGAATCAACCCACAAACAATCCTATCATTACTTTATGAATGAAAATTTATTTTCCCATATTAATATCAAGAAGGAAAATATCCATATTCCAGATGGTCAACTCCCAATCGAAAAAGTTGCTCAATTTTGTGAAGATTATGAAAATGAGATTCAGCAATTAGGAGGTTTTGATTTGGCTATTTTGGTATGTTTTTACAATTATCATTACTTCTCATTTTAATCAATTTTATATTAAATACCTTCTTAAATAGGGAATTGGAAGAACTGGTCACATTGGTTTCAATGAACCTGGTAGTCATTTAACAGATGGTACTAGAATGGTCCTATTAGATCAAAAAACCAGACTTGATGCAGCTTCCTCATTCAAAGGAATTCAAAATGTTCCAACCAGAGCAATCACACAAGGTATTAGTACTATTCTCAATTCAAAAGAAATTCTTCTCCTTGCAACTGGTGAATCCAAATCTGAAATTATCAAAAAGGCTATGGAAGACAAATTTGAAGATCCAACAGAATGTCCAGCAACATTTTTACGAGTTCATCCAAATACTCACTATTATTTGGATATTGCTGCTAGTAATTTATTGAAAATTGTTAAAACTCCATGGTTGGTAGATCGTAATTTTAATGATTGGTCATTCGAATGGAAAAAGAAGGCTGTTGTTAATTTGGCAAAAGAAACTCGAAAGGGAATTTGTGAATTGAGTGCTGAAGATTTCTCAAAACATGGGCTCACCAGTTTATTATCTCATGAAAAGTATAACACTGACAAGTTGTGCTTCTCAATTTTCCAAGATTTAATGAAGAGAATTGCCTTTGCTACTGAAAAATCTGACATTGTTCCTGATAACATCAACGATCCAGTTCTCATCTTTTCTCCTCATCCAGATGATGATGTCATTTCTATGGGTGCAATGATGCATTGTATTATTTCTAGAAGAAAGGAGCAATTACCACCAGAACAAAGGGATCAAACTGACATTAATGTCAAAGTTTGTTACATGACTAATGGATCAGTTGCTGTACATGAAAACAATGTAAAGAATCATTTAAGATTCAGCTCTCTAACAAGTGAAACACTTGGAAAGGATTTTATTAACAATCAAGATATTTCTCAAATTTTGGAAAAGAAGGATAAGAATGACCCAGATAGTGAACTGGTACAAAAGTTGAAGGCAAATATCAGAAAAGCTGAAGCTATGGATGCAGTTGATGTGTTGTAAGTACTTCTTTAATCGATTCAATTCTTAATCTTTTTTAGAGGATTGCACGGAGAAAGAGATTGCATATTCCTTGATCTTCCTTTTTATAGAACTGGAAAAGTACAAAAGAAGCCACTTGGACAGGAAGATGTAGATATGGTCAAAGACTTAATTACACAAAGAAAACCAAAACATATCTTTATTGCTGCAGATTTGTCCGATCCTAATGGAACACATCGTGTGGTTTATAGAGCTATCAAGATGGCTCTTGAACAATTGGCAGATCAAGTTAGTGACGTGTTGTGTTGGCTTTACAGAGGAGCTTGGCAAGAATGGGATATTGAGGAAGCAACCTATTTCATTCCATTTACAAAATATCAAATGGATTTGAAGATTGATGCCATTTACAAACATCAATCCCAAAAAGATAGAGCACTCTATCCAGGTGATGATGCTCGTGAATTTTGGCAAAGAGCAAAGGATAGAAATACTGAAACAGCTGTCACTTTAGGTAATTTAGGGTTGCCAAAATTTTGTGGTGTGGAAGCCTATGTTACTGTTAAACCATCACAAATTCCAGAATAAAGCTCAAATAAACTGAACTCAAATATTCAGATCTTTTCAAAAATTTAAGAAAAAATATTATAAATTTATTCACATTAAGGTGAGAAAAGGAAGCCTTCACTAAGGTATTAAATCATTAAATAGCAGCTACCAAAACACCTGGTAAAACTATTTGGCTAATTATTTCTTGTTAGCAACAACAGATACCCAAGAAACTGGTTGATCAGTTGAAGTGGTTGGAGCTAGTACTGGAGTAGCGTTGGTTACATTAATGGATGGAGCTGATGATTCAGTTGTAGCAACATTGGTTTTTGATTGTTGTTTTGGCTCTTTGGTTTCCTTAGTTTCGGATTTTTGAGGCTTGCTATAATGAGGCTTTTGATGTGTAAGAGTATGAGCTGGAGCATTGCTTCCTCTTCTTTTCCTTGACTTGGCAAAGAAATGAGAAGTGGATGGGGTATCAGGTGTCTTGATGTCCTTAGCTGTTATAGCAGCTTCAGCGAATGAAGACTTTGGAATCAACAAGTTGGTTGGCTTAACTGATTGGACAGATGGTGTGGTTCCTTCCTTTTCAGTTTCGAGTGGGAGAGTTTGATTGGCAAGTTGACTCTTATCCATTTGAGGTTTGTGTAACTCTAAATCCTTTTTAGGTTCCTTCAAAATTGCTATACATTCAGTTCCGTTCAAAATTTCTGGTTTGGTATCGTGTTCACCCTTTTCTTGTTGTTCCATATAAACACTCATAACAGTTTGCTTACTATAACGCAAGAACTTTTGATTTCCGTATCCAGCTTGTTCAGTTTCATTCATCTTTGGAAGTGGAGGGAAACTCTTTGTGCTACTCAAGTTCAACATATCTTTACGTGGTCTAGTTTGTTTACTAACATTACTAGCTTGGCTGTTTCTACTACCACTGTTGCTTCTAGTTCTTCCTCCTCGTTGACTAGTTCCCCTATTGTTGTTGTTGTTGTTGTTATTATTGTTTCTATTGCCATTTTGAGAGGATTGAGGTGTAGTAGTGGCGGAAGTTGAAGGAGAAGTTTGTTGTTGTTTGTTGAAACTTCTTTCCTTTGGTTGTTGGCTTCCATTATTTTGATTTGTTCTATTGTTGTTATTGAATTTTCTATTTCCTCTATTGTTATTGTAAGAGTATTGATAACCATTTTGTGGAGTTTGTGGAGTTGGAGTAGTACCAACAGTCTTTAACAAGCTTTCAGTTTTAATTCTTGCCTGTATTGGTTTTTCATCCCATTGTTGAGTCTTTAAGTGTTGAACAGCTTCAATGGTTTTTTCTTCTGTTTCAAATGAAGTGAACCATGTATTTCCAATGTCGCTATGGATATTAACAGGTTGGTTATCATGAGAGAAAAGTTTAAGGATTTCTTCTTTTGGAACATTTTGAGAAATGTCTCGGATAATGACTGTATTTCTCTTCAAGACAATGTTTGGTTTGAGTTTCTTGTTTGCTGCATCAAGAATAACCTGATTCGAGTTCTTTACAGCCTCACAAATCAAATCCAAGTCGTTAGTGAGGGTTTTAATCATTTTGAAATTAGCAATGACAGAAACTGGGACAAAGAGGTCATGACTCATTTGGGAAACCAAATAGTGGTCAGTAGAGAGGTTTTGACGAGAAAAGTAGTATTCAACTTGTTTACAAATGGCTTCTTTCAACTCATCTCTAGTTAATTGTTTCTTTTCAGTTGTTTGCTCAACATTTTCAGTAGCTGGTGTTGCTTGGGTGGATTCGCTTTGTTGACTCATGATGTTGCTCTGTGTGTTTAGAATTCCCTTTTAAAGTCGAGAATAATGATAATGATGTTGTTTTTAAAAAACTCAAAGAGTAATTTGCTCTCCGTAAAAGAATTTGTGCTTTTTAGAAGGAGAGAATGTTGTTTGCTTGCTGTGTCTAACAAGTTAGCCTGCTGATGAGAGATGCAACAAGAGGGAAAAGTATATTTTTTTTGCGTTCTTCTCTCGGAAAACAGAGATGCAAGCTTTTGTTGTTGGCAAGCCTTTGGTTGAGTCGGCAGAGGTTCAGAGTGAAAAGGCTTTACAAAATAATGTTGTTTATCACTGTGGGGAAGATATCTTTGCATTTCCATAGTAGAGATAATCACCTTGTTCTCTTCTAATTGCAACTAAACTACTAAATCTAATTGTTTTACTTTGAGAGAAGAGAATCAATATTCTTCATGAAGTAGTGTTGTCGTGAATCCATTTTAGAGGCTACTGGTTATTGTACATGTTATCTCAAAGTGGATAATGAAATTAGGTAATGCAAACTAGAATCATTTATTAATTTCCTTCTTCTCCAATAATTTCACCTAACGATGGTTCATCGCTGTACAATGCTGATGATGTTGTAGGATTAAAAAAACCTATGTTAATATCCAAAGTTTGAGTCTTTTTAGATAATTCATTCGTTTCCTCGTTTGAAACAATTGAATAGGTTTGTGAATTAATTGGAGGTGTAGAAATTTCCTTAATTTCTACTACATTTGTAACGGAAACTATTTCTTCCTTATTATTTCTTATTGACTGGTTGATTTGAGTAATTTCTTGTTGTTTCATATCATGAGAACTATTGAGGTGATTAACAAATACGTATTCAGAATCTATAGGATCACTTAATTTCTCGAGAGCTATCTCACCACCATTTAACATATTGTGATGTTCAGATTGAGTCTCCATAAATTGTGAAGGTGGAGGAATGATATGCAAATAACCAGTTCCTAATTCTATCCCTAAATGTCCACCATCACTCATGTTCACAACTACATGTCTAAATGAATCTGTTTTCCAATTATAAACAAATAAAGACAAATAAATAGATGATGCTGAAATGCCTTGATAATGGCTCAATAATTCTGTTAGTTCATTTGGCTCAGAGAATAGTCTATTATCATAACCAACAATATAATCAGTTCCGTCAGAAGATATAGAGGCTCTTTCTGCTGGTGAATCAGGTTTAACTCCAATAACATGCCAAACACAATTCAAAGCATTTTTTACCGATTCATACCTAATAGAACATCCTAAATGCATTGCACTTTTTGATTGCTTTAATTTTTCCAAATCATCACTTGTACTATTATTGTGTTCCTCGTTTTGTTGCTGATCATGAGGTTCTATCCAATCCGATCTAGGAATTACTGTTACTAGTCTTTGTTTCATTGTCTTTAGGCTATATACATTCATTTTGAGGGGTTGATTCAAACTTCTGGAAATCTTTTGGGGTTGAAATGATCATTACCTTCGGAATGAATCACTTACATAAGTTAAAAAAAATTGTCTATTCTCCTGTGTAAGATCAATATCGTCCATAGAGAGAATGAAATCAAAATATGGGCAAAGTCCAGCTTTTTCTGCAGGGGAATGGTGAGTTACCGAAATAACTTGGTAACCAAAAATATTTTCAGTTGGAATAGAAGAGTCGACATTGCCCATTTTTTTTAATTTAATTTATTAATATAATTGATCATTCTAATTTATTTACTATCAACTCTATCAAGAGTTGTTTCAGACAAATATAACGAATATATTATTATTGACAGCTACCTCCAGTACAAGATGGACAATTATTACTGAGCTTGGTTAAATCAACAGACATTCCACTCCTTCCAATGATATTTAAATTATTGATTTGTGTAGTATTAGCACCAAAGTTATTTGTGACAAATAGTGTTAGCACACTTATATTCTTAAATTTGGCAATTTTTAGAGGAATGGCAACTTCCTTAACACATTGTTCTGGATCCATTTCAATCACTTGCGTAGGTTCATTGGAATCAACGTTATCAAAATCTATTGAAACGCCATTCTTGTTTGTAAAGACTAAAATTTCTCTTGGGCATTTCAACCTGTCAAGGCATTTGATTATCAAGCAGGTTATATCTACATTACTAATGAATGGAATTCGAATGATAAGTTGCTCATCAACATCAGATTCTAAAAATTTTCTATCACTCAATTCGAATATATTTTGTACAATATTTGGTTTCTTTTGATTTAAACATTCAATTGATTTCATATTTACAATGTTATTCACACTGGTAAAGATATTTTGATTTTCATGTTTTTCAATATTAGAATTATCAAAAAATTGTTTAACCTTTCCACCATCAAACGAATTAAGAAATATTGAAACTTACCTGTGCTTGGTCAATTAAACTTTGCTCGGTTTTCTTTGGTAAGAAATTGCTGAAAAAGCTACCAACACTGGAAGTTCTATTTACCCAAGAAGGAATGTTGGCACCAACCAGTATTTTACATAATTCATTTGAAAAATGATTACAATTTTTCCTTAGAGGATGATATTCTGATGGTTTGAAGCTTGTTTTCAATTGATTAATAATATTATTCAATTCCAAAATCGTTGTATACTCTGTATTTCCCATAAAAATTGATTGCATAAAGGTTGCTCCATTCGGATATTTTGGTTTATGTGATACAACTCCTGCAGTAGTAACCAAAATATTTTCAAAGAGTGAGTTGATTTACCAATTATTGCTTACCTTCAGAAGAGAACATGTATTCCGTATTTCTAATCTCTACACCGGAATGGTAGGTTCCCAAACCAACAGAATTTTGTAAACCAGAGAAAAACCCTTGTTGTTTTTGAAGATCATAAACGTTCAAATACACCTTTAAACCCTCTTCCGAAGAGATCTTTTTGTTTTGAAGCATTTTTTTAAAATGTTATTGTAATAAGATCATATGAATGGATATTGACAATTCCAATCTTAATCAATTTTTATATTGATAATAATTACAATACAGCTCAATTCCAGAGGAGCAATTCAATTTGTCTAATAGATGGTTTGAAGCTTTATTAATTTGGTGTAATTCGGGGTGAGAGGAAACCGAAGCAAAATTGGCGGGAATTTTATTCTGCATATTCGTTGGAACCTGACAGCACAAAATCGTGGTAAAAAACGCTTTCACATTTTCATTTTACTCAACAAAAAACTTGCCAACACTGCTGCTTACGTAAGTCTCTTGTTTAAAACAATGTAAAGTAACACCTCTTCTTGCTGTTTATGTTTGATTATTTACACGAATAATTCTCCGTGTGGAATGAACTATTTCAAAACATTTATCACCCAATTTTATTATTATCTAATGCGTTCATCATGATTGGTGTGAAACTTTATAATTTGACGAATAGACATGAGCGTAAAGACTTTTTCTTGGGAAGAAATTGAAAAGCACAACCATGAAGGAAGTGCTTGGTTAGTCATTCACGGAAAGGTTTATGATGTAACCAAGTTTATTCCTCAACATCCTGGTGGTGATATGATCTTGTTGGGTGCCGGTAGACACTCTACAGAACTCTTCATCAGTCACCATCCAACCAAGACCATCACCAATACTAAATTCTTGGAAAAGTTTTACATTGGAGATGTTGAACAAGAACAATCAGTTACCAAGGAAATGGTAATCAAACAATACACAAAGCATATTTTCGCTCCTGATAGTCAAACCACGTTCTATGATGAATGTAGAGCTGAAGTCGAAAAATACTTTAAAGAAAATAATTTAACTCCACGTGATGTACCTGCAATGTACTTGAAGACCATTCTCTCCCTCTCTGTTTGGTTCATTTTGTACTTGGCTACCTTTTATTATTTTAATTCCATAATCCTTTCTTTGCTTGTTGCTATTGTGTGGGGTTGGTCTAATGCCAATATTGGTATGGGTATGATGCACGACGCTAATCATGGAGGTTATTCTGATAATCCAACTATTAACAGAATTGTCGGATTGTGTTTCGATATTTTGGGTGGTTCTTCTTTTACTTGGAAGATGATTCACTCTGTTGGACACCACGTTAATACCAATGTCGAAGAACGTGATCCTGATATTCACACCAATGAACCTCATTTTAGAAAGATTAAGGAAGGTCAAAAACAACACTGGTGGTATTCATATCAACATATTTATTTGCCATTCCTCTATTGCACTTTACTTTTTGAATTGGCTTTCCGTGACTTTGCTGCCATGATGATTGGTGCTTGGGGCGGTGTTAAATTCCAACCTGCTCCAAAGAATGAATATCTTCTCTTTGTTTCTTCCAAGATGTGTTGGTTGACTTATTCATTGGCTTTCCCATTAATGTTCTCTCATCATTCTACTGCTACTGTCTTTATGTTGTGGACCATTGCTTATATGGTTGCTTCATTCATTTTGGTTTTGATGTTCCAAGTCAATCACGTCACACCACTTACTGATACTTATCATGTTGAAAATGATGGTATGGTTCATGCTGACTGGGGTGTAACTCAAGTCAGTGGTTCTAGTAACTTTGCTTGTCGTTCTTGGTTGTGGAATCACATTAGTGGTGGTTTGTGTCATCAAACCGAACACCATCTTTTCCCAACTATTTGTCACATTCACTACCCTCAAATTCAACCAATTGTTGAAAAGTGTGCCAAAAAGTATAACATTAGATATAACGCTTATCCATCTTTCTGGGACGCTGTTGTTGGTCACTTTACCTTATTGAAGGAAATGGGTGCACAAGGAAAGAAAGTTACCGGATGGAAAGATTTGTAAACTAGATCACAATTTTGAATAAAATTTAATTTATAAATTAATTTTCTTTTTATTAAAAAGCTTATTATTTATGCTATTTAAATTATAAATAATAAATTATAAAAAAGCTATTTAAGCTTTATTTTAAACAACATTACATTTATTCTTAAAAAATGGCAGGAAAATCAAAACGTAAAACACCCTCTAAAAAAACACCTGTTGAAACTTTATCACAACAAAACAAAAAGGAGGGAGAACAATTGAAAAGAAAAAATCCTATTCTAATCACAAAACCAATTGTATTAGGAAATTTTGCAGTCGGAATTAAAAAGAAGGATGGTGATCAAACTTGGTGTAAATGGGTTTGTTATGTGAGAGGACTGACTTTGGATGATGACTTGAGTTATATTTCACAAATTACTTTTCATCTTCATGAATCCTTCAGCCCACCACAGGAAACAATCACCAAAGCACCTTTTGAAGTCGAAAAGGAGGGATGGGGACAATTTCCTCTACGAATTGAGATACATTTCCACGAATCAAGCGGATTACAGCCACTATCTCTTGACTATGACCTTCAATTACCTGCGGAAAGTCAAAAAAAGAAGAAAAAACCTTGTGTTTATGAAAAATATGAGGAATTACTTTTCTATGATCCTACAGAGAAATTTGAACAGTTGTTGAGAGAGAATACAGAGCAAGTTCAAAACTCTGTAAAGAAGATTAAATTATCAACAGAGATGGAATTAAAAAATGCAGATCTATCCGAATCAGAACAAGAAGTCTCCCCTTTAACATCCAAAAAACCATCGGAGGATATTTCATCTGCACCTTCGAATAGTACTACAACTAATAGGTTATCAATTGCTTCAATGATTGAACAATATGCTACAATTATTAAGGAGGAAAATTCTCTTAAAGCACTAAATGAATTGAGTGAAAAACTGAAAGAGAAAATCAAAGAAAAAGAAGACCCATCATTTATCAAAACCGAAAGTTCTAGAACAAAAACAAAGAAATCTAAAAAGCAAACAAAGAAGGAAAGTAGTGACGAGGATGATAGTGATTATGTTGATTAATTTATTATCATGGAATTGAATTCTCTACGGTATTGTTGCTTCCACTATTTCCATACTCTTTCGTCAAGATAAATCTACAAACATAACTAATCTTACAAAACACTTTCCAATAGTAAACTATTGATTTTAAGCTTGTTCCTTTTGGAGGAGTCATTGTTGAGAGATCAAAAGGATCAGATGGTAATCCTTGACTCTCAAATAAGGTAACCACAGCTTGTTGCATGTTATTTAATGGTTGTCTGGGTGCTCCTCCAATAATAAAGTTGCTTGCTGTTGCTAAGAGAGGATTTTGAACCTTAGTGTTTGTTGAAATTCTTTCTCTGTTTCTATAGAATTGAATGAGTTGCTTGTCCCGTTGGGATTGTTTCTCTAGAAAGGTTAAATTTTGAGAAACAGATTCGATTTTTTCCTCTAAATCCCTTGTTGCCTTGACAAGTAGAGTGTTTTCCTTTGTTTTCTTTTCAATTTCAGATAAAATTTGTTTGGATTCCACATGCTGAGCTTCATCTGAATTTAATTGTCTTTTTTTCCTTTCCATTTCCACAAATTTGATTAAGAACTTTTTTGAAGTTTTCCTTAAACTTTTTTTCGTGTTTACTCCTTTTGGGGCATACCTATCTGTCAAGTTTTTAACTGCCTTCAACGACTTGTGAGATAATTGAGGGATGGGATAGGAAGTCGTATTAAGTTGTATTGGTGTTCCAGGAGTTGATGATAATGGTGTCAATCGTTTTCCTTCATCTATATGTACACTGTTTCTTCTGGGAGAGAATTTTTCCTTTTTCTTTGATTCCAAATTATTGTTCGATAAGGCTATGATTTTACTTTGTATATTTGGTATTGTATTTACATTGGAAGATGTATGTTGATTTGGATCATTGTTTGAAGCGAGAATGGGTGAAGAAGAAGGGAAGGCATTATTTCCAACTATTGATGTTGTTGTGGTACTAGTAGAATTATTAAGGGATTGAGATTCTTTCCGTAGCAATGCATTATTAGACAATACTCTACTTTGTGAATCATTTAATTGTTGTTGAATTTGTTGATGTTGCATTGAAAATTGCATCATTAGTGAGGGAGAAGAAAACCCATGACGATTACTCTCCAATTTATTTAGAGGCATTATTTTTTATCTCTAAATTTAATTATTAATAATAAACAGCCACCTGGAAATGTATTGTTTGGAAGAGATAAATATTTCGATTTAATTTGATAAATAAATTTATTAATGATGGTGATTTACAAGTGTAAAAAATTAGGGTATGAATAACTAGCAGTGGTCGCTCTAATAACAAGTAAATGATGATGATTATTCCAATCTATCATTCGCATGCTATCAGTAAAATTAAATTTGTTTCAATATCTTTCCAATAAATTAAACAACATAACGATATGTAACATATCTGCCAGCTGTTTCCGAAGAACGAATAATCTTTACAATAGCACCTCTTTGAAGACCATAATATCTTGCAATCGGATCCGTGACCTTCATTCTTGGTAATTGTGTTTCTTTCAATTTATATCTTTGGAGCAATTCTTCATGTTGGGCCTTGTTGAGTGGAACGTGTTGTGGCACCAAGACATGTTCTGTAATATTTACCAAAAGTTCAGTTTCCTTGAATGTTTCAAGAATATATCCAATAGCTTGAAGAGCTTCAATTGCTCTCTTAGCTTGAGAGCTGAGATCCTTTTGTTGGAATGAATCAGCTGGTCTCAAGACAAGAATAGCTCTCTTTACATTGTTATCCTTCATTTTAGAGTGATAATCCTTGATTTGTTTCATACCAATAGCTTTTGTTGCTGGGAAGAAAACAAATATCATTTCGGAAGGATCATCAGCCATTGATGTAACAATACTAAGTCTGTCTCTTCCTATTGTTGTATACCCACGGGCTTGACCAGATTGAGAAACATTATTAGGTCCTGTACCAAATTTACTTTCAAATTCAGCAAGGTCCATATTCTTTTCAGATTCAAGAACCATATAACCACGAGCATCCAACATTTGGAGGACAGTCTTTCTTATTCTCCACAAACGATAGCTTTCAGAATTTGCGTTGTTCATTTTTTTTTGAAGTTGGTGAAAAATATTGGCAATCTATTTTTCTATGCATAATGATAATGGCAGTTATCAAATAGTAGTTAAACTAAAATTTAAATATTTAATTAAATAATTATGTGATCAAAGTAATAAATAATAAAACCAAAACAACATTCATAGTATTCGATTAAAAAATATTATTCAATTCTGAAGAGGAAGGAAAAAATTCGAAGATAAAAAAATGTCAGAATCCAAATTAATTGCTTTCGGTAGAGTTGCCACCACTCTTGAAATCGGTATTGTTGGTTTGCCAAACGTTGGTAAATCCACCTTCTTCAACGTTTTAACTAATTCTCAAGTTCCTGCTGAAAACTTTCCTTTCTGTACCATTGATCCAGCCACATCTCGTGTTGCTGTTCCTGATGAAAGATTTGATTGGTTAGTTGGACATTGGCAACCAGCTAATCATGTTCCAGCTATCTTGAACGTTACCGATATTGCTGGTTTGGTTAAGAATGCTTCCGAAGGTTTGTATTTAATGTTGTGATGATGTTTATTGTTATTCCAAAATAATAATAGGTGAGGGTTTGGGTAACGCTTTCTTGTCTCACATTCGTGCCACCGATGCCATCTTCCATATGGTTAGAACTTTTGATTCTAAGAATATTACTCACGTAGAAGGTAGTATTGACCCAGTTAGAGACATCAAGATTATTGAAACTGAATTGATTAAAAAGGATATCTCCTACTTGGAAAATATTAGAGGACCAACTGAAAAGCTTGCCAAGCAAAAGAAGGAAAAGAAGGATGAATTGGACAGTATTGACAAGGCTCTTGCCATGTTGAAGGAAGGTCGTGAAGTTAGATTTGGTGATTGGAATGGAAAGGAAATTGAAATTTTGAATCCTCACCAATTGTTGACTACCAAACCAATGATTTACCTTGTCAACATGACTCCAAAGGATGTTGTTGATCCAGAAAAGAATGAATGGATTGCCAAGATTAGAGAATATGTCAGCTCAAAGGGTGATGCTGAACCAGTCATTCCATACAGTGCTGCTTTCGAAAAGAAATGGCAAGAAACTGATGAAGAAAAGAGAAAGGAATTGACAGGAAAGGGTATCACATCCAAGCTTCCAGAAATCATCAAGATTGGTTACAAGACTCTTAACTTGATTTACTACTTTACTGCTGGTAAGGATGAAGTCAAGGCTTGGACAATTAAGAGAGGTACTAAGGCTCCACAAGCTGCCGGTAAAATTCACTCTGACTTTGAAAAGGGTTTCATTTGTTGCGAAGTTATGAAGTTTGAAGATTACAAACAATATGGAAGTGAACTTGAATGTAAGAACAATGGTAAACTCAAAGAAAAGGGTAAAGTTTACGAAGTCGAAGATGGTGACATTATCTTCTTCAAATTCAACACTGCTGGTGGTGGTCCAAAGAAGAAGTAAATTATAAAGATAATTAAATTATTATTATGAATGAAATTATCGATCCGAACCTAAATTGCATCCAATTTTAAAATTGCACAAAAAGTGGAAGAATAAAAAATGGCACCAAATGACGTAACAACCTTGAAAGCTTTGGAAACTGTCCACAGTATCAATCCATCCCTCTTTCTTAGTGTATGTAAAGAATTTGATATTAAATTTTATTTAAACATTGATTTATTCGGAAAATAGGCAAGAAGAGAAGAATTGAAAAATCTCCAAAGAGAAGTGTTATCATCATCAGGAAGTGCTCGTGTATTTCAAAGGCTTCCTAGATATTCGAGAAGGAGGGCCATGTCAAAAGTTCCTCACCTTCTACCAAGACATTTACGTAATGCAGCTATTAGAGAAATGACTCTTCCGAAACGAGTTAGACAAAGAAAAAGAAGAAAGGATTTGAAAAGAAAACAACATAGAAAAGAATTTATTGTTAAATTACATGATTTACCGTCTCTCAATAATGATCAAGAGAAAAAATCATTTAGACTCTCAACACATTTATATCATGCCAAGAGAATGAAAATGGACGATAGATGGGGATTTAGAATTGCTGTAGAACATATTACGGACAAAATATTTAGGAATGGTTACAGATATATGAGGAGACATTGCACTCTTCATGAAAGAAGTTACATGATTTGCTTGCAAATTGAGTTTAATTCAAGTGGAAATGTGGAAAAACTTTTAAAATCAATGATGCAAATCCATCAAGAATCACAATTACCATTCCATGAGGATTATTTGATTGGAAAAAGAGAGGGAACTTTCGAATGGTTGGATGATAGTAATTTTACAATTTCACCAGTGGATTTTCTAGTAAAACCTTCTGAATCAGCAAATTGTGCTAATACAATTATGATATGGCTCCATCCATCAACTCTTCCAGAGAGCTATCATCACTTGACAGATATAGTTACAAAATTGAATGGAAAAGTACACCACAGAAATGATCTTTCAAGATTTGAAATAAGAGGGCCATTAACTATGAAAACAATTTCAAATGTCATTAGAATTCACATAGAAGATACAATTAATGAACTAAGACAAAGAAATGGCTCAGATAGTGCAATTAAATCAATAGTTAATGAATGGGAAAGAATGAAGACAGACATTCAAATGGCAACGTCCCTCCCATCAGATATGGTTCTAGGTTTCATGGCAAAACATCCAATCTATACATCGTCATTTAATTCAACGTTTGAAGATTACAAGAGAGAGTCTCGTTTATTGGCAAACGCTGTCACACCAAACACATCTTACACTTCTCCAAATCATGAAGAGAATCTTAATGCATTACAAAAAAAGATTATGGTAAATATACCAAACCAATTGAATGATATTGGATTAATTTGGAGTCATTCAGAATGTAAAGAGAGATATCATTTTCCATATTTAAGAAAAAATAAGAGGACTAAAAAGTTGTATACTCAAGGTGCAGAAGGTCCAAGGTCTTTCCCAGTTATTTTGATACAAAAAACGTCTAGTTTGAATAGTGGAAGCACAATGGGAGGTGGATTTGATATTATTTTACCAACAGTAGACGTTTCTGCTCATGTTTGGTCGAAATTGTCTGAACAAAAGAATACTATGGTTCTTCCACTTTTAGATAGGAATAGACTCTTACTAGAACAGGGTAAACGTGTATTTCCAGATGACTATCCTTCCAGTCAAGCTTTTCAAAGAATGGCAATTGAAAAGGAAGAATCAATGGAAACATTAATTCAGAATCTTTCTTGCCCTCTTCCTTCTTTCAGATCTATTCACATTTTTGGTATTTGGGGAGGAAGCTTGGCGCCTTTTGATACCATTCACTTGCCAACCAATCCAACTCAAATCAAAGAGCTACTGAAAAGAGCCAAACCAAAATCTAAAAAGGGAGAACTAGATACCAAGATGCATGCTATACACAATTCTCTCATTGATACAACTTGTATTGGATTTGTGACTTCTGCCAATTATTCACTTTTGCGAGGTAAAAAGTTTGGAATTGGTTTCATTACGGCCAATTCAAGCCAACAACTTCCCTTCATACCAGGGCATCACCAAAACTTAATTCTTATCAAGAGAAAAGAAAAATCCAATGAATACTTTTATCCTTTTCAGGTTGCTGTTACCTCTAAATAAATATTTTAGTTTAATTTTACAAGTTTTTGGTTGATAATGAGCTTTGAGCTTGACTCACAAGTCTTTTTGCTTCTTCCTTTTGTTTTTCAAGTTCTTCAATACGTTTCCTCATTTCCTCAATTTCCCTTGTCAATTGCAAGACAGTGTTAGAAGTTTTTTCATTCTTAATTTTAAGCTCTTGGTTTTGATTTGAAAGCGACGAGAGGGAAGATACAGAAACTGATCCAATTTTACAAATAATGAAATTAAAATTATACTTACTATTTGAGTTTTTAGCTCTACAAACAATTCTGTCAGTGTCTGTGATATCCTTCATTGAATTAATAGGTTGTAAAATAAATAATTCCAAATCTTCTCGTTTTATGCTATTGTCAAGTTCGGCCTCAATTCGTGCCTTGACATCTTCAGTATCTGCAGAATCCAAGCTTAGTGTACATAAATTAGGGATTAATAGGTCAACGGAAAGTTGGTCAGTTTTAACAGTTGTAGGAGCTGATTTGCTGACATCAGCATTCGACATGCTAGGAAGTTTCAAACTAAATTTTGGAATTGTTGGGGATGTAATGGTAGCTTTTGGAGATTCTTCCATATCCTCACTGTCAAATTCGTCTTCCTCTTCAACTTGAATTTTTCTTCCTGATGAATCCCCTCCTATTCCACTCAAATTTAAACTAAATCCACCAGTGCGAGCAGCACCACCAAGTTGAAGTGATGGTACTTTTGCTACTTGATCTTCACTGGTATCCATACTATTTTCACCTGTTGTTAGAGATGATTCCGGAGTGGTAGTTGATGTTGCAGTTGATGATGATTCCAAACTTGTCTCATCTTTTTTCGTTAACGCACCCATATTCAAAGAGAGCTTCATTTTTTTTAATTTAATTTTTATTAAAATATATATTATTTTAAATATTAAACAAATTGTAATGTTCTTTAATTTAGATTGATACTATTTGTATCTTTGGATTCTCTAAAGAACGTTGGTTTAAATTTAAAAAAAATGAAATTCAGCAAGCTTGTCGATCCATCAATTGTTAACTATGTTCGTGATCATTGCGTAAGGGAGAGCACAGAACAGACAGAGTTGAGAAGAGTTACTGGAGAAAAGCTTGAAGATAAATCAAGAATGATTTCAAGCCCAGAACAAGTGAGTACACTTTCAATTCCGATCATCACAACAATTATATATTAAATTAATATTGATTCAATTTATTCGAGATGGCATTATTGCAATTGTTGTTGAAATTGACTGGAGCAAAAAAGATATTAGAGATTGGTTGCTTCACTGGTTATAGTGCCCTTTCATTTGCTCTTGCCACAGAAGCAACAAAAGCAACCATTGTTACTCTTGATGTGAGTTCAGAGTTTGTTGATATTGGAAGAGAATTTTGGGATAAGGCAGGTGTTAGTGATAGAATTACAACAATGATTGCTCCTGCTTTGGACAGTTTACAAGTTTTGAAGAATAATAATGAAACTTTTGATTTTGTTTTTATTGATGCAGACAAGTAAGTGATTGACTATTGTTGAATATTAATCTTGTTAGAGTCAATTATCCAAAATATGTTGATTTGGTCTATGATTTAGTCAATTCAAACGGTTTGGTGGTCATTGATAATACATTATGGTCTGGTAGAATATTAGATGAACAAGATACAACCCCAGAAACTCAAGCCATCAGAGAATGTAATGATAAGGTAAGGGATGACTATAGATGGGATATTGCATTGGAGATTATTGCTGATGGAGTGTTTTTCCTTAGAAAAAAGTAAATAAAAATCTCTGGAGTTCAATCTAAGTATTATAATATATGAGAATACTTATATTGAAGTATGAGACTCAAGTATTATATATGAGAATACTCATCTGGTTGAAGAATGGATGTTCCAAACATGTTAAATCTCTTCTCCTTTCCAACTCTATAAGAAACAAGACAAGTTTCAATAACGTGCTCTGCACTAGTGAGTTGATTAATCTTTTCCTCTAAAATACGTTTGCTTGTAGGATTTTCTTTGAGATTACATGCTGGCATTTGTAATAAATATTCAGCTTCTTGATCTAAAACAAAACACGTCAGACAACATCCACTCTCTAAATCCTTAATTAAAAATTGGAAGAGAAATCTATACTCTTGATTGGAATGATTATTGTTTGCTTTGGTAAAGTTTTCAATATTTTTTGGAAAGTAATCAATAATCTTTCCCCTAGTTCTGTACTTGTATGGGATATTATCTGTATTTACAATGTCTGATATTGGTGTAAGATTCGCTTGTAAAAAGTCAACTTTCGTAACTATGTACTTGTTGTACAAAATTTGAGTCTGGTGAGCATTTTCGATACACCTAGTTACATAGAAATGATCATTTGGAAGAATAACAATAGATCCATTATAAATTCTGAGTGGAATTAAGGATTCATCAGCCCATTCAGAGAGTGGTGGACATTGGGCATTTCTTAACTTTACCCATACATCTCTTCCATTGAAAGCTGAGCGAACTTCTTTCATGATATAATCGGTGAGTTCAATAGATTTCACTTGAACTGTTGAACGTAAATTACTGCAGTCATTAACAGTGAGACTAATTGATGTTTCGTCTTCGTGTAAATGGGTAACCTTACATATCACATCTACAAAGAAGGATACTGACATTTTGCTGGCTTTTTCTTTAGCTTGGTTTAAAGTCGTAAGATATTTCTGATCAGCCATTACAATTGGCTGTTTTTCAACATTGGAAAAGGGTTGTGAAAAGTATTTTCTAGAGAATATTTTCAATTGTTTGATTCTTTCAAAATCTTCATCAGTAAAAGTTTTCCTGCATAGTATCTCGTCTGGTATTGATTCATCAATATCATTACTCAAAAAGAAATAATCAAAACCAGGGCCGACATTGGCCTGATACCCGTACCTCGAGTTCTTAACAATGAATCTATGGCATCTAAATATTGATCCAACTTTTTTACAATTGAAGAGATTTTTCTGATTGGTATGATTAATGGTTATAAGGAGAGAATCTGTTTTAGAGTTTGAATCAAAACAAGTGTCATCAATAATTTTCAATGTAAGACTGTAGGCCTTGTTTTCCATTTGTCTCATTGTTTTATAATCATAAACAATTCCATAAATATTATGATTCCCTTCCTGCAGTTCAGATAGTTTAGTATAGATATAGTCAGTATTTTTTCTTTTCTTTTTTGTCAAATCTGTTGTAGATTCCAAATCCACTTGTTTACCATTAAGCATAATAACGGAATCCTTGTCAGCAACTAAAAGATATGGGTGATGTGAATCTTGATGAGTAGTATTATACTCATCATCACGATCGGAATCATCATCCTCAATACAGGGCACAACCATAACATTATATATTGTCAGAACATTCTTTTTTACATCACTAATCCATTCATCAATTTCCAAACCACTAATCCTCGTTTTTGTAAATACTAATTCAATAATAGATGATCGGAGTTGTGTTTTATCAACATGTACATCTTCCAAAAGGAGAGAATAATGTGATTGTATTTTTCTCTTCTTCTTTAAATGATCACCAGAAGTGTGATGGAGACGAACTTGTAGAGGGTTTGATTGATCAATACGGGAAAAGGTTCCATCAATTTGATGTATTTTCATTTTTTTAACAAGAAGTTTTATTTCCACTCGAACTGTATCAGATAACTTTTAACAAGTTTACAATTAATATATTTACAATTTGTCAGTTGGCACAGCTTATCCAAAATATATTGAACCATCACCAGGACCTAAATAACCAACACTCACAAGAACTAGATCAACTATTGCCCACAACCCAACACCACCTTTTATAATAATAAAATTGTCACTTAATTGTCACAACTATTAACTTACCTAGTGTAAATAATTTGAAAACTCCCCAACCAGCATGACCCAAATAAAATCTATCAGCAGAAAATCCAGATAAACTAATATTTCATTTTGTAATGAGCAATTTCAATAGATTTTTCAAGTTGAAGTTCTGAAATTAAAAAGAAAACTTACAATAGGGAAAATACAAAAGTAGATGACCATTTCTTTCCAGTACTATAATTCACTTGGGATACTTTTGAGAAGGATCTATTTCCTAAACAAATAATATTTCTATTCACTTTACAATTTACAATAGTTGTATCTTGGCCTGATTGGAGTCCAGTTTGTGATGGTTTATAATCACAAATATAATGAACATTTTCAATTAATTGCCAACAATATTTACAATAATAAGTCTTTGCAAAACTTGTATCACCATCACAATTTGTTGCTGTACTATTAATTGTACATTGTGTATGATAAATATTTCCTAAAGTACAATTGGATGACATGTTACAACTCAAATAATCAGCACTTAAATCACTGCAATATTCCTAAAATAATGATCATCCGATTAGTAATTCCGAATATATTTATCATCAATTAATAACATACTCTCAATTCCGCACTGGTAATTTGAATTTGTAAAAAACCCAATACAACAACCATCACAAGAAGGGTAGAATAATTCGTTAATGATGGACGAAATCGTCCATTTTGTTGTGTCATTTTTTATTTCCTTCTTTTTTAAAATTGTAAATAATTCAATTTTGCCAATTTAAATATTATTAAATCTTTCCAATCTTGTAACAATAAGAATATGTTCTCTCAAGTCACAATGCAAAAGTCAATCAATAGAATCTATGATATATTGTAGAGAAAATAATCTAATTGATGGCACACCATCAAAATATCTTTGACTTTTCACTCTATCGAATAAATTTGATAATAATGTTGAATTTTGATAGTCCAATCTAAGAGTTAATCCAATTTCATGGTAATGAGTTGAATTTTCATGATCTAATAGATTTTGAATTGTATTCTTGCATTCCTGATGTACTTTGGCAGCTTGTTGCATTTTCCACATCCAAAAACAAAATAAAATTACAAAGCAACACAAACATAAAATTATAATTCCAATAATTATCAATGTTAACACTAGCTCGAATAATCCTTCATCAACAAGTAAATTTTCTCTCACCATCACAACAAATGTAACAAATAATAATATTAGAAATAAAACAAATCCTCCAATCATGATAAAAAATAACCAGAATACAAGCCATCCGACAGGTACATTTACATTCCTTAAATAATGTTTAAATATTTGTGAAGATTCTATCAGGGTTTTTGAAATTTCATCCTCATGATCTTTAATGATATATTGAACACTGGTGAAAAATTCCAAACTCTTCAAATCCAATTTGAATTCGGACAAACATAATTCATGTTCCTCATCTTCAATAGGATCAAATACTGATTGTTTCAGAGTTGGTTCTTGTTTTTGGATTTGAGACATTTTTTTATTTATTTAAAGTTTAAAATATTAAGATAATATATTATTCAGGATTATCAATTTCAATACACCACCTCTTCTTGATCATGATGTGAATGAAGGGATGGTTTTGTCTCCACAACTTCAATATCATTTTCTTCTAAATTTATACAACTACTTGATACTTGATGTTGTAAAGTTGGAGGGGTTTTGGAAAAAATTGGATTTACATGATGTTTTTCTTTCAAGAGATAGGTTTGACACATTCCTTTTCCTTTCACTTCAATACTTCTCTCCTCAAATTCATACAGGTCATATATTCTTTCATATGTTGAACGAGAAATATGGATTCTTCCTGGAATTCCAGTTGACTCCATCCTAGATGACAAATTAATAGTATCTCCCCATAAATCATAGGCAAACTTTTTACGTCCAATCACTCCAGCGACAACACTTCCTGTATTTAATCCAATTCTGTATCAAATGAGTCAATCAATTTAGTGATAAATGAAAGTTATTAAACAATGATGAGGATGAAATCAACACATACCTGATATTAACTTGAGAAGATGGATTTTCTGCATTATACGTTCTAATAACAGTCAGAGTTTCAATAGAGAACTTGATACACCTCTCTGGATGATCGGATTGAGGATTATTATGTAGACCACCCACACAGAAATAAGCATCTCCAATGGTTTTAATCTTTTCCAAACTGTACTTATCAGTCAGGTCATCAAAACCATTCACAATACTATTTAACATTAGAACTAATTCAGATGGATTCATATTAGAAGATAGTTTGGTAAACCCAACCATATCACTGAAAAAACATGTAATGTCTGCAAACTTTTCAGCAATAAAAGTTTCACCATTCTTTAATTTGGTTGCAACAGCGTCAGGTAAAATATTTCTCAATAAATTCTCAGAATTCTTTTTCTCTTCGGCAAGAAGTGCATTTTGCTTCTTTTCTGTTGTAATGTCCTTAATTACAAGTGAAATAATAATTGATCCATTATTGACCTCCGTTCCAAATATACTTATTTGGGCTGGGAATTTTGTTTGATTTTTTCTGATACACTCAATTTCTATCACTTCACCCACAGACAGTTCATCACTGTTATCAGTTGAATGAATTAAATGATGGGTAAGGTTTTTGATCAATTCATGTGAAATTTCATCAAATAAAATTATACAAGGCAGACCAATGACATCAGTTGCAGATTTTCCAAACATTTTCTGTGCAGCAACATTAAAAAGTGTAATTTCTCCCTTTTCATTACATAGAACAGCCCCTTCAACCATAGAATTGAGTAGATTTCTTATGGAATCATCAGTATCAATTTTCTTTCGTTTGGTGCTATGTTTAGTCATGGTATTATACAAGGCAAAGTTTTTCAAAGTATCATTTGAATCAAAATAATCCACTGGGATATAATTCAAAAAGGACCGAAGCATGGTAATTTCATTATCACTCATTTGATAATTCAAAAAGATTATATAATTGAAAAGTGGCAATGTAATAATCCCAACAATAAAAAATACAATACTAATAGCCTTGGAAGAGTTTGAAGTATTGGTTGATAGAGAGTTCAGTAATTCTGTCAAACGATTAATCATTTCATCAGTTAAATTAAAAATATCGAGATAACTTATGAATGTATCTTGTCTAATTGCAAAGAATGGATTCCAAATGTCTTCGTTAAATTTGCTACAAGCATGTGTAACAATGGCAACTAATTCCTGTAGCTTGTAACAAGTACCATTGAACGAACATGTGAGTGGTGATGTTATGATTTCGTCCACTCTCGAATACTTTCCAATAATAGGGGCTGTAACTTCACTACCAAATAATAGTTCTGTAAATCTTGTTTGAACCTCAGATATATAATCTCTATTATCTGTTCTATAGGTAGCCAATTGTGATGCAGAACCTATAGCAACATTGTTAACATTTCTACCAGGTTTAACACCCAAAAACGCGTATAGCTCACTCAATCGAACTGTTAATCTGATCGCTGCTCTCATAACAGCAGTTGCAGTGTCAATATTAACCATTGTTTCAGAGGCTGTTTGGACATTGAGATAATTCTCCATATACATCAATGAAACGTATAATGAAAAACAGAGTAATGCAAGAAATCCTACAGCTATGGATATCCATTTTGGATTCATAAACTCACCCAAATGTTTAGCCTCTTGGTTTGTCTTTCGCTGCAAGTCTTGATAGATATTTCCAATAATATCCTTGGGCAATCTCTTAAATAGAGTAATGATATTTGTCGATTTTCTCATTTCAATTCTACTGATAACTAGAAACATGGAATAAATGATAATCAATACGCCAGTCGAAATAAATAGATAATATCTGAGAATGAGGTCAATGTCTGCATTTTGTACTCGTTTGCTTTCTTGAAATTTAGAACAAAATAGTGCATTAGCATCTGCTGCAGTTCTTCTATTCAAATACAAGTACATAAATAAATAAGATGTTATAGTTTCATTGTAATCTTTTGGTGTCCAATCAATGAATGACTTGGTTAAGGTCATGAATTCTTGAGTGAGTTCACTCATTGATACATTCTTTTTGTAACTTGTCAAATAAGATATTGTACTCTTCTCTACTGAAGCAATTGGAACAACAATGGGATTTTCTGGGGATGTATAATCATTAAACATTTGTTCTGTATACTTTGAAGTCATTGAATTATCAGCCAGTTGTTGCAAATATAGCAAATGTCTCTCGAATCTCATTTTGTGATTTGTTGTGAAATAATTGAGTACTTTACCATCTGTTGAATTTTCATTAGGAATTGCCCAATTCTGATTACCATATAGCTCCTTATATATTTGTCCCATTCTCACCTTTAACAATAAGCACACAATATAATATGATGAAAAACATTAAACTTACCTCTCTGATGAGGGCACTAGGTGATGTACCTGGAAGACAACTCTGAAGAGTTAATGGAATTTCTGTAACTAAACTTCCAAATATCATACATAAAGCAAAAGCCACCACTAACATTAGAACTGATAGAATTGACAAACCAATTAAAAACACATTTCTAAATTTTGATTGGTAGGGAGTATTGAGAGAATTTCTGAAAAACACTTGTTTCTTATCAATAGTTTCTTCTGCATTCTCAATACCGTCAAAGTGGTCTTCCTTCTCATGATCTTCCATTGGATTATCGACAAGTGTGAAGGAATTCTTTCTAATATCAAATACATTGACTGGAGAGTTTGGAGTGGAATTAAAATAGGGAGTTATCTTGTTTTTAAATCGTTTCTCGCTCTTTCCTCTGGAGAATAATGAAACTGTTCTTGTTTTTGACTCTTCTTCTTCCATTTGAAAGGCTTGTTCAAAGAGTATGGATGATGTCTCTTTATCAAATTTGAAATTTTCCAAATAACTTGCATAAAATCTCAAAACAGTCTTGTCATGTTTAAAATTTGTCATAAGGTGGTTGAATAGTTTGTCACAATACACTGTGAGAGAGGTTGCTTTTGAATTGAGCTGAGAAATTTTCTTTTCATTTGGTAGGTCGCTTAAAACTTCTTTCCAAAACATTCTATGCACGGCCCACAATTCATCTTCTTTCCTTTCAATGTCGTTCAACATTGCCTTAACTTCCACTTGATTTATGCCATTACTTTTTGTGGAATTATCAATTTCAATTTCCTTCATTCTCTCATGAATTAAAGTTCTGGTCCATGAGTTTTCCACAAATCTGAGTGCCTTCTTCAAGATGAAAGAACTGAATGAAGTTCTATTCTCATCAACCCATTGATAGGCAATGATGAGAGCACTCGTGAGTAGAATTTCTGGTGACTGCACGCACTTGTTTGCAATGACCAATTTAATGAAAGTTAATGCCATAGCCGAATCATCTGAATTCTCTCCTGAAAATCGAAGAAATAAATTCAAATTCCTTAAAGACTCCTGTTCCATATAGATTGCAACTGCCTCCTTTTCCATGACACTAGTGCTCTTTCTATTCTCATCGAGTGAAGTTGCGTGTATTATTCCTTTCCTTAGAACTTTCCTCACTTTATAACACACCACCCTAGTGTAAATTTCCATTGCTATTCCACCCAAAATTCCACCAACAACAATGAGAGAAAGAGTAAGGCCCATCAACCCCAAGCTCTTCTCCTTATTGTAAGTGGGATCAAAGACAAAGACTAATTGATTGATGAAAACACCAATTGATGCTCCGAAACGCCCGAATACTGCACTCGAATAAACACTGTTGAAATTTCTCTTCAGTAAAGGAACCAGTTTTAACAAGAGAAATATTTGTAATATGGAGCTTAAGATGTGAATAATTCCTCGAATAAAAATTAAATGTTGTGGAATTAGAAATATGACAAATATTTCCAAACCAATAGATGCTACTGTTGACATGATTGGAAAATTATCGTTGGATGTGAAAGGCAGTGAGCTATGTCCATGATTGGGCATTAACAGAATAGAACAAGATGTTGCAAAAATTATCACAGGAGCCATGCAGCACATTACAATGAATAATATTAAATTAGGATCTCCATGACATGCTACAGTGCTATTTCTTGTCAACATGTAAAGATAAACATTTTCCTTCTCAGCATACACCTGAACAGTGGTATTACATTGAATGAAATAACTCATTAGGAACATGGTTAATGGAGATAGAATGGCACAAACAGCTCCAGCTCTCTGTCTCAAGTTTCTTAAACGTGTGTGGGCTTTTCCTTTTAGAGTCTTGTACTCAATGAATAATACGAGGAAGAAGAGACAATACAACGATAACAGAATACAGGTCAGTATGATGGTGGATGTGTAGTCAATATCATCGAGAGAGAACGTAATGGGATAGTTCAAAACTTTGAATACCCAACCAGAATAGACGCCATATGGCCCAATCACATGTTCTGTTTCCTTCAGGTCATATCTTGTATCGGAGGAAATGGTTGGAAATATTACATTCACCCAATAGAGGTAAGCGTAAGCCAAATAGATGAGTATCTTTTCATATTTCTTTACGCTTACCTCACTACTCTTCACTGAAATGTAAAAATTGATAAGTTTTTCATTAAAGACATGAAGGAAGGAGCTGTGAGTATGTGAAGTGGCAGAAGTTTCTGAATTTGCTGTTGAACCTCCGTCAACAACAGACTGGGTGTAGTAGCTTAGTCCGCCACCACCACTTCCTACATGGCTTTGATTTCCTTGCAGGAAAGGAATTGTAATATTACTTGATGAGACATTGATCAATGGTCCACTATTTGAGTGTGGCTGTTGAGGATGCAACTCATGACTTTGCATGGTGTTGTGATATTAGTTTTAATAACCAAAGGCGGTTCAATTCATGAGAAGAAGGTAAATTTCAATTGAGCGTTGGGCCGACTTTCAATCAGTTAAATGGATATTAAGGAGTTTAAAATGTTGATATCCTGATTTGAATATTTTGAACAGCTCTAATAACTGTAACTGTACTGGGTGAGCGATCCTCAATTTTCTTGACATTAAAAAGGGATTTATTTTGATATTCACAAAGTTCTATGATGAGAGAATTTAAAAGACTTTTTGACTCGAACCATCCTCAATATTTACTTGCTAATTTCAGGTTTTAAGAAGCTGATCATTAAAGAATAATGGGTGAGGAAATTGAAAGGAAAAATAAACCGTTTCATTTAAAACGTGTTCCTTGTTTGCTACAACAAAAAGGAATTCTGCTTGGGTTCTATCTTGAGTTAAGGAACATTCTAAAAAAAAACTATTATTAAAAAAACGTCTCGATTGTCGTCTTCTACCCTCTCGGAAACAAATAGCACCACCATCACGTTTAAAATGTACCAAGTCTATTGTGCTGCAACAGGAAAAGCTGAGCAACAAGATCAAGTTGAGTACAAAGAATCTGTTTTAGAACTTGATGCCACAAAAAAGATTATTCCATTCCGTCTTGCTTTGGATGAGAGCACACAATTCCTCTATCAACCAAGCAAATTTTCTATTGAGACTAATACCCCTTTAAACTCTCAACCAGCTACTTTGCAATCTCTCGTCAATCATTCAAATTTTCTTGATGTCCAAAATATTTACGAAAGATTGAATTTGATTGTCAATCAGGCTCAAGAAATTTGTCAAGTTACTGAGGCAAGATTTGTAGAATGTGACGATAAGAAAAATAAGAGATTCATTATCCAATCAGCAAAGGACACTCTTGTATCATTTATTAGAGAAAAAACCTTCAAAAACTATTGTGATATTATTGAAGAACTCTCCAATAGTTTTTCCTCTAACAGTCAATATGTAAATGACCTCTCTTTTGAGAGCATCAAGGATGAACTCACCCAAAACAAAACTGTAAATAACTGTGACCTCATGACTGCTCTCAAATTGGATGAGAAAATGTTATCAAACCTCATTACAACTGTAAAATCACAGCAACAAATGATCAATTTGAATCAGAGTAAGACCTACATTCTCGAGCAATTGAATGAAATTTCAGGAAAGGACGAAGAACAAGTCGAAGAATTATCATCACTCGACCAAAGAATGCAATCACTTATCCAACACCAAAGAGAAAAGATTCAAACTCTCCTTTCAGAATACGAATCAGTTAAATTGACCAACGATGATCTTCAATTGTACAGCTTTGAATATCAAGCAAGAAATTTGCACGAAGAAATTTTAACAATCGAAAATAATGTAAGAGAGAATCAAAGTATTTACTTGGTAAAAGATTATGCATTCAGAGTATTATTGAACCAACAAATGTTAAAGGTTTGCGAGAGAACAACACTCATTTTGTTAATGATGAGATTTTTCAATCAATCAAAAGAAGGAGGTGCTCTTGAAAAGTTAATATTCCTCTCAAAGCTCCCAGACGTTAATAGACAATTGATGAATGAAATTGTAGCCAGAAGAGAAAACTTTGTTGAGAATATTCTTATTCAAAACTTTAGAAGTTTTACTGAGTCTATCAAGCAAGCATGTCAAGATGAAAATGATAGAAGAGATCAAGTAGAGAAGAGTGCTATTGATGGTTTAACTGAGATTCAAACTCAAGAATTGAAATCGATTATTCCTGGTATTGTAGGGGAAAGAATTCCAATTAATCTTATAATTGATGGTCTTGCCAAATTGGAAAGAAGCATCTCTAGAACTATTGATACTCATCTTCCACAATCTAATTCAGGAGAAAATGAAGAGAATGACTTTTTCTTAATTTCAAAGCCATCAGAAAACCTCACCCAATCCACTCATGACTTGTCAAGTATGACTACTAGTGCTTTGATTGAATATACTGACCGTAAAACTGAGGCATTACCAAATCCAAATTTTATTTACCAAAATGTAGATAATGAATTTGTTGAAGTACCAACACAACTTTTACAATCTGTGGTACAACAACCATCTGAAGACTATTCACAACTTCAAAATACCATTCTCATGCTTAAAAAAGAAGTTGATTCTTTGAAAGAACAACTTGAAAAGAGTGAAGAGCAAATCAAAGAGAGTGAAGAACAAATCAAAGTTAGCTATGCCAAGCTCATTGATAGAGAAAATACAATTGACGAACAAATGAGATCAATCAAAAATCTCGAAAGTAATCTTTCAGAAATGAAAAAAGAATTAGATGAAAGTGCACAATATGTTCAAACTCTCAGTAATAATGTCGAAGATTTGACCTGCAAGATTGAACAAAGTGAAAGAGAAAAGCTTCTGAACTCTGGAGTGCACTCAGAATCAGTTTCACAACTTGAATCTGTAGTAACTCAATTAGAAACATCCAAGAAGGATCTTCAAGACAAGTTGATTAGAATGGCCACTGAATTCAGCAAGCTAGACCAATCATCAAAGGCTAAAGATGAACAAATCAAGGCCAGCGATGAACAACTTAAGGCTCAAGACGAGAAAATTCATTCTGATGCCGAACAAATTATGTTACTTACAAAGTCATTGCAAGATTCTGAATCAGTTAACGAAAAGTTACAACAAGATCTTGACTCTTTGAATGAAAAACTTGAACAACAATGTATGAACTTGTTGTTATCTGATAGAAAAGTAGAAACTCTAGAAGAAGCAACCAAGAACCTCACTCAACAACTTGATGACTGCCAGACCGAGTTGAATGTAGTGAAGGAAGAAAGAGTTCTAGTAGAAAGAAATTTGAGAGTACAAGTTAATGAACTCACCGAATCTGTTAACAAATTATCAGAAACCAACAATCAATTGAAAGAGAAACATTCCGACCTCTCAAATAAGCATTCTTCTACTATTTCCGAATTAGAATCCCTCTCTCAAAATTTGTTTGCTCAACACAAAACTGCTCAAGAGAACGATATCAAGCTGAAGGTAGCAGATGAAACTAACAAAGTTCTGCAAGAAAAACTTACTTCTAGTGAAGAAAAGTTAGCACACTCACAAGAGAAAATTAACACTTTAACCTTCGAGTTGGAAAATACCAGAACAATGCTCGAAAAAGCCAAGTCCCAACCTCCAGTAGTCCATTCACCTGTTATTTCCTCCAACAACGATGAAAACGAAAAGTTAAAGAAAGAAGTTAAGGAACTCACCATTAAGGCTCAAATGTACGAGACAGCAACTCTTAAGAGCGCTGCCTCAGTAACTACTTTACAAAAGAAGATTCAAGAACAACAAATTGCTCTCAAAGAACAAGAAGATACACTCAAATTCCTTCAAGAGCAATATTCTCAATTAGAAAAGAGCTATATTCAAGTTCAAAACGACAAGACACAACAACCAACAGGAAAGACCTTTGTTAGTTTAGAGCCAGAATTGAATGATCTTGTCATTTTCTTCAAAGGAAACAACAGCAATAAGGATATTTTCACTGCTATTAGCAAGAATGCCAATAGAATTATAATAGCTCCTGAATCTCTCGGCACTTTGAAGGAAAGATATGGCGAGGCATTCGAAAAATTGAACATTGTTGTAGGTAAAATTGTTTATTTGGAACAATCCAATCCTTCCTACAACCCATTCAATTTGAACACTCCTTACGCAACTGCTTTTATTGAAGAGTTGTTGTAAATAAATTTGTAATAATACGTCTACTTTGGATAGCATTTATATTTATTATTAACTGATTTACATATATTGATCGATTTTAGCTGGCATTTCCTCAATGGTTGTGGAATAGTGTTGTTCAATATCTTTCAAAACACCAACATCCATTTCTGTAACAAAGTTAATTGCAACACCCTTTCTTCCATATCTACCAGATCTACCAATTCTGTGAATATAATTTTCTCTATTTGTTGGCAAATCATAATTGATAACAAGTGACACCTGTTGTACATCAATACCTCTAGCCCACACATCTGTAGTGATTAACACTCTCGATTGACCTTTTCTGAATTCTTCCATAATGGCTTCACGTTCCTTCTGTGGCATTTGTCCATGCATAAATGATACTGTAAAGTTATGTTTCTTCATTTGTTTAGCAAGCCATTCTACTTTATCTCTCTTATTACAAAATATGACAGCTTGTGTAACAGTAAGAGAGTCATATAAATCACATAAAGTTTCAAATTTCCAATCTTCCTTTTCTACAGCAATGAAAAATTGTTTAATTCCTTCCAAAGTAACTTCATCTCTCTTTACAAGAATTCTAATTGGATCAGTCATAAATTGTTGTGTAATTTCCAAAACTTCTGCAGGAAGTGTAGCAGAAATTAATACAATTTGTGTATTATTCAATAGACGATAAATTTGATAAATTTGTTCCTTAAATCCTTGACTTAACATTTCATCAGCTTCATCCAATACCAGTAATTTGATATGTTTAGTATTGAGGTGTTGTTGTCTCATCATATCATAAACTCTTCCAGGTGTACCACTCACAACATGAACTCCACTTTCCAATTTTTTAATATCCTCACCAACTTTATTACCTCCAACACAGGCATGGACTTGTGCATGAAGATAATCTCCTAGGTATGACATGACTCTTTGAGTTTGTTGAGCGAGTTCACGTGTTGGTGAGAGAACAATTGCTTGTGGATGTAATTGTTTAATGTTTAACATTTGCAAAATTGCAATTGAAAATGTTGCAGTTTTACCTATAATGATGATTAATTTTTTAATTCTTTTTAAACTTACCTGTTCCTGATTGACTTTGTGCAATTAAATCATTTCCTTGTGTAATTGGTTTAATAGCTCGCTGTTGGATAGCTGATGGTTTTGTAAATCCATATTGATAAATTCCACGAAGTAAATCATCATTTAATCCCATATCTTCAAAAGTAGGACAAACTTCCAACTTGACAGAAGCACTAATATCCTCTCCAGTTTCTGTTTTTCCTTGTTTTTTTAAATTATTTACAGATGATTCCGATTTTTTTGATGTTTTACTTGAATGAGAAGTAGTGGAGGAGGAAGCTGCTGATGATGACTTTTTACCTGATGATGTTGATTTCATTTTTTATTTTCTTTTATTGCATTCATGTACATATTGAACATCATAAAGAGGATACACCAAAATTCTCAACAACAGGAGATGAAGCCAATTCGTTATTAAAGTGGATCCACACTGGTTAAATTGGAGATGTTTCCTCTCTGCATATGTATATCCTTCTCGGAAAACAATATTGCCCTCTATGGAACACATAAAAAGAATACACAAAACAATCATTATTACAATTTAAAAACAATTTTATTTTGTTATTATATATTTTGTTAATATAATTTTAATGTACATTCACAATTTACAAGCCAAGAAGTTGCTTCTTCTTCAAATCAAACTCTTTTTGAGTAATGACACCCTTATCCCTCAAGCTGGCCAATTTTTCCAATTCAGAATATTTATCAGAATCACCAACACCTCCAGTTTTAACTTCTCTCTTCACTTCACTCTTTAAAGATTGTTTCGTCTCTGTTGTAGTTATGGAAGGAACTTGACCCTTCTCATATGGATTTTGGTTGACAGTTTTTTGTTTATTCCAATCGTGAAGTACTTTTTGATTGGAGAAGGTAATTTTACTATCATCCTTTTCTTTTGCATTGAGTGTTAACATGGTATTGTACTTGTGAGCTGAGTGAAAAAAACTTATTCCAAATTTTATATAAATTGTGTAAAAACTCACCTTCCTTGTCTTTTTGCTCAAAGCTGTTTAATCTATCTCTGATTGAACTCATTTTTTTTTATAATTATTGTTTGATGACATTTGAAGGATTTTTTAACTTCCTCTCATCAAATTTAAAGAGTTTTCATATGTAAGAGAGAGTGTAAAAAGAAATATATTGCCTTTACAAACAATAACCATTCAATTGTTTTCTTTTACTGTTTTCTTTTACAAAAACTTTCAAAAGTAAATTTAAATTCAACAACACATCAAACTCATTTGGTCCAGTCAAGTCAAAAGCCAAATCAATCAAAAAAAAAATGACATCTAACACAACAGTTGCTAATGATGCTTTAACCAAAGTAAAGGAGAACGTGGAAAAACTCAAGAAGGATGCTCTTAACCTTGTAAATAATGTCAAAACCAAGAAACAACTTGAATCAGATGATCTCAGAGTTGTTTCACTTGCCTTGTTAACACTCTGGACAGTTCTTTCCTTACTTTTACCTGGTGTGATCAGATTTATTTTAGCTAGTGGTTTATCTTTCTCAATTTCTGATAATTATGATAGTGTAAGAGTTGTTGATGAATTTATCAGATTGAGTGGATGTTTCACTCTTGCATTATTCATCTTGAATTACTTGTCAATTAATTGGAACAATGATGCTCAAACAGATGTTTTACGTGTAATGGCCTTCTTCAATGCACTTGTTGTGGCAGTTGGTATTTTAAATTTGGTTTCAGGTGGTTCATTTGCCTATTTGCTTCTTTCCATTGTTGCTGGTGGTTTGGCCTTCTTTTATGCAAAGGCTTCAAAATTATTCTAAATTATTAACAATTTCTTGTTATTATTTTATAATAAATAGCAATTAAAATAAATATGTGATCAAATGATATTGAAGAAACGTGTTTAATAAAACGTGTCTATTTGGAATCTATTATTAAAAGGTTGGTTATCATCATCATCATCAGATGTATTAAAGTTGTATTATGTACATGATTTTAGTTACAAACAAAAAAATGTCTACCGAGAAGGAGGAATCAACAAGGGAAAACACAACAACTGTTGTTCCTTCCACTAATGACGATAATCAAAAGAAAAATATTACATCATCAAGTGGTAGCAGTAGTACTAATGCATCCACATCATTACCGGAAGAGAGTGATTTTATTTCTAAAGCCCTCAGCCTGTTAATCATGTTGGGAGTTGTTGGAGTAGCACTGTATTTGAGGTCAGTCAATCAATCAGAAAAAGTCTCTCGCTTAGATACTTTTCAAAAAGTTGAAATTATTCCCGAATTATTTATTACTTCTGAGGATGGTAGTAGAAGAAAGGACAATATTGATTCACTTGTTGTCTATAAACATGAATGGTTAATAACTACAGCTAAAGCATCCAATGCATTATTTATATTTGAAGCCAAGACTGGAAAATACTTGTTTACTAAATCTCTGAAAACTGGAGACTACGAAGCAAATAGACCAAATGGAATTACTCTCTTCACCATTCTTGATAAGGAATATTTATTTGTCACAGAAAGAGATGGAAGGAGAGTTTGTATTGTAGATATTGGAGATGATTTCAAAATTGTCTACTCATTCGGAGAGGAAGTATTGAAGAGACCTTATGCTCTCGATTTGATGAAAACAAATTCTAATCAAGACGAGGAAACTTATCATGTCTTTGTAACTGATAATTACATGCTCAAAGATTCTAAAGGAAAACTCAAAGTGGTTCCACCATCTGACAAGTTGGACAAGAGAATTCAACTCTTTGAAATTATCGCCAATAAGAAGGATTATACATTCCAATCTAAATATGTCAAAAAGATTGGAAGCATACTTGAGGAGGCAACATCTGGAGTTTTGAACATTGTGGAAACTGTCGTTATTGATGAGGCATATGATAGATTACTCATTGCTGATGAGCATATTTTGAATATCAAAATATACAATTTTTCCTCACACGAATTTTCAGGTAATACCATTGGATTGGCAGCAGGTCAAACCACTAGTACCAATAATGTAAAATGTCCAAAAGATTTTTCATTTGCTGGCGAACCAGAAGGGTTCGTTATTTATTCCTGTCAAACCACCAATAAGGCTAGAAGTGTAGAAACAGGATTTTACATTTTCACAGATCAACTTGATGATAGAACCAAGTTCCACATTGTAAGAAGAGACAATTTGTGTTATGTTGGATCTTTTATGGGCAATGTTGTTTCCAAGACTGATGGTGTCACTATTGATGAAACATTGGGAATTTTCTACGCTGTACATAATGATAGTGTTATTGGTACATTTAAAATTAAAGATATTCTCAATCGTGTAGTGAAGAAGAATTTGAGTGCAAGTGAGCTAGCTCAAATATGTCCACCTCTCTAAAATCTATTTTTCAAACCAGAATGCATAACAATTTCAATTTTCTAATTTGAAGATTTTGAACGGCACCCAATAGTATTAAGATATTTGAAAATCATATTGCTAGCCATTCAACTTCAATTATAAAAATAATAATAGATAATTTATTGAATATCAAAAAATTTAAAAAATGGCCTCTACATCACACCACAACTCGGAAACTGTTGTTCTTTCCCAAGCTCTTGATGCTACAAATAAACCAATTGTTGCTGTAGATATTGATGAAGTATTGGCACCTTTTGTACCATTATTGATTGAATTTTATAACAAACATCATTTACTTGAAGGACAAGAGCCATTAACTATGGATTTGTTTCATAATTATCATTTTAGATATGTATGGGGAGGAAGTGAAGAAAGATCAAGAGAAATTGTGAATCAATTTCTTGAAAGTGATTTATTTATTAATCAACCAATGTTGGACAAGTCATCATTTAATGTTTTACAAAAATTAGGAGAAAAGTACAAGTTGGTTATTGTCACATCTAGACAATACAAGATTAAGAATCAAACAGAAAATCTTTTAAAGACATATTTTCCAGAAACATTTGCTGAAATTCTTTTAGGTAAGTATTGTTAAATATTTATTTTAATAATTCTAAAATATTTTCATTAAAATGATTTAAAAAAGGAAACCATTATGGTGACAATGGAGAAACCCAAATGTCTAAACCAGAAATGTGTAAACAATTGAATGCAGTATTACTTATTGATGATTCTCTGAAATATTGTGAACAATGTGTAAGTGAGAAAATACCTGCCATTCTATTTGGAAATTATGCTTGGAATAAAAATACTGAACCATTGGATAATGGGTGGATCATTAGGGTAGATGGATGGAGTCAAGTTGAACAAGCTGTAGAAAACATGCTTAAACAACATAATCACATATAAACATTTTAGAATAATTTTAACTAAACAACACAAAAATAATTGAAAAATCAGGTCATTATATTTTCAAGTATTCCAATGTAACGCTCTTAATAACAACCTAATTTCCACAAGGTTCGCTCCCATTAAGGTGCTTAGTTTTTGACTATTCGAGAAGAGTGCTGTAATTCAATTTTCCAAATTGGTCCAATAGCTCCATTGCTTGCATTAATATGAAGTTGTGGATTTCATAATGCCAATCTGCATAATATTATTAGCGTGTGTTATCTTAGTGGCTGCACATTATCTTCAATTTAAAGAAATTAAAAAAAATTGCAACCACTTTATCAAGAAAATGTCCTCTTTTCGAAGAAAAGGTGTAAAAACAATACTTACACTCCTCTCCGCCACAACAGCTGTTTTTACAGGTTATCAATTTAATGAATTTTTGAAGAAACAAGATAGATTTATGAAGAATGATATTTCGGAAGAGACAAGTAATTTACTAACCTATGACAGAAGTAAATTATTAAATAGTAAAACAAGGATTGGAGAAAATTTAACTGATAAATTAGTATTAAAAACAGATAGAGAAGAAAATATTAGAAAATTGGAAAGTCAAGAATTATTTGACATTATTGTTATTGGTGGAGGTTCTGTTGGAAGTTCTGCTGCTCTAGATGCCACATCGAGAGGCTTAAAAGTTGCACTCATTGAAAGAAATGATTGGGCAAGTGGTACATCATCACGTGCTACTAAAATGGCTCATGGTGGTGTTAGATATTTAGAAAAGGCTGTCATGAATTTAGATTGGAATGAATTGATGCTTGTTTATGAATGTTTGAGAGAGAGAAAGCATTTTTATCAAGTTGCACCACACCTTTCATCACCTTTACAATTATTAACACCTTGTTATACTCTGTATGATTCTGTGAAAATGTTTGCTGGTTTGACATTATACGATTTTCTCAGTGGTTCTGAAGCTAGATTGGGTAATTCTGGGTGGGTATCAAAGAAAAGTGCTCTCACTGTTTGGCCATCTCTAAAAGAAAAAGGACTCTATGGTTGTATGACATATTATGATGGTGTATTCAATGATTCTAGAGTGAATGTGAGTACAGTTTTGACATCCAATGCTCTAGGTGCTGTAACTGTTAATTATTTGGAAGTAATTGATTTGTTAAAATCAACAGAGAATGGTGAAGTTAATGGTGTTAAAGTGAAAGATAGATTGACAGGTAAAGAATTTGAAATTAAGGGTAAATGTGTTGTAAATGCTACTGGTGCTTTTGTTGACAAGATTAGACAAATGGATGATCCAACATGTGCTCCAATCATTTCCCCAAGCGCTGGTACTCATATCATGTTAAATATGGATAAATTTGTTAAGGGTATAGGAAAGCAACTTGGCATATTAGTACCAAAGACAAGTGATGGAAGAGTTTTATTCCTCGTCCCATGGGAAGGCAAATTAATTGCAGGTACTACAGATCAACCAACTAATTTAGATGAACGTCCTTCACCAACTAGCTCTGAAATTGATTTTATTTTAGATACAATGAAATCTTGCCTCAATGTTCCACTTTCAAGGGAGGATATTTCATCTTCATGGACAGGAATTAGGCCTCTCGTAAAACCTCCAACCAATTCATCGGAAGGAACAAAGAGTATCTCCAGAGAGCATTATATTGACACGAGCAAGAATTCTTTAATAACTGTAGCTGGCGGAAAGTGGACAACATTCAGAAAGATTGGAGAAGATACCATAGATATGGCATTGACCGTTTTATTTAAAAAATCCCCAAATTTAGCCATTGTTATGGATCCATTATCCAAGACAAGGGACATTCCATTAATTGGTGCCTCAAAGGAATGGGAAAATATCAAACAAGTTAACAATAGTCCATCTTCATCCATTAGTGATGAGACATGGGATCATCTGAAACATTTTTATGGAGATAGAGCTACTGAAGTATTGGAGCTCTCAGAAAAGTCAAAACTCACCAGCAAACTCTCAGAAAAGTATCCAATCATTGAAGGAGAAGTTCTCTATCAAGTTAAAAACGAAATGGCACTCAAAGCACACGATATTATTGCCTATAGAATGAGTTTAATGTTCATTGATAGAAATGAATCAAAAAATATTGCAAGAAGAGTAGTTGATGTAATGGGTGATTATTATAAGTGGAATGATCAAAGGAGATTGAAGGAATACCAAGAAACCATTTCATATATTGATGAATGCACAAAAAATTAATTCTTGAATTTATGAGAGACTATGTGGTTGACTTGATGATATTACTTTATTTCTGATAAATAAATTTCAACTAAAAAAATGTCTCACTATTTGCCAACCACACTCTCAACATATGTTCTGGCAACTAATACAGCCTTGTTCAGTTTTATTTTACTCCTGTTAATATCATGTTTTTTATTATTGTGGATAACAAGTAGAGTGAAAGGAAATAAGAATCAATTAAATAATAATTTGATGATTGCACTACATGTTTCTGTGACTGTAAAATTATGTAATATCGGAATGATTTGCCTTTTTTTATTAATAATACAATCAGCTGTATTTATTTGGTATGGATGGATGTTTGATCAAAGTGGCCAATATCAAATTGTTCACTTGTCAGGATCAATAATTTTAGTTATTTTGGATTATTTATTTCAGGTTGCATTGACATTGTTCGTATCAACTCTATCTTTTGAATGTATTAGGAAAGCTTGCAAAGTTTCAATTATCAAATATCATGGAAAATGGTTTTCAATTTTATGTTCAATTTTAATATTTGTCACTATTTTCACACCCTTTTTTGCTTATATTGTCACACCTATAGCTTTTATTTTACACCAATTTTGTTCATTTGTTTCACCAGGAATTGTGGAAAGTGCTACCTGGTCTTCAAATCTAGTACATGCGTCAGTGATAGGATGGTGCTCAATCACAATGATTGGATTTGGATTAAAATTGAGGAATGAAAATAATCATCTTGTTGATCATTTAGATAATGATTTTAATGAAAACGAAACTCAAGTTTCATTGAAATCAAAACAAGCTGGAAATTTATTTATTTTCATATCAATTGCATTATTGTTATATTGTTTAATATTCCTCATCCAAAATTCATTTTTGCAAATACCACAAATCTATTCCAGAGAATTGAGTAGTTTGAGCTCGAACACAACCTCTGTAAATATTCATTTGTGGTTGAACATTATACCTCAATTCTATAATCCTATCTTGTTCCTAGTTTTTGGACTTTGTCTTGGAAAATTCAACAGCGTTAGAGATCTAGATATGTACATTAATCAATAAATTATTATTATTTAATTATCTGAAGAACTACAAATTGGACAAGCCACAACTCCGTTATTATTTGTAAAACATCCCTTATGGAAAACAAGTTTACATGATTGACACTTGATAACCTGGCTAATGTTAAAGTCATAAATTGGACCTGTTGCACAAGAAGCACATAAATTCTTTGCCTTTGTTTGACATAATCCACACTGATTAATTATGTGTTCACTTAAAATATGGAATAGTTTGGAAAGTTTTTGTAAAAATGGAGAATCAACTTGTTTCATGTTCAATTCTTCTAAATTCTTAATACTATACATTTCAGTATCGGTCAGGTAGTGTAATCTGTGTTGTAAATTATGTTGTTTGATTAAATTGTCTTTCATTGGACATCTGGAAACATATTCCCATTGGATGATTAATCTCTTTCTGATCATTCTGGCTGCTCCAAGATTTTGAATTTCATCAAATAATGTTGGTTTTATGGCACTGACACAAATAATTGGTTGTCTGTGAACACTTTTAAGATATTTGGAGGCTTCATCGCAAACTTTGTATGGTTTGAAATCCCAACTACCCAATATCTTTGCTGGAATAACTTCTGTACAGGTATTGGAATGACATTTGGTACAATAGTATTTGTTTGTATAATTACAATAACGTGGCTTTTTGAGGAATCCGTAATCTTTCCAAATCTCTCTACCACATGGACACTTATCACCTTGTAATTGAATTTGCTTTGTTTGATCTAACTTTTGAGCATTCTTAGCTTGTTCATCCTCTTCAAGAATTAATTGATAGTCAACATCATTAATGATAGACATTATATCACTACCATCTTCGGTGAGTGCCTCATCATTGTTTTGATCGAATAACAAGTCACGATTATCCATAGCCGATAAAGTAGTTGACTTGTTAGAAATTGTTGAGGAAGGAGGTGGTACCATCTTTTCAACAAATACGAAATCATCACTTTCTTCTCTCTTAACTGGTGTTGTTTGTGATTCCTTATCAGCTAGTGCTACAGTGTTGCTGGTTGTTGGTGGATTGGATTTAAGTGTTTCAATTTCAGCATCTTTTGTTCCTAATTGCTCATTTGCTTGTTCGAGTGATTGTTTAACAAGTTGAATTTCTTGTTTGATAATCTCATTTTCAGATTCTCTTGTTTTGAGATTAACTTTGGTCTGTTCAAGTGATTGTTTTAGAGCTTCAATTTCTTGCTGCATTTGTGATATCTTATTTTCAAACTCAATTTGCTTGTTAGATAATTCAGAACGTTTAGATTCCAGCTCTGTTTCAATTTTTGTCCTTTGATCCATTAATTCTTTTTCCTTCTTTTTGTAAATTTGTTCTTGAATTTCACACTTGTTAGAAATTTGAATCTCCTTCAGTTTCAATCTATCTTCTCTATATCTGACCTTTTCAGCAAGAATTGAAACATCCAATAATGAGGTTGAATGAGGAAGAGTGTCTTCAATAATAATGTCTTTTCTTTCTGAGTATTGCATCCTTTCTAAAATGTTTTCGTATCTGTCCTTTTTGGCTTTCATTGAAATTTGTAAATCTTCAGATTTTAACAATGGATGAATATAACTCTTAAAAAAAGAATACATTTCACTGGCTGTTAATAATTTCTGGGCTGATTCAACATTACGATCAAAATCAACAATTATCACCTTTTGTTCTTGTTGTGGAGGTTGATCAGCATCATCAATTTCTGTAGCGTCTTCTTCAAATTCAGATAAAGTGTCAGAATCAGCAGACTCAGAACCAAGTAAAGAGTCAACTTCTAGATCAACCCTGTTAAGTGGAGGAGCTAATGATACATTTTCAGATAATTGAGCAATATTCGAAACAGTCAATTCAAGTTTTGGTTCTTCTATGGTTTCAATCTTGTCGGTTTGTTCCTCAAGCTGAATAGATATTACTGAATCCTTCTGTTCTTGTGTTGGAGAGATCTTTTCCGATTCTTCTTTTGGAGGGCTTTCAACAACTGGACTAACAGTTTCGGTTGAAATTTGTATCTTAACTTCTTCCTCCTTCGATGATGTTGGAATAGCCCCTTGTTTGATTTCACTCTCAGGTTGAACAATATCTGAAGAATCATGAATTTCAGGTGTTGTTCCTCTAGACGTCTCTTCTGATATGAAATAGGATTCCATAGCTGCAATGATGGAATTTTCAGAATCATTGTCAGAGAATGAGTCATTTGTCTCTACCTTTGGAGAAAGCTCAAATGCTCTCCAGTATGGCAGCACTTTATCAAGCTCCTTTTCGAAGATATCCTGTAAAACCTTGGCCATTCTAACCTGAGGTGATGACTCTAAATGGAACATGAACGAATTCGTAAATACGGTTTGTATATCCCTAATAAATTCATCAATATAGACATAGTGAGATTTTTCAAAGTTAGTTTTGATGATTGTAAAATCTATAGGTTTTTTGATAAACTTGGAATAATCTCTAAATTCGGCGAGCTTTTCATTAACAGGAGAGTTGAAATGGGATGCATATTTATGGCTCATAAGAATGGAAAGAATTCGTGTCATATTATCTCTAAGTTCTGAATTGTCTCTGAGACTGGATGAAAATCTTGGAGGTGGAGTTGACAGCAGACTAATATCATTAATCTTTGAAGAGGTATTTTCTGGGGTGGATGAAATTTCCTGAGATGATATATTTTCTTCTTTTTGAGCCAGAATATCTATTGGTTTGGATTGTTCTACTTGTTGAGTTTGAATTGAAGGAGGTATTATTTCTTCAATGAATTGGTTTTCTTGAATTTCCTGATTAATATTAACCTCTTGTTTTGAAACCTCTTCAGTTGATTCTAAAATATCGTTATTCTCCTCTATAGAAGAGATATTCTCAATAGGAGTATCCTTAGGAGTTTCAATATTTTCTATAGATATTGTGTTAGAAATAGTAGGCTGTTGTTCCTCTGATTTTTCCTCTAATTTTTCATTTACCTGCTGTTCAGCAATTGCTGTAGGAATGGTAGATGAATCATCATCGACCCTAGCATCTTGTTCAGTAGGATGCGTAACAACAACCTGCTCATCTTTAGAGATTTTTTCAATAGTTTTTTCCAGTTTTTCTTGGCCAACACTGTTTGATACTTCTTGATTTGATTGAGTGATCATACTCGATTCTAACTGGTTCGATTGAACATTCTCGGATTGATTAGGCACTGATGAGAAATCATCTAGTAAATCAACTGGATCTTCCCTTATGACTTTTCTTTCAATTGTTGTGGTGGAAACTGTTCCAAAATCCTTTTCAACACTGGTGTTGGTTGTAGGCGTAATAGGTGTTGGAGTACTTGGTAGCGATTGTTTAAAGCTTGTACTCTTATCACTTTCACTGGTAGCACTTGTTGGAGTTAAATCCTCCGATCCAATACTGCTACTTGTTGCAGTGTTTGTATCAATTGTTTTTTTATCCAATTTAGTCTTCTTTTTCTTTTCAGTTTTTTCAGGTTTAACCTTCTTTTCAGTTTTCTTTTTTTTACGAGTTGATGTCACAACAATTTCATCCTCTTCCATGTTGGTTATTTCCTTGCTTTTTTTTGTTTTAAATATCCAAATGGATTTGAAAAGGAAACTTACAAATTAAAGTTAATTGTTGAAAGAGGAGATACTAAACTCTTTAAAAATAATATTTCCTCATCCATAAAGAATAAATCATTCACTCGCTCATTGTAAAATTTCTCTTTTGGTATCATTGAAAATAGGTCAACCAAATCAATTAATATTTTCTCATTCAAAGTTAATTTAATAATAGAACTATCATGTGACTCAAAATTTTGTAATTGTTTAACTTTTGATTTTAAATCTGATTTGTCAATGCTGAACGTCTTGTTCAGAGGAAATTGAGAAAAATTTGTATAAATATATCGGAAAATGTCTTGTAAAGTAATGGATGCCACCAATCCATCGGAAAATAAACGATGTAAAGTTTCACTATTGATGATGTTTAAATTAATAATAATTTAGTTGACATGTGTTTCAGCAGCAACCTACCATAATTCATTGGCTCCTTTAGACTCTTCATCAATTTCTGGCAATGTTAATGAGGCTTGAAATATTGTCTTGATGGCCATCTTGACCATCTGCAGTCGCTCCGAAAACATTTTTCAAAAAAAAAATTTGATGAGAGTGTTACACCACTTGAATAGATCTTGATTTTTTTTTCGGAGTTGGAAAATTTTATTTTTCCTTTAACATTCCAACATTACTACAATTCTGAATAGAGTGATTCTAATCCTTGGCCTAATTCCCAAATCATCACACCTGCCAATCTCTTCTCCTTTACAAAATCAACTCTTGACTTGATGGACTCAAGAGTTGGGTAGGCCACCAATGTGATTTTATCAGGTTGTACAAACTCAAAAATGTGCTCTCTGGCCTCACTATCCCAAATTATACTATGAAGTGTTTGTGTATTATTCAATAATTCTTTCAATTTGGAACCAAGAATATGATCCAATTTAGTTTGTTTTGGTGTAAGATATTTTGAAATGAGGACTGTAGCTTCTTCAGTGGAATCCTTAATTAAATCTGATAATAGAGAATTGGTATTTTCCATTTCAATTTGAATGCCATAAAAATTTAAGCCAACAAATAACTTTTGAGCGATATTGGTGTTTGAGCCACTCAATGTAAAATAATTAACTGTTTGGTCAATAAATCCCTCAAGAGGACCATTGAAAATATACTTTTGAGAAGTGTCCTTAGAGCTCATATGAGAGAAATAATCATAGGTCATTAATAAAAATCCATCAACATATGGTTCAATTTCAATTAAATGTTCAACTCTGAACAATGCTGAAAACTTTTGTTCATTTCTCGTTGGGGGAACAAGAGATGGAACAACCAAATGAATTTCTCCCTTTTTGTTCAAGCTGTTTACCTTTTCCCTTAAAGATTTCATAAAATCTACAATAATGTGTTTAATTTGATCCATAGGTAAAAATCCAACCTCTACAACAATTCCATCCAAGTCGTAGGCTCTTATGAGTTGTCCTATTTTATCAATAATTGGCTGATGTAAATTCTTGTTGAATTTTGGTTGACCATAAAAATATCTAACTTGTTCTTGACCCCAATGGGAATAATCGAATTGAACTCTTGGTAAAATCTTGGCTAAGATTCATGAATTATTATCATTCAAAATTCATTAAATAATTACCTCCAATATTTTGTTTTTTCACTTGTTTAATCCAATTCATGTCCACATCTTGAATTCCTGTAATTTGAAATGGAGAGTTTGGTTTTTGTTGGGATGGTCGAATTTGTAACCAAACAGGACTAATTAATTTAACTTTTTCATGTGTTTTGGCAACATTATATCCATTGCTATTCCATGGTGTGACAAAACCTAACACTTTATTTGATCTAAGAGAGGCGCTACTGCCAGTCTCGGAAAGTAATTTTTCAATAACTTGTTCCTTTTCATTTTCCGATAATTTTCTCAAGGTACTTTGAATACTGCTGCTACTAGTGATCAAAAACAAGATGAGAAATAATGTAAATAAAAGGGATGTTTGCATTTTTTTTTAAAATTTTAAATTAAATATTAATCAAACATTTCACTAAAAGTATCTTCTGTCATTGATATCATCAGAAACTTGGCTCCCACTATCTGATTCCTCTTGGTCATTCATTTCCATATGGCCCATTGTCTCAATATCACTCTTGTAGGAATAACACCTCTTAATAGAAACAATAGTTAAAGGAATTACGAAAAATGCAAAAATTGCACCAGATGCAATCAAAAAACCCAATGCCAGATATCCTGCCAAACTTGTCAATTGAGATCTTCCTGGATAATAAAAATCAATTGTTCTTTCATAAAATCCAATAACGCTCTTATCAAGAGGATTAACGTAGCAAGATCTTGTTTCCATAATTTTGGAAAACATGAGATATTGAGCTGGTATGGCTGTTGAATTTTCGTTACCAGGGAAGTGAATATTTAAAATGTCGCCACTTTGTAAAGGTTTAAAGTTCTCATCTGTTTTATATGAAACTACAAACTCATCAATTGTAATTTCATTTCTTTGGCTGACACCATCACTTGAATAATTTACCAATGCTTTGCATAATTTGAATTCCAATTTATCCGTAGACACTGTAATACCATCAACTATTACAAGGTGATCCCTTTCATCATCCGATAAGTAATGTAAGTGATCGAAAAAATCAGAAAATTTCCATTTATCTTTTGTGACAAGTAAGTCCTCCAAATCAGATTCAGTACAATTCACGGACAAATCCCTGACTGTACAAGATATTACATCAGAAAGTAAAGGATCATCTTTAGAATTTCGGGCTAAAATTGTTGATGAAGCGTAAACATAGAGGAATAGAGTGGCCAAACCAACAATAATCAGAAAAATCAAACAACAAATAATATTAAAAATTGATAAAATTGACAATCGGATGAGAGCCTTTTTTTTGATAGAACTCCTCTCCAAGGAGTGTTCATTATTTCTGGATAACACGTCTCTAGAAACAATACTGTGCATTTTTTTTAAATTTAGTTTTGAATAAGATTAAAATTCAATTTATTATTTTAGTAATATGACTTGAAACTAGTTTAAATAAATTTAATTTTAATCAATTTTCAATTTATTGAAAATTTTGAATGAAAATCAATCAATGATTTGAGTCAAATTTATTAATTGAAAATGAATGGAAAAGGATAACTTTGGTCCAACAAAAGAAAATAATTGTTCATTGCTAATAAATTCCTTCAAAACCTTACGAACATTAAGATGACGATCTATCCATTCCTTCTTTAGTTTGGAGGAAAGAAAATTCTTTTCATAATATGAGTTTAGTCCAAATGTAACACAACCATAATCTAAACAATTAACAACAATATCAAATCTATCCAAAATTTCTAATGGAAGTGTTGGATTTTTGGAGAGAACACTCGAAAACGTATTAAAAACAAAATCCACTAATTTCACCATATTGTTAGCAGTAATTCTTGTTGAAAAGTGAATAGGAGGTGATAGTAGAACTATTTGTTCAATAGAACAAGACAACTTGTGGTCTTGCTTATACTTGAACTCTTTTCTGTCAAAATAATCCATTCCACTTAAAGAAAACAAGTCATAATCTATGGGAATAGCTTGGCTGTCGGCATGTTGATAGTAGTAAATGGATCGGCTCTTATTCCATTTTATCATGAATAGAAACCCATTGCTTAGACCATTGAAATTGGGATCATGGCTCTTATTGGAATAAATAGTCCTTTCTATGAAATCATCCTTATAGTACAGAGAAGTAACAAGGTCCTCCATTGTCTTGGCACAACATTTCACAACAAGAGTATCCTTATCAAATTCAATCTCATCTCTCTGCAAATCAAAACACCAATCAAATCTTAGTGAAGAAAATGAATAGTTAGAACACTTTCCAGAGTTATTCCTTGTAAATATTGATCCATCAGAGAGTAAATAACCAAAATCTTGAAAAAACTCTCTATGAACACCACAATTAATCAAAATACCATTATGTTGATACTGTTTTGAATTTTCTTCACAGAGTGACCTTACTAGATATTCGTGCACTCCCGAGGGAATGTTTACAGTTACTTCATAGGATACCAAGGAAAGTGAAACTGTAATAGATTGAGGATAAATATCACTACCGATCTTCATATGGAATGAACCGTAGTCGGTTGTATCAGTGATCATAAAATCTGTAACCTGTGACAGTGTTTTAAACTGATATGAACATTCTTGTTGAGCCTTCTCTTGATGGACTTTGTATGTTGCACTATTACAATAATTCGATAATGATTGATTTAACCTTTTGGAAAAACTATTCCAATAAGTTGTGGGAAAGGTGGCATTGTTAAAACCCTCTTGTAGAAGATATCTCGTCAAACCTCTGTTTTGTATTTTTAAAAATGATTCTCTGTTTAGCATTCTTATTATGAGAATGGGAGATTTGATTGCCGTTGGATTGAAGTATTGTAATGGTACACATGATTGAGAAGTAATGTTATGGAATAGAATTGCAAATAAGTTGTTATCATCATATTCACGGTTGTTAATATCTTCTAAAATGTCTGGTAATACAAGTATCAAATTATTCCTTAACAGTAAATTACTTTTTTTACAATGTGAAAAGAGACGGTTGTAGAGTGGAATTATGGCATCAGCAACAGGTTCAACAAGATGTGAAAATACAAAATCTAAAACAAAACTTTCTTCTCTTGAATTGGAAAATTCCTTCTTATTCACTTCCGAATATTGTTCTTCAAGAGATGCTGGTTGTATCAAAGTAGTAGACTTGTCGTTTTCTACAACTTGATTGTATTCTTGTTGAATCTTATTCTGAAGAGATAACAGAGTGTGTTCAGTATCGAAAACGGTGAGCAATTCACATTCATAAAAACCTTCCGTTAAAAAGGCAATTGTGATACCGAGTCTATTATTTCTATCAATAATGTTATCAGTTTGTTCATTAAATATTATTCTTTTGAATAAAATTATTTTCAATTTCAAACCTTGTTCATTGATGAGAATATTGGAGAGGAAAGGTACTTTTCCATTATTCTTGTTATCAGAAGATATGTTGGAATTATAATGTTGTTCTTGATGGATATTATTATTTTGGAAGGAAATAGTAGTAGTATTGAGTAGTAAATCATTACTACTATCAATATGTGATGGTACTTTGATTGAAGAACATAGATCTTTTAAATTTTGTTCAATTAATTCTTCTAAAAGAGATTCAACAATCCATTCGATTTTTGTCTTGTCATCTTGTTGATATTTACTTCCTAGCATTTTAGAATTACTAGTTTACTTTAAAACTATTAAACAAGCTACAACTAGGTATTATTATTAGGAAGTGATTATCCACATAATTTTTTCAATTATTATTATTTATTAGAAAATATAATTGTTATTGCATGTTGATTATTATTATTGATATTTAAAAACATTGTATTGCTGTTTTTGGCGGGAATGGAACAATTCCACAATGGTTTTGGATTGTTCACTCAAACGAAAGAACCAATATAGCAAGCGTTTTCAATGACAGTAGTTTTTCACAATTCTGTCAATTGTATAAACTATATTTCACTGATCAAAATAATTGTATAAATCTTTCATGTATGGGTCATGACAGATTAGTACTATGGAACAGAGATGTGGATTGTTGTGGTAAACCAATTCTTTAAGAGTCTCACTCCTATAAAATCATGTTTCAAATTCAATCGATGTGAGAAAAGATCTGAAATTCATAAGTTTTCAAATAGTTCCAACTTATCTGGTCACTGTTATTTCAAGTAAAAGCGCAAAAAAGAAAGAGATAGTATAAATGATAATCTTTACTATTACATTTTCACATCACGTCCATTTTGTTAAAATATTATTCTAATAGTTTTTGTTGAATATTGATACTGAATAATAGTAGTATTGTTATAACTCAAACAATTTCATTCATTTACTTTTTTGAAATTTTATCTTCCTAATTGCGTAAAATAGAGAAGTGAATCAAAAACATCTGGAGAATCCTATTTGTGTGAAGCCAACGTAAAAGGAACATTCAGCGCAAAGTGTGATTTTATACGCCATAAATGTTTCTTCATGACTCACTTCGGCGCTAAAAGTTTGCGCATCATATTAATAGACGCGTTAAAAATTCAGTGCTCCAAAAAACATCAAAAAAAAACCATTCTTCTCTCCCTTACACTTGTTAAAATTTTTTAGCATACAAGGCAGACGTTATTTTCATCACAGAGAAACCTTGCCAAAATATTTTTTCTAAAACCCGCTTTTTCTCTCAATACGCGCCTGATTGCCTCACCCCTCAACAACAACTTCCACAACTAGGCTTTAAAAACTTGTGTACAGATACATCTTCATCATTCCTTTCTAGTTTCCCTTCTCCTGTTTCAACAATAACTCTAATCATCACCGGATATAACTCTATTTATTCACTACATCCTTTCCCTAGCATTTACTAAACATCACAACTCCTAACAACACCATGAATTTCTATTCAGCTTCATCATCATCTTGTACAAATAATACCATGTCAACCAAGTTACACCAACCATCCACATCCAGCCAGCCTACTTTATACATGGATGTACAAGAGACTTTTAGCGACTTTACTCTAAACGGTTCAGACATTTCTCCAACCACCACTCCAACTAGATTCAATGATTTGTCAGTTTTTAATATTGACAATGATGACGAAGAAGGTTATTCCACACCAACGGGTGATATAACCTTTGTGCCTGAAGAAAGTTGGGTTTACTCAACACCAACCAAGGCAAGAGGAGAACCTGTATGCCCTGGTGCTCCTAAAAGAAAGAATAATATCAATGATGATTCTTTTTCTAGTTCTCACTCCCTCTCCTTTTCACAATCCCTCCCTTCTGACAACGTCATTTCTCCAAAGAGAGGAATTACCAAGCAAAAAAAGTATAGAAAGACCTCTCCTTCTGCTGCATTTGTAAGAAGACGTAGCTTCCCTAACATTAGACTTGATTTTAGTGATATCGATGTTAGTGACGAAGGACAAAACACCAACTAGATTTTTCACTAGTTTTGAATATAACACTACTAGTGCTTAACTACTAACACAACCCTCCATCATCATTACATCAACATTTAAACAATCTGCCAACATTTTGTCATGTTGTATTGCTGGTCGCACAAACGTGATCATCAATATCTTGCGTTGACAAACTTGAAGATTGGTTTATTGTTTTTTTTTTGATTGTTTAAATGTTGACACCATTGTAAATATCTGAAAACAGCCGTTTCATTCTAGGAGCTGTAAAATAACAAAAATAAATAAAAAGTATAAAATTATTCATTATCAAACGAAAATTTTACTTTTAAATTATAATCGAGATATTTAATCTCCCTTAAATATAACCAAACACTTGGTTTATTTGGTAGTGTATTGATTTTAGCATTGTTACAAAACCGACAATGAATCTGTAAACATTAACTGAATCTCAGAGTGATGTTGAACTGTTTTACATAATACTGCTGAATGTGTTAATAAAAACTCAAATCTCAGTAAAACAAATACAATGTTGAATCTCAGTAGTTGGCTCAATAACAATAGGAATATTCGTAAATTTGAGAGATTTTAATTTTCTTGTACTGACAAATAATATTCAACAATGGTTAATAAATGTTTTGGGGGAATTCTCTCTTCAACAAATGATCTATCAATAAGTAAATTGGTTTTTGAAGCATGAGAATTGTTAGAGCTTGCTATAAAATTGAAACTGACATGTCCTGACTTCTTTTTCATATGTTCCTTGGCTTGTAATTTTTCTTGTTTGTCAATTTCCTCTCTAAAAAAAGACTTGAGAGGATCTGAACTAGGTCTCCTCTTTACAATATGACTGTCTCTTCTTTCAATTCCAACAAGATTATTTGATGCTTTTGCTATTTGTAAATTGGCTACAAGCGAGCCACTTGGGATACTAGAAACATCATCATTACTTAAACTGTGCTTTTTCAAACGTTCTGAAATACTACTACTTGGAGATCCAACAGATGATGAAGGTGTAGTTGGACTCTTACTACTATTATTATTACTTCCCCAGTTGTTACTATTAATCATTAGGAGATTGTTGGTGGTATTGGCTGGTGATGATTGTGAAATGGAATTTCTCAAATGGTGTGAGAGTGAATTCCTTTGTGAATGAGTTACATAGGATGGATTGGAGATGGTCTTTCTAAATGCTTTTTTAATTTCATCACTCAAATGTTTCTTGATGTGGGAATCATTGAATTCTAATGAATTATTTTGAGAGATTAATTCGTGTGAATTTTCATTGAGCCAAGTGTTAAAATCCCACTCTGATAGAAAATTGTCGAGTTCTCTGGTTTTCTGTTCCTCTTGTTGTCTTAGCATTTCTTGTTGGAGAATTAATTGTTGAACGTGTTCTTGTTGTTGTGTGAGTGAATATCCATCCTTCCATGAATATATTGCTTTCTTGTTTCTATTGATAATTAAAACTCCAGGTTGAGTAAATCCAGTATTTAGCTTGTTATCTACATTGAATAATTGTTTCCATTTAGTTTCGAAAAATTCCACTATAAATTTTTCATCAATTTCAATATTATTTACATTGTTAGGTGAGTCGTCATCATTGTCATCATCACTAATAATTAGTGAAATATCATTCAATTCACTACCAATCGTATTTCTATTATGTGTATTGGTGGTACTTGAAAAGGCATCGTGTGAATCCCTCTTGTAATGATCTTTGTAATCTTCATGATTATGTTGTTTCTGTTGCTGGATTTTTGTTCGTTTCTGATTTGAATCCTGTTCATTCTTTTGTTTTCTATTTTTTTTCTTTCTATTGTTCTGAGCTTGTTTCTTATCAATAAATTCAATAATTTCAAATAGATAATCTGTAATTGTACTTCCAGTTTTTGTCATGTATCTATTCTTGTACATATTTTCAACCTTATTGTAAACTATTGAACCTTTCATGACACAATTCATATTATACTTTTCTGCCAGAATCATTCTTTCATCACTCACAATTTCAAATCTCAAATTTAATTGATTTTTTAATTGGATGGCTTGCTCTCTTGTTCCTGAAATGATGGCAGCCATATTTCCTCCAAATTCTTTTGAAATTTTATCCCACAGAATTTTATCTAATTGTTGTAAATAATTTACACATTCTTCACACCATATTCCTCTATATAGTAATGTGATTTTGATTGTATATTTTTATGTATTTATATACAATAAAATTAGGATTTTAAAAAGAATGTACATTAATCACACACATACCTAATGAAAATGAGAATTACAAAATTTGCCTTCCTCTTCTTTTTACTAATAGTACTATTACCATTTGGAGAATCATTTGGTTTGTTATTCTTTGAAAATTTAACCGAATACCTAGAAGAGGATAAAGTTTGAGATGAATTATTATTATTATTGGGAGGAGTTGATGATGATGTTGTGGATGGAGAAAAGAGTTTAAATATTGATCTTCTCTTTTCAGGTGTTGTGTTGGTTGATTTTCTATTGGAATTATTTTGAGAATTATTGAGTGATGATGATAGTGATGGAGGTGGTTGTCCATTTGAGGAGTAAATTTGTCGATGTAAACTTGATGAATTATTGGAAGGAGTATGAACAAATCCATTTGATGAAGTACTCTTTCTCTTTGAATCAAAATCATTCATCGAAAATACACCACCTCCATCACCATTTGTTGTTGATATTACTATATTCGAAGTATTATTATTATTATTATTACTATGATTATATAAATTATTATTTGTGTAATTATTATTGGGAAGAGAGCTAGTCGTACTAGTGGTATTATTAACAAATGATTGATTGGTGGAGGGTGTACCTTTCAACTTGGTACTATTTCTTCTATTGAAAAACCATGATTTCCTCTTTGAATTATCTTCTTGTGATGTTGATGCCAATGATGATGATGGTTGAAGTGGAGGAGATGATGAAGTAGAATCATTTAAAAATTGTTGTTGTTGTTGTTGTTGTTCGAGGAGTGAATTATTATTGCTAGTTGAATTATTGAGTGAGGAGGAATTATTGGTAATTATTGATGAAGAAATTGATAATTCATTATCGGAGGAGGAGGAGCATTGAGGAATTTTAAATAAACTTTTCAATGTAAAATACATTGAACATTTATCTAAAAACAGTGTACGATTGGGCATTGTGGTTGGTCATTCAAATGTTTTTGATTCACAGGTGGTGTTGTTGTTGTTGTTGTGGGATAGACAGCTATTTGACGTTTTTTATTTAAATAACATGTCAACCTTCAACTGAACTTGGGGTAATAAAATGGCGCACAGTGAGGACCTTGTTTGAAAACTAGTTGGATTTAAGGCAAGTAATAATTCAAAGAACTAATTGTCCAGTTTCATTCCAATTCTTATTGTAATATTAAATTAGAATCTCCTTTCATTTCTTGAAATTGTCTTGCCAAATTTGAAAATGTTTTAATATAGTTTTTATCCATAAATGTATATTAACTATTTATCGAAGGTCCATGTAATATTTACAAAAAGATTCATGTTCGAAAGAGGGGAGTTTAATAATTCGAAAAAGAATGCAACCAAAATTCAATTCACACATTACACTTGCAGTTATTTTAGTACTAGTAGTACTACTGTTGACTATTAATCCAACGAGGGCTCATATTTCATGGGGAAAATGTAAAGATACCATCAAGGCCATGGAAAACTTTCAATTGGCTCAATTTACAGGAAATTGGTTAGAAATAGCCAAGTACAGAAATTATTACGAAAGAGGAGTTTGTCAAAAAATAGATTTCACAATTAATCCAAACAATACAACTCAAATTCTTGTCAATGCCTCAGAGTATAGGAAGGGGTCCTCTCGTTCTATGAATGCTACAGCAAGTGCAATTTCTTCCGATACTCCTGCTCAATGGATTCTCTCAGTAAATGTTACTAGAAAGTGTAAGAAGAAACTAATTCATTACACAATTGAAACTCCACTCATGGTATTAGATACAGATTATTCAAATTATGCAATTCTCTACTCTTGTAAGAATACTAAATTTGAACTTTTTCATAAGGAATATTTGTGGATTTTGGGAAGAAGAATTGATAGCATTTCTGAAACAATGATGAATGATTTATTTAACAAACTGAAAGATTTAGAAATTTCTAGAAAGTATATAATGTTTTCAAGACAAAACTATTGTTCAGTAAGAAGAAGAGGAAAGAAAGATGATTAACAAATGCTATATGAAATATAAATTGAGATCAATAAATTTGAATTCAATATTAAATGAAAAGCAAAATTATCCTAATTAATGAATCTGCTTACTGAATCTTTAATTAAATACTCTGCTGTATACTACTGAGAGCATTACTATTCATGAAGTTAAATTTTTGTAATAATTGCAATATTTTTATTAGAAGTGTTTCATCTAACACAGGACCTTTGAAACTAATGCAGGAGTGAGTGTCCCACTTCTCCTCTAGCCATGGAAGGAAATGCTGACTTCTAAATTAGATAATATATTTACAATTTATTTACAATAAATTATGCAACAAGTTGCTCGTTTCAAAATTATTCAGTACTTTCCCAAATATTTGTAGATCCATGATTCATTGTTTCAAAGAAGGATTTATCTAATCCTCTCTTCTCCAAATTGCTTTCCAAATCAATCTTTGGTTGCATTATTGGCTCAGTGGTTAAAATGAAAGTTCCCCAGTGCATACCAATTTGTTTTTTTGATTTGACATCTAGAGCAATCTGTACAGCCTCTTCTGGGTTAATGTGTTGTGGTTTCATCATCCACCTAGGTTCATAAGCTCCAATTGGAATAAATGACATGTCAATTGGGCCATATCTATTACCTATTTCTGTAAAACATTCAGAAGAATAACCGGTATCACCAGCAAACCATAATTTGAACTTTCTAATCTTTTCTTGTTCAATTGTATCAACATTCTGTACTGTTTCAATGTTATCATGATCTTTGATAAATTGGAATTCAACACCCCAAGATCCCCACAATGCCTCATTTTTATCGAAACCTGATCGCAATGACCAATGCTGAGCTGGAAGGAATGTGAAGGTAATATTAGAATCAAATTTCAATTGAGAATCAGTTTTGTGTTTCATAGATGTGTTAAAACTAACAGATTTCCACCAATCCAATTCCACTAGTTTCAAACTGCTCAATTCCTTGTGGTTCTTTTCCTGATAAAATTTTTCCATCCATGAATATTTCATTCTCAATGGAAGTAAAATTATTGGATCATGATGTTGTTGAATCTTAATGAGTGCATTATAATCAAGGTGATCATAGTGATTATGTGAGATAATTATGTAATGAATTGTTGGAAGATTTTCAATATCTATTGGAAGGGGTTTTATGCGTGAAGGACCAAAATATTGTGAAGGACTGCATCTTTCTGAAAATACAGGATCTGTGAGAATATTTACACCTCTGTATTGAATTAAAAATGTAGAATGTCCAATCCAAGTTACTTGTGGAGTAACATTATTGTCACCTTTGACTGATCGAATATCAGGATTGAATAAAAGATCCGTATTTGGTTTGATTTGTGGAAGTTCTGTATCGGAAGGAATTTGTGGTTTGTTCTTTGCCATTTCTCTTTGAAATTTTATAACATCCGTTGTAGAAGCTGATTTAAACCCTTCGTATGGATATTGAAATTCAGTTAATTTACCATCATTTTTTACAATCCAATGAGAAGGTATTGTATTTGAATAGTTATTATCCCTTCTAACTTGTTCTACATAGTGTTTGTATGAATACTTATTTTCCTCCATTTGTTTTTCAATACATGATCCTATAATTTGAGTAGTAGTTTCATCATTTGCTGATAAAGATGGTTGTTGATGGCTTGCTTGTTGTCCCATTTTTTCCGAAGGTTCTGTTTTCCTTCCGTGTAAACATGTTGTAAAATTGCGTCTTGAAACCATTGTCTTATTGTGAGAATAAATATTTGTCAAGCAGTAGTTGTTGAAAATAATATTATTATTATTGAATTTGCACCTTAGCATTTTTTATTTGTAAGGAAATTTAATTTATGAGAAAATCGGTGTGAGCGCACTCTTGCAGTTCTATTGGGATGGACCTTTGATTATGGTTTTGTGCGCACGAAGCTAACAAGGTATTGTTGCTTATCTATTTCATTTGGTATTAAGTGGGTGCATCTTTCTTTGGTTTATTACTTCCTGCCATTAACCATTTCTCAAATAATGATTTAAAATTGGAAATGCTATTAGTGGTTGGATTGAGTTTTCTGTTTAGCTCACCATGTCTAACATCAAACAGTCAATTAATGTTCAAACTCTCTATTCTTTTCTTTTTTATTGGTTTTGTTGTAAATTATCGATGGTTTTGGATTGGTTTGAAATAAATTTTACAAAATAGAATATTTATTTACCAATACAGGAAATACACACTCTAATTAATCCTAATATGATACCACAACAACATGCCAGTACAGGTACAGTTACTCCTACCACTATACCTGCAATGGCACCACCACTCAAAGGTTCACATCCATCTCTATTCAAATCATTGGCTAATTTGAAAAATCTCGCTCTTTCACAACCAACAAATGATGTAAAAGTTCTTCCCACATAACTTTCCATTTGACTTTGAAGACTTTTCCCACCACTAGACCAATAATAACCATTTGTAACACGAATGGCTGGATTGTCACATTGAGATTCATCACAAAAATACTTGATTGTTGGATTGAAAACTGTAGTGTCCAAATCAATACTATTCTTCAAGGGACCATTCACATAAATTTGAGTCAACCTTGGTCCAAAAGATTTGTATTCATCTGAAATCTTTAGTTTAAAAGTGACTCTCTTATCAGAGGACACTACAAGTATTGTTTCCTTGATTGGAAAATTAATTGCAATCTCAATAGGTTCATTATCAAGAGCTTCAGAAACGACAAAATAAAGTACAGCTGGAGCTGCTTGCCAAGGATATAATTTAGATGAAGTTAAATTTGCAGGATTATTCTCTACTACAATTGCATCTCCATCAGCAATTTCACATTGGAGGCAGAAAAAACATGGATTTAATACTCCGTATAAAGCTTTTGTAAGTCTTTGATATCCACTTGCTGCATAAACAGCAGATAGTACCACAAGCAAACCACAAGTGACGACCCATAAAGTTCTTCTTTTTATCATCATGGCTGATGATGAAATATTGTTGGCTGATACATTTAATTGTTTCATTTTTTAATGAAAAGATAAGTTCACAGGTAACGACAAGTATTGTTTAAAAACCGTTTAAAATTGTTCTGACATGTTCAAATGGTCGACCTTTCGCAAATTCTTATTAGAAATGATTAAATAGCTTATTGGAAAGTTTATTAAACTTCAAATTTTATAATTGTATCTACAACTTTATCGAAATCAATACAATGTATGTGAATTTTGTTGAAACGGAGAGAGATTCTCCTACCAAACTCCTTTCAAATAACAACAAAAAAATGAGCCAACAACAAGAATCGGCACCTCTCAACGCTTCCTACTATTCTAAAAATCAAGACAATGTTCCGTTTGTGATTAATAGTGATGAAGGAGGATATGAAGTAAATCCACAAATAACAATAGTTGATGCAGAGAGTGATAAAAAGGCCTTTTGGTTATTTGTGCTCGGATTTCCAATCTTTTTCTTACCGCTGTGGATTGTTTGCTGTATTCTCTATGCCCGATCGAAGAGTGAAAAGGCAAAGAAATATGGAGTGATGAGTGGATATTTTGTAATTTTTAACTTTGCATTTTGGGTACTGGTGATCCAATTTGTTATCGTTCCTCTGGCCATGATGTACTCAAAGTAAATAATTAATAGATATGAAAACCAGTTGAAAAAAAACATTTGAAAAATAATTTAATTGTGTGCATAGTAAAATAGTAACTTATTTCGAGAACACTTCAATAAATCATTTTAAACTATTTTAATAAATAAATTATCTTTTTATTAAATTAATTGTTAATGTAAATGGAAAACTATTTTTTGGCGGCAATTAATTTTTCACCCTTGCGCCCTGCCACAATTTTTTTGAGGTGGTAAAAAATTGTTTCCCGCCATCGACAATGTAAAGAGGAAAATACTTTAAAAAAAATACACAACAATGGAATTGAAGTCTTTGCCAGTCACCTTGCTTTCTGGTTTCTGTGATACCTCCAAATATGCATTGATTAAAAAAGTTGCTGAAAATACCGACAATTTGAAAGTACTCATCTTTGCTTGTCATTTGGAAAAGTGTAAGTTTTGAAAAGCTTGTGGAGAAATTTACCTAGTTGTTGAAAATAGTACATTTGGATGAATCTAAGGTTGAAAAGAAGACTGATGAACAAATCACTTTGAAAAACAAGTGTTTAATTGTCAAATTGACTGATCTTTTCTTTGAACAACTCAGTGATCATGTATTGTCTAAGGAATTTGATTATTGTCTTTTGGAAACTAATACATATGACGATCTTGAAGGAATGAAGGAAATGTTTTTAACTGATTTGGATGCTCATGACGAAGAACACGAACACACTGATGAGTGTGAACACTCCGAAACAACCATGAATCAGTTGGCTCCAATTTCTAATATTGCCACTGTTGTTGATGCTGCTACTATTGTAAATGATATTAGAACTGAAGAAACTCTTGTTGATAGATTTGGTGAAAAGGTACCAGGTGCTGAAAACAGACATATCCCATTCTTGATTGTTTCTCAAATTGAAGATGCTAAAATCATTGTTATTAACAATGCTGAAAAGGCCGAAAACATTGAAGAAGTTCAAGCTTTAATTAAAAAGATTAATGGAAAGGCCAAGGTCTTTACTGCCAAGAATTGTGATATCAGTCCTAAGGAACTTTTCGGAACTGAACTCTTCTCATTGACTGATTCAAAGAGTCAAGTTCCATCTTGGTTGAGCGAAATTAAGGGTGAAATTAAGTCTGAAACAATTTCTGGCATTTCAAGTTTTGTTTATAGAAGAAGAAAGCCATTCCATACTGAAAAGATTTACAAATTCATCTATGGTAGCGACTACTTGAATAAGGAATCAGGAGTCATTAGAAGTAGAGGTTTAATTTGGTTATGTACTAGAAATGATGACTGTTGTGATTGGAATCATGTTGCTCAAATTGCTGAAATTACCAACGCTGGTAAATTCTTTTCCTCATTAGATGAAGAAATTATTGCTGATTTGGAACCAGAAATGGTTGAAGAATTAAAGGCCAATTGTGAAGGACCACACGGAGATAGAAGATGTGACCTTCTCTTTATTGGTAAGAATATGAACCAAAAGGAAATTGAACAAAAGTTGGATGAATGCTTAATTTCTGATGAAGATTTGGCTAAGGGCCCAACTCACTATGAAACTATGTGCGAAGATGAATTCCCTGAATTTGAAGAGTTAGATCATTTACTTGAAGATGTTTCTGATGATGAAGAAGATGAAGAAGAAGATAAGGATGCTGATATTGACATTACTTCGACTCCAAAGAGAAAGAGAAACGATGACTCCTCAAAAGGTGCCAAAAAGACTAAGAAGGATTAAAACTCGACTACGAACTAGGATAGTAAATTGTGTGTAACAAATTACTAAATCATAATTTCATTTTTACATTGTTAAAATCTCTTATCCTGATATTGTAACAAAATACACGTTTGTAAAAAATTACTTTTTATCTTAGCTTTTCATTAGTTCAAAAGTGTGGCTGATTGACCATTTCTATTCATCTTCTTTTCAACACCATAAATGACTCTATCCAATAAGGCACTGACTGTGAAAACACCACCAATAATTGCACACAAACTTGTTAAGAATTGTACAAATGACTTCTTATTCTCTGTGATGTGAACCATAATTGGAGAAAGGTCATAGATAAAGAATACACCTGGAACTACATTTGGATGTAATCTATTCTTTGGTCTAGAGTGTTGAGTTACAGAATATTGATTGGTAATGATAGAATTGGATGAACCATATTTTTCATAAATGGTTGGAACAACCTTGACAAAATATTGGAAGAGAGCTGATTCTCCTTCGACACGTTGTCCAGTTTCAGCATTATATCCAATAATCTTACTTGTACCATCCAAAGGATTAATGAGTCCAGGAATCTTTTCACCAAATCCAAGATAATTGATAATGTGACTAGTATTAAAGTGATCAACCTCATAGTTTGTATAATCATGCATGTGTTGTTGAGCACGAACAAATGATTTGCCTGGAGCAAAATGGAAATTACCAGCAACCTTATTAACCAAAAAGTAACCATGCAAGTTGCATCCTTCTTGCTTGGAGTATTTCATCTTTCTTTCCAAAATTTCCTCATAACATTGTTCAATATCTTCGTTTGGAGAGAATGCCCATCCAACACGACGATAAGATTCACGAACATCATCACAAGTGTTACAACATTGATTAGCATCTCTATTAGATCCGTAGCAACTTCCACAATACTTTGGATCTTTGACTTTCTTTGCTCTCTCAGCACGTATTTTATCCAATTCAGCATTATTAACTAAATCATGTTTAACAGCACCTGGTGGTGGCTTTAAAATGTCCAAAGTTGGTTTGTCATCAGATACTTGTTCAGCTTGTTGTTCAATAATTGGTTTTCCATCCAAAGTTAATCTCATCTTGTAAACAGTGTGGTAGTCGAGATGAACGTGATGTTCTCCACTGACATCCATAACATCCAAATTTAAAGCATCACAAGAAACAGCAGGGAAGGTAATATTAATATAAATTGGAATTTTACGTTCTTGTTGAGTATCAACATATAATTGATCAAATCTTTCCACTTGTAAATACAAATAAAACTCTCCTAATACAAGGATCAAGATGACTAAGAGTGAAATGATAGAGACTGTCCGAATGTAATTATCAAGTAATTTAATTATCACCATCATCAAATATTGAATATGATAATGAATTAATAATATCAACAATATTAATAAAAATTGAAATTCAGGTAAGAGATCATATATATTTCCTCCCAAAACTTACTCAGACCACCTCCCAAAGTCTTGACCCGAAAATCATCCTGTGTTTTTGGATAAAAATCAAAACTTTTTAAACCCATTTTTTTCAAGCCTTTGCCGTTTTATTCGCCAATACGTGTTCGTTCTCTCTAAATTTCATGCAAGAATAGTGTTAATTATTGTTTCATTATCCATCATCTTGTTATAAACTGATTAGAAAACCCTTTTGCAATTATTGAAAAGAATCCCTTCCTATCAATTTGCATGATCATTAAAAAAAAATAATCATCATTTGGAAAGAGTTTTAATCTCTCAAAGATTTTGAATGATTCGGAAATGGAACAACAAAAACAACAAGAAAAAACATTCTCTCCTCTCACACAGAAATATCAACATGTAAATACAATGATTTCTGGTGTCTTTTCAGGTGCAATTGCAAATTTTGCACTTCATCCACTTGATTGTATAAAAATTAGAATGCAAGCCAATGAGAGAGGAGTTAAAAGGTCAACCTTTGTTGGATTGAAGGAATCTGCTAAGGTAACAAAGGCTATTTATTTAGAGGAAGGATGGAGAGGATTTTATAGAGGTCTTAGTACAGCCATGGTTGGCTCTGGAACTGCTTGGGGACTTTATTTTACAATGTATGTGTGTTATTACATTTTCATAATATTTAAATGAAAATAGTTATAATATGCAAAAGCATAATTATGAAAAAGATTTTGGAGTTAATCAAGTACCTGCTTTGCAGTTGACTTGGTGTGGAGTACAAGCTGGAGTTATAACTAATCTCATTACACATCCAGTTTGGTTGATAAAGACCAGATTACAATTACAAAATAATAATACAACAATACCAATATCAGAAGCATCTCATCATTTAGAACAAATCAGATATAATGGACCAATTGATTGTGTTCGTAAAATAATCAAACATGAAGGAATCAAATCTCTCTATATTGGACTGACTCCAAGCATGTTACTTGTTTCACATGGTGTAATACATTTTGTTTGTTATGATAGAATGAAATCTCTATATTTGAATTATAAGAATGAAAATTCAAATTCCACTCAATACTATCTCAATGGATGGGAATCATTTACACTTGGATTTTTAGGAAAAGGTGTTGCTGGATTGGTAACTTATCCACTCCAGGTTATTAAAACAAGGCTTCAAGACAAGAGTAACTACTATCACCAAGAACGATATACTGGATTTTTAGATGCTACAAGAAAAATTTATAGAAATGAGGGATATAAGGCTTTCTTTAGAGGAATTGTTCCTCATGTTTTAAAGGTCTCACCTAATGGAGCAATTGTGTTTATGCTAAATGAGCAAATTTTGAAATTATTATTCACAACAGCGGAGAGAAAATTCAAGAATGAATAAATACATATCATACTTTGGTAGTCTTAATTGACCAGAATTATTTTAGAGAATGACACAAGTAGCTCTAAAAATCTTAATGACTTTAACAATCAAAAATTATAGTTTTAAAATAAATTTATTTGATTAGCAAATTTACTTCTTAACACTAGAAATTTCAGTACCACCCTTAGCACCAAGCAAGTACTTAATACGAACATAGATAGCGAATTGACCAGCAGTCAAAGCACCAACCATGATAATTCTAGGACCGAGACCCAAGAAGAGACCACGTGGACCCAATTCCTTAGCCAAACCAGCCAAACGAGAGGTGATAGAACCTTCAGCACCCTTTTGCTTGTTGATCTTTGACAACAAGGTATCAGCAGGTTGAGAAATGATGGCAGCACAAGCACCAGCAATCAAACCAGAGCTCAAGTCAACAGCAGTTTGTCCACCAGTTGACATTTCACTCTTTGGCTTTCCGACCATATTAACAATTTGTTCAACAGCCAATTCGTAAACAACGAACTTAGCCATAGTGTATGGAATTTGCTTCAACAAGATTGGGAAGAAACCAGAGTAGAAACCACGGAGGACACCTTCTTCCTTCAACAATCTCATGAAACCACCTAACAAACCATTAGCAAAGTCTGGTTGAGAGACCAAACGAATACGAGTAGCTTCCAATGGACACAAAGCAATATCAGCAAAGAATTCAGCCAAAGCAGATGAAGTCAAATAGATAGCAGTACGATTTTCAGAAGCCTTTTCCATACCCAAAGAGTTGACGAATTGCTTCTTGAAGAATTCGTAACCACCAAACTTGAAGGCACCTTGTAAGAAATAACCAGCGAAAGTTGGACCAACACCAGTCAACAAAGCAGCTGGACCTTGTTCAGAAGCAACTTGACGGAAAGTAGCAGCCATACCTCTGTTGTATTTAACTGGATCCAATTGCTTGAGGGTCTTGACAACGTCTACAGGTGTGAGGGCACCGTGAGTGAGTGAGCAACACAAAGCTCCAGACAAAGCGAAACGGGCGTACAAGTCAACACCGGTTGGGGTCTTATCAGCGCTCATTATGATGTTTAAATATTTTTTTTAAAACAAAAATATTTAATTATTTTAAAAAATGATTGTTATCCGATATTTCCCTCTCGGATATTTTGAAATAATCGAATTAGCTTGCACATGTGGTGACTCTAGGTATGGAAACTGGAAAACATCAAAAGATTAATTCTTAAATGTAGTAGAGAATCATGATCTTCTGAATTACAATTGCAAAGAAGTGGAGAGTAAAATAATAGGATTTTGATTGAATGGTGATTATTTTTGTAACTTATTCTTTTTTTAGTAATTTTGTTTAAACATGTCATTCATCTTATTTATTGAATTTTATTTGAAACCGTTCAATCAATGCAAGAATGAAATTACAAAATTGTATTGATTCATTGTTTCCCTTGTCATGTTTCCTTAAAAAAGTGACATAGTTTTGGCAACAACTAAAATGTTCAGCTGATAAAACTAATGGTTCTATTGTGGATGCTAAATGAGAATATTCAGAATTTGATAAATGCAGTAAAAAATAAAGACAAACTAATGTCATTCCTCCAGAATTGGAATGATTTTGAACTTTTGTTCGTTCCAGTTTTTCCACAACAATTTTGAAAAAATCCTTGAATGATTCTGGGGAAGTTACTGATAGATTCAGATAGGGAGAGAAAACAATATTCATCAATTTACAACTACTTGATTCATCTATGCACGGTACAAAAAAATATTCCAATAATCTGAATTTCAATTTAATATTAATATAATCCTTCCTATCCCTTGTGTACATGATGAGTCTGTATTCAAATCTTCTTCCATTTCTGCCAGAGCAGTGATATAGAGATGCTTTATATTGAATTGTTATCATTTTAAAATAATTAAAAAAAATAATTAAAACGTACCAATTAGTTTAGAGATGCACTTAATATTGTTTAACATAGCAATATCGAAATCATCATAAGTCTCATGTAGGAGTTCAATGTATTCATTAATATACTTCATCAAGTGATTTTCACTCTCATATTTTTTTTCATAGAGTAATAATGATAATTCAGAATAATCATTTTCAATACTAAATAGAAATTCTTCAAAGAATAAATTAGAAAAATAATCGAGCAAGTATCTAGCCATATCGAATTCCATATTTCTCAAAATGTGCGAAAATAGAAAGGTACAAACAAACTTTTGATTCTTGTCACCAGGATAAATATGAAAAAGTTTGGATTCATCTCTTGAATTATAATTAGGACTCTGCTCAATTTTCAAATCAAATCCAAAATATAATTCTCTTCTAATGATTGGTATTTCAATAAATATCCAAGTACAATCTTTTAAAAATTGAATCAAATCAATAATATCAAAATCAGATGAATTGAAATACATCCTCTTTGATTCAATTTGATCTCTGAAACATTGAAGAATATTTCTCCACAAAATAATCAATAATTCCTTTGAAGGTAAATGGTAGACTTGTTTTTGGTCTCGAGAAAAAGTTGATGTTAGCATTCGTAGTCTCTGAAGGGCTAAAGATCGATACTCATTCGCAGAATAATGCTCTGATTTAGCACTAGATATTAAAAAGCTTTCATTGTGAGCAAGTATTTTGAAGTGTGGTAATTTTCCAAAAGTTGATGATGTATGATAATATTCATCATCAGACATTGTAGAGCTATTATTTTGATCCTCATTCATTTTTTTAGTTAATAATAAATAAGAAAAAAATAATTTTTTTAAAATAAAACTCGAGTTAAAAAGATTTACTTCTTGGATGGTTCCTTCTTTTCGACGGACTTGATAACACCAACAGCGACAGTTTGTTTCATGTCTCTGACAGCGAATCTACCCAAAGGTGGATATTCAACGAAACCTTCAACACACATTGGCTTGGTTGGAACAATCTTGACGATAGCAGAGTCACCCTTCTTGATCTTTTCTGGGTTAGCTTCTTGAGTCTTACCAGATCTTCTATCAATCTTTTCAATGATAGTTTCGAACTTGCAAGCAATGTGGGAGGTGTGACAATCCAAAACTGGAGTGTAACCGTTTCTGATTTCACCAGGGTGATTCATGATAATGACTTGAGCATTGAAAGAAACAGCTTCTCTTGATGGATCATTCTTAGCATCAGAAGCAACATAACCTCTCTTAATATCAGTGGTGGACAAACCCTTAACGTTGAAACCAACATTGTCACCTGGACCAGCTTCTGGGACAGAAGTGTGATGCATTTCGACAGACTTAACTTCAGTATCAGCAGCTTGACCTGGAGCAAAGTGAACAACCATACCTGGCTTCAATTTACCAGTTTCAACTCTACCGACTGGGACAGTACCAATACCACCAATCTTGTAAACATCTTGGAGTGGCAATCTCAATGGCTTATCAGTTGGTCTAACAGGTTCAACCAAGTTATCCAAAGCATCCAAAAGACATGGTCCCTTGTACCATGGCATCTTATCAGACTTTTCAATCATGTTGTCACCAGTCCAACCAGAAATTGGGACGAATTGGACACAGTTTGGCTTACCTTCTTCAGTTTGGAAACCCAAAGACTTCAAGTATCTACCAACTTCAGACTTGATTTCTTCATATCTCTTATCAGAGTATTTGACAGATTCATCATCGAACTTGTTCATACAGACAATCATTTGCTTAATACCCAAAGTGTAGGCGAGCAAAGCGTGTTCTCTAGTTTGACCATCCTTGGAGAAACCAGCTTCGAAACCACCGTTAGTTGAGTCAACAACCAAGATAGCAACGTCAGCTTGGGAAGTACCAGTGATCATGTTCTTAATGAAATCTCTGTGACCTGGAGCATCAATGATGGTGAAGACGTACTTCTTAGATTCAAACTTCCAGAGAGCAATATCGATGGTGATACCTCTTTCTCTTTCAGCCTTCAACTTGTCCAAAACCCAAGCATACTTGAATGAGGATTTACCCATTTCAGCAGCTTCCTTTTCGAACTTTTCGATGACTCTCTTATCAATACCACCACACTTGTAGATCAAGTGACCAGTAGTGGTTGATTTACCAGCATCGACGTGACCAATGACGACGACGTTAATGTGTGACTTTTCCTTACCCATTGTGTTGTTTGTTGTTTTTTTTCGACGAAAATTGTAATAGTTGTGCTTCGTCAGTATTTATCTTGCGTTTCCTTCAACAAAACTATGCACCGTTGGCTTGCGTGTTCAAAAATCGCGATACATCTCTCTGCTGCACGTTCCGACTTGAAGGCCAAGCTTGGTTGACTCTTTTACAACGGAAAGTGGCAAAATGGCTTTGAAGGTGACACTTCAGGTACCTACTCTATCCTTCTACAGTTTTCTCTCTTGTCATTACTAAAGTAGACCTTTAGTGAGTTTATTATTGAGGTTGGTTAGAGTTTGTGATTCTTGTCGTATCATTCAAAAATATCCATATTGGCAGTTAGCTCCAACTGAAAAGCCACTCATTAATGAGTGCAGCAATACTTAGTAATTAAAATTTGAGCTTTGGATTTTATGGGAAGCAATACGCAAAAAAATTGGAATTGAATAATAGTCATGCAAGTGGATTATTCTCCATCATTACAACTAACATCATCAATAATTAATATTGATAATAATCAAATAATAACAAATAATTCTTTTGCCGACAATAATAATAATGAAAGTAGAGTAAGGGATAGAGAGGAAATTTATCAACAAATTATTCATCATTTAAATTACCTTAGAAACAATACCTGTACTAAAATTCATCAAATTCAGCTCTGTAATTTAATAGTATCCAATATTGATTACTTACTTTATGAGTGGCAAGATATAACTGATGACCTTGTTCAAATTTGGATGAACGGAAAATCAAACTCTTCACTCTTAAATTTAATAGTTTGGTTATTGTCTGTCTATTCATTTCTCTCGCACGAATATCCAATACATACACAAATAGGTATTTTAAAATGGATCATAGATTTAAAATCGGGTAGTGTTAAAATTCAACCTGACCAAAGAACATTTATCCAAAAATTAGAAATTTTATTCAAACATCATACTACATCAACACTAATGATTAATTATTGTTTAAAAAATGTTTTTAGTTCTTGTTGTGAACCAATTTGGTTGAAAAATATGAAAAGTAATATTTCACTTCAAACCAAGCTCAATATTTCCTTTTTAAACTTGTTCAATTTTTCAAAACAACTTTTAGAGACAAATGATTTTAGATTAATTGTTCAATCTCTTTTAAAATTCGGTCAACATGACTTAGCTATAGAATTTCTTGATGACAAGACATCTAAAATTGACTCACAGTATTCATTAGATATTGGTTATTGTCATTTATGGTTATGTAGCATTGTAATAGACAAGTATAGAAATAATGTACTTGACATGTACAGAATACCATTTAGTGAATTGATATATTTCATCAAGGAGGTAATTTGTTCAGAAAATGGACTTTTTCAAAAGACTCAATCTTCTGGAAAAATTGTTGAAATTCCAAAAACTTTATTTCATCTATTTGAGGATGCATCTCTCCCTCAACAATTCATGCTCAATGGGCAATTAATCGTAAGCAATCATATTGAGTTAATTATTGATAGATTAGTCCATGCATCAACACATTTTCACAATGGTGGTCATTTGAAAATTGCTTTCAATATTTATCAAAGACTTATTGAATACTACACACAAGTGCCAAACTCTGAAAATATTCTTGGAGATTTGCACAAACAATGTTCATTATGGTACAATGACAGAAAAGAGGGAATTGAATATCTATCTAAATACTGCAAATATTATTATGTCTCTGTAAAAATAAGCTCAGAGAGACATGAGGAATTTATTTACAGATCATATCATTTTGAAAATATTGATACTCTAATTGAAAAGAGAATCAAAACTGATTTTCCAAATTTTACAATAATCAATTCTAGAAATGTTCAAATATCAGAGGGTTCTGTTAGAATTTTACCAGCATTTGAAGAAAAATCAAATTGTTTTATAGTTTATGATTATCAGAGAGAGGACGATAGAGTTTTTCCTGAAGATGATAAAATTTTTGGATGTAGTAAATCAAGGTATTTCATAGGAGATGTTGATATATTTAATAATCAGCTAGATCAACACTACTCATTAATGATTTTAAGGGCTAGGGTTATTAGCTCAATATCAGTGTTTGATGAGGCAAATCAAATGCATGCCAATTGTCATTATTTGACAAATATGGATAAATATATCAAGAGAACGAGCCAAATACTGGCCCAAAATATTGTCAATGGTGTTTCACTGACAGATTCAACAACGTGCTATAATTTATTTCTATTCATTGGTAATTTAATATTTGATATTATGGAGGGAGGAAAGTTGGATTATGTTTTAGGATTAAATCAATGTAAACAAATTATTTATTGCTACAAAGGAATTTATAGAGATGAATTGGCAGATAGAAAGAAGGAAATTAGAAGAAAATGGATGAAGGAGAGAAAGTTCGCCACTGAAAACAAACTTGAACCACCACTAGAACCAAGTTTGACAAATCTAATTGAACATAATGAAGAATTCTTAAAGCTTAAAGATGCATTTAATCAATTAATGGACTCTATCAATCATGCATTCATTCTTTATAAGGAATTGGGAACAGCAATCTATAAAAATTACAAAGGTGTACCAGAAACGTTGGAAAAGGTACAAATACTCAAGTTACAAACCTTAACATTACTAAGTGAATTACCCTCAGTTATTGAAGAAATCACAACAAGCACCAGCACTGCTTCAGAACAATTAAATATTTAAAAAATCTATTTAAAATGTCTTTTCATGATGTCAAAACACTCCTGCAGGATCGATCGGTTAGAATTGTGAATGAAACTAGTAGGCTTTGCCACTCACTGTTGGAAGGATCAAAACAAGATGAATACATTTCAAGTTGTACCCGATTAATGGCAACCAAGTATGAACCAATGATTACTGGATTTTCGGAACAAATAACATATATTTCCACAACAACAGTTGATTTATCTGTGCAGTATGTAAATTAAAACATTATTTAAATATTTATTAATTTATATGGATTTATCACCATTTATTTAATATTTTGATTATTTAAAAATTATTTAATGATTATTAGAATTAATTTAATTGATAAAAGGCTTCAAAATATGAAACAGGCAAAAGAATCACTTGATGAAATAGTAAGCAAACTGAAAAGGATGGGATTTGAAAGTGAAGCAAAATCTAGAACCCCAACAAAATAATAAATAATTCTGTAAATATGTAAAAATTCATATAATTACCTTCTAAAATTGTAGGAACAAATCTTTGGCGCCAAAGAAAAACCATCACAACTACAAAAAAATGGGAGTACAAGAACTAGTCTCATCAAGAAAAGCAAAGGTTGTATTGACAACCAGTTTAGATGATAACCATCCAATATCGAACATGTTAGATGATAAGGAAGAATCATTTTGGATCTCAACAGGAATGTTTCCACAGGAAATAATGTTCCAATGTGAGAGTGTATTTAATATTCAATCAATTAAGATAATTAGCACCGGGAGTAAGTTTGTTACGTGATCCGAAGGAATAATTTATGGAAATTTAGTAAAACAATTAAGAGTAGAATGTACAGATAAAAATCAACCAATCCAATTTCAACAGGTAATGGACAAACAACTTGTTGATGAAGTAGTCCTCCAAGAGGAAGAATTTGAGGTTAAATCAGCTGCAAGATACATTAAATTCAGAATACTAAGTGGTTATCATAATTTTGTTAGTGTGCATTCAATCATTATCAAGGCCGAAACATAAAATGTTGATTTTACAATTTTTGTAAATTTATTCAAAATCAATATTCTGATCTTATTTTTCATCTAGCAAAAGTGGAATCCATTTCCTCTTCCACCTGCTGTTAACAAACTGCTAAGAAAACTATTATATGTTGCTTGACCAGTGACAGCTCCAACTTTTGCAGGATTAATTCTACTAGTCATGACTGAAAAACCATTTGGACCTTCCACTTCAATATCTATGATATGAGATTCCAATCTGGAATCTGCAACAAGTCTAGCCTTAACGAGGTCAAATCCTAGGTTCTCAGCAGCTAATAAAATAAAAAATAATTATAATGATTAAATAATAATTGATAATAACAAGTTACAAACCCAGAGAAGCTACTGCCATCGTATTGACATTGTTTGGAGCTATTGGACAGAGTGGACGAACAGGTCCTTCATAAATAACGTACTCCTTTGTAGGGTCATTAAGGGAAATTTGTAACTTTTCTTGCATTTCTGATGTTGTCAATTTCATACTTGCTGGATGTTTCTTCATGGTGACAGTTAATCCTTTCAAACTTCCTAACATTCCCATCTTTTGAATATCTAAAGATCCCCAAAGGGCACCACTACAGAATTCTCAAATTGACTGTTTCATTCAAATAAACTTACCTTGCAATATAACATCCATTGGTTGACGTTTTGGCAATTGACCTTATTTCCTCCTCAACATTGATATCAGCAAAAGCTGTTGGTGATCCAACAAATAAATCACAACAAGACAAAAATTTAGATCCATATTCTACAATTATATTTGGATGGGCAACTTCTACAATAATATTTGGATTCTTTTCCTTGAAATTGTCCAAATTATCCAAATGCCATTCGGATTTTAATTGTTTATCTTCCAATACTTTATCAAATGTTCTATTCCACACAAAGGCAATTTCGAATTTTTTAGAAGCCCTTTCATCATTTAGTATTTTATCAACAAGGAATTGACCCAACAATCCGTAACCAACAATACCAACACGAGTCTTATTGTCTGACATTTTTTTTGATGGTTGTCACTGGTCTATCATTGTAATGATTCGTCAAGTATTTCTTGTTAAATATTTATTGAACGATTTAAAGACAATAAAGAAAAAATTAAAAAATTAAATACTAATAATATGAATATTTACATTTATTCATCTGAATCCAGTTTTCTCTTTTTTTCTTGATCTGATGGAGATTTTGGTTTTCTCTTCTTTTCACCATCTTTCTTTACAGTTTTTCGTTGCATGGCTTCTCTATTTTGTTTCTTTTCCATTTCTGCTCTGCTCTTACTTCTACACCAAAAAGGTTCTGATCTACAAACTGGTCTTTGTGAATCAGTTTCAACTATCTGAATGAAACTAATCTTCTTATTGAGTGCAGAGTTTGGAGAGGTATTTCCAAAGCCAAGACTCATGCTCACTTCTTTAATTGGAGGGAGTTTGACCTTATAGTGATGATCACGTCTCACAGAGACACAAACATCAAATGGTTCATCCGAACTATTTGTTGATTTGTTGTTATTCTTTGAGACATCTTCTGTGAATTGAATAATTGAGTTCTCTGATAATAGCTCCATACAAATATCTGGAGTGTTCATAATATTTGTTGTAGAGAGATCACTTTCCTTTGATAATCCCCCAGCAAGTCCTGTTAAATAGTGAGCACTTCTCATTTCAATAGAATAATTGCCAATGAAGAGATTCATCATGTTTTGATCGAAAATTGAAATGTCAGCAATAATAGCATCACTACTAAAGAGTGAAGATTTTTCAAAAGCACAAGGTCTAATTCTCAATTTTAAAGTATCATTAACAAATACTGAAAGTCTAGTTGGTTTAGCACTCTTATTAACTGTAAATCCCATTGGATCACAAACCATACTGAGAGGTGCCACTTGTTGAGAATCTGAGCCAGTTGATTCTTCAGCTGAAGAAGAAGTAGATACATCTAATTTACCAAAAAGCCACTTGGAAATGATACAACGAAGTGTAATAGAGTTTGGTCCAGTTATTAGAGATTTCAAGTCTTCTTTTGGAAGTACAGCCTTTGATAACAGGGCACATAAACATCTCTCGTGAGGTGTTAATGCAATACCATCAAAATCTGCCTTTACAATTGTAACAATTGAATTATCAGAACTGTGAATAAAGTAATCGAATGTTGGTGAAACTTCTCTTGAAGCACTCTCTGCCAAATATTTACCACCTGTATTACCGCCTCTTCCTTGACCACCACGTTCTTTTGCTTCTCTTTTTCTTTTCCTCAGTAAAAGAAACTTGTGTGGATGGTTCCATTGTCTCATTATTGATGGATAGAGAGGAGGTATTTGAATCAACTTTTTCAGGTTTTACAATGACATTGAATGATTTCTCTTCCTTTTTAAAATCAAAAGAAAGTTTTTCACAAATATCAACATTTGGATCAATACTTCCAATGATATCATCCAATTCTTGAAAGATGGAAGGTGACAAATTAGACTCCCTACTAAAACCACTGTACTGAGGTTGTTGACTATCGGAGAATGTTGCATCATTTGTTGATATATGACTATTACCATTAATTAATGAATCATGTTGAAACGAATAGTTAGTGGAGGTATTATTATTTTGAACTGTGCTAGTATTATTGTTTGCTACGTTGAGATGGTTCATTGAGGATAAGGTTTGGACAGTTGTTGGTCTTTGTTTGAGCATGTTTTCCAACATGAAAAGCCATGGCTTGGCAACATCTTCCATCTCTTGATGTAAATTATGAGATGATTGACTTGTCCCCATTAACATTAATTCACTCAGCATACTTGTTGGTTGAATATTTGTTTGATTACTATTATTGATAGAGTTCGTGTAGGGCTGTGGAGTACTACTCATCAATAAATTATTGCTACTAATAGCACCATTGTGGTTCATTGAAGGCATGGGTTGTTGTTGTTGAGGAGGAGGAGTAGCAGTATTATTAGTTACATTGGTGGCTGTCAATGAAGATAGTACAGAAAGAAGACTTGGCGGTTGAACAGAGTTGTTGACTACAACCATTGAAGTTGAATTATTGGATGGTATCATACTTGTGCCATGATTATACAGGGTTTGTTGGTGGTTAGGTATATTGTTATTATTATTATTATTGGGTGTAGTCATGTTCATTAGAATATTCTGACTCAAAGCTTGATTCATTAAAACCAATTGGTTGTACAATAATTGTTGGTGGAGAAGAGATTCATTCGTGATACTTGGAGTATTGGTATGAGTTGTAATACCACCACTACCAGCAAGAATAGGTTGGTGGACACTTTGAGTGGAACATTGAATAGGGTTGGTATTAATTATTGGTTGCGTAAAAGTACTATTATTTGAAGGTGGGTGAATGTGGTTGGATGAATAGTTTTGAATGTTATTGGTGATGGTGGATGGAAGATGTTGTTGCTGAGGGGATGCAATAGATGCATTATTGGTGACTAGATTATTGTTACCAAGGAGAGTTTCAAAAAGTTGTTGTTGGTGGTGGTTGTACATTATGTTCAAAATAAATTAGTGAGAGCGTTTTCAATTATTATTAATTGTTGAGGAGAGGAGGTGACAATGTAAAATACACAATGATGACGATAAATTAATATTGGGTGTGTTAGATGCAATAGAGTTATTCTCTGATAGAGACCTGTCAACCACTTTCTCGCGCTTCTAATGGTCAAGATGCTTGATCTATTCAGTTTTTTTGTTGGAGAATTAATACGGAAGGCAACTTGTCAACATTAGTGTGCGACAACATTGATACATTTGGAAAGTATTTTGGCTTGTACAAATGATTAAACAGAGGTCAATATGTGTATGATAATAAGTATTTAAAATAAATATTTAAGAAAGGTTTACAATACACGTAATGGTTTTTTAAATGTAATAATCAATAAAATATTTTTATCAAAATTAACAAATTAGAGGCCTTAATTTGAGGGATAAAGCGAAAGACATAATATCCTTTCCATTTTTGTACATGTTGTGTTTTTAGATACCAGGTACCTGTGACATTTCAGGAATTGTTTTGAAATGTTTAAATTACAATTTTGTAAACCAAAACATTAGTTTTTGAATTTTTTGAAAATCTAATTGTTTACTTTTGGAAATGTTTTGCTCTGATACAACGAATTAATTTATCATTTTCAAAATCGCAATGTGTCTTTTGTGCTCTTGTGGATTGTAAACATATGAAGAAATTAAGTTGAAGGAATTCACAATCATGAATTGGTAAGGTTTGGTCTTTAGCTTGTTTTCCCTGATTAATGATTGTTTCCAAATATGCAGGTCTATCCCATTGTGTTTTTCCACTCATTCTTTCAAAATAGTAAATGTCTCCTGGACTTCCTCCTTGTATTGATGGTGATTGAGAATTGTTTTGATTTGATCCTTGATCGATTATTTGAGCGGAACCCCAATTTCCGTGTTGTTGGTAAAAATTATTTGCAAAACCTTCCAAGCACTTCCACATTTGTTGTTCTGCTTGTTGGGCTTGGTTTGGGTCAATAGTTGTTTGTGCTCTTATTTCCAACATTTTTCTATTCAATGGTTTACATGGTCCTAATAATGCAGCAGCAATCATATCCCTACGAATTTGGTCATTTTCGACAGCCTTTGGGGTTTCTGTTTCCTCGCTGGTATTGTTTCCGAATAATGAAAAACCTGATGATGAAGAGGTATCGTCTTTGCTCATTTTTATTTTTATTAAAAAAAATGTAAAATATTGATTGAAGTAGTTTATTGTCAATCAAAATGGCCAAGAAATTGTGGAATTAATTCTGTCATTACAATTTCATTTAAATAATTATTTAAATGATGATAATTTTGTTTTATTGAACATTCATTCCGAAGACTTTAAATTTTTGAAAAACTCTTAATAGGAAAACTAGAACTCGAGTAAGACAATGAATTGTCTTTCTTTTTTTTGGATCCTGTCATGAAGGTATTATCAGAATCTTTGGCAATATCATCTTTTTTTGAAACATCACCCACCAAAATCTTTTCCTTCACATACTTTTGCATTTCTGTAGAAAATGGTTCGAGATGGCTGGAGCTATAACTACTCATATATGAGGCATTGTATACAAAGGAGTCATCCACGTGTGTATCACCCAAAAAATCCATAGATTCAGAAAGATGACTTGCATTCAGGAATGATTCATCGCTCGTTCTTTTTTGTTTATCACTCTTTAAGGATTTTGCTGGACTACCAAAATCTTTCAAACTTGAAGATGAATAGAGTGGACTCTTGGTCGGATTTTCATGATCAAAATTTGATTTCTCTGAATTAACAGAAATTGTGCTATGACTCAAATGTTGTGAATTTGTTGGGACCGACTTCTTACTCGATTGGGAGCTATTTAAACGAGAGGATTGAGAACTACCTAGTCTTATTGGAGAATTAGAGATTGTTGGACTGATCATGGCTGAATATCTATTGCTATGAGTATCACTTCTGTTGGCAGATTTTTCCAGTAAACTAGAGTTTTGACCAGTTTTAGGTTGCAAGCTACTTATATTGTTTGTCATACTCTCGTTAACTTGGCTAGTGTTGGAAAATTTTGTTGAGCTTGTCAGGTTATTTTTAAGGGATGAAGTCATGTTAGAAGCTGAGCTTGATGAGGTTCTACTACTTGGATTTTGAGTGAAGAAGTTATTGGATGCGTTTAATGGAGGTTGACGAGGTTGTGGCTCTTGTTCGATATCATGGAAATTAGATTGGTCTTGCTTTTCGGAGTGTTGAATTGATTCTTTTGAGTTGAACGAATCAACCTTATTACATACTTCTTCCAATTTTTTCAAAATGAGTTCAATAGTTTCAGATTGACTTTGAATGATTTGTTTCATTTCTCTACTTTCTACTAGTAGCATATCAATTTTTTTATCCTTTTCGAAAAAGATGGAGCTTTCTACTGACTTGTCTGTCATGAATGATGTTTCATTGTTAGCTGTGTTATTAAATTGTTCCTTCATAGATTCCTCTGTCATTCCAGTAGAATATGGAGAATAAAAAGGTGGATAGAATGGAAAAAATTGATAAGGATTAGGATAGATAGGATATTGAGGTTCCATTTGTAATTGTCTTGTTGATTTTTTTTGTTTCGTTGTTGACTGTGGTGGGAGAGCAGTCTTTTGGTAAGTAGCACTAGGGTGAAAACCTTTGGAAGCTGGTTGAGTTTGGTGTTTAGCATGTCTGTTGTTATTGGATTGAGTAGGACATTGTTCCTCATTATCACTCTCCTCCGAAGGATTATAAAAATGTTGGAGAATGTTTCCCCTCACTTGGTTGGCTATTGTAGAAGACGGCTTTGAAGAAGGTTTTTCTTTTTTCATTTGGTTGTGTTGCTCCATGTGCATTACCTCATACGCATCACTGTTATCCTCTTCCCCAAACAATTGTTGATCAACTTGTTCACTAGAGAAGTAGGAAGAAAGGTTTTGTCTTGGACCGGTGTTGTGTTTTTGGTGGGGTTTCATTTTTTTTGATTTTGTTTGAATACAAACATTTTGTAGTTGTATTCCATTGAATAGGCGCCAATTGACCAAACAAACAAAATGAAGGACCCAAGTTCGAACTGAAACTTGATAAAATGCGTGATTGTTTTAAAAATACAAAGATTATTTTATTTAGTGAGGGCTTTTGCTCGTTCAAAGAGTGAATCCATTACAGAGTCCATATTTTCAATAGTTTCCAATGCAGCAGGATAACATTCATCCTTCTTTGTTTCCTCATATACAATAATACAATCATTTCCTTGATCAAGAATACCATTAAGTTTGTTATCAAGAATCATTTGAGAAAGTTTTCTTTCAACTCTTGTACGAGGAAGATCAATCAATGAAGAAACGTGAGTAATTTGAACACGAGAGAATGGTTCAATAATTCTCAAAAGATGTTGTTCCAATAAATTGTCATATAATTCTGAAAGGTGGGAACTAATAATCGGATCATTTTTCAATTCTCCTTCAAATTCAGATAATGCCTTTTCAAAAGAGTGAAGTGACCTTTCTTGATATGCAACAGAAACAGCCTTCATAGAATCAACTTCTCTACCAGTATATTTGAGAGCAGTCTTTGTACTGAGGAGTGTTTGAACATCATCAGGCTGTAAAGTTGGTAAAAAGTCATAATTATTCTAAGAATAACTTACATTATTTGTACAAACTTTACAGAGCAACATGTATTTAAGACACATGACAGCAGTATAATCATCAAAGTTACTGTAACCTTCAAAAGCTTCAAAGAAATAAGAGAAGGCAGTCTTGTAATCCTTTTCTTCAGCATGCAATACACCAGATTGCATATCAATTTCTGCTTGAAGGAGTGGAGGACAGTAGATAGCATTTGCATCTGTTCTAGCGGATGTGAGAGCAGCTCTTGATTTTGAAAGATTTCTAAGAGAATGGTAAACCTTACTTTCCAACAACTATAAATTATTGGCTTAATAATTATTTTTAAAGAAACAACATACGTGAATTTCAACTAACAATGCCTTGTCATCTAATTTTCTGACTTCTCTCAATAATCTAGTAATTATTTCAAGAGATTCAGTAAATTCCTTCTTAATAAATAATAAATTGGCCAATCTTGATTCAATACGTTGACGCAAGAAACTTCTCTTCTCAGTTGTTGCCCACTCGATAGATTCTCTACAAATTTCAATTTGAATTGCATCACTTCCTTTAATTGTACCAACTAATTCAATAAGAGTTCTAACAATTTTTGCTGTTTTGGCCTTTGGAAGATCTTGGAAGAATGGTCGGATAGATTTGTTTAATTCCATGATGGCTTGAGCATCACTTTTTATACTGTAAATATATTAAAAATCTATTAAAATACTAACCCTTTAGTGGCATAAATCTTACCGAGACTATAGATAGCCTCTTCCTTCTTTTTAATTATTACTTCATTCTTTTTAGACACTATTAATTGATCAATTCAATAAATGATTAACCCGATCCGATTAATAAATATTATTATTAAAATTACTACATACTCTCCCCATTAATTACTTGAGTAAAAAGTTTGATGGCTTCAGCAGTGTTTTGTTTTTCTTCCTCTTTTGTTGCCTTTTCAAAAAGGGTTGTATAAAACGTTTGTTGATCAGATGTTGTATTGTCAGTCATTTTTTACTTGTTTGAAGCTAAAATTAAAGCGAATCATAAAAATTTTATGTAATTCCAAAAATAACTTGCTATTCCTTGCAAAAACAGGCTTAAAAAAACAACTGGTGAGAGTCGGATTTGAACCCACGCCCTTCGTCTTAGAAAACTGTATCTCTCATTTTGTTTTAAGGTAAACTCCCTGGAAGCAATATTGCTTTATTACTCCATCCAATCAAAAATATTCCTGCTTTGCATTTATTTAAATTTGATTTATTCTAATCTTAATTTTTGTAATGCAGTAAAAAATGAAAGGACAGAGGTCTGTGGCCCTTGCACTTGGTGGACGTTATCTGATAAGCAAAAAGACAATGTGTTGGAAGTTTGGAAAATCTATCAAGTCTACTACCTCTTCAAAAATTAAAAATCATTCGCTTGTTGCTTGCTATCACTGTAAAAAATACAACCCTTCTACCGGAACTAAATACCACCAATATTTCGGATCATCTCTAGAGGCAGGTGTTAATTTATTGAAAAGAAAAGAAATTGAATATTTGACAAAATTACAAATTAGAAGCTATTCAACAAATAATTTATATAGTGATACTTTTCTTTTTGATGCAGAAACATTTGCTACTAATTTAAGAATTTATTTTGAAGATCCTCCTCTTGAATTGCATGAAGAAGAAAGTGATGCTCCAGTTGAGCATCACCAACTTCCCAACGAAGAGGCACACGATAATGATATTGTTTCCCTGACAATATCAGACATTATGCCATATCAACCACATGAATTTTTCACCCAGAAGCTAAGGTACTACATTGATCATAGCTTGGAAAAAATCAAGTCACAACCAGTAGGTGTAAAGAATGCAGATGCATTTGCTTTTTTTATTAATGGAGGAAAGGGCGTTGGAAAGACTAGAAATACGATTGAAACTGTCGAAGAAATGACATTAGAATATGGTGATAGGTTTTCTAAATTAATGTATTTGTATGCTCCATTTCTGAATATGTGCCCTCTTGCAGAGGAAGAGGAAATGTTTGGAAGAGAAGAGTTACTTAATTTTCAAAAATCAAAGAAGCTAATTACAGCACGTATGATTTATTCATATTTTACACAATCTATTGATTCATCTGAAGTTAGATCGTATAGAGACTTTCTTGAACACTGTTATCATTTCATTCCAGACAATATCAGTCATGTTTCAGAAATTATTAAGTATGATTTGGATCTTGATAATGATGAAAGTCTTGGTCTTTTCATAGTAATGGATGATTGTGATGAATTATTACGAGTTAAATTTGAAAATGTAATTACTCACACACCATATAGTTTATTATTGAGAATGTACAATGAATTACCAGGGGTTTTTACAGATAGACAAAATACAACATTTATTCCAATTATGGTAGGAAAAGATATTGAAGGAATGACTCAGGATTGGATACATAAGCTTGGACCTACACGTCCAACATATTCTGGAAGCTCATATCAAAAAAATGAAACATTTACCGTTTGCCAATTTCCACTTTTAAACCAAGATCAAGTTGAAAATATAGTTGATAACATGTTTGACCGAAAAGGACAAATTCCAATAGAAGATGAGGAAGGAACAGGACAGTTTATTGATAAGGAAAATTGGCGAGATTGCAAAAGTTTTTTAACAGCTCTCGCAATGATAGGTGGGCATCCACTTGCTCTTGAACATTTCTTACTCTTTATTGCTTCAGTACAATATTTACACAGAGACTTTTTTAATTTTCAATATGCCGTAGAGAAAACCAAATATGAGCTTAGAAAAACCTACGATCTTACAGAGTTAGGTCTTAAATGCACTGATAATCAAATAGAAAAGATTATTATTAGTCTTTTATCTGATAGACAAATACTTGAGGTGACAGGGTACAAAAATTATGAGTTTACAAATTTTTACACTTTCATGAATTCAGGAATAATATTTCCAGTTATCAAACCGGAAGAAGACGAAGTTATAGAATATAATAACTTTTATAATTTAGAAAGGGTTGTTAATGTACCCTTTATATTCCTTGATGAGTTAATTGAGCAAATTCCAGAGGAAAGCAAGAGTAAGGAAATTTTTAGAAATCTTGCTACCGCTCTCAAGAATCTTTTAGATTTACAATTATTAGAGGAACCAATACCTAGAAAGCAAATCAAGATTATCAACACCAAGTACTATGATGCCATGAAAGAAGTCAAGAGAAGAGTTAGGAAACCACCAGAAACAGATATTATTCCAGTTTTTTGGAGAAATGTACCTGCAGAAACACCAGAATTCTATTCCAGTTATGTTAGACATCTTTTGTCTTGCTATTTCCATAACTGGAAGGTTGTATTAGACAAAAATTTAAAGTAATAATATGATTGATGGAGAGTAATAGCAGAAAGATGCTGAGGGTTGAAAAGTTCATCTACAACAAATTCTTAATAAAAAAAATGTTGAATTTTAATTCTACTGTGGTCAATAATGAAATTATTCCTGCCGTTCAAAAGGTTGTACCAATAAAAGTGGCAGCCCCAAAACTTCCGAACGCTAAAATACGAGTTAGAATTTCTGATATTATCATTATTATTGGGTGGCTTGTTTGGATCGCCTTTTGTACATGGTATACATATACTGTCGTGGATAACTATCTTCAAATGCAAAATACTCCAACCACCTCTTTATCATTCAATGAGACAACAACCTTAGAGTTTCCGGCTATAACTATTTGTAACTATAATGGAAGAGCAGGAAGCTCTTGTCCAGAATGTGATCTGAACTTGGTGCGCATATTTCGATTAACAGTAACTGGAATAACTTCACCAATTACTGATGGAAACATTAGAGCTGAAAAAACTCAAGTTCTCGACAATGTATATTATTCATGTTACAAAATTAATAATGATAAGAGTAACTTGTTTTTAGCAAAAAAGAAAGGTATTTCAGGCTCAATATCTTTTTTATTTGAAATACCAACAGGAAGTTCCTTGTCAAGAAATGGGTTGCAAGTGACATTCCATGAACCAGGAGCCACACCATCTATTTATCAAGAAACTCAATTCGCCGCCCCTGGAGTTGAAAATTACTTTTCCCTTACAAAAGTTGTAAGAACTGTATTGGATATGAATTATGATACAAATTCTGCTGTGAGAAATGTTACTTTTGATTCAGTTGTTTCCACTATTGCTGTTACTGATATTCCATCCAATAATGTTCTTGTAACTGTTACGTATGGTACTATGAGTGTGTATAATATCGATGAAGTTCTTACAAACACCATTCCTTCTTTATTGGGTGATGTTGCGGGTATGATTGGATTAGTAAGTAGTTTCAATTTAATTTTGTAATAATTTCAAAAATAATTTCTTGGAATAAATAGACAATGGGGCTAGATCTGCTCAAAATTTGTAGAGGTATTTTGGAAGTACCCTATGCTTTCCAAGCCAAAACTATTAAAAACATTTGGAAAATCTTCAACTAAAGTTTTTGGGGAAGTATTTGAAGCCGCGTTCTTGCAATTGTTCGAACTAAATTTTTAAATAATAAACGTTAAAAAATGGCTCCAAATCATCACGTAAATAACAACAACAAAGGAATCCTTCCTTTACAACCCAACAGAAGAAGGAAGCAAAGACTATTCAATGAAAGTGATGGCAGATTACAAGGTGCAACAAATCCGATTTTATCATTAACAACAATTAATTCTGATATCGGTATGAAAATTGATTCGGAAAGGAACCAACATTTGGCCAATATTTCTCTCAATTCTGTATGTGAAAGCTTAAATATTCCAATGGCAATGGTCGGTAGGTTTCTAAGACCTGAGGAAGCAAGAACCTTCGTTTCTTGTAATATTTGTGCACACAGATTAAATGTGTTGTGGGCCAGTATGATGAATATGATGGCCAACCTTTATACAAGTACCATGATTGTTCAAGAAAACTCTTTTGATATCCCAAGAATGTATCCAACCATTTCTCCCCTTGTTTATATTTCTCCATCAATCGTACTGTGTAAACTTTCAGCTAAACAATTATACAAACAAATAGTGGAAACTACTTTTCAAATTGATCAAACTTTAGAACGTCTTAATGAAGACAAGAAGGCAATGACAACTTTTGAAGAAACAAACCACTTTCTTATTTCTCAACTTGTGAGATATTGCGTTGAACTGGAGAGAGGATCAACTTTGAATCAAAATATGAAGACTGTACTTATTAAGGAAAGAGAGTTCATTTCTCATTTTCAAAAAATGATAATCAAGAGATTGAATTTTATATTGTATGGTCTTGATTTGAAATCTATAGGAATCAAGTTATCAAATACAGATATTTTAGATTTCAGTTCCTCAATATTTGATGTATCAAAAATTTTTGACATTGAAATAATACCTGAAAAGCCAAAAGTAGGAAAAGTAGATTCTTCTGGGAAAAATCAAGATTTAGAGCTCAGTAATTCTAGTGATGGTAGTGGAAAAAGTGCCATTCTCATTACAAGCAATTCTCATAGAGAAGAGCTGAATGATGACGACAATCAAAAACAATGTACAGAAAAAGATTCTTTGTCAGGATTTATTCAAACCACCACTTCAGACACAACAACCATCTCTAATATTCAAAATAACTTGAACAATGCTAAAAAGAATACAGACTTTTCTGTTGAAACTGTTGAGGAAAGAGGGGTTACTCTTACCCCTTCGAGCCCTCCTGTAAATATTCCAACCTCCTCTCTTTCACAACCAAAAACAACACCTATTCCCAAGTCAGATTGTAATTCTCATTTTAGAGATGATGATATTCCATTCACCGAAATTTCTAATTTTGTACAGGAAGATGCTGCAATTTTAATGAAAAGTGCAGCATCAGCCACAACTCCAATTATTAAGAAACCTTCAAGTAACCCAAAGAAAAGTATTCTCAAGCAATCCAAAACTATTCCAAAAAGACCACCTTCTCCACTGATTGATGGTTATGATAGTGAAGAAGAGCCTCTGATTTCTGTTCATACATCTACCTTTAGTTCACTAAATAATAAGGATCACGAGAATGTTTTAAATTCTGATTCAGACGATATGAGTGATGATCTTTCAACATATAGCGATATCACAAGAAACATTGGGATGCATAAGGATTATAATCCTACAAAAAAACAAAAATTGTAAATTGATAAAATTTGTACCATTTTACAACAATTGCCAGCTAACTAAATCTTTCAATTAAAAAAAATGATACAATGGCATCCATTAAAATCTATGATAGATAAAAACATCTCACAAATTGAACAAAAGAGACACGACATAAATAATCAAATAGAAATTGACAGCTCCGATGAGACTGATGAAAATTCTTTGGGTACTCCTCTATTCGGAAATGTTCTCGTAGACTTTTTACTGATGACTAACAATCAAAAAAATGTTTATGACGAATTTATATTAATGCTAAAGAAGCCCACACTACTGAATGAAGGTCTGGGAGATTATATTTTTATTCCATTCATTTTTACTTTAGGTTTTAAATATCAGGAGATTATTATCTACTCCATTATTGAATTATTTTGTAAATTTAGGAAAAAATTAATTATTCAATTAATTGAAGACTTTTTAAACTTCATGTCTCAAAGACCAAAAATTGATGCTTTGAAACAATTATTTAGAAAATTATGTTACAAAATTAATGATACAACTTTACTTGTAAAGTTTGATACGTATGAAAATATTAAAATAGGGAAATCAGAAGAACAATTAAAAGAGTTAGACATTTTTGGATTGTACAAAACTAAAACTATGAAAAGAAATAGTACCATGATGGAAGCAAGTGATCACCAACAGAAAACAACTCCTGAAGTAGAGTCAACTCTTCCAGAGCCATCACCAAAGAAATCTAAATTGATTGAGGAGGCTATTCCTCATACATCAATAGAATTATCATCAGACCAAAGAAAGGATATTTTGAAACTGAAGAAGCTTATTGAAAAAGCATCTAATCAAAAATCGATCAACATTCAATCAATACTATCAATTTTGAATAGTGCTCTCTGTCTTAAACAAATGGAAATGATATTTGAAGAATTGTCAATAGATAATCTCAATGATGGATTGCTATTTCACATTATACAAGGTCTTTTTTCAAAAAGTGGACTAACAACTAATAATAACCATATTGACACATGTGATCAATGCTCCTCTATTATACAGCATTTAATTCAACCAAAATTGATTAATATGAAGCAAAAGGCCTCTAGACATTTATTTTCAAGCATTCAACAAGTTTGTTGTAATCAAAAATTTAGTAATATGATTATTGAACTAATAATTCTCAACCTTTTAAGAGAAAAATCATTATCTGTAGATCAAATTGAGATAATTACTAGAATATTAGATAAAATAATTGATGTTGAAGGGAAGGGGTATTTGTTCAAACTGATTATTGAAAATATTTCCAACAAACAAATCAAGTGGAATGAAGAAACAACCATTAATATTCTAAATAGGGTTATGGAAACAAAAAATTTAATATCAAAAATTGATATTAATTTACTGGAGCAACTCATTACAGAATTTGAAGAGATTATTCCCCAATATTCGAAATCTTTAAAGTTTGCTCTTTTAGTTTCTAATTTTTTAACAATAGTTGGGCAAACACATATCATAAAGTCTCACTACCCATCAATCAAAGATATTATTGGACAACTAGACAATAAGATGAAAGAGAATATTGAGAAAAAGTTTGAAAATTTTCAAACAAAGTGACTTCCCGCCTTTTGTAGTTAAGTTGGTTCAAAAACAAGTACAAAAAAATAAAGATGGTACGTCTTTTGCATTTTAGCTTGTCTGATTTAAACCTCATACAATACGTTGATAAATATTGTATCCATTATTAATTGATCCGATCATTTTAGAAACAACTCTTCACTGTTACTCAAGAAACAAACGGCAGAGGACCTGTTGTTTTTAGCTGGCAGAAGAGTGGTAACTACCTTGCTTGTGTAGGTTCCTACAGAAGAGTACATATTTTCGACAGGCAAGGAAATTTATATCATCAAATATCCTTAGAAGATTCTGGAAAAGTTATTGCTTTGGACTGGGATTATAGTGATGAAACTCTTGCCATAATGCAAGAAGGTTCAAGTAAGGTACCTCTCTTTCATATTAATACAAAAAAGGAGGAAAATATTGAAACAAGTATGAAAGAGTTGAGTTTTATGAGGTGGGCCATTGCTGGACCTTACTTGGCTATCGGAAGTGTAAAAGGAACATTGCTAATCTACAATAAGAAAATTAGCAAGTACGTCCCTATCAAGGGTAAACATACAAAAAAGATTACAACAGGTTCTTGGAATGCTCAAAATGTTCTTGCTCTTGGTTCTGAAGATATGCAAATAACTATCAGTGATATTAATGGTGACAATATCAAACAAAAACCAGCCAAATCTGAACCAAAAACAATGGAATTTTTGAGGGTAAAGAAGAGAAATTCAAAGGATACAACTGTTGCTGCAATAGTAGGAGGAAATTTTTGGATGTATGATTATGAAGATGAAACAGAACCGAAACCAACAGAACTTGGATTTAGTGATGATTATGGTAAAATGGTTTGCTTTAAATCATTTGGTGACGGATATTTGCTCCTTGGTTTCGATAAGGGTTATGTTGTGATTGCCTCAACACATGCTGAAGAAATTGGTAATGAAGTTAATTCTTGTAAAGTCCATGATTCTGAATTGAAGAATATTACCTATTGTGATGCTTTGAAGAAGGGTGCCTCAATAGGAGAAAATTGTGTCAAAGTATTTGATTTATCAGATTTAGCAACATTTGATACAAACACTGTAGATAGATATGAATTAGACAATGAATATGGAGCTCTGAATAAGGTACAGTGGACAGAAGATGGACAAATATTGACAGTGTCCTCAAACAATGGTAATTTGTACAATTTTTTGACCAGTATTCCAGCATTGAACGACAACCATGGTAAAAATGTATTAATGTTAGTTTCTCTCAGAGAACTGATGATTAAGGATGAAGTTAATGAAAAAGTAGTTGCCAGGTTTTCAATTGATATTGAACCAAGTTTTGTGGCACTTGGTCCAGAACATGTTGCTGTTGGAATGAATAATAGAGTTTGGTATTATAGAGTTGAAAATAGTTCTGCAACATTAATATCCACAAGAGAATATTTAGGAACAGTTGAAAAAGTATTTGTTGGATTCGATTACGCTGCTGTATTGTCAGGTGGTAAGATTACGCTTCATCTTATTGAGAATACAGAAGATGAAAAATGGAAAGGAAGAGAAGAAAAACACTTTCCTGAAAAGGATGATGGGTCAGTTATTACAACGTTAACTATGGCTCCAGATTTCCTTATCTATGGAACATCTAGAGGCACAATATGTTACTTTTCTCTGGATGATTGGTCAACAGTGAATGAGTTTAGACATGATGTTGGTATTTCTTCTGTATTTACTAATATTATTGGTACTAGATTGGTATTTATTGATGAAACAAATGCAGGATTTTTATATAGTCCTGTGGATGATTCACTTGTGGGAATTGAGTCTTTCCCTAGCTCTGTTGATAAGGTGTTGTGGGATCAGGCAGATCAAAATGTATTCGTTGTTTGCGATAGTAAGAAGTTCACAACATATGTTTATAGTCACACAACAAGATGGGGTCCAAAAGTGTTCAGTGTTAAATTAGATAGTGACACACCAACAAGAACAATTAGACCAGAAGGATTCATGCCAATATTTTTAAATAATGGAAAAGTTTGCTGCCAAATGAAAAATGGTTCAATAGCCCACCTTATCTTGGCTTCTCATTCTGATTATGATTTGAAAACATTTGAAGATAAGAAGAGAGCATTTAACCAAGCAATTTCCTTGCTTAGATTAGAGGACGCCTGGGCTATTGCTCTCGATTTGAATCAAGAGGTTTTTTGGAATAGATTGAAGGATGTAGCTGTTGACAATTTGGAATTGGAATTAGCCATGAAGGTTTATAGATTGAAAGGAAACTCATCAATGGTTATGGCACTTAACGAGCTGATAAAATTAGATGAAATTAATTTGATAATTGGAAACCTGGCCATGATATCTGGTGATTTTACAGATGCAGAGTCAAAATTCCTTCAATCAACGCAACCAATCAAAGCTTTGGAAATGAGAAGGGATTTAATGAATTGGGATAGAGCTCTTCAACTTGCTCAAAATCTTGATCCCAACCAAATACCTGTAATTTCGAGGGAATACGCCAATCAGTTGGAACTTAAAGGAGAATATCAAAGAGCATACGATTTATATCAAAGAGCTGTATTAGACCCTAACCCAGAAAATAGTTCCCACAATCAAATATGTAATGAAGGTCTAACTAGAATAACAATCAGATTAGGTGATCTCAGAAAAGGATTCGAATTGGCAATGAAGAGTAAGAATAAGAAGCTCTGTAGAGAATGTGCTTTAATATTTGAGGAACTATCTCAGTTCGATGACGCTGCAGCTCTTTATGAAGAAGCAGAAATGTATGAAAAATCTGCAGAAGTGTATATTCAAAATAAGAGCTACACAAAGGTAACAAACTTGATGAAATCAAAGAATATTATGAATCCTAGACTTCATCTCCAATTCGCCAAAGCAAAGGAATTAGAAGGAAAATATGAAGAGGCAGCAAATTCTTACGAAAAAGCAGGTGATATCAACAGTGTTATTAATATTAATTTGAGATATTTGAATAATATTCCAAAGGCTATTGATCTGGTAAAGAAAACCAAATCAACTGATGGAGCCAATATGATTGCCAGCTATTGTAAAGAAAAAGGAAATTACAAGTCATCAATTGAATTCTTGATAATGGCTGAAAAAGTTGATGAAGCATTTGAAATTGCAAAGGCTCATGATGAAATGGACACTTATGCTAAAATTGTTGGTGAAGGAGCAGACAAGTCTGAATACTTGAGCATTGCTAAGTATTATGAGTCGAAAGTTGCCCTTGACAGAGCTGCTGATTATTATCTGAAATGTGAAGAGTACACTACCGCTCTTACTCTCTACATTCAGTGTTCATCTAGACTGAAACAAGACTCTAAAGAAATGGAAAATGTTATTGACAAGGCAATTGATGTTGTTGCTGCTGCAAAGAATGACAATCTAACTCACTCCTTGATTGACTTCTTGATGGGTCAAGTTGATAATGTTCCAAAAGATCCAAAACATGTTTTCAGGCTCTATATGGCTCTTGGTAACTTTAAACAAGCTGCAAGTACCGCTCTAGTTATTGCCAAACAAGAACAAGAAATTGGTAATTATCAAATTGCACATTCAATCCTCTTTGATACAGTAAGACAATTAGAGAAAAAAGGTCATCACGTGCAATTTGAACTGAGAGAAAGTTTGAATTTACTCCACTCCTACTTGATTGTAAAATACCTTTCGAAAATGCAAGAACAAACCATTGCCTCAAGAATGTTACTCCGTATTACTAAGAATATCAGCAAATTCCCTCATCACATTGTACCAATTTTAACTTCTTCAGTTTTGCTTTGTTACAGATCTGGTCTTAAAAAATCAGCTTTTGAAAATGCCACAGTTCTTGTTCGACCAGAGCATCAAAATTTGATACCAGCCGAAAAGAAAAAGACAATAGTACAACTTGTAAGAAAGCGAAAGGCTTATGAAGACGAACCTGAACCAACTTCAGGATGCCCAATTTGTTCTGCTCCACTTTCAGACTCCTCATTATACTGTGAGCATTGTATGAATAATGTACCAATGTGTATTTCTTCTGGTTTACACATGGTTTTAGATGACTGGTGTCAATGTCCTCAATGTCAATTCTCCTCAAGACATTCTCACTTTATCAAAATGGTTGACAGCTTGGGCAATAAGTGTCCAATGTGTGCTCAGACAGTAAATCCAGAAAATGTAAACAAATTAACAATTGAACAAGCAAAGATTGTTGTAGACAAATATCTAAAATAAATACTTACAATTTAATATTAAATTTCATTAAAATAGTTGAATTTAATTAGAAAAACGTTTCAAAAAAAAAATGCCACCAAAAAAACGTGGAGAACTCTCATCAAAAGAGAGAGCAACAATTGCAAAGTCAACAAAGAGCATCAGTCTCGCATCTAACCCTTTCGAAAATATTCAACAAAGTAGAAAAAAGGCCATTATGGGAGCAAATAACACCCAAGTTCGACAAACAAGCAAGGCCAGATCAAATGACATCAACGTTAGAAAAGATACATTGCTGAAGGATTTTTGGAAGCAACAAAAACCTTCAAACAAATTTGTGGATAAGAGACAATTAGCTTTTGATAAAACCCTCAACAAGGTGGATAAGAAGAGAAAGAAGTTTCAAATCGGAGATGATGATGAAGATGAAATGGATACTAATTTAAAAAGAACAAAATTATCTTCATTCTCCACTCTAGGTGATATCGATGAAAGTATTGACAAGGAATTATTTAGGGATGATTACCAAACTGATGATATTGATTCTAGATATAGTACAAAGGATGAAGTATCAGTCCTTAGAAATTTGAAAGGTATAGGAAGAGGAGAAGTTTCTTCAACCTTTGGTTTTGAACAACAAATAGAGAGAAAATTATCCAAGAGAGAGAGAATGAATTTAAGAATTAGAGGATTTAAAGAACGTAAAATGGAACAAAAGATGGATAAGGAAGATAACTTGAACATGATAGAACTTTTGGATAACGATGAAGATCTTATGGAATTACTCAAATCTGATTCCACAAAGAAGGAAACCTCGAACACCAATAAGCAAGACACCAAAAAATCTCTCGATTATGATAAATTCTTGGACATGATCAAGAAGGGAGAAGATATTGATTTGACTTCTATTAGTGAAAAGAAGGAGGGTCAACAATTATTTGAAAAACAAACTAAACAGGAGGAAGGAGAAAGTTTAGAAGAGACTGAGTCAAGTGATGAAAAAGAAACTGAAGACACAAGTGAATCCTATGCACAAGATAGCTTCATAGATGATACTATTATGAGTGACGAAAATGAAGAAGAAAATGAAGACATTATCAGTGAAGAAAAGGACGAAAATAATGCTGAAGAAATCGAAGAAGATTCTGCATCCTCCCAACCAGAGGAAGAAGACATTGAAAGTGAACAAGAAAATGATCAAGATGGTGAAAATTCCTATATCCAAGATAGTTTTATCAATGATGAACCAATTTCTGGTGATGAAGAAGAGCAATTTGAAGAAGAAGAAGGTTTGGAAACAACAGAAAAAGATTTAGAAGAACTTTCACAATTAATTTCTAACAATTCAGACAAGATACAAGAAAAATTGATTGAAACCATTGAAAAGAATGGACAGCCAGAAAATGAAAAACTATTCTTTACTATTGTCACGTTGTTGGTAGAGCAAGTAGGATTTGGAGAGTGGCTCTCCTCAAAGAGCAAAATTAATTTCAATCTATTGGTGAATGATCTTACTCAAGTTTTATTCAAATTAACTACCAAACAGCCTAATACTGCCCATGATGTGTTCCACATGTTCTTATTGAGCACTTTCAATAAGTATGAAGTTTTAGAAGTTCCAAATTTGGGTGAATTAATTGTTTTAAAGATGATTACTACAGTCTATCCTCTTAAGGAAAGAATCGAAAGTCCAATACTTTCTCTCACCAATTTATTAATCCATCTCTATTTGGAAAAATCGAAACAATTCTTAACATCTCCCCTCAATATGCCAGCCATTCTCTTTTTAACATCTCTTTCAATCATTATTGACAAGGAATGCACTTTCTACTCCCCAGATGTTGTCAATACTCTCAAAGAAATTATAGCAAGAAGTGAAAAGAAACAAAAGAGTAACAAGAAAAAGACTGAGAAGAAGCCAAACTTGTTCAGATCAATTTATGACTCAAATGAGGAATGTCAATGTTTTGAATGGGCAACACATTTGCTTTCCATCTATAGTCAACACTTGGAAAAGAATTTCTCAAAGAAAGTATCAACAAATGATCACTTTAAGAAACTTTTGGATAGTGAAGGATTTTCCAGTATTAGTAGAGACCATATTGAAAACTTTAATATCATATTCGAGGGTATTAAATTGAATGAAAAACCAATTCAAATCGATGAAGTTAAATCAGAAATTAATTACAAAACAAAGAAACCAAAAGCAATCGCTCAGTTTGAGCCACTCCTATTTGGTGATAAGAATGGATCAATTGATTCCATGAAGAGTAAATACACTGATGAAAATCCTGAGCAAACTAAAATCAAGACATTAAAGAAGAAGATTGCAAAAGAAAAACGTAAGGCCATATCAGAATTGAGAAAGGACAATCAATTTATCAGATCTGCCAGGGAACAAGTGGCAGCTGAAGAAGCACACCAAAGAAAGCAAAAGTATAAGAATGTCATTGATACTCTCAGAAGTGAAAGAATGGAACAAAATCAAATCGATAGAAAGAATAGAGATATTGAAAAGATGAAGAAGGATATGAGAACAACCAGAAAGAATGTCGGAAAACAATCAGTAAGTGCTGTTTCCAAAAATAAATAAAAATAAAGGAGTGTTTATTACTAAATAAGTAATACTTGAATTGCAGCCGATTGTGAATTGTTTACATTGAGTAAGGTTTGAGGTTAAGAAGTGAGAGGCTGAAGACAAGTTTCCAAAATTAAAACAGTAAAGGTAAACATTAAAAATTAAATAAAAATGGTCTCATCAACCTCTCATCAACATGAACAAGAATTCAATCAATATTTAAAATATAAGGAAATGATGATTCTTCGGGATACTAAATGTTTACACACTGATATAACAATCGATGAATTTTTAACTGCTCATCATGAATTCAATAACTCATCATCACTAATTGAAAACAAAAATTTCATATTCAAACAAGCGAATTATGTAAAATACTTGCTCTATCATACAAATAATGGATTTGAATTAACAGAGAAGGAAATTAAATCAAAATTATTACAATTTACAGAAAATGAATTAAAAGCTGAAATACATCCGAAAGATCTATTCATAAAATCATCACCCTATCACAACTTGTACAAGTACTACTTTATCGGAAATTTAAATTCGCCCAACACAGATATTGACTGTGCAATGGACCAATTCCATTCTCTCAATAGATTCTTTCTTACTTGTTTGCTATTTACTACACCTCTCATTATTAAAAATTACGGAATGACAAGAGTTTTGAATACTATTGTGAGGAGATTTAATATTAAATTTTAATGTAATTTGTTCATCACTAACAATCATTTCACTAATTTGATGATTTTATATTTCTTCTCGAATCATATCTAACAATAATTATTGAATGAGAGAAAATTAACTTTGGGTATGACTTGCAAATATTCAGCAACAATTTTGAAATTTCGGGTATGAAAAAAATGTTTACCCCAAAAAACATCAAACATTTTGTTTCCACCACTGGTGTTGCCACTTTATCAAGAAGACCATGTTTTGTTGCTCTCAGTAACCATACAACAACTCTCTTTAATATAAACAATAATTCATCTTGTTTTGTTAGAGAATTTTCAACCAATTCTAGTGGCAATTACCAACAAGAAGAAGGAAACAATAAGAATTTTTACAATAGTAAAACTCTTGCTCTCGGACTTGTTGGAGGTTTGCTTTCCTCTATTGCTGCCTATTATTATTTCGATAATAATAGAAATAATGTAGATGATAATTTACACACTCTCCTTGCTCAAGCATTATCTGCTCAAGAAAATTCAACCTTCGAAGAACAAGAAAGAACCAAAAAGAATGTTAATGCATTGCTACAACATAATACTCCAATTTATAGAGTTGTTTTGACAGGAGGACCTTGTGCTGGTAAATCGAGTGCCATGACCAAGTTGAGAGAAAGATTACAAAATTTGGGATTTCAAGTTTTTATTATTCCAGAAGCAGCTACCTTGTTAATGACTGGTGGTGCCAAAGTTACTGATAATTCTTCTGTTGAAGATGTTTTAGCTTTTGAATCTTCTTTAATTAAAACTCAAATGGCTATTGAGGATAATTTCCAAGAAATTGCAAGAGTAAGCAAAAAACCGACTATTTTACTTTGTGATAGAGGTACTTTGGATCCAAAGGCTTACATGGCTGATGATTTATGGCAAGCATTGATGGATATGAATGGTTGGTCAATTCCAATGCTTCGTGATAAGAGATATGATTGTGTAATCCATCTTGTTACAACTGCAATTGGTGCTGAAAAATTCTACACTTTGGAAAATAATACTGTCAGAACTGAAACTATTGAACAAGCAAGAGAGTTGGATCATAGGCTCAGAGCTTCATACATTGGCCATTCTCAATTGTATATTGTTGATAATGCTGTGAATAGTTTTGATGAAAAATTGCAAAAAGTGTATAATATTCTTTCTCATCAAATTGGTATTCCAAGAGCTAAATCATCTAGAAGAAGATTCTTGTTAAAACCAATGGAAAAGGTAGACATGAATTTGAGACATGAAGTTATTGATTTGGAACAAATCTTTATTCCAACAGGAAACGAAAAGGACGTAACAAGAATTGTAAAACGTGGTCAAAATGGCGTCTTTACTTATTCCTATCATTCCACTCAAACTATTGAAGATGGTTTGGAAAAGATTGAAGCTCGTCCAATCTCTGCCAGAACATACGTAAATCTTTCTTCTCAAGCTGACAAGTCTAGAATGCCAATTCTTAAAAAGATTTACAGTTTTGTTTATATGAATCACTACTTTGAACTTAATCACTACCTCAATGGCAAGGGTAAGGGTACCACTATTCTTACAGTGGAAGCAGTTGCAGGACAAGAAGTTTCTATTCCTCCATTTTTGGAACCATACATTTTGGAAGAAGTTACTGATAACAACAAGCTCTCTTCTTATGAATATGCTCTTAAGAATTAAGATGATTTATTCAATAAAAACTTTAGCTTTATGAAATTAATACGTTTTTGTCAACTATTATCATTATTTAACCTTTTTAAACCGATAATATAAATAAAACACTTTTAATGTCTGTTCTGTACTAATAGTTGTAGTGCCAAAATAGTTGACAAACATTTACTTTTTGTGTGAAATATTTTTATTAAGCTAAGCTAATATTGTATTTATGCAATAAGAAGTAGAATTAAAATTGGTTCAACTTCTTAGCAGCAAATGCTGGTAAATGGAAGCTTGCTGTGTGCAACTTGTCAGTGTAATATTTCAAGCTGTCCTTAGTCTTTTCATCCAACTTGTTGTACCAAGATTCAATTCTTCTAGGAACACTTGGATCCATATCTGGATTGGTTGAACAAACCAAGAATCCCAACAAACCACCAGGATAGGTAGGAGTGGAAACATAGGCATACTTTGCTTGATCAAAAACTTGTTCCAAATCCTTCTTGAGATTTGAAATAAAGTCCAAATGCAACCACAAAGTTTCACTTTGTTGGGAGAAAATTCCATTAGGAACAAGAGCTTCTCTACAGGTAATGAAGAAATCCTTACTGAAGAGTACTTGAGCACACTCAATAGGATCAGAACAGTCATTAATGATAACATCAAAGTAATTCTTGTGTTGTTTCAAGTAAGCAGCACCATCAGCATTAATAACCTTAACACGTGGATCTTCTAAACCACAGGACATTGTTGGAAGGAATTTCTTGGCAGCTTCGATAACTTCCTTATCAATTTCACACAAGACAACTTCTTCAATGGATGAATGTTTGAGAACTTCTCTAACACAACCACCATCACCACCTAAATTGTTTTAAAAAATTAGTAAAAAAATATATGAACTATTTCACATACCTCCGATAATACAGACACGCTTTGGTTCGTGACCAACAGTAACAAGTGGCAAGTGGCAAGCCATTTCTTGATAGGCACATTCATCTTTCTCTGTAGCTTGAATTGCTCCATCAAGAGCAAGAACGTTTCCATAACTTTCAGATTCAAAAACTAAAACATCTTGGAACTCTGACTTTTTGTGATATAAAACTTGTTTAACTTTGAGATTTTTAGATTCGCCATCCCAAAGGCCGTTAGATTCTTCAGTAAACCATCCTTCTTTCCAAGCGTTCATTTAGATCACCAATTGAGTGAGTTGTTTTTAAAGTTTTTGTGTGTAATTAAAAAAGTGTTTTTTTTTCAATCGAGAAGAAATAGTTAGTCTAATATGTGGCTCTATTTGAACTGTTTTCGAATCACCACACACGACAATAAAACAGCAGCAGCATCTTCTTGCGTCCACAACAAAGATTGTTCAAGTTAGTTTCACTGTTGGAGTCTGGCTAAATTACTTACGGCCAATTTTACAATAATTGGTTGAATCGGTTCATTTTGTTGGCCAATGATTGGCTCGTTCTCTTTTCGCACAGAATCCCATTAGCCATTACAACCAGTTGAGAAGTGGTTAATTTGAAAATTCCACGATGTAAAAACAACTTTATACCGAAACCAATGAATTGTAAAGTGGGGCGAGTGAAAATATGGTACACAATTGGCCATTTGTTTCAAATGAGTGGATATTTCCTTTCAAATTAACACGGATCCTTGTGCTCTTTGTAAAATGTATTTCTCACTTTAACGAATCTACAGTTTGTACAATTTACAGTAAGGTGTATAAGTCCTCTATATTGGTATATTCTCTAATGTTGTTGTTATCAAAATTGAATGAATGAAATCTTAAAACCTGTTCAATCAGTTTGTTTGTTATTAAACTATAATAAAAATTAAATAAAAAGTATTAAAAAATGAGTTCATCCGCATCAATACAACTGCCCAATCCTAACAGTTCCTCTCATATCAAAGTTGTTCCTCTCGGAGCTGGGCAAGATGTCGGAAGAAGTTGTGTCATTGTTACAATTGGAAGAAAAACAATCATGTTTGATTGTGGTATGCATATGGGATATAATGATGAGAGAAGATTTCCTGATTTTAAATTCATCTCAAAAAATGGACAATTCACTCAAACAATTGATTGTGTGATTATTTCTCACTTTCATCTTGATCATTGTGGTGCTTTGCCATATTTTACAGAAGTTTGTGGTTATGATGGTCCGATCTATATGACTTATCCAACTAAAGCTATTGCTCCAATCCTGTTAGAGGATTTTCGTAGAGTGATGGTAGATAGAAAAGGCGATAATTTAAATCAAGGATTTTTCTCTTCGGAAGATGTAAAAAATTGTATCAAGAAGGTTCAACCACTCAATTTACACCAAACAATAATTCTAGATGATGAATTGGAAATTAAACCATATTATGCTGGACATGTTTTAGGAGCAGCAATGTTTTACGTCAAAGATTTGGCAACTGGGGCTAGTGTTGTTTATACAGGCGATTATAACATGACTGCTGACAGACATTTGGGAAGTGCTACAATTGATAGATGCAGGCCTGATTTATTAATTACAGAAACTACATATGCTACCACAATAAGAGATTCAAAAAGCAGTAGAGAACGTGATTTTTGTAAACAAGTGTATGATACCGTTGTAAATAAGAAAGGAAAAGTCTTGATTCCAGTATTTGCGTTGGGAAGAGTCCAAGAATTATGTATTCTATTAGAAACGTATTGGGAACGAAAAAATCTTGGAAAGAGTGTTCCCATTTACTTTTCTGCTGGTATGGTAGAAAAAGCCAACTATTACTATCAACTTTATATTAATTGGACAAATGAGAAAATCAAAACTACACTCTTTGACCAAAAGCGAAATCTCTTCAATTTCAGTAATATACAATCATTTGAAAGATTTTTAATGGATAATCCTGGACCTATGGTTTTATTTGCAACTCCTGGTATGTTACATGCTGGTATGTCTTTGGAGGTTTTCAAGAAATGGGCTCCTGGTGAAAATAACAAGGTAATTTTGCCTGGTTATTGTGTTGAAGGAACTGTAGGAAATAAGGTTTTACGTAATAAGGATTTAAAATCTTCTAAAATAGAAATTGACTCTAGGACAGTTATTGATATGAGATGTGAGGTAAAAGCCATTTCATTCAGTGCACACGCAGATGCTAAAGGTATTTTACAATTGATTAGAACTGCTCAACCAAAGAATGTCATGTTAGTACATGGAGAACGAGACAAGATGGCGTTTTTCAAAAAGAAAATTGAATCTGAATTTAAAATTCCTTGTTTTGATCCACCTAATGGAGGTACAATCAAAATCAAAACAACATCACAAGTCGCTTCAGTCAATGTGAGTCTGAACTTGTTGAAAAGGACACTCTCCTCTACACCTCTTCCACATGATACTGAAACGATGAAACAAGTAGTAGCAGAACCAAAAAAGAAGAGAATAGAAGGTATTTTAATATCAAAATCGAATGGATTTTCAAATCTGCCCGATCTCTCACTTCTTGAACCGAGCCAGGCAGCAAGAGAATTGGGACTGAGACAACACAAACTAAGCTTTAGTAGAAGGATATCAACCAATTTAGGATATGATGTATTAAGATCTGTACTCTCAATAATGGTTAATCAATTTGGAAAGGAATTTGTAAATTATAATCCTCCTTCCCCAATAACTTTTAAGAGTATCAAAATTTCATTCGAAGAAAGCACCCAATCTCTACATGTAAATTGGCTTCTTACTGACGAAGTGGAAGGTGAGAGAATTTGTCAATTATTAGAAAATCACCTCTCTTCTTTAAAGCTCAACCAATAAAACCATCACACCACAACAGCCACGTAATTTTTCTACCAACAATAATTTAAAAATAATGCAATAACATCATCACCAACACAATAACATCATCATGAACAAGAAAGCAAAAACAATTTTATACCTAGTGTTGGCCCTATTTGTATTCTATGTTTTGTATAATTTTTATATTTATACTTTCCTGATAGATATGGATAGGAATACACCTTCTACTAGTAATGTGATAGTAAATCCTAAACAAGATACACCTACCGATGGTGGAAAACAAGAAATTAGACCTGTGCATAATCCAGTCATCAAGAGTGATGCAACAGGAAAGGATCAAATTTATAAAATTAGTGAATATCATCCAATTTATGAACAGTTCGTAAAGGAGGAAATACAATCGGAATATCATCCTAGCTCTTTTATAATTGCAATTGTTGCAACAAAGAGACCATATTATTTGGAAGCTACTTTGCGTTCACTTCAACAAGTTCTTTACTATAATCCTAAGAATACTTATATTTACCAATATGGAGATGATAAAGTTATTAATCAAATTGCAAGAAAATATGATATTTCAATGATTCATAATCAAATTTTAACTTCATATGAGGGAAGACAGTTGACTGAAGGAGCTGAACATATTTCCCTTCACTACAAATATATTATTGGTCACGTATTCGATAATCATAAGGATGTTAAGCATTTCATTATTGTTGAAGATGACATGTTATTTGCTCCAGATTTTCTCTTATATTTTGCTCAAACAGCCAAATTTCTTCATGAGGATGAGTCTATTTATGCAATTAGTGCTTATAATGACAATGGTATGAGAGGAAAAGTTAAATATGACAATATGGTTTACAGAACTGATTTTATGATTGGTCTAGGCTGGTTAGTTTCGAGAAGAATATGGGAAAAAGAATGGAGATACAAGTGGCCAAGATCACATTGGGACCATTTCTTACGGGCAGACAATAACAGACTAGGTAGACAAATTATTTTCCCTGAAGTTCCTAGAATCTATCACTCTGGTTACACTGGTACTCACTCTACTGTTGCTTTATATGAAAGATATTTCAGAAACCACTTGCTAAATCCAAATGGATTTTCACCATTAGGTATTGCAAGGGATCATTATCAAAATGGTGAATATGCAATGTTCGACCTAGAAAGAACAACTACAAAATATACACTCGAATACTTGAGAAAAGAAAACTATGCAAAATTTATCAAACACTTGTTATTTGAAGATCCTAATATTGTCTACGTTAGCGATCCTGATACAATTATTAATTATCAAGGAAAAATTATTGTCATTGCATATAGTACACAGAATCCTCATGTTAATAATGAATGGGTTTCTATTTCAGAATATTTTGAATTGTGGCACTCAACACCAATTAGAGATGAATACAATGGTGTAATGCTGTTTAGATGGTCTGATAATATGATATTAATTGTTGGTAGTTATTCTCCTTTCTATGCAGAAACTTGTGGAAAAGCTGGTTCTCATTGTCCAGCCCCTATTTCAAAATTCCACAAGGATTCAAATTGGTCTCTGCCAAAGAAAGATAGCATAATTACTTTTGCCATTTCAAAACAAGGTCAATCCTGTTCATCTTACTGTAAGCAAGGGTTTAATATGGAATGCTATCGTTTCTCATTTGAAGAGATGAACAGTTGTAAATTTTTGAGAAAATTTGTGGGACAGGAATGCACCGAATGTATACCAAGTTCTGGACCTGACCAACCAGCCATTGATGTAGACAGTAAACAGTGTCTCTTTAATGGAGGTGGTAGAGGTAAATTTATTTCTACATGTGAAGCTTATCATGTCAATACTAAGAGAATTTGTCCATGTTTTGATGAAAAAAAGACAATTATTTTGAGGGAAGAATGGGAAGATATAATCGCTCAATCCCAATACGCTGCTACACACATTGTACCAAAGATTGAGTAAAAGAATCCATAACATAAGGAGTTTTTTAATGTGTTCTATCATTATTTGGTGATAATTGATTTTGAGATTGTCTTGAAACATTTGCTCTACTCATTGAGGTAAATTCTTCTGCAGATCCTGGTGGCTCATCTTCAAATTTGACATAAACTAACTCTTTTTTGTGCACATCATATTTCCACCTTCCAGTAATGATGTCTTGGATCTGCTTATTCAATTGTTCAATCTTTTGTATGAGCATTACATTTTCATTGGAGAGTTTTTGTATTGATTGTGATTGATCAAATCTCAAACTTTCACCAACCATTCTAATATCCACATTATGTGATAACAACTCTTCCACCTTTACCTCTAAACTTTTCAATTGGTTCGTTAACATGAACTCTTTCCTCTTGTAAGATATTTTCAAGTACGAGATATAGTTCAATAACTTGTCAAATTCCTCCTCAAAGCTACCACCCTTAGATGTCTTGACAGAAAGATGAGGAGTTTTTGGAGTTTCTTCGAGAATTGTGTTCAGACCTCCCAAAGTTTCTGGAAATAGTTTGTGTGTTATGATTAGGCAATCCTTTTGTTTCATTGTAAACTTTGAATAATGATATACTGGATCAATTTCTGCTCTAACAAATAAATCTTCCAAAATTGGAATCATTTGATCATCAATTGATGTTCCAACTTTTGACATTCTTTTAATCAACTCCCTATCAGCTTCACAAATTTTTGGAAGAGATTTTCTAGGGGGATCCACAGTTACTTTCTTTCTTTTCTTAACTGCACTTGGTAGTCTCTCGTTTGGAACAATGGTGGATAGAGAAACAGAGACTAAAAAGTCAGAGGAAGCTACCGATGAGTCACTACTTCTTGTAGAGTAAATAACTTCACTGTCCTCTTCTCTTTCTGGAAGATCTAGTTTTGGAAGTTTGATTGGAATTCTAGGAGAGACAGACATTAATCTCTCGGTTGTTTGAGTGAACTGAGATGATTGTACTGATGTTTGTGAAGCCACAATAGGAAATGATTGTCTGATATTTCCTTGAACTGTTGGATCAGATCTTACACGTTCAAATGAAAGCCTTGGAAGGGGTTTTGGTGGAGTTTCTTTTTCGGCACTTTTTTTGTGTGTTTGAGAATTCTTTTTCTGTAAAGGTTTAGGAGTTGAATCTTCTGTATTCTTATTCTTTGTAGGAGGCGTTTCTCTCTTTTTCTCTTGTTGTTTTTTGATTCTAGTAAACTCTGGAGTTTTAGACTTTGTCTTTTTACTCTCATTCACATTACGAGGCGAGAAGACTTGTTCTAACATGTCAACAGGATTATCAATTGGTCTTTCCTTAACCACATCCCTTGCTATTTCAATAGGAGGAAGAGGGCTGGACTTGTCTTCAATAAATTCTAAAGTTTCATCAAGTGGTAATGTTTGGCTCTCCCTTGTTTCTATTTCTATGGATACATTGGGTTCATTAGATACATTTGGCTCTGTATCAGATTTGAGAGGCGCAAACTCTTCAATTTGGTCATCTATTCGTTGCTTGGATGTTGGTGGGGCTTTTCCCTCCATTCCTGCAAAGGAAAGAGGAGGTTGTATTGGAGATTGAGAGGATATCGATATGGACGAAGATGATGATAGTTTGATAGGTGTTTGAATATGTGAGTTATGTACTTGTGGTGTACGATTGGGGCTCTGCATTGGTGTTTGAATTGGTGATGACATCAATTGGTGTGATGGAGAATGAACTGGACTGTGGATTGGTGTTTGAATCGAATTTTGGAGTGGTTGAGGTGTCTGGGGCTTCTCTTCTTGCTTCGATTTCCTTAATCCCTTATGCTCAACCTTATTTGGCGTTTCTCGTTGTTGTTTCGTTATGGGTTGTTTGTCTCCAGAATCTCGCATTGCATTCGTTTTAGATGCTTGTTTTACCAAAGGAATGGGTGAACTTTCTCTTGATACTGCCTTATTCTTTCTGATCTTTTTGTCTGAAGACACAATTTTGTGTAATTGATGCTTGGCAACGGAATCTATTGAAGAATTTATGCTAGCAAAAGGTGATACTGAAGTATCAGTTGATAGATGAAGCTTTGTATCATCCTCAACTGATTCTCTAACAGAGAGATGATTTTCCTTATATTCTAGTAGAGCGTCAATATCTTGTGAGGAAAGATCTGTCTGACTGAACCCCTCATATGTGTAAGCTCCAACCATGACACTCTTATCTTGGTATTGTGCGTGTAGCTTTTTTTGTAAAACACTTTGATCAATGAAAATATATGTTTCATCAGCCTGAACTTCTGCATCAGCAGTGACAGCATCTAATTTACTGCTTGATAAAATTGCAGCCTTGATTACCTTGAGCTTACTGGGTAGGTCAAACACGGAAAGTCTGTCAATTCTCTTAAATGCTTTATCACATTCCTCTTTCAACAATGTATTTGTGGTTGTTAGAGATAGTTTTTTACATAAATCCATCAATGAAGTAGCATTTCCAAACATTAATTCCATGTGAGGTTTAAACTCCTTTTGAATATAATTTTCCATAAAGGTTTCCAATTTCTTCTTGTAGGCATGCATTTCTTGTCTCATCTTGTATTCTTGTTTATCCAATTCATTTCTAACCTTTATCTCTGTTGCAGCATACTCTCTAGCTTTAAGTTCTTCACTTTTGTTATGAATAAATCGGAATTGCTCGTCATGAAATTTTCTTATTTGTTCAATTTGTTCTTCAAACTTTCTCTTATTTTCTCTGTCTTGTTCTTGATGAGCAGCAACAAGATCTTCCATTTCTTTTTTCAGAATACCAATATAATCCTTAGTGTCTTGTGTGAGAATACTATCCCAATCAGCAACTGTTTGACTAGAAGAAGATATTAATCTCACATCTCCCTTATATGAGTCTGCAGTTTCCCGAAGACGATCATGAAGAGTGTCAAACTCTGATATTATCTTTTCAAAATATTTATCTCTATTCTTTGAAACGTCTTGTATCCAGCTAGAATCAGAAGTAACTTCCTCGGGTGTTGATTTATGTTGAAGAAGTACTCTAGTATCTATGTGACTAGTTGATGCTGCCTTAATTTTACTTGCTTGCCTTCTAAGGACAAAATTACTTGATACTGTCGATGTTAATGAGTCATTTTGATTTGGGATAGTGTTTGCAACCACTTCTTCTTCCTCCTCATTTTCATCTTCAAGTAAGGCGCGAATAGATAAACTTTTCCGTGTTGATTGTAGGGATTTCATTCATCAACAGCTATTAAAATGAAACATTTGAGGATGTTGTTTTTTTTAAATATCATATAGTGGTTTTCAAAAATAACAAAATAGTACTTGTTGATGCCTTTAAATAGACTATCTAATTTTTAATAAATATTACCATTCTCCTATTATGAAATTGATGAAGCTGTTTGCCACAATGAAGAAGGTAGTTTTCATAGTTACGAGGTAACAATCTTTTATTGCACACGTGTAAAATTAAAAAAACTTACAAAAAAAATCGAAAACACGTTTAACGTAGGATTATTTTTTCATCTTAAACACGTCGTATTTTGATTTTTAATTTCCGATTAATAATTAATACAAATGGAATCTGATCTTTTTGTTAGTTATATTGCCTTGTTAACCCACGCAGTTATACCAATTATTGTGGGTAGTTTCCAATCACTGGTGCCATCACAAACCGAATCTCTCGAGGTTAAAGATGCTGCCATGTTTCCAGTGATCGGATCATGCGTTTTATTCAGCTTGTATCTTTGTTTCAAATTTTTAAGTGATGTCTGGGTCAATTTCGTGATGAGTGCCTACTTTACATTTTTAGGAATTGGTGCTATTGCAACAGCTTTACATCCAGTTTTGAGTGCCATTATGCCACATCACATGACTGAAAAGAGCAAGGAGGGTGCTGAAAAGTATCGTTACAAGATTACTATCCCAGTTGTTAACTGGAATTTTGAATTCTCTCTTGTTGATATTATTGGAGGTGTTATTGGAAGTATTGTTGGCATTTTCTATATTATCACTAAACATTGGATCGCTAACAATCTCTTTGGTGAATGCTTTTCCATGGTCTCTATTCAATTGATTCAATTAGGATCTTACAAGATTGGATCTGTACTTTTGATTGGATTATTCTTTTATGATATTTTCTGGGTTTTCGGAACTGATGTTATGGTTACAGTTGCAAAGAAATTCGATGCACCAATCAAGGTTGTCTGGCCAAAGGGTGCTGGTTTCTCTCTTTTGGGTTTAGGTGACATTGTTATTCCTGGTATTTTTGTTGCTCTCATGCTCAGATTTGATTACTACCTCTATAAGAAGTACAAAACTGGGGTATTTGCCAAGACTTATTTCATCATTACATTCATCTCTTATGTCATTGGTTTAGTTTTAACAATTGCAGTTTTGCATATTTTCCGTGCAGGCCAACCAGCTCTTTTGTACATTGTCCCTTGTGTTTTGGGAGGTTCCTTCTTGACTGCTGTCTTTAAAGGACAAGTTAGCGAATTGTTGGGCTATCATGATGATAAACTTTTAGAGTTAGAGTATCCAGAGTTGGCTGAAAAGAAGAAGCAAGAACAAGCTGCAGCCAAAGAAGAAAAACAAGAATAAATTAATTATTAATATTAGTATTTCAACCGCCAAAAAAATGCTCCATCATCAACCAGTTGTTCATTCCTCTCATCAACCCTATTATCATCAATCATCGGAAAACATAACACCAGAAAGATTAAAATTAAAACAACTGAAACACAGAGTTGCAACACCAAAGCCAGTGATTCATCCCTTTTTTCTATCGAGTCATGAACAACAGCATGCACCACCTCCTCCATTCAATCATGATTTCGTGCCATTTGTAAAATATCCTCCAGAATATATGGAACCATATCAAACAGAACCTTATACCATATCTACCCCGAACAAGGATCAAAATTATTATTATGTAAATCATCAACCACCACAACCCTTCGATATTCATCCTCATCACTTTGAACAACATTTAGATCATCATGAAATGATAATACAACCCTCAAATCCTCCTCAATCATTCAACCATCAACAATTAATAGATGATCAATTGGATGAATTCAATATTGACCAACAATTTCAATCTGCATTCCCAATTGGCAGTGTTCCAGGAGTGGTAAAACAAGTTCTAGGTAGAGATGATATCCATAGTGAAAAGGAATCAACCCTTAATATTACAACTGTAAATAGACCTTTGAGTTTAGATCCTCAACTTAATACACCTTTCAAAAAATTTATTGCAAAGGAGGAAGATTTAAAAATGGGAGAAAAGATTATTCTAATTGAAGACGAATCTGAGTCATCAGAAATTGAAGACGAATCTGAAGTGTCATCTATTAAATTAGAAGATCCTTCGTTTGTTATTGAACCTGGAAAAGTTTATGTAATTGACGATTCAGATGATGAAGATGTTACCTCCTCAAATGAGCAAGAGGATCACCAAAGCGATAATACAGATGAACAAAAAGAAGATTCTTACGAACAAGAAAACCAAGAGGAAAGGGTGGAATCCGAAGATGAAGAATCATTTCATTTAATATCAGAAAGTATTGTTCACGAACAGACCCTTCCTACCCAACCTAAATCACCAGAACATATCAAAAGCAGTCTTGAAATTGATCAGCATAATGCCAGAACCAACTTGTACCATTGGAGTTACGTGTTTCAATACAAACCAAAGGATGAATTAACTGTTTCTATACTAGGAAAAACTAATATTGATGGAAATAGAAATTTCACCACTTCCCCAATTGTTCATAGATTCAACTCTGATACTGTACTTACTCTAAGTGGAACAAAATATGTGCTCACTTCCAGTTTTGATAGTTTGCGAAATCAAGAAAATAGTACTACAGTCAGTGCTGATTTTTTGAAACAATTTACTGCTTCTTTGGATGGACCTTTCCCAAAGAATTGGAGAGAACTTATTGAAAAGGAATTTAAACGGTTAGAAGAACCAATATTGGGACCTGTTGAGTCTTCCAATAATTTCCAAAACGAAAATAATTTTGATTATCAAATAGATGAAACAAATGCAAGCCTCAAACAGGATAATAGCAGCAAAATTGAAGAACCGACCACAAAAAAAAAGAGAAACTCAAGAAATAAGATATTTGAGGATCCACCTCAAAAGCCCTCAAAAACCAAAAAAAAAAGAAGAAAGAAATATGATACTAGCTCTGATGAGGACGAAGATACAGAGTATGCTGAATCACCTCAACCAGAGAATAAGAAAAGAAAGTCTATACAACAAACTCTTTCAAATAGCTTTACAAAGAAGGCCGATAATTCAATGTCTTTGACTGATGAGCTAAAATCAACAATGCTTGGTTGGAAAAAGAGATCCCATACATCCTCACCTCCAAAAATTCCTCTTGACTCTATTAGAGAAATTCATCATGAAACAAACAACGATTTAGAGGATTACAAAATTAATCAACTACGAGAAGAACCACAAAAATACGAGAATAGAATTGATTATTTTAAGGAAGACTTCTTTAATGAGATAGGTGGACTTTCGCAAGGAGAAGAGGAGGTAAATGAAAGATACAATGAAATCCAAGACGAGTCAATTTATGAAGAAAAAGAACCAACACCAAAGAAGAAAACAAAACGAAAGACTAGAAGAAAGACTAGAGAAACTGTAGAAAATTCAAATATTGTAGAGCAAGATCTAGATCTTTCCATACCAAAAGTAATTATAGATACCCAGTTCTTTCCAAAAACACGTAAAAAACGTAAAACAAAAACTGTTTCTATGGATACAATACAAAAGGCTTGGTTTGGTGATTTGGAAGAGTAAAACTTTATTTTAGTAAATACTTTATTTTCATACTCAACATATTCATTCTTTGACTGAAATTGCATTTTATTAGAATGGGACAGCAAAAGTAATTACAAATTTCAACACCAAAGCAATAATAGCCAACAATAAGACAACACCCAAAATGAGGATTGCTAGAGCCATTGCTCCACATTTTTGGTACTTTTCGGATTGCTCCAATTCCTTATTTCCTTGACTGACATGTTCGAAAGTTGCTTCAATATTACGATCAATACGATCAAGTAAAGTTCCTTGCTCTACAACGAGTGATGAAAATTCTTTGAAAAGTTCGTTCAGTTCAACTATTGATGTCAAAATTTCTCTCAGTTCCTTGTCTCTTCTAATATTTTCCATTTCATTATCAATTAACATTTTGATCTGTTCGTCCGTAAAGCCTGGATCGAATTGCTTTTGTTCCAATGCTTCAATTCTTTCCTTTTCTTCTTCTGTCAAATCTTCTTCATTACTTTCAGCTCCACTTCCATTATCTTTGTAAATCATTACATTTTGTCTTCTTTGCTTGAGTGCTTTTAATTTTTGTAAATAATCTTGTTGTTGTTCACGGAATGCTTTGGAAAGTTCGTTCAATTCCATAACAAGAGCCGATTTTGTATTCTTTTTAATTATATCTTCTTGACTTGTAGGTTTGGCTGGCAATACAATACGCTCTATGAACTGTTTTGATCTGACAAATAATCGTTTAATATCATCAGTTAGAATTTCAATTTCTCTTTCTTCCTCTGCAAAATTATTGCTCTTTTTTACACTAAAGGTACAATGTTGTTTATGCATTTGTGAGAGTTGTTCCACTAATTATTTATAAATATTATTATTATTATTAGAGGAATATTACTTACTAAACTTTTTGATGGAATCAATATCAGTTTTTACATTTGTCAATACTTTATACCACAATGGAGCAGAGTTGCTATCGAATTGATCATCATTTCCTTGTTCTTCATCGGTAAGTGCTCCATTTTTCAAATTACTTGAAGGTGTATAATAGTTTAATTCAATTCCATCATCATCCTCCCCTAACGATGTTGAAAAGTATGATTTACGAATATGATGGTAACGTCCCGTCAAGTCTCTACAAAGTATCGACTTCTTCATAAACGAAGCATTAACGCTCATTTTTAAATATTTATTTAATTTCTTTTAAATCTTTTTTTAAAATTTGGTTGAATTGCCTTCCAATTACAAGCAACCGTTGCGCTTTGGCCATTGTAAAAATTTCGAAAATTAATTTCAACGTTACCTAATCATTCGTTCTTGCAGTGGAAGGTGTATTAAATCTACTGACCATACTGGCCAAAGAGTTGTTCAACTTTGGTTGTTCTCTACTGGCTCTTAGAGGTGAAGTGACTTCACTGGTTGGGGCAGTTGTTTTTGAAGTCTTATTTGGAATTCCATTTATCTTGTCAAATAAAATTCGTAATACCTTTTCTTTTTCCTGCCATGAAAGAGAGGTGAAGGATGTATTATTTGGTGTTTCATTAGGAATGGTTGGAGTTTTTGAAATTGGGGGTAATACTACCTGAGAGTCTTCTTTGGCATAAGTCACAACATTGGATTGACTCTTAATCTGCTCCTTTACTGAACCTAGGGCTTCGTTAAAAAACATTTCCAATTCTGTTCGTTGCTCAAGAAGACGTTTACCAATTTTTCGTAAATGTGCCAATTCTCTATTTCTCAATTGCACAATTTTTGTCAACTCTTCCTTTCCCTTCTCCAAATCTTTGACTTGATTTTCATATTTTTCTTTCAAAATTTTCTTTTCCTCCTTAAATCTTTTTTCAATATCGACCATTACTTTTTCATTATCATATTTGTGATTCATTGTTCTCAATTCTTTAGAAAGCGAAAAACATTGTTTTGTATATTCTTTCAGCAAATCCTTGTTCATTTCTATTGTTCGGGAGAGGGTTTTGTTTTCCTGTTTGAATTGTTCCTTTTCTGAGGAACATTCCAATAATTGTTGTTCAGTCTCTTCTAATTTTAATTTCAACACTATATTTTCCTGGTATATTGATCTACTCTTTTCGTCAATTAGTTGAAGCGCTCGCTCTTCAACTTCCTTTTCAAACTGCTCTTGGAGACCATTCTCCTCCTTTCTTGATCTAATGGTTTCTCTAATAAATAATTGCTTTGATTTGGTTAGTTCAGAATCAAAAAACTTTCTTATTTGTTCATTTTCTTGTTCCTTCTCCTTATACAGTTTTTTCAATTTTTCCAACTCTTTCTATATTTATAGCTTAGAATAAGCATGTTACATTGCTCACTTACTTGAATATCATCCTTCTGATTGAGTCCTTTTTCTAACAAGCTCAATTCTGATGTTTTAGTTAGCAATTCCTGACTAAATTCTAGCTTCATTTCTTCTATTTGTATTTCTAGTTTTGAAATTTGGGATTTATGTTGTTGGTTTGATTCTGCATTCTCTTTTTGGAGCTGAAGAATAGTTTTGTTTTTTAACTCTAAATCTTTTCTTAAAAAGTTGGTCACTTGAATCTGGTAATATTGAATACGTAGTAAATTCGTGATCAAATTATCGGAGAACTAACTTACAGTCTCGGACTCTCTTTGCTTTAATTCTTCCTTAAAAGCTTCATGTTCTTGTTTTAATTTTTCATAGGCTTCCTTATAGGCAAGAAATGTTTTAATTTTCGATTTTAAACCCTCAACTTCTAGAATTTTATTTTGTAATTCCTCTTGTGATTGACGAACTATGTCCTCCAAAGAGGGAGGAGGTGGTTGCTCATTACGTTTTGGAGGCATTATTTTGTTTTTTTTCTGTAAATAATATTGGACATTTAAATAATCAATGGTTGTCACAAGTTTATTTTCTTGGTTGAATTTTTAGTGACATGTTATATAACTCATCTTCTCCTCTTGGTTTGTAAGAATCAATGGCTGCTTGAATTTCTTCTTTTGGAATTATTTCATAGTCACGATCTTGAAACCTTAATATATTGTACATGATTGCATATTGACTGATTGCTTTGTAAAAATTTAGTTTGCCATCCACAAGTGTTGGGTTACCGTCATCAGCAAACAAAAAATCCTTGAGGTAAATCCCAATGTATGGAGTTGCTGGTTCTCCTTCAACAAAGCACTTGTCAGTGGCATCTCTCATACTTTTATAGTTTATATCCTGAGAACAAAATTTACAAATATCCTCATATTGTTTTTGAGTTTTCTCTTCAAGAAGGCTCCACGTATCGACAAGACGGGAAACTGATGATGTTCCCAATGAGCTGTAAATTGCCATAATCATATTGAAACTATTCAAATCCTTTAAATGTTCACATGTTTTGATAACTGTTTCAATCATTTTTTTTCTAAACATTGGGTTTGATTCGCTGACAATTTGAAATACTACATAACTGCTGACCTTATTAAATAATGTTGTTACTGAAATAATATTTGGAGCCATGAATTTTTTCTTCTCCTTATTCCAAGATTGACCCAACATTTCAGTGAATTTAATCTTTTTGTAAAGAGAGTGATCCATCGCTGTTAGAGTCTCTGCAAAATCTCTTGCATCCACTTTCAATAGGGTCAATCTTTGTTCTAACCTTGTTGAGGATCTCTTGTCCTTTTTTTCTGCCAACTCTTTTTCTCTTTTTTCATCTTCTTGCCAAGGATGTAATCGACTGGCATCTTTCATTGCAAGCAGTGTTCTTTTTGCAATAAAAGAAACAGGACTTTCAATCATTCTAGTACTACAAAAGTTAGTAAGTTGCCTTATCATCTTATCATCAAAATCATAGTAATGATTTTCTACCCACTCTAATATTAATTTTGCTGTAATTATTTGAGCATTTGATTTCAGATCTGTGTGATAATGATATTCGTCAAGAGATTCATACTGACCAATCGGAACAGTTGCACTCTCGGATGAAGAATTAAGAGGAGGAACATCAAATCTCTCTAATAGTTTCTGGAGAACGAATTTAGGTTTAACAAAGCTTCTATAACATAACCAAAATACTTTGACAAAGAATGGCTCAAATCTTGTTTCATCAGTGAGTAAAAGGATTAATCGATTAAGACTAATGAATTTTGGTATATTGCCTGGATAGAGTTTGGGGCAAGGTGATTTGGAAAATGTGATAGATTCAGGACATGCCATTGGTTCCTCATTGATCGGGGTCATTTGTTGGATTGGTAGTGAAAATTGAGAACTAAAAGCTATTATTATAATTATTAATTATTATTCCTCAATTACATACTTTCTTCACGATTGAAAATTAGTAACTTATCTCCATTCATAAAGTGGATTATTTTCTGAGGTCTGAGAGGGCTTGGTGGTTTTCCATCATATAATTTACTATAATATTCGTTTGCTATTTCTACACAGTGATGAGCCCTCAACTTGGATTCCTTCAGGCTTAACACAATAGGAGTAAAACCTGATATTCTAATATACAACAACATATTTCTATTTTTTTAAGGGTATAAAAATAAACCTATTTTCGAAGCTCCTACGCCACCAGCATAATTTAAGTGGATTTTTTGAGCATATCGAATGACAAATTTCAACCTCCTATTTATTCTTTTTGTTGAGCTTTTAATTTTTGTAATCTCTTTTGGTTTTCTATTTCTTGAAGAATTTCTCTGTGGTTAACTTGAGGTACATTTTTCATTTCTTCAGTAGGTTGACTTCTCTTTACAACCTCTCCAAGAATTTGATCTTGTCTTTCCTTGTTAACCATTGTGTGTTGAGCTTCGACAGCAAACCAAGATATTAAAGAAATAAACAATACTAATGCCAAACTGAGACGAGCAGGAATTTTCTTTCTGTTTGAATGGCGAGTTCTAACCTCACCATACAATTTGATCATTTCATCAATTTGTTGTTTGGCGTATTCCTTTTCCTCGGTTGTTGCAGTTGGATTGATAAGAAGTTTAATGAAACGATCGAAACGATCATGATCCTTTATCCACCACCTAAGTTGTTGTCTCATTGTAATTTTTTTATATTCTGCAGTTTCGTCAACCTTTGATTGTTCCCAAGCTTTTTTGAATTCGTTTGGATCCAAATTGTTGAAAAATTGTTTTTGGAATGAATCTTTAATTTCCTCTCTTCTTTGTTCAAAGTCCTCTGCCTCTAATTGTTCTTCTCTTTCTTGTTTCATCTTTTCATATGATGTTTGTGTTGGTGTATTATTCTTTTGAAGAGGGGATGGTGGTTGTGAGAGTGCAGATTTTCCTCCAAACATTGGTTTTCTATTTGATGCTGATGTTGAATTTAATGTTGAACAATGATGATAAGAACATTTTAGAATGGCGGAACGTGGAAGCAAAATTTGCTTTCTGAGGGATGATTTAATCATTTTTTTAAAATTGTTTTTCAAAATTTAAAATAATTGTCGGCTTTTCTCTCAAGATGGCGAAATTAATGATATAAAGACTTCAAATTGGATGAGTCAAGATTTTTCACCTTCTTTGATTCTGACTGGGTTGGTAGATTGAGTGGATTTTCAATAGCAAATTTAAGGGCTCGATATGTGTTCTTCTTATCAGAAAGATTCGTCCTATAGAGATCAACGTTTTCATTGTACAAGTTCAAATTTTGTTTTTCTTTCGAAATACAAACATTTTTCTTAATTTCCTCATTCATAGAATCATCAATATTACTTAAGGCAACATCTAAATCAAACCAATCCTTATTGAATTCATATCTGTCGGCTGGAGCTTTTAAGTTTTGTCTAAAATCTTTAACGTCATATGTCACATTTACTTTTCTGCCAATATCTTTCATTCTGTCATAGGATTCTGTTATCTTCTTAATTTCTGCTGTAGATTGCTGGCTGAACAATTTTGTTGTTGGTGATCTAAATGGACTCTTTGGGGTAAGGATTTTATCTGCTGTGTTATTTTCTTTTTGGATGGCTTTGAGATCTAACCTAGGTACTGCTGTTATGAAGAATGAGCTCTCCTGCGTTTCCTCTTGTTCTACAACTTCTATTGACGTTAATGGTTCCTGTTCCTTTATCTGGGGTGTACTCTTCTTGTTAATCTTATTTATATTAATTACCTGATTCTTTTTGTAAAACTGAGCGACTGGTACCTTAGATGAAGGGAGTTGTATGTTGTTGTCAATTAAAAGATTGATTGAATTCTTTTCACAATTATATCTGGCCCGTTCAACATCTTTTGGTCTTGCAGATATTGGGTTCATGAATACGTCTAATACTTCCAGACACACAAAATCCATTACATACAGATCCTCATGAAAAGTAATAAAATTCTCTTGTAACGAGATATTTTTCAGGTTCTGGAATACTTCTTTCCTTATTCGTGGTATTCTCTCTATTTTGTTCTTATTAAGATTGGCCTGGACCAAACTATTATAATTTAATGTTAGAAACAACATCCAAACAACGTACGTTGAAATTGAGCTTAGGGAAAGGAACACTCCATGATCAAGAACATTGTCCTCTAAAATAATTTCTTCCAATTTAAAATGTGATAAATCATTTGGAAGACCTTGTAAATTATTTCCACTCAAATCCAATTTTTTCAAAGATTTCAATTTTCCCAACTCGTGAAATAGGTAAGGATCTGAAAAAGTATTATAGGAAATATTAAGAACCTGGCATGTGTAATTCTCAGAGATATTGTGATATGCTTACCTCCAATTTTGAAAAGGCTCCCTCGATATTATCTGGAACAGTAACCTTATTTAAAGCATTACAACCAATATTTAAATCTCTAAGAGATGATAGTACAGCAAACTTCTCAAATGGTAAATAATTTCCAGATACATCAATATAGTACAAGTTTTCAAAAAGAATCAACTCATTTTCATCCACATAATCCAAATCCTTGTCCCCAACAATACATTCCAAAACTTCTGATTCTGTTTCCGCATGGGTAATCCTCAACTTTATACAATCTTTCTTAATTCCAAACAAAAAAACTTACAATTAGATACTTTGAGAGTGGCTTATATTTTCTTCCAATTGATTGATTAGATTTTGATCTAAGTTCGGGAAGGGCTACTTCATTCCTATTCATCACAATTTCTCTGTGTGCAACAGATTCCTCGGTTAACTTGTATATGAGCGTCTCCGACTTGGCCGTATTGATGGCAGTGTTGTTCTTATTTTTCTCAATTACAAATGTGTTAGGTCCCATCATTTTTATTCCGTGAAGCCTCTTGGCGTAGCTTGATCCTGGAGGAATTTGAGGAAGTCCGTTAAAATCAAACTGAGGTAATTCAACTCTAGTTCTCAATAGCCTCACTTGATTGTCCATTTTTTTTTAAAATTAAAAAGATGTTTATTCGTAGTATTTTTAGCGGGAGATGTAAAATGTTCTCCACCTCAGTAGAACTCTAACCAACCAACGCCATTTATTTAATAATCCTTTGGCAATGAATTCATTGGATCTTCAAAATGGCTCTTCTTTTTTCTATATTCCTCCATTTCTTGCTCTGATATTTGATAATTCGATTTTGAATATGGTGAACCAGTTTCTAACTTTCGCTTCTTTTCTTGTTGGATTGGATATGAGAATTCTGATTTTCTTATATTCTCATTTTGCTTACTATTAATTGTTATTGGCTCCTCTTTGGTCGTTGTGCTAGTTTCCAAAATATTATTATTGGAGTTACAAAAACATTTTCTATCAAATTGACGACAACATCTAAATCCCCATCCTTTGTTTGGATCCCAATGTGAACCAAAGACACTCGTGTGTCCATTATAGAATACATCCTCTTCATATTTACTCTTTATAGTAGCTTGGTGTTTACCTCCAATAATTCTACCACTTGTAGAGTATTCAGCATAATTTTCAGTTTGAGCAGTTACGTATTCTTGAGGCTTGTTTAAGAATTTTTCTCCTCCATATCTTTCTACTATTGCTTTTTTCCTAGTTTCTTCCAATTCTCTCTTCTTTTGTTTGAAATGTGAGTGGGCCATAAAGGCTTGTGAAGGCACTGACGCAATATTAATATCCTCTCCTCTATTGACAGCATCCCACATAAACTTTTGGGCTTGAATAAACTCATTATACTCTCCAGTTTTCTTAGTGGCATTGTCGCCAGTATATGGAGCTTCTGAAGGATCAACAAAAGGTAAAGGGTTACCTCTCATAGAACGAGTTTTAGAATCATAGTGAGCACTATCTAATTCGAGATTGTATAAATACTTTGGAATATCCTCTCTGGTACGAATTGATTGTGACACACTGGTAGTTTTCACTTCTTTTTTTCCACTTCTTCCAGATTTATCCAAATCTTCATCTCCAGAATCTGATGATGAAAAATATTCATCATCACTAGAATCACTATTATTATTTTGTTTGTTTTCATTATCCTTTTCTTGATTACGTTGTTCTTTTTTCCTTTGTTTTTCTATCATTTTTTCATGAAGTTGACGATCCTTATTCTTCTTTCTTTCTTTTTCCAATTCTTGATGTACTTCCACAACCTCCTTTGCGTATAGACTCGAGTCATACCCATTCCAATTATCTCTTTTGGCTTCAAAGCCCTTGACTTGAATATTGTGAATTAAATCATCGGGAGCAATGTCACTATTAGTAAGAGCAGCACCTTTTCTTCTAGGTCTTTCAGTGCACTCTTTTTCTTTATGGGTCATAGATCCACAATTCTTACAAGCACCTTTTCTGTATTTGGTGGCAGCTTGAATTTTTATTCCGCGATTGTACCAATTTCCAAACTCATCTTTTTCTTTTTCGGAATACCTCTGATGGTCTAAACTAGGAGCACCACGATCCAAGTACCAAGGAGCTTGTTTAATGTATTGTGGAATGTGAGGATTGATGTCTCTTCCTTGTTCATCTTTTTCCGGCATTACGAGACCATTTTTACGAGCCTCTTCTATTAATTGTTGTTTTTTATATTCATCTCTACTCAGACGTTGTGATGAAGCACTGGCAGATGGATTGCTCTTATTATTTGATGATGACATTTTTTTGATAAAAAAATTTTAAAATAGAAATTTGGTTGAAGGGTAATCCCGCTAATTTCTATCTACAAAAAAAATGCTCAACCAAAGACTTCCTCCAACGAGAGGAGGGCACAGAAGTAGAGCCTCTTCGGCTGCCAATCAAGAAAATGAATTACGACCTCCAAGTGTTGATCCTAGAGCACAAACTCCGGAAATACCTAACGATGATTTGGTAGCATCAAGACATGCTAGTGCATCCTCCTCTCTTGTACAAGCCTACAACAGGGCCAATCTTTCTAATTTAATACCTGGAGAAGCCAAACCAGCAAAAACTCTTGGTTTATTAAAATCTCTTACTGCAGAACAAAAACCACAACGAGACTATATCAAGTATCCTTTTATGCTTTATGAAGATACAGATAGGTATTACTATTCGGACAATGTTCAAGCTTTTTGGAATGAAACAAGATCAAATCTGGAGGAAAATCAAGAATCATTCAAGGATTTATCTTCTGGCGCTACTGATTTCGAGGATGGAGATGAACAATTGCGAGAGGAACTATTTTCTATTCATACCCAAACCAAAGCTAAAACACTCTGGGCAATTAGTAGTGGTATGTCTTCATTGGAAAAAACCTCTTCTCCCTTTACAAGGGAAGAGAAGGTTGTAAACTTGGATATGAGGGCAATTGTATCCTCTAGACCTGCTTCGTCTGGTTCAACAACAAGGTCAGCAAGAACTAGTCAATATATGGCAGGTCCATTTTCTGATTTAATTGATTCGGTTGATAATTCTGGAACTAAATTTAAACAAATTGATGACACAAAGGATCACACAAAAAGAAGTTATATTATTAATGCAAGTGGAAGATCAATCTCTTCGATTTATCATCCAAATACTAAACGACCAAGCAGAATATCTAATTTTGTTGAGAATATGAGTATAACTAATGAGTCTTTATTTACTTTTATTTCAACAGAAAATGTGATAACGTTAGACCTTGAAAGATGCGTTGAAATAGATAATAAGGTGCTAAAAAGTATTGGAGAGTACTGTCCTAGGTTAAACTCTTTGAATTTACAACATTGTTCACAACTTCGTGACAGTACCATTAGAATCATTGTTAATGGATGTTCTGATATTCAAAATCTAAATATTGGCATGTGTCATCTCGTTACAGATGAAAGTCTTGTTGAAATTTTCACACATTGCAGAAAACTAAGAGTGTTGTCTGTTCATTCATGTGAAATGATAACCGGAGAATTATCGTTCCGCATGACAAAGAATACGCCATTTTTGGAAGTATTGGATATTAGTTTTTGCACAAAATTTTCAGATATTGCACTTCAATTCTTGTCTGAGTACTGTACTAGATTGAAACATTTGGATGTAAGTGGTTGTCCTCTAATTCAAGATGAGGGACTGTTATCAATCTGCAAGCATTGTCCTCAAATTGTAACAATGAGAACTACTATTTTATCCCAACCTACCATCACAAGTGATTCTCTTTCTTTCCTAACTAACTATGCCAGAAATTTAGAAGTTCTTGAACTTAGTGGAATATTTCAAATTAAGGATGAGTCTGTTGTGGAAATTTGTAAATATGGTCAACGCCTAGAATTTCTTTCTCTTAGTGGATGTCCAAATATTACAGACGATTCAATTAACGCAATTTCAGATCATTGCCAAAATTTACGTTGCTTAGAAGTTGCTGGGTGTAGGAAAATTAGTGTACAGGCTCTATTGGAACTCATTCACAAAGTAACCAAGTTAAGAAGATTGGTTGTTACTAGATGTAATATTTCAATTGAGGAATTAGACATTCTTAGAAAATTCACAAACGGAAGAGTTAATGTTGTCAAGCAAGAACCAATACCAAAAGAAAAAATTAAGGAGTACTTTACTGTTATTAAGGAAAAAGCAGTGAAAAAGAAAATATCTAAAAAGAAAGGAGAAAAGAAGAAGAAATAAATACTTTTTAAAAGTCAACTGCCTTACGTGAAAGTTTATTTTTGACCATTGTTGTATTGTAGTTGTTCCCGCCAATGTTTTGCACAAAATAAAAAAAATGCTAAACAATGGTATGTTGATTAATGTTTGCCATTGTATTCATGACTTTATAGCCTGGCAACAGCCGTACGTAAACCTAGTAAAATTATGCTCCGAGAAGGGGAAACAACATTCTTGTGAAGGAGGAGTTACGCAAGAGATGGATCGAGACATCGGAAGAACAGTATTCAGAATTAAAGGTTCTGTGCCATCAAATAACTATATTTCCTTTCCATCATCTATTCCTAAAAATAAGGGTGATGTGCTTGGTTTAATTGGTCAATTTTGTTACGTAGAGTTGAGAGCTAATAGGGATGTATTTGTATTTCATGTTGAGATTATGACTAAGGATGAATTAACCTTTAGATTTTCTTTCGGAAACATTTCCAAACAATTCAAAGTAAGTTATCAAAGAGATCTCTTGTTTTAATTTCAATTAGAAAACTCATAATTCAATTTTCATACCCGTTGATTATCTGTCCGAGAGTTGGACTGTGCTTGCCATAGATTTTAAAGCTCTTGTTCAGACACACCTAGATAAAGTATTCAAATGTATTAGAGGCATAATTACTTGTTCAAACCTGTCATTGAAGAATGTATACACAAGTGACAATATCTATTCTACGGACACACTTACTAAAGACATGTTTCTTCCAGTTCCAAAAGGAAGTAGTTGGACTGATCTTTATGAATGGCATTGGATTCCATCAGAACCAACAAATATCAAATTAGCATGTATTATTGACCCTCAAACTCTTAAAAAGCCTTCAACTAGTTTTAATACAAGTAGGACTTCATCAATTGGATCCGCCAACTCTAGACGATCAAAAATTACTGGTGTTTCTAATAAGAGTATGCTGACACCTTCTCCAATTTTGGATATCAAACGTTTTATTGGATACAATTGTTACTATAATTCCAACTTGTGTTGGACTTTGGATTCAAATTACTGTATTTTCCCAAGTGGCTCATCAATTATCAAAATGGAAGTAGCTACAGGTAAGTAATTCTTTGATGGTGATGCTGAAAAATAATAGGAACCCAAACTGCTTTTCAAGGTCATACCCAATCCATCACCTCTATTTGTACAGATTACAAATGTAGTATTATAGCAAGTATTCAGAATAATATTCCTCTGATTAGGTTATGGGATATCGAATCTGGGAGATGTTTATCTGTTTTAAAAGGTCAAGAGACTGAAATTAGTTGTGTTTGCATATCTGATAGTGGGAATGTAATGGTAACAATTGGAAAAGATAAATCTCTAAAGACTCAGTTTATTATTTGGGATATTTCAAATATTAGAGATTCTGGTGAAGATGTTCCTATTATTTCTAAATATGTATGCGATTATTCAGTTCAAAAGGTCAAATTTGCTCCCAATGAAGAAACTAAATTTGTTACTTGTGGAATGGAAAATATTAGATTGTGGAGATTGAAAGGTGGAATAGTTAGAGGTTGTTCACTCTCTCTGGAAAACTATAGTCTAACAAAACAAAACTTTCTTGATATTGCTTTCGAAAAGGCATTTCTTTCTCCTCATGTAAGTATTTCAGGTTGATGAAACTTAAATGTTATTCTTAGTTAGGAGACAAAGACCACAGATTCTACTTAGGAACCGAATCAGGTGCTATTTATCAAGTAAATTATAATAAGAGAATAATAGAGTGTGTATTCCAACTTCATAACAGTGCAATCAATACTCTCTACATTAATGAAGGAATTTGTATTACAGGATCTGCTGATAAGTTTGTTAGAGTTTGGCCCCTAGATTTCTCTGATTTTTTCATAGAGGCTGAATTGGAAAACTCTGTCACCAGTGTTGTGACATCTAAGGATGGATTCAAAGCTCTTATAGGAGACTCAAATGGATCTATTGGAATTTTGGAAATAAGTACTCAGATCTACAGATCAGTACTACGATCTCACACAAAAACTGTTTTGGACGTAGTTAGTGATCCTAGTAGAATGGAGTTTGCTTCTGTGTCTCTTGATAGAACAATCAGAATTTGGGATCTTACAACTTTAAATCAAAAATATCAATTCGATATTGACGGAGAGAGCCCAATTTGTGTGGACTACCACAAGACAGAGTACATGATAGCATGTGGATTCGAGTCTGGTATTGTAAGAATCTTTGAAGTCAACACAACCCAAGTTCTCGAAGAGTACAAGGCACACTTGTCTGATGTATTGGCCATAGCATACACATTTGATTCCAAGTGGCTAATCACCTCTTCCAAAGAATCTATTTGTATCTCAGATACCAAACACATGTACCAACCCGTCAAGGTTATTCCCTACACATGTGAATGCAAAAGGGTGTGTTTATCATTGAGCAGAGATGGAAGATTCTTTGCATTTATTGGACCAAATAGAAATATTATACATGTGTACAGCTGTAAAGACTTTGAAGAAGTTTATATTTTCGAAACTCCAACCGACTTGTTCGAAGGAATAGTCTTTTCCTCTGATTCTAAGGAAATAATTGCATCCACTTCAGACAACAAGCTAATGGCCATTTGTTTGGAAAAAGGAGAAATTATTTCAGAAACTGTAAGTAGGTCGATTAGTTTGAAATTTACATCTTTATCAAAGGAATATTCAAGTAAAAACTATGCTGTAACACTAGACACAAGTCAAAATGGAAAATATTTAGTTACTGGAGGTGACGATAAATTAATAAGGGTCTGGAACTCGAAAGACTTGGCCAACTTTAGCTGTCAAAAATTTGTTGGTCATTCTGGAGAAATTAAGAAGGTTCTTTTCAGTTCAGATTATGGTCATGTCATTAGTTGCGGAGATAATGGTATAATTGTTTGGAACTTCTTAGGAGACAAATCAAGAGATATTAATCTAATGATCGAAACACACTTGGAAAGAAAGATGATGGAAAAGAAAAAAAAGGAAGATTTTGAAGTTGATGATTTACCAAATAGATATAATGATCTTTTCTCTAAAGCTTTAGAGGAAAAGATGAGACATGATATTGAGACACTTAAAGATGATCCTGCTGTTAAGGAAGATCCAAAAGAGGATCCTAAAACAACCACTTTACCGTCAAATGAACATAATAAGAATATCATTACACCATTCAGACAATATAAGCTAAATAGACCTATCTCAAGAGTAACTGTGCGCGACAGAAATATGCCCACTGAAAACCCCTGCCTTAAATTAGGAAGAATTACTGGATATAATGGAAATGCCAGAGAGAACTTGATTTGGGATGAACCAAACAAACGTTTGATTTACACATCTGGAAATGTTATTATTATTGAAGATATCTTGACCAGACACCAACAATATCTTTTCGGTCATGAACATGAAATTAATGCACTAGCAATCCACCCAAACGGAAAAATATTGGCATCGTGTGGTGGGGTAAAAGGAATTACAATGGATTCACCAATTTTGTTTTGGAGTCTGGAAACAAACTCTGCTTTCAAGAAATTAGATTACCACAGATGGGGTGTTTTGGCAATGGACTTTTCTTATGACGGAAAGTATTTTGTTAGTGTTGGCGTCAATGAATATGATGAGAAAAACGTACTGGCTGTATGGTCTGTAGAAACTGGAAAAATGATTGTTAATGCTATGGTTTCAGAGATAATCCATGCTGTAAAATGGTTTCCAACCTCTCCTTCATCAGAGTTTATTACCACAGGCAAAAATTCCATCATTTTTTGGTATTTGAATCCAGAAGGGCAATTGCTAATGTCTCCAGCTAAGGTTGATGAAACATATGTGATAAGTGGAAATAGAGATGGAGAAACTATTACTCACTATTCTTGCATTGGATTTAGTGAAGACTATAGAAGTGCTTGGGTTGGCTCAACACAAGGCTCAATTTATTGTTTTAATATTGAGACAAATGAACTCGAGTTCAAGTGGGTGGATGCTCACGATTCTGAGGTAGATTATGTTTATTGGAGGAAAAACACTGTTATCACAGCAGGAACAGACTGCCAAATCAAGAGGTGGAAGGTTAGCAAAAAAGACAAAATCTATACCATGATACTCAGGGAGCAAATGGAAGTTGATACACCAATTACTTCTGCTTATTTTGATAATGACAAGTGTAATCAAGGAGTAGTTGGAACGGCATCTGGAACTATTTGGTATATTAATTGGGAGCAGCAACAGTGCATTAGATTGATCAGTTGCCATTCAAATTTTGTTACAGGAATTGTAAAGGTTAATGACTATCTTACTTCATGCTCTCATGATGGTTCTCTACGTATTTGGTCCAGAGTTGATGAAAATCAAGTAGTATCCTATAACCAAATTCTTGAACTAAAGAGAGGAGAGACTAATCCCACCCCTGCACTCTGTATGTGTAACAGTACAACTAGTAACCTTGTAGCAGTAGGATTTTTGGATGGATCGATCTATATTAATTATCTTAATGATCTCGAAAATGTTTTAAAGAACAAGATAAGACCTCATGAAGAAGCAATAACATGTATAGCTCTAACACCAAGCAACAGAATCATCACAGGAAGTGCAGGTGGTTTAATTACTATTGTTGATAATTTAGTTAATATTTCAGAAGATACCTCACTGGCACCTACAGAATTTTTGGAAAATAGATTTGTATTTATCAAGGAGTTTTTAGGTCACAGATTATGTTCTCTTGATTATGATGCTAAATCAAGACGATTTGTAAATACAACTGCCACAGGCCTCGTGTCTGTTTGGAATGAGAATGACTTGTCTCAAGTTGCCAAGTTTGCCCCACATATTTATACCAGAAAGGTTGCAGAAAAGGAAAAGTATGAAGTGGATATCATTGCCAAATTCTCTCCTTTTGATTCAGATTTATTATTGATTACTGCTCCTTCTAAAGGTACCCCCAAGATTGAGTTTTACAATTATAAGAGGGAATATTGTGTTAAAGTTGTCGACTTGAATAGATTTGTCAGTTGTTTTGCTGTGTCTGTAAAACACAAATTAATTGCATTTGGTTCTAGAGAAAGAATGGTAGCTATAATGGACTATGATAGTGGTGAGTTTGAAGAATATGAAGCTCATGGAGATTGTGTTAAATCTATCATGTTCGATGATACTACCGATCAAGTCTTATCCTCTGGGTTTTCTGATTTGGTTGTGTGGAAAGTCGGCTCATCAAGACCATCAGGTAAAAATATCAACACAACAAACTAAAAAATTTATTCATTCTTCTGCTTTTTGAGATAATTAATTTCTTTTGAATTGGCATGGAAGGAGTTTCGTTTTCTTTTAGAAAAGCTTTGCTCTTCAGATGTTGGAGTGGTTGCATCACTATTCGATGCAGTATCACTCTCTTCATTTGGTGGATTGGGCACCAAACGATCAAATAAAGACCATTCAAATAAATCAGATGCCCTTTTACAGAACTCTACACCTCTAACACTGTTTCCTCTTGGATCTAGACGAGGAGAAAACAAGCACATTCCCATAACAGAAGGAATAACAATGCATATTGCCCCTGCAACACCAGACTTGGCTGGCAACCCAACTGTGCAGGACCAATTACCAGAAAAATCATACATTCCACAAGACAGCTAAATTTGAAATGTTAATACAAAAACATTTGAAACATACCATTAACTGAAGTGCACATTTTACCGTGTCATTTGATACAATTCTATTATTTGTTAGAGGGCAAGTTCCACCGTTTGCCAATGTTGCAGACATTGTAGCTAAACTGTTAGAATTGACAAGAATGGAACAAATTTGAAAATATAAATCTAGTGTGTCTTCCAATCTAGATTCTTCTGGAAATACATTATTTTCCTGCATATAATAAGCAAGAGCAAAATTACGATCTCCTGTTGATTTCTCACTTAGAAAGGTAGCATTATCAAAACCAATTTTACTGCCACCAGCAAATTTGGAAAATTTACTGGAAACATATGTAAATCTCTTTGATGGTGACAAGTCTGGTTTTACGAGTGAACATACAGTAATAGCTCCTGCATTAATCATTGGATTGTGTGGCTTATTTTCATCATCAAGTGTGAAAGCATTGAAACTTCCACCACTTGGTTCAAATCCAACATATTGATGAACATTGTCTGCTCCAATATCTTCACAAACAATACAGTAGGTGAAAACTTTTGAGCAAGACTGAATAGTAAAATCAACATCACTATCCCCCAATGAAAAACGTTGACCATCTACTGTACAAATAGCCAATCCATATAATTCTGGATCCACTTCAGCTAATTGAGGGATATATGTAGCCACATTACCACCTTTGATTTCCTTTGTTTGTTCGAATATTTCTTTAATTTTAGAACAAAAGTTAGACCAATCTGGAATTGCCAATCTTCCAGTTAATGCCCTACTGATAATATTTGTATTTTCTCCGACAATATTATAAAAAGCATCAAAATCAATTACAACCTTCTTGTACTCATCAGAGTTTTCATCATAATTTCCATTATTAATACCAAGTATAATTTCTTTTATCAAATTTTTCAACTCTGGGTTATTCTTGGAATCCAATCCTTCTTTTTTGAGAGCCATTTCCAAATCTCCAACAGTAATAAAACCTTGTTTTTTAACATCCAAATCCGAATATAATTTTGAAATTAATTTACGTTCTTGTTCAAATTTTGTTTGAATTAAAACATCTGGTGATCTACCAAGACCGTTTAAAGAACCAATCGTTGGTGATGGAACTTCCGAAGATGTTGATGCATTGAATACAGCATCATAAATTGTTTGTTCGGCCATGGCAGAGTCGTTATCAATTGTTGTTACTGGTGTATTATTGTTTTGAAGGGGATGTGATCGTGGATGATGAACAAGATGTAATGGAGTATCTGTTTCCTCTGGATAAACAAAAGGGTTTTTACTGTCTTTCATTTTTTTTGTTGTGTTATGATTTTTATCAGAGCTATTCTTTAATAAAAATACAATATTATTTTCTCTTCAGATTAAAATAGGAAAAAATTGGGTTACCAAGAACTGGTTCTTTTGGAATGGTAACTGTTTGATTTTGAGGTTGATAACCATCCTTTGATACTTGAATAGTAAAGGTTCCAGGAGGTAACAATCTCCAGAAAAATCCATTAGAATTAGAATTAATAATCTTTGCATTATTAATTACAGTTACATTAGCTCCAATAACTGCATTTCCAATATCATCTGAAACAATACCAACTGCAGAATACTTCAATTGATCCATATAAGCAATTAGAGCGTCCTTATTTTGATCCCAATATCCATCTAAGTGATCTTCAGGAGCAATATACTCCTCAGTCAACTCTAAAGTAAGTTCATAACAATTAGCTCCAAAGTAATTATAATCGGCCATGGAATGTCTGAATAAAATTCGAATTAATCTAAAAATGAAAAAGAAAAGCTTACCTAACAACCCACCATTGGGCACCATTGGTAATACCTCCTGGGAATCTCTTACTCAAGTGCATAACAGTGTTAGTGTCTGCATAAACTGATGCAACTTGTTTGAAGAAGGTATCATCAGGTGTGGCAGAATAATTACAATCCTTTGACAAGGCAGTATCGAAAGGATAGTTAGCAACAACTACACCTCCATGTAGATTGGCTGACAAAATAAATGATTCCTTTGAAATCCAGTTCAAAACTGCAATAGTTTCTGGTTGGAATGGATCATCAGGCTTACCAAAATAAAAGTCTGGGAAGTTTCTATTCAAATCAACACCGTTTGCATTTCTTCTTTGTTTAAGCTCATAACCATCAGGGTTCATAGATGGCATAATATAAACATCCATATAATCAAGAATGGAAGTTACTCTTACATCACCAGCATTATACAAGTTCAAGAGATATTCAATAAAATAGAGAATTACTTCTCTTCCAACAGTTTCGTTACCGTGCATGTTTGCAATATATTTGAACTTTGGTTTTTCATATCTCAAGTTTGTATTTGGTCTACCAATAACTTTTGTACCAAAAAGTTTCATAACCCATAATTCTCTTTGTTGGACTGATTGACCAACAGAGAAGAGTACAGATAAATGAGGATTGGCAGCGTTGAGAGCCTTCAATTTAGCTGTCATTTGCACATAGTCATGATTTGAAAGCAAATTCTTTGCTGCTCTTTTGTCAAGGGAGGATTTTCTTGTTGTGGTATTGAATAATCTTTTAACAATGATTGGAGTCTTGCTCTTACTTTCTGCATTAATTTCATCAATTTGATGTTCCAATCTGTGTACTTGATTTTCATTCTTCATTTCAACAATGAACATTCTTTCTTTTTGTAATTGTTGAGCGAGAGATGAAAGAAAGTCATTTCCATTCCCAATTAACATCTTGTCGAGTGGTTTTCTAATTCTAATAGAGGCCTTATCAAACATTTTTGCGTGTCTTCCTTCAACAAAAACTTTTTCTAATTCTTGTCTATTTAATCCCATTACTAGTACAGAAAATTCAGACAACATTCCTGCACTGCTAGTGCCCGTATGTAATGTTATCTTTGTAGAGGATGAGTGAATTAAAATCATCACGGTCATCATCATTATTATGCCCTTCATCAGATGCACTGATGAAAATCGTTGTTGTTGTTTCATTGGTTCTGTGAAAGAAACGAGAATCTCTCTTTGTTATCCCGAGTTGTTTATGACGGAGCGGTTTGTTGTTCTTTTTTCTGAGCAATTTGTTTGAAAATTACAATCTAAGCTCTGCTCAGAGCTAGGACTCCACAACAATTCGGAAGCAATTACCAAATTATTATTGCTAATGAAATAATTGGAAGCGTGTTTACAAAATTTGGCTCCTTCAGGAGTTAACAACTCCCTTAAAAATCTTGAACGTTTGTCTCAGTTAATAAAAGAAACAATAAGTTTCCAATGACATTCAATTTTTAATCTTCGTCTGAAAATTATCAAATCCAATAATTGACCAATAGGATACCTACATATTAACCAAACAAGTATTGATATTTTGCTTTTTGTTTGCCTTTAAGTTTTTAACAACAGGTTAAATGAATTATTTATTCTATTTAAATTTTAAATAATTCTATTTAAAAATGCCACCAAGAGAAGCAAGAGGAAATTCCAACCCATCATCTGGCTCTTCTCGATACCACAGATCATTTAAGAATACATCGGATAATACCGATGAACAACAACATAAACCTTCAAGAGGGAATTATAGAGGGGGATATAGAGGAAACTCTCGTTCAAATTCTTCTTCAAGAACAGAGGAAACAAATGACACAAACACACAAAAATCGACTTCTCACAGAGGAGGACACAATACACAAAGAGGACCTTACATACCAAGAAATTCAGAGGATTTATCGGAAGGTTTACCTAAAACAAGAGTTAAGCCATACAAACCTGGTTTTATTAAAAAACAAAAATCCGAAACACTTCCCAATTTTCAAATAGTAGCAAGAAATGATGAAGATGAGGAAAGTTCACAAACATCAAATAGGACAAAAAAACAACCATTTAAAAAACCGAATCCAAAAGATTTAGTTTGGGAAAGATCTGCTGAAAGAGATGATGAGCAGGCTCCAAAACCTCCAAAACAAACTTTTCAAAAACAACCATTTAAAAAACCGAACCCAAAAGATTTGGTTTGGGAAAGGCCTGCTGAAAGAGATGATGAACAGATTCCAAAACAAAAATTAAAGAAACAACCATTTAAAAAACCGAATCCAAAAGATTTGGTTTGGGAAAGGCCTCCCGAAAAGGATAATCAAAGATTTAAAGAAGGAAAAAATCTACATTTACAAATTTTCAAATAGTAGCAAATAATGACGACAAGGACGAGGAGCAAAATACTCAAAAACCACATAGAAAGCAACCATTTCAAAAACCAAATCCAAAAGATTTAGTTTGGGAAAGGCCTGCTGAAAGAGATGATGAACAGATTCCAAAACAAACTTTCCAAAAACAACCATTTAAAAAACCGAATCCTAAAGATTTGGTTTGGGAAAGACCTGTAGATAAGGATGAGCCAACTCTAACAAATAGAATTGCAAAAAAACAACCATTTAAAAAACCAAATCCAAAAGATTTAGTTTGGGAAAGGCCTGCTGAGAGAGACGATGAGCAGGCTCCAAAACAAACTTTTCAAAAACAACCATTTAAAAAACCGAATCCAAAAGATTTGGTTTGGGAAAGGCCTGCTGAAAGAGATGATGAAGAATCCGAACACTCTCATACACCATCTGGAATTCACAAATATTTAGATGATTTATCACATGGCCCAAATATATTTACCCTACCACAAGGATTTTCTGGATTTGGCTCTTACAGAGATTCTAATTTACCAGATAATAATTTATTCGAAATTTCTAAACCAAAAATTGTAAATATCAACGAGGATGAAGAGGATAATATAATCAAATCTGACGAGAAAGGGGTATTATTTGAGGATGAAGAACAAGACGAAGAGTATTATGTAGAAAAAGACCAAACAGACAATGAGCAAGATGAAGAGGATAATCATGACGAGGAAGATCAAGAAGAAGACTATAATAATTTTGTTATTGAAAGAAAATCTTCCTCATCGTATGATGAAAACGACAGTGAAAGACAAATCCTAACAATTCCCCCTAAAACACATGAAAAGAATGAAAAGGACATTATCTACTCGAAACTGAAAACTATGGAATCAAAGACAAAAATTTGGGAAAAAAGCTATCCAATCAAGGCTAACTCAATTATTGGTACATGTCAGGACAAATGCCCAAAACAAGAGATTACCAACAGAGAAAAGGATAACGATCTCAGTTTATTTGAAAAGACAGGAAAGATCATTATAGACGAGCATGGTATTAAGATGTACAAAGCAGATCCTAATGCTTGCGTGAAAAAGTATGCCAGATCTGCTGCAGCCGTTCATGCTGATCCTTCACTAATTCGTCCTCCTCTAATACTCAAGAAAACATTGGAATATTTGACCCATAATATTTTAGAACGTAAAGAAGAGTATCATACTATATATTTTTTTATTAGAGACAGAGCTAGAAGTATTATCCAAGACCTAACAATACAAGACATCAGAGATGAACGAAGTGTAGACTTACATGAAATAATTTCAAGGTTTCACATAATGAGTCATCACTTACTAGCAGATGTAGGAGAAGAATTATCAGATCCTCATCAAAATCTTGAATTAATGAGCAAATGGCTTAAAAGCTTACAGGAGCTCTATTTTGAATTAAGATCTAATGGAATTGAATGTCCAAATGAGTCAGAGTTCACTGCTTACTATATACTTGTAAAGATTACTTCAGATCAAGAAGTTGCCAAGTGTTTGAGAAACCTTCCTTCCAAAGTCAGCAAGTCTCCAGAGGTATTGTTCGCCCTTAAGGTTTACGGAGCATTTTCTACTAAAAATTATGTACGATATTTTGAATTGGTCAAGCAAGCAAGTTACCTAAGTGCATGTCTAATGCACATGTATTTTGCACATATCAGAGAAGAAGCTCTCAGAATTATGAATACAGCATTTAATATTAAGGTCACTGATATTTCCAAGGCTGGTAGATATCCAATATCTAAACTCGTAGATATTTTGGCATTTGAAACTAAAGGAGAGTGCACAGATTTTTGCAAAGCCCACGGTATTTATATTGACGGGGATGATGTATTATTCAAATACTCCACGTTCGTAACACCTGACAAGAAAATCAAATCAAAGAGGTCATTGAGGTTGATTGAATCAAAGGTTGCTGGCATTAGATACTCTGATCTTGTAAATTTAAATTTTCGGATAGCTCCAGAACCTTCCAAAACACCGCCGAAAGAATTAGAAACTAAAATCAATGAGTCACCTCAGAAAATCGAGATAATCAATCCACCAACTCAAGTGCAAATAGTTCCTCCAGCTTCCCAACCAAAACCACCAACACCTGCTCTTATTCAGAGTGCTATTCCAAAGGAAGTAATAAGAGAACCTGAAACAAAAATACCATTGGTAACTCAGCAACCACCATCTAGGTATGATGTTCCACATGTCAATCCACCCTCCACTTTTGTTCCACCCAAACCAACTACACAAGAAAATAGACCAATCTTTCCTCCAATTGTTTTTAGTCCTTCCCAGATGCCACCTTTTAACATAATCAAGTCACCAAATCCTCCAATTCCACCTACTCTAATTCAACCACAACCACCTGTAGCTTTTAAAACTCAATCACATAGAAACGAAATTTCTATTGATCCCTTGATTCCTCAAATCCCAGTCTCCCCAATTAAACCCCTAGGTCCGACTGAGGAGGAAACCAAAAAAGAACTGAAAAGCAAATATTTTTCATTATTGAAGAAATATGCAGAAAGGAAAAAGAGAATTCGTGCAAGTAGGAAACAACACATCAGCAATGCAATGGACTTTGTACTCCAAGAAAATATTATGTCAGATGATTATGAAGAAGATCAATCAATGTGCAAATATTACAAACACATATTCAAGAAGAGATATCTCAGCCAATTATACCAACCTCTTGACTTGGCTTCTCTTATCTTTAATTCACCTGTTACTGACAAGATTGATACATTTTTCAGCTTTTTTTGGAAACTAATGATAGTACCAGGAACAAACAGCACTCATCTTAATGAATGGATTGCGGCAAAATTTTCTCGCCCAAATAGTGATGACTATTTGTGTAATTTTATAGTAAACGGTAAGGACGTGGATTCCCTACCAAGACCCAAGAAAAACACAGAACTACATATTTGTGCACGAACCCCCAAAGACTCAAGGTCATGGAGAGGTACTTCCTCAATAATTTTCATATTGGATAATCCCAACAATACCGATTTACAGACATATTTCTCACTAGAAAAAAAGAGGTTACACCAACATTTTTCAAATTTAGGCTTATTTAATGATACTCATATCCCTATTCTAATTCTCTTTGATAAGAGCTGGTTTCACAATAGCAGTGAAAATATGCTAAAGGAGCATTTCCTTCACATTATCTATGAAGATTTTAAATGCTTTTCAAATGTGGAATATGTAGGCATTAATTTTACTCACCTACTAAACTTTCCCTCATCAGAAGAAATTGCTATTTTAAATCAAGTTTTAGAAAATTACACCTTGTGGCTTGCAAATAACTCCTCCGATCCACCTCTTCTCCACACATATTCTATTAGAGATTTGATAGAAGAAACAACTTTTTCACACATTCGAAAATTGTTGATCGATATTGATCCAAATGCTAGAAATGGTATAACTGTTAAGGATTTGATACTTGTATACAATGATGTGTGTGAATCGCTATCCCATCAGACTATTTCAGAGACTGAAAGAATGAGAAAACTAAATTGGCCAGCTCCAGAGTTTGAAAAGTATTGCGATTGGAACACAGATGAAAATGCAATACTTCAAAAAGAGCTTTTAGGTCAATTATCATTACCAACCATTGATCTAACTCTCTACAACTCTAAACATATTGTTGACAATTTGTATAGCTCATGTAAGCAGTATGTGACAACCCTGTATACAAAACGTAAGATTTATCATCCAGCCATTTCCAGTCAATCCATCAAGCAGTTGGTTAAGGAACTTGTTAACGGTGGTGGATATGCTGCTAGTATCAAAATCTTTGAAATGTTCATTGAGATACATTTAACCTTGCTCTTTGATAAGGATCCACTTTATAGTTTTGTTTTCACCACAGCAGAATTCAAAAGTATTGCCAATTCAGTTTTGGAGAGGCTCAGATATAGCTCAAACCCATTCATCGAATCGTCATTAAGGGCTTCGTATGGGTTAAAAATGTCTCTCAATTCAGACAAGACTAATTTTGAGACTTTTAGAAATCTTAAACGTATTATCAAAGAATCCACTCAAGAAAAAAACCAAGATTGTAAGAAGAGAAAACTTGTTACCTATATTGATATTAATCAATGTATAGGGATGCACACCCAATTATCAAACAAAATTAGTGAGCAAAGAAGTCTATTTTCTCATCTCGAATCAGCCCCATCCGATCTTAGTTACCACTCTATTGTAGATACAGATATGAGTGACACAGTATCCACCAGTGACAGTTGTCAGTCCTGCATTGATTCCCTCAAATTACTACAAGAAAAACTTGAAATGTATAGAAAGGGTATTTAATAAAGTGCTCAGATTTTGAACGTTTGGTAAATATTTTCCTTATTGAGTTCAGTTAGAGGAGACAATCCACTTGTCATATCAACCGATTTTGTTTGTTTTTGTTTTTCAAATTCTGTCTTTTCTTTAAGGAAAGCCAATCTTTCTTTTTCTAATTGTTTTTCCTTTTCTTCTAATTTTTCTTCCTTCTTCTTTATGAATTGTTCTCTTTTTTCTAATGCCTTTTCTTTTTCCTTGAGGATCTTGTAGCGTTGTTTGATATAGGTATCGAAAATATTAAATCTCACAATAGATGTTTCACAAATTTCAACAATGGAAATTCTTTTTTTTGGCTTCAATTAAATGTAAGAGGTTGGTAGTTGAAACACTATACTTACATCTACACAAATCATTCTATTGATTAATTCAGAAACCTCCTTACTGTAACAAGATGGAATTGGATTGAATTTTCCAGCTGCAATCTTCTTTTCAAGTAACACAGCATTTGGAGCTTTAAAAGGAGGCTCCAAGGTGCACAACTCATACAAAATACATCCCAGAGACCAGATATCACAACTTTCGTCATACCCTTGATCACTCAATTGATCTGACAATAATTCAGGAGGCATATAGTAAGGTGTTCCAAGTCTTGTGTGAGCAAACTTTGATTGGTCCGATAAAATTCTTGCCAATCCAAAATCACCCAACTTTACATTCAAATCTTTATCCAAGAAAATATTTCCTGGTTTCAAATCTCTATGAATAACTTTTCCACTCTTTCTTGTGTGACATTCTTTTAATGCACAACAAACTTCGGAAAAGATTTTCAGAACTGTTGCTTCTTCAATTTTACCAGATGTTTTCTTAATGGATTGTATAAATTTACCCAAATCTCCACCCTCACAGCACTCCATCAAAATGTACAATTTTCTCTTGTTTTTATCAATGTACCTATTAAAATATTTAACTATATTCTTGTTTTCCAAATCTTTGAGAATGTTAACCTCTAAATAAATGTATGTTTTTTATCACCCTCAAGTCTCTTACTTACCAGTGACTATTAATTGCTTTTCCTTCTCCGACATTCGGCCATAATCAATCTCTTTCCACACATATATCCTATGATCCTTCTTGGATTTAACCTTATACTTTTTATAGGGATAGAATTATAGTTAAAATTTATGGAAATGATTTAAACCTACCACACTTCCAAAGCTACCATGCCCTAATTGTTCTACAACATCAAAATCGGCTAATCCTGTCTCCATATTGCTGTTAATGAAATGTTGTATTTTTTTTAACAATGTGTAACGTTTCGATTCTAGAAATATTGAGCGGTTAAGGAACATTTGGCGGGAAAAATAAAAATTTTACTTGCTTAAATATTAAATTGTTTCTTATCAACAACAAGTTCATTTCTTCCGTACCATTCAAATTCACCAAACAAGTTATCAAATTTACCCAATTGTAAACTTTGTAATCGGAAAGTAACACGAGGTCCAACTTCTTGAATTTTTACACCCTTAGTTACAGTTACAGACTTGGCACGATCTTTTACACCCTGTTCAATGTTATTTTCGTCACACTCTTCTTCTTCACTTTCGTCTTCATCATCTGATTGTTGAATGTCCATTTCATTATTGACAACTTTCAATTGGTTATTCAATTTTTCAATCTCTTGTTTAACATTCTTGGCCAAATAGACATCATCACGGTCATACTCTGAATGGTCATTACCTTTGTTCTTTTCATCAACATCATAGAAATTATAAATGTGGTGTCTGAAGAATATAAAGTCACGTTGATTGTGCATGGTCACAACTCTTCTACCAGTAAAATTAGGTTTTTGTGGGAAAATTGCTTGGAACATTCTAGCAACTCTATAACCCAATCTTGTGGTAAAGTTATTTAAAATCAATTCTGGATAAAACTTTTGACAATAGTTTCTATCCACTTTGGCAATATTTCTCAAATCCTTCTTAAGTTTTGGGAATGAAAGTCTAAATGTAGCACATGGTCCAGTTGGTAAGTGAATGAGTAAACATGATGAAGGCTTGTTGTTTCTTTCTCCAATAACAATCACATCTGTAAAATCATTCTTTTCGGCGTATTCAATAACTTGCTTCACATAATAGTGTTTTCTTTTCATGTAAAAACTATTTGGAATACAGTTCAATAACTCCTTAATAAATGTCATTGTGAACTTTGAGGCGTTCTTGGCCTTATCCAACATGGCATTATATTGAGTCGTAATGAGAACCTTTGGTTCTTTTCCATTTTTAAAATATTCTTCAAATTCGTCAATATCTTCTTCCTCTGCCAAAGTTTCTTGTTTTGATTTATGAACCTGTTCATCAAAATTTTTCAAATATTCCAAATCATTTTCAGGATGGTAATTTGTCTTGTAAGGTGTAATAATAGATGGGTCATAGATACGTTTATCTTCTTGTGTTTTTGGTTGTTGGATTGGTACGCCCAAATCTCTTCTTTCTTTTCTATTCTTGTTTTGTAATAATCTTCTCAATTTACGTTGTTTGGTAATTATTTCATGTTTGTGGTCACTGTTTTTAATTCTCTTTGCATTTATTCTAAGAATAGGATACTTGTCAACCAATTCTTGTCTTTCAACATAGGGTGTTGATTCATCAACATCAGGTACAATCTTTGCAGCTTCATGAATATTCTTCTTGTACTTTTTTTTGAATTCTTTCTTTTTTGCTTCCGAATCCTCTTCAGTATTTAAATACTTGCTGACATTATAGTCCACTGTTTTGGTGTACCCATGTTGATTTTTATAATAGTGATCCTTCATCTTGTACAATTGATTCACATCGGTAATCACTTGGTTTTTCTTTTCCTCCTTTGAATTATTTGTTTTCTTTGGCATTGTTGTTATTTTTTCTTTTAAAATTATTTTCAATAGTTTGTTGATTTAAATAATTCAAACATATTTTTGATGTCAAGCATTACTACTATCGGAATCAACCATTATATACAATTATTTATTATTTACACTACTATTTACATTAATCCTCTTCTTGTTCTACAGAGGTGTCCATATTAGAGTATTGGGCAGTGAAAAGATCTGGATTCTCTCTAAACGCCTTTGCCCTACTGTCCATGATGCTAATTTGTTTAGAGTACATTTGATTGATGAGTGATTGTCTTTGGACAATTCCCAAATTCTTTATTCCCTTCTCATATAATTGTTTAATCTTTTCCTTGTCAGTGATTGTTTTGTTCTTTTTAAAATCTTCTCTTGTACACCTTAGAGTATATTCTCTAAAGTTATAATCGGAGAACTGTTTACCACCTTTTAATAGTCCTTTGTAGAGGGAGAGAATTTGTGATTTTGGTATTATTGATGAAGACATTTTTTAAACAGAATTCGGTACTCCATACCACGGATTTAATGGAGAAGTGTAAAAAGAATCGTTAATAATACGAGTGCATAATTAATAAGCATAATATTTGCTTTCACCCACATGGTACATGTAATAATAAATAAATTAAAATCACAAATTCATTTTTAATTGTTGTTAATAACCGAATATTTATTTAAATAAATTTATTAAAAAATGTCTTCTATTGATGTTGTGGGATGTCAACTTGGAGTAGTTACCAATACTCTTATCCGTATTGCAATATTTCCCATCGGTAAAATTAATGCCTCAACATTTAAAAAGTTTGTATCAATGATACAAGCTTGTGATTCAAAGCCGATCAAAAGTTTGACCAGATTCAGAGATGATAATTTAAAAAGTCCTTTTCAAAAGCAGGATTGGTCTCGATCTGTTTTAAAATTTCAATTTGTTGACGAAACAAGTATTAATACAGGATATTCGGATTTCCATCAATATAGAAACGTTCACGGAGTGATTGGTATTATGAGTTGCTTGAGTGAGGAATCTGTTGCTAGTGGATTTACAAAATACAAAAAGCAAAAATTACAACTATACGGAAAGAATATTGTGGGAAGATGCTTTGCAGTAGAGCAAGATCCTGAAACAATGGCTCCTGAGGATGAAGAATTGGTGGTAATTCCTAATCAAGATGAAAATCATGTTGGATGTCATATTGATTATTTATTTTCTGATTTGGCAAGACAAATACTGATCAGATTTGAAAAAATTGTTTCAAATCCTTCTGCCTATTTCAATGAATTATCAAATACGTATTTAATGACCTCTCCATCTGGTCTTTTCCCAACAAGTAATAATAGTAGTAATAATACCAAAAAGCCAGCAACCCCAGCCAAAACAAAAGTTGATACACAAACCATTCCCACTTCACAATCGTCAACCAATCTTTCCCTTGGAGATGAGAAAAATTTACAAAACATGAAATTATTTGCAGATTCCTCTCTTTTAATTTGCGATTATGAGGATGCCATGACTACCTATCAAGAAATTAGTAACATTTGTAAGATGCAATTGAACAATACTACAAGTGCAGCTATCAACTACCCTTTATATCAGGCTGGTGCAGCCGAAGGTATGGCTTCCATCATTTTTGTAAAGTCAAGACTTGCACAAAAGTCTGAGGTTGATAGCTCCATAGTTCAACAAATCTATGATTTGATTCAAGAATCTATTCAATTTTATGAAAAATCTAAAAAGAAAGATCTTTTAGTGGAAACCTACATTAAAATGGCTGTATTCATCTCAGGGTATTGCGAAAAAAAGAAGAGAAAGGAAGCACTAGACTGTCTAACAAAGGCTGTTCAATCTGCTGATTCTTTAACAACTCAAGAGAAGGTATGTTTAAATTTTTAGAATCCAATAATTCATATTAATGAAATAATAACAGATTGTTGTTTCTGGGTTTGCAGCCAAAATTTGCAAGCAAATGAAATGTAAAAGAAAGTTTGGATTTTTCTTGAGACAAGTAGCAGTTCTTCATCATGAATTGTGCAACCAAGGTGTTTCAATTAGATTGGGATCCCAATTTATGGATGCTTATAACATTCCAATTGAGCTAACATCACGTACAGGTTAGTATTACAATATTCCAATTAATTGTGCTATATTGTACTTTGTTATTGTCTTTATTAATATAGAATGGAAAACAAAAAAGAATTTTTCACTCAAAGGATGGCATTTTATTCAAATGGATGTTATCAAAAGCATGATTGATTTTGCACAATCAATGAGTCCAGCTGATTATTGCACAGAAATTCAATTTAGATTTTATCTCTTATCAGAGTATGGACAAATTATGTCTAAAACAACTCAAGAGGAACATTTGAAGCGTATATTATCTGTTTCTCACCAAATACCTAAAGGCATAAATATTCTGTTAAAGCCTCTTCCAATCATCAAAATGGTTGCTCCTCAAAAATTACCTTCACACTTGGAACCAAAGTCACTGGAAATCAAAGATAACAGACCTCAATTGTTTATTTATTCTCCATTTGACAAGAAGGATGAAAGATTGGTAACTTTAAATTGGGCAAAAAATGAAACTGCACAAACACTAGTTGAATTTTACAATCCATACAAGATTGATTTACGCTTAAAGAATGTATCGGTAAAGTACAAACCTGAGATTTCTCCAATTAATGAAAGTGGAGAACCTATTTGTGACGTATTTGTTCACTCAGCTGTGGTTGCGAGTGGGCAATCTCAAAAGGTTTTTGTAGCAACTAAACCTAGAGCAGTTGGAAGTATTATTCTTGATTCAATTGGAATAGAATTTGAAGAAGGTAGATTTAAATCACCAGTCTATCTTCCAATAACAACCCAACACCTCGTAAATGAAAAAAAAGAAAGGAGAGACTATGATATCACCGTTGTAGAGACTGTTCCACTTCTTAATGTAACTCTTTCAACACCTCAACTATCTCTTGTTGATGGAGAAACAACTACACTCTTTGCAAAGCTTCATAACACTGGTAATTGTGAGATTACCTTCCTTGAAATTACATTTAACAATCAAACAGCAAACACTGTTTCAATTAAGGACGAAATTATCAAAAAGTATCTTCCGCTTGTTCCAGATGCTGATGTTGTAACAATTCCAATTGAAGTAGTTGGAGTATGGAAAGGATCAAGTGATCTAGGTATTATTAATATTCATATCAAATATGGTATTGAAAAACAAGATCCTAATGAAAAATCTTATTATAGAGAGATGGACCTTTCCATTAAAACAACAGTAATGAGGGCTGTTGCTGTTGAAGATTGTATAACAGTTAACGAATCATTCAATAAGAAGATTGTGGCTAAAATTCACAACTATTCCAATTCTTCCTTTATGTTATTGTCTAGCCTCTCCCAACATTTAAAGGATGAGCAATTTGATACAGGAATACCTTTTGGTGCTCAGTCTACCAAAATGATTCTTGTTGATCCTTCCATTCTTCATGATATCAATTTTGAAGATTTGAATATTCCATACACATCAGATATCAATAGATATAAGGGAACAATAGCAAATGCAATGAGATGGAAATCTGTAAGTAATTATTCTAATATATCATAATAGTTAATCATTCATAGTATGTCAACACGATTGGTATTGTTGGTTGTAAGAAAGAGAGTGAAGAAGTAAAACAAAATAGCCAATCAAAAGAAAGAGTACATTCCAGAAAACAAACCATCATTTCTGCACCTCCCATTATGAATGAATTCTTGAATATTAAACAAGAAATGATTGCCAATGTAAATAATCAAATTATAGGCCACAAAGAACTGGCTATTCAACAAGTTCCTGTACAATTAGGCATTAGCGAACAAGTAGAGTTCACAATTAATGTAACACTTAGCTCAGTTAATAATCAACAAATTTTAAATAAGATTGCAAGTTTAATTTTAAGAGTTTATCAAGATGGAGAAAATGGTACAAGAATACCTGCAACAAACCGACAATTTTGTTATTCTGGTAGATTGAATACTTGTTTGGAATTGACGTCATCGAGTCCTTCCCAAATAACTCTAAAACTTTTCTTTTTAGAAAAGGGGACATTTAAATTATCAGTTCTTTGTAATGATGAACAAACTCAAGATATGCTTACCTCTCCAATAGAGGCAGTTCTTGTAATTAAATAAATTGTGGAGTATTGAATTATTATTTAACTCGATAGATAATATCACCCAACCGTATTGTATTTAATTGCTTGGTTACCACTTCAAAAAAAATGAGTTCAAATCAACCTGTTGACGAAAGAAGAGAAAAGATTAAATCCCTCATCAGAACTGTTCCAGACTACCCTCAAAAGGGTATCATGTTCAGAGATATCAGTACATTGTTGGCTGACTCTGAAGGATTGGCTCTTGTTGCTGATTTATTTTATGAACAATACAAGGATAAAAAGATTGATGCCGTTATCGGTATTGAAGCCAGAGGTTTCATTTTAGGATCCTTGTTGGCCTATAAAATTGGAGCTGGTTTTGTTATGATTAGAAAGGAAGGAAAGATGCCAGTCGGTTCTGGTGTTACAGTACTGAAGGAATCATATCAAATGGAATATAGAAGTGCTACCACTATTGAAATGCACTCCGATTCTCTCAAAGCAGGACAACGTGTTGTTATTATTGATGACTTGTTGGCAACTGGTGGTACTTTGTTGGCTAGTATTAAACTTGTTGAAAGACTTGGAGCCGAAGTTGTTGAATTGGCTTGTATTGTTGAATTGCCAGCTCTTGGTGGTAGATCCAAACTCGCTGCTTATCCACTCTATCATATGGTTGAATTTGAAGGAGATTAAATGCTTGTATTATTAATAATTGCAATTAAATAATTTTCAAATCTATCCAACAAAAAGGAGTGAAAAATCTAACATCTAATTACTTTAAAAAAATGGAAGATTCACTCCAAACCAATGAGTCCCCAAGTTCCGTCACTGCAAAACAAAGGAACATTCCATTGATCATTCCAAAAGGTTTAAATGTTGATGACAAAACTCTCTTTCGTAAGAAGAGTGTTACTTTTAATTCACCGTCATCAACAGGGCAATCATCTCCTCCTCCTTCAATAGTAATTACAAAAACAACAACTGATAACAGTGTACCAGTGATAGATATTCAAGAGGAAGAGCCAACAAGTAAATATTATCAGATGGAGGAAGATGAAACTCCTAGAAGCATTTTGACTTCATCGGAAATCAAATCAAGAAGAAACAGTATCAAGTCATCCCGTAGAAAGTCAATAAAACAACAACCACCCAAACTTAAGCACGCAATGATGACATGGTTCAGAACCCAAAAAGAATCATTGAAACAAAAAGCAAAATCTGCCACTCCAGAAGCAATGTTAACAACAGGTCCTATTGTTAAATTGTTTAAATATGGAAAGTAAGTTCTCATTTGTAATAATATTTGTTTAATATTAAATGATTATATCTTGATCAATACTAGAATTCCATGGAAGTTACTCATACAGTGTCTTCTTTTAATTTTAATAACTACTAAGGTTGTTTTATTATCAGAAAAAAGAAATAACTATTTCATTAATAATGACATTACCTTTGCAACATCCTTTTTGAAGGATGGATTTGAGAATTATGAGGCAAATGTTGATGGCTTTTTTAGTAGCTACTTTTATTCTACTGATGATGTAATTGCAGATATCAGCAATACTGTTTCTTCTGTAAGTATTCATAAATTATAAGATGACAATCAATACTATTCATAATGTAGTATTATTTATTTCCTAGAAAGAATGTTGATGTTTGGGTATTTCCAAGAGACCTTTCAAGAGGAGATCTTATCAGTCCTGTTGAGGCAAAGCTCTCCCTCTTTACGGAAAGCCCAAGGGACTTTATTTTAAATGGTTCTGATACGACGTTTAGTCGTGAACCTCTAATAGAGGGTATGTAAAAAAATTCCCATTTCAACTAACGTGAGAAGAATCTGATTTATTGACTCTTGATAAGCCTTTAGGATCAGTATTGGAAGGGTATTTTGCTAATAATTCAAGATCATTATTTGATAGACTTGACAAACTTACTCTAAAATTTAGTATTATTGGTTTGGATAGAAGTAATTATGTTGTGAATGGGTTTGCAGAATGTGTATTTTGGACTATTACCAAGACATACAGAAACAATGAAGGTGGTAAACTTACTTCTTTTATTCTAAGAGATTATGACATTTGCAATAGAACAGACAGAAAAGCAGTCATGGAATTTTACAAACCATCCATATGGGTTTCCTTAGTAATATCTTTTGCAAGTGCTCTTGCTCTTGCTCTAGACGTTAAGTCTGTGATTTTTAGACTCAGAATGTTCAAAAAGATAAGAGATCTTGAAACACTAAAGCATGTTGGTCAGGTGTAAGTTTTTAAAAACAAATTTTATATACTATTTGATAATAGTATACCAATCAACTCTGATGACAATTTTATCAAGCAAAAAATCAAGAGAATCATTTATCATAGATATAAGAATATTTGCTTAGCCGATTTACCTGGTGTTCTATCGTACTGGTTCATTTTCTCCTTTTCACAACACATGACAAACATGTTCTCATTCATTTTTGAATTGCTTACTCCAGGTAATATACAAATTAATAGCTTTTTCATTGGTATGAGTTGTATGCTTACATATTCAAGTACTATGAGATTTTTCCAATTTCACAATGAATTTTACATGTTCAGTAAAGCATTTGAGAGAGGTTTACCCCAAGTGATTAGATTTATTATTACAACATTACCTCTATATATTGGATTTGGTGTTTTGGGAACCGTGATGGTATGTATTCTTAATTTCATAAGTTTATTAATTCATCTCTAGTTTGGTGAATATTCTAGATATTTCTTAGATTTGAATGAATCACTGGTAACTCTATTTTCCCTAATTTTCCAAGACAACATGCACGATACTTTTGACAGTGTTTTTGGTAACAAGACATTTACGGCATACTTTTCCAGACTTTACATTTATGTTTATACAGCTATTTTTATTTGTGTAATAGCCAACGTTTTTACCAGTATCATGGAAGATGCCTTCTTCTCGTTGAAAGAAAATCAAGAAAATCTTAATAATCAGGTTCAAGAGGAAGAAAAGAAAAATACCACCACTTCCACTTCAGTTCCTAACAATAATGAGGATGATAGCGATTACGATACAGAATCTAATGTGTCCGTTATGGATGTATCTCTAGCAGACATAACTGATGAAGAAGAAATTTATTGGAATCAAGCTATTGAAAGAGAGCAAAAGAAGGAAAATAATCTCGTTGAAACAAAGAACAAATACTTCCCAAATGAACCAAAAAGTTTGAGTTATATTCTAGACGAGGAAAGTATTGAGGATAACATTGATCGTATTCTTTTTATTGTAAAGGAAGCTTGTAATGGTAAGGTACTAACGGAAGAACAACAATCTCTGTTGGAAGAAATTGAAAGAAATGCCCAATCTGTCTATTCAAATAGAACATTTGTAGAACTTGATGAAGTTAATAAAGAAGAATAAGGAAAAGAATAAAAAATTACACAATTAAAAATGAAGCAACTTGTTAAATGTAGGAAGCCGTTCTTTTCCTACCCTAACAAACACAATATCAAAGCAGCAACTCTTCAGCCATCCTGTAGAGTATTCGGAAGGAGAACAAAAACAATTAACATAATAGATAATCTCCCTTCTGAAAAAAATAAATGGATAAATACTAGACATTTACTTGTAAAGGACCATCTCATCGGAAAACCAACTCTACTGATCAATATTAATTATTTCCCCTCTGTATTGAATTATTTGATGAGTTTGGAGTAAGTGGACTTTGAAATTCGAATTCTAATACTGGATAGTTTTACATTGGAAAACAGAGCAAATATTATTGGATTTGGAGGCGATTTGCAGAGTATTGATACTCTTCGTGATTATGTTCTCTACCACGAATTTCCATACCCTGTATTCAAGACAGATTCTTGTGATTTCATACTGCAATTATTAGACCAAGAGGGAAATTTATTCTCAACATATTACGATGAAATGGAAATATTTGAGAGGCTGGTTAGAGGTAATTATTGAAATGAATTTAAATTATTAATATGATTAATAGATACTGATGATATTATTGAGAAGTCAATTCACATTCAGATGAAGGAGTTTGAATGGCAGAGATTGGACAAACCAATTGAACGGTTACTTCAACCTCAAACTCTCTTTCAGTATCCAACTTTTTTGGAGAAAGCAGACAAACATTTATTTATTTCGGATACGTTTCATAATAGAATAGTAAAGATGAAACCTGATGGACATGTGGAATATGTTGTAAGTTAAAAAATTCCATTTATTTACAATTTAAAACAGTTTGGTGATGGCTTTGCTGGACTTAAGGATGGAATATTTTCTGATTGTAAATTTTATAGACCTCAAGGTCTATTTCATGACATTCAACAAAATCAAATAATTGTGGCTGATACTAATAATAATACAATTAGAAGAATCAATCTCAATGAAAATTTTGTTTCAACCCTTATTCAAAACAACTTGGGACAAGGTACTGATTTGGAAAGTTATCTTCTTAGAGATGACACTACACGAATTATGCTCACAGAAGAATATATTGAAAAACAATTTATTTTCGAAAGAGAAAAAGAATGGTTAAAGAATACTCCTAAACCACTAACTGTTGATTTTACTGCATGCTCCAAAGCCATAAGCAAACCTGTAGACCTTTTTATCAATTATGATGAAAATTGCTTATATGTTGCAGAAACGGGATATAGACATATATGGAAAATAAGGTTGGAAAATGGACTTGTTGAGGATGTATTACCAATAATGATACACAAATATTTGAGAAATGATTTCAGCAAATACATCTCTCAGGTATTTCCCTCACTAGAACTTAACAGTAGAGCTAACCAATCTCGGAAGAATTTATTTGCGGAATTTAGCTTTTTAAAGCATAGATCTTCAATTCAACAAAACAAAACCCCCTCCTTCCATTATATCATTGAGAGCCCAACCGCTCTTTATCGACCACATTCAGATAATGAATACAAATTCAGACAAATTAAGGTGACACCCTCTTCAACTCTCACATCCACAACAATCGGTAATGATGGTATAATAGAATCTGTAGCTTGTAAAACTATTTTTACTTCTACAGGAATTGGATTCAAAAATGGTTCAATCGTCGGAAAAGAAAAACCAGAGTTTAATCACCCTATTTCAATCGTAAAGATTGAAAATGATCTGTTCATTTCTGATTCTTGTAAGTAAATTGTTAAAGTATGAATATATTTTAACTCTATACAGTCAACCATGGAATGAGGAAATTAAGTACGATTAGTGGACAAGTTGAAACTGTACAACCAAGCAATCTAAGGGAGTTTGGTGTAGTAGCATCTGAAAACCATCCAAACATACTTGAAGATGGAAATTTAGATGAAAATAATAGATGTGGAAGGTTAATTAGAGCTGAAAAGATGAACTTTGTGAGTGGTAGCTGTCTTATCAAACTTTGCTTGAAAGCACCTAAAAATTTCAAATTTATTGAAAAAATCTCATCCCAAAACATAGACATCAAGTTTAAAAATAATGGTAGTTTTACAAGTCAACACACCGCATATGTTCACAATAGGGAATTATTTAATCCTGAATCGTTCTCTATTTCTGATGATTCTGATTGGAAAAGTATAAAGAGAAAAAACAGAGGGTATAACTCTCTGCCAGAATTAGTAGAAGCCTCTAAAGATGATGAAATGCTACTTAATATTCCATTCGAATTAGCAGAGAAAGTCTCTAAGAATGAAAATTTAGAACTGGACATTACATTTACAACATTTATTGGAAGCTCTCTTGCAAGTTCAATTCATACAAAACCTTTTACACTTCAAGAAGATCTAAACACTGTCTCATATATTCCATTTAATTTACAAACATGTAAATTGGATCAGTTACTTAATTTTAGAGAAATTCCAGAATTGGAAGTATCTGATAGAAAAGAAATAAGACACAAAGTATCACAACTTTTAGAATGGGACCTACAAGAAAGTATCACACCTCCTTTCTTGAGAGAGAATGTTTTAGCAAATATACACAATATACCTGAAAATGAAGAAATGAGGCACGAGGTAATAGAATGCAATGACTCTTCACAAGTTTTTATTGATTGTGTAACTTTAAGAATTCCAATCCAACTTGTTGAAGATTCAAAAATGTCTACAGAAAAGAAGCGCAAACTTTTGGTTCACACTTTAACTATTCCTGTTTCTCCTTCCCCTCCTCTATTTAAGCAAAACCATCACAAGCATCAATATGTAGCTACAACAAGTAATATTTAATTTTTACTACCACTTTGGAAATTTCTACTAGCATTTCGTTTTCTTTCACTGGCCTCTGTTATCCCACTCACATCTGTGGAATAGTTGTTGATTAAATTCGATCTGTCATTTTCAATTCTCAACTCCAATCTTCTTATTTTATCTATGAGTTGATCATTGGTTGTTTGAAAATCCAAAACCTCCTTACTTATCTTGTCAAGTTTTTGCTCAATACTCTTAAAAGCTTCTTCTCTCTGCACAAGTGTTTGTTTGAAAATTTTTTCATTTGTTTCATAAGATTGCATAAGTGTCACGGAATCTTCGTATTCAGCTACCACTTTTGTCACAAATCCAGATAGTAATTGTTTTTGGACTGGTTTTTGTGAATTTTTAGAGTATAATGGAGTCGAAGAGGTGGATTTACGGGTTTCAATTGATGGTTTGGGCAGCTGGTTAACTCGTTCATCGAATAGTGGAGCATTCTTGGAAACGGTTGGGGTATCTTGAATTGAATTATTAGAATAATTTGTTGGGTGCGTTTGTTGTTGTGGATTAAGTGGTAGGGCTGGTGCAGTTGAGGTTACAATTTGTTTTGACTGAGATGCATTGGCTTTTTGAGAATTGGACGTTTTTGATTGTTTGGAAGGAGATTGGTGGCTCTTTAATTGAGATTCAATATTGTTAATCCTATCCAACTTTTCCAATTGTTTGTTTGAAGATGCGGTAGCCACTGTGTTCTCGTTAAGAGGATTGGAACCTGTGCTATTTGATGAATTATTGCTTGTTGTGTTGATCGAAGATTGTTTGTTTTTTCGTTTTTCATCACTGGCTGGTGGTTGTTGTGTTTGTTGAATTATAACAGGTTCATTAATACTTGTAACTGATGAAGTGAGGCTGTTGGCCTTACTATTATCGTATGATGAATTTTTGATGATTGTTATGTATAGAGTCGGAACAAAACCTTTTTGGAAGGGTTTGCTCACCTTTTCTACCATCATCCATTCTCCATGGGCACTAATTAACTTTACAACTTCTCCCTTAGTGACTGAGAGCTCATTATGACCATCAGCCTTAAAATCATACAACACACGACAATACTCCTCTTGGTTCATTTTTTCAAAGTGAAACTAGTACAGTATTTTTAACGGCTAGTATTTATTTTGTATGAACAAGGCAGACAAAGCGCCAAAAAAATGTATGGAAATCAACCAAGGGAAGAAAGAGTAAAGACACCACTTCCCGAGAAGTTGAAAAATTCTTTTTCTTTCGCTAATCAGAATCAAGAAGAGCAATTAAATGAGGATGAATTGGAACAAGTTATGGACAATGGAAACTATTTGGAGAGGGCTAATTTAGATCTCTTCAATCAACCAGTTGAGGAGGTAGAGCAATTTGTAGTGCAAGATGTTGTTCCGACAAATTCAATGCCTTCATACAATAGAAATAAATTAAGGGATGAAATGATGGAAAACAATCAAGAGGAATCTGCTGAACCACCTGTAGAGGAAACCAAAAAAAAGAGAAAGAAAAGGAAACCCAAAAAAACTGATGACGAATGGAACGAAGAAGGAAACAAACATGAATCAAATTTACCCACACTCCACGAAAAAGAACAAGAAGAAAACACTACAGATGTTTTACAACCAAAAAAGGAGGTAATTAGGACTCTGGAGAAGGATCTGTTTGCTGACATGGCAAGAACTCATTACCTCTCTATTTCACCAAATGATATCATTGTTGGAAAGGAAAATGAGGAAGCAGAAGAAGTGACAGATGAACCAATTGAATCAAAGAATTTAAAAGTTGGAGGACCTCTCTCTCTTAGACAGAAAACTATTTTCATTGAAAGTATGTAGTTTATAACTGTTCAAATTCTAAAAAGGTAAGATCCTGTTAGTGGGCAATTTAGAAAGGTCAAGGAAACTGATTTTAGTAATAACAAAAACGAAACTGAAGAAATAATTGAAGATGAGCAGGAAATAATTCAAAGAGAGATTAGCTCTTATAATTCAACAGTTCTAATTACAAACAATAACTTATTTGTACTTTTACTTTTTGTACAGGGTATTCTAGTAGGGTTTTGCACCCTTCACGTACTAATTAACATACCACTTTACTCCAATTTGATTGACTTTGTAGAATGGTACTCACCAATTTCAACAATACTTCAAAAAATTTACATGGTCTTTACATGTATTTGTTCTGTTCTGTCAATATACATTCTGTCAATTGAACTAAGGCCACCACTTCCAAAAGGGACCCTATTTACTGAACTGTTGATTATTCAATCACCAGTACAAAGAAAATCGAGAATGATTTCATCGTTTCTGGTAAGAACATTTTTAATTGTAGGGGCAGCCTCGTATACGATTTCCTTTCTTTGTAGTGTTGTGATTGGTTTTGCTGATGAATTTTTTGCATTTCAATATTCAACAAGCGGAAAAGGGTGGACAAGCAATTTGGCAGGTACAACTTCAGAAAAGGTGTCAAGAAATGCTATCGGATGGCACATTGTTAATGGGATGAGAACATTGTGTAGTATAATTGGTTGGATATCTGTTGTAATTCTTTTCAGAACTTTAAGAAGACAATCGGAAACAAGTTTCCAACAATTACTAAAAGACCAATCAAATTAATCAAGTCCTTTTAAAAAGATCGGTTTTATTAATGAACATGATAAATAAAAAAACTGATGATGAGAAGAATAAAATTACAACTTTTCTTCTGGTTGTTGGGTTGGTAAAAGTCCGTACTTTCTCTTCAAGTCAATTCTATATTGAGAGTAGGTATCAGCTGGAGAGAAACGGGCTGGGTGAGCTGGACGAGTTGCAACTGGGTTCTTTTCACAAGTTGTGCTCTTATTGTCGCAGACGTATTTGATGGTGTATGTTTGACAAGCTTCACAGTATCTCAGTCTCATTTTTTTTTGAAAAACCAAAAGAGAAATTATTTAATTTTACAGCCTACATTTTTTATTTGAACAACCTCTTTAAATCAAGATGTACACAGAACAATTTTATTTTTGAAAATTATTTTACATTCTTCTTCTTTTATTACCTGGATCGGAGTCATCTTCAGTTGTAGATGTATTATCATTATTTGAACTCTCTGAAATATAATTTTTATCACCATACTGCAGTTTGTAGGTGCCAAGTGATTTGTGTTTCCAATCTATGAAGGATGTTTCTTCTAATTGAATCATTTGTAAAATGGTTAATTCGCTATTGCACAATTTTGACTTGAATTCCGAGTATTGTTCAGTGAGCCAGCTGCTGGTACTCTTCTGATTACTGGCAATATAGCCTTGTCGTAAAAAGACCTTAAATCTATGTACAAGTGTATCTATTAGAGTATACCTTTTTCGAATATAGAGAGACTCTAATTCTTGATCTTGTTTGATTGATTCTGCAATTTCAGCCATTAATTTGAATAGACTTGTGCCAAAATCATAAAAGTATCTGTTAACTTTTGATAGAGATGCTTTTTCAAAGTTGGATGTGACATAGTTCAAGTCTGTAAAAACTCTAGGTACCTCAACTTCAACAAATCCCTCTTTTCCACACACAGAAGCCAACCAAAACGGTACCTCAACTTTAGTTCCTCTTTCAATTATATATTTTTCAATAAATTTAATGGAATTGTTATTTTCCTCTTCTATTTCATCTTCGGAATGATCTTGATTTCCATTGGTTATTTGACGAAGATGTTCTTTTTGCATAGCTGCTGCAGTTTTAATATATTTTCCAATGTTTGGAATGGTGAAATTAAATATCACAGCAACACGTTCTTCACTTGCAAGAATATCATCAATGTCAAAGTAGTCCCTTCCATTGTTCAATCCATCAACGGCAGACATTTTTTTATTATTACTAACTGTTAAAATTGGCGCCACATCTCTTCCGCCAAAATAAAACTCTTTTAAAAAAAAATTAAATAATACTGGTTTCAATCACACAACGTCTTCATCATCACAATACATTTTATATATACAGGAACAATTGAGGATAATAATATTATTATTTAATGGACATTACCCCTATTATTGAGCAAATACAGACCAAAGGTAACTATTTTTAATTGTTACATTATTTTACTGAGCAATGTATTATCGGAACAAAAAAGATCCAACCGAAAGGATCCAAGGATTGACACACCTAACGAATTCCATGCTCGACATTGCATTGGTATGTTATGAAAAAATATGTTTGTGTTTTAATGTAGAATTTAGGATGACATTTCAAGTGTAATGAATGCAATAAGGCCTACATTGAAGGATAACAACTTTAAAGTTTGTGAGGCATCACTAACTTTCCTTTGCACTTTTTTGGAGCACATTGATGCAAAAATCTTTCAACCATATTTTATTGATTTTGTAAATTTGCTTTTGGAAAGATTTGGAGACACTAAAGTGTCAGTTAGAGATAAGGCCTTTGAGGCTATAATTATGGTCGCTAGACACTACTCTGCAAGTACAGTGCTTGATAGTATTAGAGAAGGATTTATCCATAAGAGCTGGAGAGTGAGAGAGGGTGTATGCTTGTCTTTTGTTCAGATCTTACAAACCTTTGGACCCAAGACTATTTCACTTGCAAAATTTTTGCCAGATATTGTAAGTCTATTGGATGATTCCACACCAAGCGTAAGGGATTCTGCAATATTGGGTATATGTGAAATTTATCGCTTTGTTGGAGCTGACTTATTCCAGGAATTGTCCAATTACAAATTAAGGACTTCGCAAATTAAGGCCATTGAAGATAGAGCATGCGAAATTATGGTCGACACTGAAAACCTCGTTTCTCTAAAACCTAAAGCAAAAAGCCCTCTGAAACCTCCTAGATCAAGACAAACCATTCATACAAACATTACTACTAATGGAAAATCAGCAACTGATGATACAGAAGAAACAGATGTACAACCAATTTACATCAAAGAGAACGATATTCAAAAAGAAACAGAGCAATCCCTTGAAATTTTGAATGACACCAAAAATCTTGATTGGAAAAAAAGATTAAATTGCATTAGACGCTGGAGGGGTATAGTTTATGGAGGAGCAACGGATTTTTCATCATTTATTGGAGAATTTCTTAGATTAAGGGAGGCCATTTCAAAGCAAGTAGTTGATTTACGTTCTACAATTGTTAAAGAAAGTTGCATGTTACTCAATCTTATTGCAAAAACCATGGGCTCCAAGTTTGAACCACTCTCTGATTACTTTGTTCCAATACTACTCAAGAGCACTGTAGTGACAGTTCAGGTTATTTCTGATTCGGTAAATACTTGTATAAGAACTCTTATAATTCACGCAAAATTGAATAGAGGTATTTCTGTAATAGTAGAGAGACTAACAGACTCTAAAACTCATGCAACCATGAGATCTAGGTGTGCAGAATACTTGGTTTTAATTTTTCAACATGTTGACACTGGATTTTTATCCAAAATAATTGACGAATTATGCAAAGCTCTCAAGTCTGCTATTAATGATGCCAGCCCTTCAGCTAGACAGGCTGGAAGGCAGGCATTCATGGCATTCAAGGAAGTGTTTCCTGATAGAGCAACAAAAATTTTCAGCGAGCTAGATCCAAGTACTCAAAAAAAACTTAATGAAGAGTCTAACAAGTCTGGACAAATTTCCCCAAGATCAACTACTTCAAGTCTGAGTGGAGCAGCATCAGTAACATCATATGTTTCGTCAGGTTCTACAATAAGAAGAACAAAATCTGTCATTACAAGAAAGCTACCAACCAAACCTGAATCCAGTACAACACTTATCACAGAAAAAAAGTTAATTTCTAAACCCGTCATACCTTCTATTCCACTTTCCACAACATATCCTCCTTCTCCAAAAAAGATTTCTCTTCCTGTTAGGCCAGTATCTGTTGCAGGAAAAAACTCGCCATCTTCCCCAAAAAAGAGTCCTAATTCAACTAATCTAATCAAATCTAGTAGAACTGATTCCGTATTGATTCCAAAAAAACTAGTATTTGGTTCTGATCCTATGGATGTTGGAGAAGATTTGGCAATAGTACAAGAGGTAGAGACAGTGTCTACAATTTTGAGAGAATCTAAAAATCTCGATTGGAAAGCCAAAATTACAGTTTTTGAAAAATTAGAATCAATTATCAACAGTGGTAGAAGTTCTGAAATTAAGAATACTTTTCTGCAAGTAATCAATTTGTATATTGACAGATTATCTGATACTTATCAAAAAGTTGTTGAAAAGGCTCTCACTTCACTCATCAAGCTAATAGATCATTTACCAGAAAATGTTGAACCTTACTTGGAACGTATTTTATCCAAATTATTTTTACTGTTGACCGAAGAAAAAACAAAGACTCTAGCTGAACATTTATTAACCAAGATTGGTAATTCTTATTCTGGTGATATTCTGTTACCAAGAATTTTTAAAATTGTAGATACATTCAATTCAAGAGTAAGGGTAGCTTGTTTAGAGTTTTTGATGCATATTGTACAAAGTAGTTCTGCCTATCTCAGCTATCCAGGGCATATGAGATCGAGCATTAAGAAGATTATTGCCCTTATTCAACAGAATACCTCAAAATCATGTGATGCAGCTCTCACAAGTATTATGATATCACTTTATACAATTAACTCGACTAATTTCATGGAGCAACTTTTATCTTTACCTTCGTTAGAGCAAAATCCTATCAAAAATTTGCTTAGAGAGCGAGTTAGTGATTTTGATCAACATCTTACTTTGTAAGTTTTATTAGCGAGTTAGTAGTGCTTAATATTGTAAATTAACTGACTTTAGAATTTCTAAAAAATCATCCCCTACCACTTCCACAACCACCGTTCTAACTTCAAAACCGACCCTTCCTAACAGAAACGTTGAAAACATTATTTCCTTACCAATAAGAAACACTGACAGAGAATATCAAACTACTGATACTCTCGATGAAATCTCCTCCTCACTAACATCAATAGCCAAATACAAGATTGATAAAAATCCGCATCAGGTATACCGATGCCTATTCGAAATATCAGAAATAGCTAGACTAAAGCCCTCCACAGATAATGTTTGGCAGATATCATTTGCAAAATTATTATTTTATTTATTTGATCTCTTTTTTGATGATGATGAAATTATAAGGGAAAAGGCCTTATTGAGTGTTGCCTCTCTATTGAGATATCAAATTGAACATTGTATCAAGTTTACAGACATTACTTTTAGAAAGATTATGGAAAAACTAAACGATAATGTTCCAGCTGTGCAAAGAACTGCAGAGAGAGTGGCTGAACAATTTGTTGAATCTATTGAGCCAATCAAAACTTTGGAACTTTTAAAACCACAAATTATTAATAATAGCGAAAAAGAGCAAATCTTACTTGGAGGCTTACGTCTTCTCACCAAACTAATCAAACTGATAAGTCCAGATATTCTTTTAGGTCATGTTCCAAGCATTTTACCTGGAGTTTATGAAGCTTTTAAACACAGCAATGTAGATGTACGGAAATCCGTTGTCTATTTAATGGTAGATTTACATTTCTCTCTTGGAGAGTTGTTTGAGCCATATCTGAAGAGGTTATCTATTGAACAGCAAAAACTTATTCAAATTTACATAAAAAAGAACGAAGTGAGATAGTTTAACAGAGAAATATTCCAATTCTTTTAATTCACGTTATTACTCGACTCTCTCATGTTGAGTTCTCATATATTTCTCCAAACAAAACAATAAATAATCGTTGATAAACCAATAAATAGAAACTCAACATTGTCCCGAGTTAATATAGTTGTTTACAAAATCGAGATTGAAGTTGAACTCCTCTATAAAAAAACCAGAGGAAAACACTCTTTTTCAATTTCTCAATTTTATTGTTTACAATTTGTCGAAAATACTATCGTTCCATTGAGTTGCTCAATTACTTTTCCTAGTCTAAACATTAAACCACCCAACCTTGGTAAAAGGTATTTAGGATATTTGTGGGTTAGAATTTGAATTGCATTTCTTTCAGCTTCTAGAAGAGGTTTTAGTCTATTCAATTGTTCAATTTTAAACGAATACATAATTTGATCTTGAAATGTGTTTTGCAAAAGTACCTCTGCTTGCATGATGTGAATATCTGAAACTCTCTCCAAAATACTCATATCACCGTTATTGAAAAGTAGTGATTCTTGACTGATATGGGTTAGTAAAAAAAAAGAATTGAACTTACTTGAAATATTTCAAATTGTCCACATATTTGTCGCAATATATAACTAACAACTTGTCCAAAGTTGATTTGATAGAAGTTGGAGATCTTGATTGACTAGGAGAGTTTGGTTCCTCACTTGAAAGAATTGAAAAGATGGAAGGATGGTTGGGAGCAGTGCCATTCATAATTTGTTGAGATTCTTTTTCTGTTATATTGTTAAATGAGACAAGTAATCTACTCAATTCACCTGTAATTGCATTCTCAAAATTTTTGAAAATGGTTTCTAATTTTAAAACAGCCATGTTGTTAAATTGATATACTCTGTCTTCTTCTGTACATTGTTCCAACATTTTCTCAAGGAGTGATACTGTAGTGCTATAAATTGAAAATTTTCTCAAGAGTTGAATAATACCAAACGTTGATGGATCCATACTAACTAGTCCTGTATATGTTGATTCCTTTTGAAAAATGCAATTAAAAAAATCCAGTTTCAAAATCAACCTACCTTAGTCATTAAAATAATAATCATTAAATAAATTTCAATATTATCTACAGTCAATCTTTTTACATTCTTCAAGGTTGTAATAGTTAGTAACTCAGAAGGCAATTTACCTCTTGCTGAAAGATAAAGGCTTGTAGCAAGTCGCATACAATTTAAATCAAATAATTGATGGATATCTTCTCTGAGATTAATACTAGTTCTTGTTAATTGAATGGGAGGTAAATTGTTATTGATACGTTGAATATTTTCTGACTTTTGAATGTAGTAACGAAATGTATCGAATGTCATTCCAACTATTAACCTGTATTTGTAAACACATAGCAAATACACATTTTCAACTCTGTAAAGAGAATAATCTGAATTGATTCGAGCTTCCTCAGCAATTGAGTAATTAATAAATACTCTATCTCTATAGTTTGGAGAATGTAAATCCAGCATTTCATCTGCTTTTAACAAAAAATACCTCGATAACCCTAAATTACTATCTCCCATAAAATAAAAAGATGCCAACAAGTATCTTCCACTTCTAATCATGAAAAATCTATCCTCAACATCACTAATAATTAAATTGCTGACATGTCGTGCATGTTTTCCAACTAATAGATCAATTAGTTGTTCGTTGGTTGTGGGATTTTCATAGAGGTGCTGTACATCATCTTTAACATATCCTTCGAATCCCAATTCTATTGAACGTTTAATTGAAGACTCTGCCTGATCTAAAAAACCATTGGATGCACATGTCACTCCATGTAATGTATACAAAAGTGAGAGAACTTCTGTTTTTCTATATTGGGTAACATATTCTCCAGCATGTTTTGAAAAATCAGGTAACTCAAAAACACTGTTAGGATTTCTGAATATTTCATTCATTGAATTTTTTAAATCATTTCCAAATATTGATTGTTCAATGAGTTCTTCAGGAAAGATTTTGAAGCCATAAACAATATGTCTGTAAAAATTATTTATCAATTAGGCCTAATGTTGTAATGTTACCTACCTATGATAATATTCGAATGAATTGATTTTTACAAATGATGTGACTATCATATCTTGCATTAACATTTCCTCTAATTCTTTAGAATTTTGATTTGAATCCTCATCTCTTCTTTCATTATTGTCCAAGAAAGTATGAAGTTTTTGTAAAATCTTTGAGGATGAAGGATCAAAACCAAACGCATCCACAAAATTATCTATATACTGAGTTGAGTAGGCAATATTTGAGTTTTTTTGGAGAGCAATATTTTGATTGTAGGGATGATATCGTGTTGAGAGTTCCGAATTGTTGACATCAGAAGATGATTTTGCACTTGATGAGGATGATTGCAGCTCCAGTCTTGATCTTGTTGCATTATTAAAGATAACAGTATCACCTTGCTTTTTTTTACGTCCGGTTGTTTCGTATCGGAATGAATGTATTTCGAAATCCTTCTTCTTTTGTTTGTTGGGAACAGGTTTTTGCACTTGTCCAGTTAGAAGCATCTTTTGAAGATATTCTTTCTTAGGTTGTAAATATACACATACATAGCCCTTCTTTAAGCATTCTTGACATTGTGGTAGCGTTCTTGAGCATTTTGTATGCTTTTTCCGACAATTTTCACCTAGATTTCTTGATGAATGGATTGTGTGAGCAAAAAGTGGTTTACTTACAGGCAATTGGGTGGTATTGGTTGTTTTTATCAGCCTCAACCTCGGATGAAGACATTTTTTTGAGTTCTACTTGATTGTACGAATAAATTTAGTCTCTCTTTGCAAATCATCAAAATTTGTTGGAATATTGAGTGATATTTCAGCAATGTCTAATATTGTGATAATTTTTAAATTCTCCAAGGAAATTCCAAATTTGATTGTAGTAAGTTTGTAAGGTTGATTTATTCCATTAAAGATATCAAAATGAAATTAAATCTCTGTAGATAATTTATGAGATTAAAAATTTAGAAAAAATGTCGTCATTTCTGCCTTGTTCTGGCTCTGAATATCTGACCCTAATGACAACATGTGCTCCGGGCCTGGAAAAATCATCAGCCGACGAAATTGAAGAAAAATTAAATAATTTACGGAAGAGAAGTGACTTGGCAATTAATATTTATCACATTTATTCAAAGTTTGAAAATATTGATGATGATAATTTCAAGGAAATTATTAGAATATTTCAGAGGCGAGATATCAAGTCAATGCTGCAAGGAAAAATTATTATTCAATTCCATTTTTCTTCCACCTCTGAGAAATTGAAAATATCTGTATTTAATGAAACTATTTCCTCACTTCTTGAATGTCTATCAATTGTCAAAATTCACATTCTAGTTTATGTTTTGGAAAATCTTTCTTTTCCCTCTTCAAGTACTTCCACTCAGGAAAAATCCTCTCCAAACGATTCAACTGGAGATAGTTTTGAAGAAAAAGAAAGAGAATGGGCTAGAAGATTGAAAAATGATCCAAACTTTAATTATTTTTTGGAATGCCATCAACATGCATTGCCAGAAAGCAAATGTTGGAAAGAATCGTTAGAAAAGTGGGTTGACATGAGAAATATATTATTTGAAAATTCCACAAAAGATAAAATAACAAGTGTGGAGGCACTTAAATTCAGAATCACATCAAGAAGGTTTGTTTCATTTGATGTTCTAATTTATTAACTAAATTAAGGTCTGGACAACATAACTTCAAATCGAGTGATATGTTATCGTGGTTTGGATTATTGGTATCTCACAAGTTAATGGGTGAGGAGATTAGCAACATTGGAAAAACTTGGAAAGCAGATTTAACAAATTATGATCTCGATATTTTTCAAATCCTCTACAATGATACTCTCTTTCTCTCATTCACTCTGTGTGAGGAAACCATTTGTTTACAAACGTTTTCTAAACAATTCAAAAATGAATTGTTCTTAAACTCAACATCTTTGAGACCCAATATTGCTTTTGGATTAATTAATCTTGCAAATATCAAAAAAGGAGATGTATTTTGTGATATCTGCTCTGGTACTGGAATAATTTCACTGATGGCTTTACACTTATTTAAAAATAATATTCAAATTATTTCTGGAGAATTATCTGAGGAAATTTTACAGAACCACCTAATCAACAATATTGACAATTACAGGTATTCAAATAATACAATACAACCTCTGAAATGGGACTTCACTCGCCTCCCTTTAAAAACAGCCACTGTTGACGTCATTTGCTCAAATTTACCTTTCGGAAAGCAGATTGGATCACATTCATTAAATAAGGAAATTTACCCTCCCATGTTTTCAGAATTATGCAGGGTTTTGAGACCTGAAGGAAGAATTGTTATTCTCACATCTGAAAAACACTTGATGCAAAAAGTTCTACAAGAAAATAAGGTATTCATATCATTTTTTTCACGAATTTCTATTCATCAAGGTGGTTCAGATGTTTTTGTTTACATTCTCACAAGAAAAAGTAAAGCATTTTTTGTAAAGAAACAAAAACAATAAAAACATTAAAAAAAAATTAAAGTCATCTGTGATCTGCGTGCTTGGAAGCTATTGAAATTTTTCGGATCAAAATTGTACATTAAAATTATTTATTAAATAGAGTCTTCACATAAATACATCCATCAGATTAGAAATGGTTAGGTTTACAAATTTTAAATCTTCTCCACAAACAAAAGATTACCACAAGTATGAAATGAGTGGAATATTATTCAAGATGGGAGAAGTTAACAAATCATGGAAGGAAAGGTTTTTCATTCTGGAAGAGGACAAATTATTTTACTATAAAAATTCGGAAAGCTCCAAAGCTATTGCATACATACCTTTGAACGATGCATATGTTAGAGTATCTCCTGAATTTTATCCTAAACAAGCATGTTTTGAAATTGTCACATCACAAAGAATATACAAATTAATGGCTGCAAATTTTGAATTGATGAAAACATGGATACATCACTGCCAGACATTTAGTAAAATAAGTATGGAAAATGAGCTGATACGACAAGCAGATATTCAAATTCATGATGTTGAATCTGGACTAACAAAAAAAGCCTTGGAAGAATTACATTTCGAACCAATATCATTAGAAAATTTTTATTTTTCATGTAGATATAATAGAGAAGAAGACTATTCAAATAGTTTGGAATTTGATTTAATAAGAGGATTGAATAATACATCGATAACGAACAGAATGAATAATGCAAGTAGTGTGGTACTATCAAATCAACTATCTGACGATGAAGACTCTTTACAAATGGTTGATAAAAAGAATATTGACCTCTCAAAAAAACACTCTCCATCCATAGCCTCCCAAACACCTGCAACTGAAGAAAATCAAGAATTGATTGATAGGATTGGAACAGAATAAATTATTGTTCCTTGTTCTTATTCCAATATTTTATTTAAATAAAAAAAATGGTAAATGTAATAGTCAGAGGATCCCGAGCAGACGACATTGAAAATATTGATTTACTTGGACAACCAATGAAATCAATCACATCAGGTTTTGGCCATGTGTTAATATTATCAGAGAATGAGAAATTATTTAGTTTTGGTCGTAACGATTGTGGTCAACTTGGTTTTGAATCGGAAAATCCTGATGAAGTTGATGTTTTGAAAATCACCCCCATACCTTGGAGCAATTCTATTAAATCAATTCATTGTGGTTCCTTGCACTCTATGATTTTAAGTGATGATAATTGTCTATTTTCTTGTGGTAGCAACGCATTTGGGCAATGTAGTCAACCAACTCTCTCTGGCCCTATTATTGCTCAGTTTACCCTTATTGAAATAGATGAAATTGTACGGAATAAGATAGCTACAATAATTTGTAAATTTGCACATAGTGGTTTCGTCACTTCCGATAGAGAGTTATATTGTTGCGGGAGGAATCATGATTTGGAAATTGGTATACAAAACAGTGATAATGTAAACAAATTTACAAAAGTGCCAAATATTCCTCCTGTAAAGCTGGTAGATTTTGCTTGGAAATATACGGTTATTGTAACGATGGAAAATGAAATATATTCCTCCAAGCATGGCATTCTGAGAACAGAATGTACACTTAACCCGTGCATTGGTAAATATTGTGGATGGAATCCTTCTATCAATGGAGAAATTGTCAAACTCCAATGTGGAAATGAGCATACAATACTGCTTACACAAAATATGGAACTTTTTGGGTTTGGATATTCACCCAATGGAGAAATTGGAGTCTCTCAAAGTTCAATAATTAAGGAGGTTGTAAGAATCGGAGGATCCATCCTGGACAGAGTTTGTAACTTTGTTACATCATATAATCAATTAATTGTTTTTACAACTGGTGGAACCATTTATGTTTCTGGTCTAAACACTAGAGGGCAATTGAATTTCTCTCTAAATAATAACATGATAGATTCTAAAGATCCAGTGGAAACGCTCACACCTGTATCTCAATCCAGATATTTCAATTCAGCTTGTATTGGTAATCAATTTACCATATTATATCACAGAACAGAAGGGCAATTCAAAATTGAAAAATTATTCAAGCAACAATTATTTTCACTCGCCTTACATGAATACTTTTTTGATACGAGCATTGTCTTTTGTAAAGAGTAATTAATTGATTATTGTGTTGATTGATTGCACGACGACATGCGTACAAATCGGGAAATGCAAACATCAACAATCACAACTTGTGTATTTTGTTTGTAGAATACAATCATCTCTTATTGCTTCAAGATGAAAATAATTTGATATTCTCATCTAATTAATTCCTTTCATTAAATCTTGCTAAATAACATTCGTTGTGAAGTGATGGTTGTGTCCTTTAGGAAGGAAGTGAAAAGAGTACAAGATAAAAACTCATTTAAACTTTTATAAAAAAAATCAAAACCATTGCGATTTTTGATACACAGAGCGTGAGAGTTTTGACCGTTTTTACTGCATATCATCAATCCTATTTTTCAAACCTTCTAATTGTACACTTATTAAAACTCTTCAATGCCTCCTCCACCTCCACCTCCACCATCTAATGTTCCACCACCAGTTGCCTATAAGCCACCAAAAGAAGTTTCTACAGCTGGCAGAGGTGATCTGTTAGATTCTATTCGTAAAGGAAACAAGTTAAAGAGGGTACCAGAAAGTGAAAAGAAGGAAAAATCAGGTGATGTTGTTGGTAAAGTTCTTGATCGTAATGCTCCAAAGAAGCCTGCAAGTGAGAGTACACCACCAAAACCTGCCAAGTAAGTAATTTTAAATCCTTTAATTTTCTTAACAATAATTCAATTAATTAATATTAATTTAAAGTACTGGTTTTGTTCCAACAGGAAATCCAATGATGGATGAAATTCTCAAGAAGAGACAAGGCTTAGGAAATAATTCTGGAAGTGGATCCTCTACAGCTACTACTAACACTCCACCAACAAGAGCCACACCACCAACTGTTCCTTCAAACAGACCACCTTCATCATCAAGTACAATACCAACCAGAACTGCTCCTACTTTACCATCACGAGCTGGTACCGGTTCATCTCAAACAACTAGTACACCTCCACCAGTTGTTTCTTCAACAACACCAAGTGTACCAACAAGAACAACTCCTTCTTTACCAACAAGAACAACTCCATCAGTTCCAACAACAAGTTCAAATCCACCTTCAGGAGAAACAGGAAGAAGAGCTCCACCACCACTCCCTCAAAAGACTGGAGGTGATACAACAGGAAGAAGAGTCCCTCCACCACTCCCTCAAAAGACTGGAGGAACTCAACAACCATCTCTTCCTTCGAGAAATCCTCCTCAAACAACTAGTACACCTCCACCAGTTGTTTCCACACCACCACCAGTGGTTGAAAAGAAACCACCTCCACCTCCAAGAAATGAGGTCAAGACTGAAACATCATCACCAACATTGCCTCCTGTCAGAAAACAACCACCAGTGTCAACACCTCCAGTTGTGGAATCACCAAATGAATCATCAAATATTCAAACTGAAGGACGTTTCCAATTCCGAACTGACCTTCCACCTGTTCCTCCATTTACTGGAAAGCCTAAAGTTTACAAAACAAAAGGAGGATCAAGCTCATCATCATCACAAGCTAATGCTCCAAGTGTTCCCCCACCAAGACCAACTAAACCAAAGAGAGATATTGAAAAGGAAAAGAAGGAATTGGAAGCTCAAGCTAATGCATTAATGCAAGATTTTGTTAAAAGAATGATGTTTGAAAAATGCGTTCCTTTGAGAGATTTGTTGGAAAAGATTAGTAAGGCTAATGATGAGGCTACACTTGATAATATCAAAGAACAACTCTTAAACATGTAATCTATTTAGTACCTTTAATAAATCTTGTAAATTACCTAATATGTTTAATTACATCCAGGACAATTATGAAGAGACTCATGAATAAAAGCGTCACATTCAACACAGAAAATATTACTGCAACTTGGACATTGTAAACTAATAAATGATTCTTTTGGCAATGATTTCTGACATCCATAACAGTAGGGTTCTTCTCCCTCTCTTGGTTGATAATCAATGAATTGTTGTACTGGGAAAAGATGGTGGTATGAACGAGCCAAATGAGGAGAGGAAACAAGCATTAATCCACAGGTTGAGCACTCAACCGGCAAGTCACAATATTTACTTTTACAGCGAGGGCAGATATATCCACCAGGTGTAATCTTTTTGTGACATAAACACATAGAGTAGAGAGTCTGAGCTCTTCTCTGAGGGAAACCCATTCTCATGGATGGAGGAGCTACAATTTTTGTAGAAGAAGAGGATGTAGTTGGGGGAGGAGCTGCATGTGCCATTAATACTTCTTTGAAATGTTCATCATCTGTTGGTACACTATAAGTACCTTGGGTTTGTTTTGCAATTTGTTTGCAAACAAACACCTCAGCATCCAAACTAATTAATGAAACTCTAATATTATTATCTTTGAGTTGTTTGATTGTCGAGAAAATATTATCAGGATCACAGGACGATAATGAACAATAGATTACCACAACTTCCTTAGAACCATAATTGGGTATTTGATGAAGTGAATCATAACTTAGGTTCAATACATTTTGAAGTGATGGATCTCCCCCAAAAGACCTTGTTGGATGGCTTGATGTATGTCTATTGGCATCTTCATATAACTTTTTCAATTCTGATACTAGTTGCTTTACATTTCCTGTTAGTTCTTTTAAAATTTTTGCAACACCATTCTTTGTGGTAATAATTCCCAATTGTGAGAGTGGATTTTGATCAAAATATTCCTTGATGAATTCCTTTGCTGTTGAAATAACGGATTGTGCTCGGGATGTTTTCTCATCATGTTGTGATGGTAACATTATTCCATTACTGCAATCAATGACAAGATATAAAAATCTAATAATTCCCTTCTTGATGATTGTTTTTTCCTGTGGAATTAATGATTTTGTTGAATTAGTACTATTAGCGGCATTCCAATACATCAATTGATGTCTTTTAACAATACGTTCTCTTTTACTTTTTTGTTTGGAGAGTGAAAGTTTGTTAACCAGTTGGTCATATGGTTGCTCTACAATATCGTCCACTCCTCCAGTATCATACTTTTTTTCCCAATTGTATGTATTAGAATCTTGTTTGTGAGCATTGAATGTTGTCAATTCGTTTTCATCGTGATCATCCATGCCATCATCATCTACTAACGGTCTCTTGTGTGAGGACATTTTTTTGAAAAATATGTACAACTAATTTTAAATTAAAATTAGATTAAAAAATGTTCAAGCGTAACCAAAGGCTTTCACTTTGTATGAGACTTAAAAACTATCAACAAATTGGTGGTGGAACTATCAATTATTGTTACTCTACTGATTTGAAGAGTAAGGTTTTAACTGTGTACATGTTTACAGGTCAGGGATCACAACATTCAAGAATGTTTTCCGATATAGATTCAATTCATCCTTTGATGAAAACAAAAACATGTCAATCTATTTTTTTCAATGGAACTGAAAGTGATGAGGAAATTATGAACAGTTTTAGGGATTTCTCTTTTCCTGTATTAAGAAATTTGAATGTTGAAAATATTGAAAATCCACCTACAAGCTTGGCCCAACCTTTAATTTTAATACAATCTATTTTACTTTTTGAAAGGTATAGAGAATTACTTTCTAAAACTAGTAGGAATGAAGAAATAGCTTGTATGCTTGGACATTCTTTAGGAGAATTTACAGCTTTAGCAGCTTGTGGAGGCGTTTCTATTGAAGAGGCTATTAAACTTGTTAACGTTAGAGGAAAATCAATGGAAAGAAACATTACAAAGGAACAAGAAACTGATATGGGTATGAGAGCAATAATTAATATTCCTTTACAATTAATGAGTGATATTGAGAAATACTTTACATCCACTAATCAGAAAGAATCTCTATGTCCTTGTTGTGACATGGCTAATATTAATACACCTCAACAGGTTGTTTTGAGTGGACTCAAATCGGATATGGATAGACAAATTTCAATGTGGCAAGAAAATTATAAATGTAAACTAAGAGCCATTCCACTAAATGTACACTTGCCATTCCACTCAAAGTATCTAGAACCTGTTTCTATTGATATTTCTAATGCATATGATGAAATTGATACTGGAAATATTGTAAGAAAATTACAACATCCAATAGTTGCCAATACCAATGCCAAATTTGTAAATACCTTTGCAGAAATTAAAGCATTATCCATCCATCAAGTACACAAACCAGTTTTGTGGAACATGTCCATTCAATCTATTATTGAACATGTTAGGCGGGAATACCATACAAAAGACACAACACCAACAACTCTCAGATTCATTGAATTTGGACCACAGAAAAAACTTGAACCCATGATAAGCAAATGTTGCAGTGGAGGAAATGGTTTGAACATTGAAAGTTTATCCTTCAATACTTTGTCAGATGTTAATAATTATTTTCAATAACTTGTTCTTTATTAAAAAACCATCACACAATGAAAAAATATTATTTAATTTTTAAAAAAAAAATGCATCTCTACCACTTTACACTCGTCAAACCGGGAAGTATTAACCAGGCGATCAGTGGTTGTTTTTCTGGTAAAAAGTATGATATTTTAACGGAAAAGCACTACAGACCAACAGAGATTGTGATGGCCAAAGGAAATATTCTAGAGTTGTATGAATGCGAGGAAAATGGAAATCTTAAATGTTTAATATCACAAGATGTCTTTGGAGTAATTAGATCCATCACATCTTTCAAGTTTAGTAATACTGTAGAGAAGGATTATATTGCCATTGGATCCGATTCAGGAAGTATTGTTATTTTGGAGGTCAATAGCAACTTGAACAAATTTACACAAATTCATCACGAGACATACGGAAAGACTGGCTGCAGAAGAATTGTTCCAGGACAATATTTGGCTGCTGATCCAAAGGGTAGGGCTTTGATGATTGGAGCAGTTGAAAAACAAAAATTTGTCTATGTTTTGAATATGGATGGGGACCATTTGACAATATCATCACCATTGGAAGGTCACTCACAAAATACTCTAGTTTATTCTATGGTAGGCTTGGATGTAGGGTTTGACAATCCTGCCTTTGCTTGTATTGAAGTTAATTATGAAGGTGCTGATGAATCTGATGTAGCTTATCAATCTTTGAAAAAGATGCTTACTATTTATGAATTGGATCTAGGAAAAAACACTATAGTTAAAAAATCATCAGAAGAAATTGACAGATCAGCAAATTTATTGATTCAAATACCAGAACCATTGGGGGGTGTGTTGGTTTGTTCTGAAAATTATATTACATATAAGAAAGAAGGTCAAGATGATGTAAGATCTCCTATTCCAAGAAGAAGTGGCATGCCACAAGAAAGAGGGCTTATGATCATCAATTCTAATCTCAAAGTCAAAAAAGGAGGTGATATTTTCCTTCTTGCTCAAAATGAATTGGGTGATCTCTATAGAGTTTCATTTAACAAGGATGGCAATAGAGTAAGCAGTGTATCACTCCAATACTTTGATACTATTCCTGTTTCCAACTCATTCTTGGCATTGAAAAATGGAAATTTGTTTTGTGCCTCTGAATTTGGTGATCACAAGTGTTACAAAATTACAAAGATTGAACCAAATGAATATCCAGAAACTTATGAGTCTATTGGAAGTGAAACCTTCCCAACATTTACTCCACCAATGAATAGATTTGAGGCATTAATGAGCGATAATGATCAACCATCAACAACAAATGTCACATGCCTTGAACTTGTCAATGAAATTAAGAGTTTAGCTCCAGTTACTGATATGAAAGTTACAGATTTAATGGGAGAAGGAACTCCACAGATTTATTGTCTTAATGGTAGAGGACCAACCTCCTCATTGAGATCTTTGAGATATGGTTTACCTGTAAATGAAGAAGTTGCTGCTCCTTTGGATCAACAAGCAACAGCCATATTTACAGTCAAAGAATCGATGAATGACACATTTGACAAGTATATCATTCTTTCATTTTCCGAGTTCACAATGGTACTTTCTGTTGGTGAAAATGTTGCAGAAGTGACTGAATCTGGTTTTTTGACTACAACAAAGACTATTTATGCTTCAAATATTGGAGAATCTGGAGAGTTTGTACAAGTACATCCAAAGGGTATCAGACATATTCACCCTGATAGAGTTAACGAATGGAACTCTGGTAACAAGATAATTGAAAAAGCTGCCGTTAATGGTTATCAAATTGTTGTATCGTTGAGTGGAGGAGAAATTATTTATTTTGAATATGACACTAGTTCTGGAAATTTGATTGAAACCGAAAGAAATGACTTGTCACAAGATGTAGCCTGTTTAGCATTGAGCCCTATTCAAGATGGTCGTACCAGAGGTCGTTTCTTGGCAGTAGGATTTTATGACAAGACTGTAAGATTAATATCCTTGGGAGAATATGATATGATGTCAATTTTATCAAGACAAGCCCTACCTGCTGATCCTGAATCTCTTAGCTTGATTGAGCTTCAAAGTGGCCACTCAAGAGATGAAACCAGTCTTTACTTAAATATTGGTTTGAGTAATGGTATTCTATTAAGATCAACTGTGGACTCCTCTACAGGAGAATTGTCAGATACAAGATCTAGGTTTTTAGGTACAAAGGGCGTTAAATTAAGAAATGTTAAAGTTCGTGGAGACAATGCAATTCTTGCCCTTTCCAGCAAACCTTGGCTTGGTAATAGTATTAATGGAAAGATTGAAATGACACCTCTTTCTTATCCAGCCCTTAATAGCGCATGCAATTTTTCATCAGAGCAAATTAGGGATGGACTAGTCTCTATCACTGCAGAACATTTGAGAATTATTACCATTTCTTCACTTCTAGACAAGTTTACTCCAGAAATTATTCCTCTCAATTATACACCAAGAAAATTTGTAGTACACGATGAAACTTCACACATGATTATTTTGCAAACTGATCACAACGTTTCAAAGGAAAATTCAACTGATAGACCTGACTATATCAAAGTAGACGAAAGTCAAAAGGATCCTTCTCTCTCCAAAGATGTAGAATATGGAGCTATTAAAACCAAGCCAAAATCTAATCTTTGGGCTTCATACATCAGAGTTTACTCACCAAAAAAGCAAGCAAATTTGGACGAATTTGAAATTGAAGACAATGAGGCTGCTTTTAGTATTACAACTTGTAAATTTTCCACTTCCTTGTCTGGGGCAAAATCAAATGAGAGCCTCATTATTGTTGGTACAGCTAAAAACATGAAGTTATACCCTACTAGAACATGTGATTGTGGTTACATTAATGTATTCCAAATAAGCGAAGATGGAAAGTTGCAATTAATTCACAAGACAGAAGTTGAGGATGTTCCATACGCACTTCATGCATTCCGTGGCAGACTATTGGTCGGTGTAAAGAACATGTTGAGAATTTATGATTTGGGTAAGAAGAAATTACTGAGAAAATGTGAAAATAAGTCATTCCCTAATTTCATTACCTCCATTGCAGTAGATGGAAATAGAATTTTCGTTGGTGATATTACTGAATCTTTCCATTTTGTCAAATTTAATTCTTCAGAAAACTCTCTGACAATATTTGCTGACAATACAACACCAAGATGGCTCACCGCCTCTGCACTTGTTGATCACAATACTATTGCAGGTGGTGACAAGTTTGGAAACTTTTTCATATCCAGATTACCAAGTGATGTTTCTGATGAGCTAGAAGATTCAAGCACTGGTAAAGAAAAATGGATTTGGGAAAGAGGATTATTGAACGGAGCACCCCAAAAAGCAACTGAAATTGTCAAGTTTTATGTTGGCTCCATGATAACAAGTATTTACAAAACAAGTCTTATTGCTGGTGGACCGTCCATTCTTATTTACACAACCATTACTGGTGCAGTTGGAGTATTCTTCCCATTTACATCAAAGAAGGATATCGAATTCTTTACTCAACTCGAAATGCACCTGAGAGAGAAAAATCCACCATTGTGTGGAAGAGACCACCTTGCTTACCGTTCCTATTACTTCCCTGTTAAGAGTGTTGTTGATGGTGATTTAATTGAACAATTCAACGATGTCGACTTGCAAACAAAAACTAAAATTTCAGAAGACCTGCAAAGAACCATCAACGAAATTGCTAAAAAGATTGAAGATATGAAGAACCAAACTGGTTTGTAATAAAAGCTAATAGTATAATTTATACTATTGATGCGAAATTATGAAAATAATACTAAAAATTATATTACTTCCGAGTTGTTGTTTAATTGTTGTTGTTATTTAATTTTCTCCATTTTGATTGAGTTCCTTATTGTATCGGGTTAAACCTGCACAGTTTAGCCACAATTGTGGAATAAATAGTCCTTGTACTGATGGATTTTTAGTTAACTTGGCAAATCCAATCTTTTTGGCTTTATCACCCCATTGTGATTTAATATTGTGGAGTTTTTGGGAAATTTCAGTAGAGTCCATGTTTTTGCAATCATGAACATGTTCTCTTCCGTTCTTATAAATTGCCTTCATGTATGGATGTCTACCTCTACGTAATTGTACAACAAATTTAACATCAGGCGATAATTTAGCCATTTCCCAGAAAGCACCAGATGATTGGTCCAAAAAATTTCTCATTCCGGATGAGCTTCCTCCCCAATCACAGAAATAAACACAAACTTGTTTCAACTGTGTCACACCGTTCCTAGACATTTTTTTTTATTCAATATTTTTTTAATAAATTAATTTAAATTACTTTTTTAAAAAATATGATAAGTTTTTGAATGGTAGCCTATTAATGTCAAAATAATTATTGGTTTACTTATGATAATCACGATGTTCAATAAATTGATCTTTTGTAATTTTCCTTTCCTTTGTTGTGTAAGGCATAAGGCATGGCTGTCTAAGGTAAACCTGCACATGCTCATTTGTGTGCACTTCAAATGTCATCTCACCAACACCTGTAATAGAAATCCAACCAATACCACCAATACAAATATCCAAAATGCTTTCTCTTCTAGTTGTTCCATTAACTTTGAATTTAAGAGATTTGTTCAGTCCATAAATCAATGAGTCTTTTCCATCAATTGGAGGAACAATTTGGTATTCAGGAGTAGCGTTTCTACCAACATGCTTTTCATAGAATTCGTCAGCCTTCTCTATACCTGTACAATGGATTGAAAGTCTGGAAGAGGTGAATACAGAAAATATGCAACGATTCCAATCTTCGTTTTGAACGTTATCTTCAATATAGTCCAATCTAAAGAGACCAGATAAGAAGAAACACCTTCCAGGTCTTAATCTTACAAATCTTGGATCAATGACATCACCATCAGGAATGATATATTTCCAATCCTCATATTTCAAATAATCTGTGAAAAGTTTTTGATGTTGGTTCAATACTCCAGGTGTATCAAATAAGTTTGCTCGTTCACCTGTAGCAGTTGTAATTGGGAATGATATGGTTTTGAGTGTTGTTCCTGGTAAGGTTGAGGTGGTGATTGAAATGTTGGACTTTCTGCTTTCGTATTGTTGTTTAAATAGTTGATTAATAAAAGTTGATTTACCAACATTTGTACATCCGATTACATAGACATCACCTCCTTTTCTATAGCTATTCATCTTTTCGTGTAGCTGCTTCATATTTGTACCTGTTGTACTGCTTACAACCTCGATGCCTACAAGTTGTGACCTCTCTTCTGTAGTTAAGAATAATTCAAAATCCTTCTTCAATATTCTTCTCACCCATTCTTCAAGTCTTCTGTAAATTAATGCTTTAGTCCTCTCTTTTTCAGTATCTGGTCTTCGATCATAGGAACTTCTTCCCTTTAAAAGTAAATCCACCTTATTGGCAACCACCAAGACATTATGGTGAGATCCAATAATATCTTTAAAATTAGGTATGATTGAACCATGAGTATCGAATAAATCAATAACATAAATAATGAGTGCCTTCTTTTTCAATTGAGATATTCTTTCAAATACCTGTCTGGCAGCCTCTTGATCCACTTGAACTGTACTGTATACACCATAATTTCTCAATTGGTGACATCTTTGACATACCAATTCAGATAAGCTTTCATCAATAAGTTGTTGCGAGGTTTTCCCTTTGTGTTTGAGGAATTTCTTATAAAGATTAAATTCATCCATATCCATTACCAAAAACCCTTCTGGTGGTGGTTGGTTCTTGCCAACTGGAGAATTTCTTACATTTTCAATTGTTGAAATAGCCTCCTCCTCTGTCATTCCTTCGTTTTTGTCTTGCATTTCTTGAACCTTTTCCTTTAACACTCGCTGTTTTTCTAATTCCAATTTTTGCATTTCCTCTTCAAGTTTTGAAAATTTTTCTTGTTCTGAAATTCTCTTTTCAACAGATTTTGGATGAATAAATCCAGGTTTTTCAGTACTTTCAGTTTGAAGAGTTGCTCCACAACCAGTACAGTGAGCATTTCCTGCTTGTATTTCAGTCAAATCTGATAACATGACATGCTTAATTTTAAAATCATGTTCATGGATGGCCTTTTTGGTTTCGTCATGTTGTCCTATCAATTCATCCAAATGAGCTCTTCTGTTTCTAGATCTTTGGGCCACTTGTTTTGGAGATTCTTCGGAACTTTCTTGGATATTATTTCTGTTGGAATATTTAGATTTGTAGTCGTAGGATGATTTTCTTCCACCTCTTTTTACTTCCTTTTGCTTTTGAAATTCTTTTTGATATTCTTTAAAAGAACGTCCAATTAAATCGGTTGAAAAATTGTTACTTCCGAATATTCCTAGCTTTAATGGATAACCTTGAAGACTTGATGACACAAGGTAGGGAGAAAAGCTTGTCTTACCAATCAATTTCCTCATTTTTTTAATTTCAATTTTTATTCCACTGCAATATTTTTCAGCCTCTTTTCTTATTAAACGACAAGTTGCTGTAATGGTTGCCGTACAACCAACTTGAACCATTTTGAAAAAAATGAATAAATACAACAATGCGTTTGTTCATACCAAATTCAACTCAAAACAAATATCATAATACATCAACAACACTAACAATGAACAACCATGAAACTGTACTCTGTGAAGGAACTTTAGACATGTTTGATGCTCCATCTTTTACTAGCATCAATATTAGTAGTAATTCTTCATCTTCTCCGTCATCTAATTCTCCATCACTTGTTTTTCATCTTTCAACATCATCCGACTTTCAAACATCTGAACAAACCAAACAAAGTTCAAGTGGAAAAAGATCTAAATCAAAGGCAAAGAAGAGGAAAGTTATTTTGGATGAGGATGATGAACGTGATTATGAGGAGTGTGATTTTATTTTGGAAAAGGGAGTTTATTCATATGCACCAAAGTATCAATGTTGGACAGATATTTCAAGTGAGGTAAAACAGGTTTATAGAGTGGTTTGGGATATGTTTGCCAAGTGTGCCCGTTCTATCATTAATGATCATTTGGAAATGAGAAACACTAGTAGAGTCCACCATCTTACTCTTGGTTCATGTCTACCAACAGTCTTTTACTTGATATTGAAGGAAACAAATGGTGTATTCAATCAATGGTTCCAAGTTGTTAAGAAGCATGGTATTAAAGTTAAGGAAGAATGTATCCAATTTCGATTCAAGAATTGTCTTCCATGTTTGGATAAGTATGATGATTGGGGCAACTTTCAGGTTAAGCTTATCAACAACACGTGCAAATTTGGCCAAAAAGTTTTGTTACATAGGATGAAAATTAACTACATCTCCCTTACCTGCAATGTAAGATCCAATCAAGTCTACTCATCATTCAAATTCGAGAAAGACATGGAAATTGTTGTTCAATAAATATAGCCGTTTCAATTTAAATTCAAAAAAATGAATCAACAATTCAACCATCAAGTAATCATCAACCAACCTCAATCCTACAGATCACCCTTACTCTACAGCCCATTCCTTTATCAACCAGCAACATCCCCAATATCAAGCCTTCAACACAACACCACATCTCAAATACCAATCCACATAACCTCTCCAAACTATGTGGTGTCTCCGAGTCCAACACCTATCCTTCAACACATTATTCCTACCTCAAATCATGTAAGATACTTTCAACAACGAGTTAACATTGGTCAACATGAAACAACAACAACTCCAACATCAAACTTCCAACAACGAGTCAACATTCAACATGTGACAACTCCTTTCAATAACACATCTCCAATTTCAAATACCCAAAGACTCAATTTGACTCAAGATTCAAATGTTGATGTATTAAGCACCCAGTCGTCTTTTTTACCATCTTCTTTTTTAGAAAATTCTGAACCAACACCTCAGGAATCTAATAAACGAGCTGCTTCTTCTGAATTAGGTTCACCAAAAAAAAAGGCACCAAAGAAGGCCTTGGAGAATATTGATTATTCTTTGGAATATGGAGAAATGGACTTCTCACAATTTGTAGAAAAAGACCACC